AGGAGGTAATATCTACTACTTATATATAGTTTTATATACTAATTAAAGTGCTAGAGCTAATCTAGGCCTCTTTTATTTATTATCTATTAGTTTTTAGACGTTATAATAACCTAGTTATATAGGAGACCTATTTCTATATACTAGGTGGAGAGGTAATATTGCCCTAAAACGATAATATATAGTAGAACGCTATAGCCTAATGAACTAATAGCCTAAATAACTATAACCCATTCATAATTGCTAGGCTATATCATTTTTATATTTAAACGCCTCTTAGCGCTTATTATAACCATTCTAGATATAATCTAGCCTATTATAAACCTAATCTTATTAAAGTTATAGATATCTAAGTCTATAATGCTATATTTTATAATTATATTCACTATAAGCTAAAACTATGCGTTTATTGCGTTTAAGTCTTTATATTAAGCCCTCTTATAGTTATACTTATAAAAAAAGTGTATCTAGAGCTATAGTTATTGCTTAATAAAGTTTAAGGCCTAATACGTCCTAATAGGGGGCGCATTATAGTTAGTAAGCAGTTAATTAGCTATATCTTCTATACTACTAATATAGAGAGAAAATAATTAGGAATCTAAGTTGAGAATATACTTAACTAGCTTCTCTTCTTTAAGCGTAGTTAAATTTTATAACTTAGGTATAATATTGCATTATAATCCCTTTCCCTCTAAATAATAGCGTAAGGTTAAAAAGGGCACTAAATAGATATAAGATATAGCTTAAATACTAAGAGTTAGTATCTTCTTAATAGCTTAGATTGCTAAGTTTATCTAACCTTTATTACTCTATAATAATATATTTAGTTATAGTATAACGTAATGTAGAAGTTAGAAGACGGTTTCGCGCGGTCGGCTGATCCACTCGCTTATCTGATCCACTCGCTTATCAACCACGTTATAACTTTTAAAATATTTAAAATAAAGCTTAATATAATAATATTATTAATACTATAAAGAGTAATAAACTAAACTATTAAACTTAACTAAAAGTATATATACTCTATAAAGGTAGTAATATTATAATAGTTTTAAAAAATAAATATTATCTTTAGTATAATAGATCTTTTTACTCCTATAGCTATTTAAACTTTACCTTAAGGCTTAAATAGCTAAATAGAAACCTAAAAGTTAGAAAAAAAAGCTATTATATAGTACTTAATTAATATAAAATTAAAAACCTAAAGTCTAATAATACCCTCTTTATAAGATATTATAATAGCTTTAATATTATTAAAAAATAAAGTAACTAAATATATCTTAAATCTATAAAACTTTATTTAGAGTTATATAATATATAAGCTATTTTAAATATTAAAGAAAACCTTAAAATTAATAACCTTTATACCTTTATTTAATTAGTTATAAAGGACTCTCTTTTTAAAATCTAAATATATATATCTAATAGGTATCTAAAAGTCTTATAAATAGATTAAGTATTTAATAGAGAAATAAATATCTATAATATAAATAATACCTCTTATAATATACTTCTTAAAGTAGATCTAATAATTCTTTATTTAAACTATTAAGAGCTTTATTAAGTTCCTCTTATTATCTATTAAATAAGAGAATAAACCTTTTAAATAGATTTAATTTAAAGCTTATATTATAAATAAAACTTTATAAATATCTTAAATAGCTTATATACTTAATATTAACTTTTTAAAACCTCTTTAAACTTTATTTATATATTATAATAAAGAGTATATTTAATCTTAAAGCTTTTATAATTTAATAAGTTTATCTATAAAATATATTTAATTAAATAGGTTTATACTTTTATATAAAAAGGCTTTATTAACCCTATAAAGTCTACTCTAATTAATAAGAATAAAGAAAAATACTATTTAAAATCCTATTTAATATTTATTAATTACTATATATCCTAAATTATAATAAAGCTTTACCCCTATATTAAGATCTATAAGAACTTATATCTTTAAAATCTTTAGATATCTTAAATTAAGTTTAATAAATATTTAATCTTTCTTCTTATTAAGAACCTTAATATAATATCCTTTTAGCTATTAAGGACTTCTCTATTTACCCCTTAAAGCTAAAGTAGCTAAAAGATATTAATTAAGCTTACTTTTTTATTAACTACTTCTAAAGATAAGCTTTTAGCCCCTCTATAAAGTAAGTAGTTTATATAGAATAATAATTTTAAGTTAAACCTTAATAAGAGGGCTACTTTATTAATACTTAATAAGTATAATATTTTAAGATAGCCTTTATTAGAGAATAAATCTATAAATATATTACTATAAATAATATAAATAATTAAAATAAACTTAAATGTAATTAATAACTTAGAGGAAATAAATTAAAACTTTAAGGTTTTAATTAAAATAGCTAATTACTCTATATATCTTATTTTTATAAATACTTTATATCTTATCTATAGAAGTTAAAATATTTATATTAATAAATAAGTTAACTATTAGTAATAAATAAAAAAGTATATTTTTAATAATAACTATAATTATTATTTCTCTTACTCTATTAAATAAATTAAATAAAAGTAATATAAATATAAATTAAAATAAGATATAATATTTTAAAACTAATAGAACTTAACTATTAGTTAATAAAAGAGGAATTATTAAATACTTTATATATTATATAGTTATTTCTTTATATTTAGTTTCTATTTCTTTTATTTTTCTCTTTTATATATAGCTTTAGCTATAGAGATATAAAATAAAAGCTATAAGAGATAATTAAAATAGAATTAAAATATCTATATATAAATAGACCTAATTTAAACTTAATTAGCTTATATAGGTCCTCTATAGAGTTTATTTAGGTATATATATTATATATAAGTTATAGATAGTATTATTTATTATTTACTCTTCTTTTAACTTATTTTATTAAAATATAATATATATTTATAATATTATTATAAACTCTTTTAATTAGGTCTATAATAACTTAAATAGTTATTTAGAGCCTACTTTAAGACTTATAGCTTATTTAAGGACTAACTTAAAATATTTTAATATATCTCTATAGCTTTAAGTATAAAAGTTATATTAGTTTATTATTAGTTAGTCCTATTAATACTTAATACCTATTTTAATAATAACTTAATTAATTTAACTATTCTTTAAATCTAATATATCTATTAAGTTCTATTTATTTAGTTAACCTCCCCTATTTTATTACTCCCTCTATATTATTATTAATAATAATTCTTTTAATTTAGTTTAAATATTATTAATAATTTTATTTTATTAATAAATATCTTTAATATTTTAGCTTAATATTAATTAACTTATTATTTGGTTTAAAATAAGTTTAAGATATATTTATAATAGATATTTAAACTATTCTTCATATTAAAAGCTTATAAATTTAACTATAATATTAATTTATATAAGGAATACTTATAGCTAATATATCTCTTTAAAAGAATAGTTATTATATAAAATATATATTTTAAACTATATAAGCTAATAAATCTTATTATTTAATAACTCATTAAGGTTTTAAGATAAATTAACTAATAAGTTATAATTCTTAATAATAGCTTTACTTTATAAAGGGTTTAAAAATATTAACTTATTAATAGAGATATAATAACTAAAGGGTTAAAAGATAATCTATAGAAACTAAATAGTCTCTTATTTTATATTATAGCTAATATATATTATTATTATTATTATTACTTTTAATATTATAATAAGGTTTAAGTTAATAATATTATAAAAAGAATAAATCTTTAAAACTCTTATTATAATTTTAATTAACTTTTATTTATTATTATCTATTTAATATAACTTATATTATAAAGTTTTTAATAACCTTATTAGCTAAAACTATTATCTATTTAATATAATTTATATTATAGAGTATTTATTAACCTTAATAGTTAAGTACCCTATTAGCTAAAGCTATTACTATTAAGCTATTAATAATCTATTTAGTAGTTATAGAGATTCTATTTACTATTATATAATACTATATATTAATATAGATTAGAGATACTATTAATACCTTATATTTTACTACTTTTTATACTAAGTAGATATAAGAGCTATATAAAGCGTAAGCTATATAATAAACTAAACGGCACTAGAACAGTCGTCATCTTCAGACTTCATAGTTCTTTCGCGGCTCCCACCAGTCTGCCTTGTCCGTTCTTGGCACGTTGAATGGCGGTGAGCCTAACTACATGTATCCTGGGGCTCTTTTGTCCAGCCCTTGTTTTCTTATTCCTGACCAACAGGTTTTATGAGTGTGGCCCTTGCAATTTGGTGCGATTTGATTGTACATGATAATCTTATTCCGCTGCCGGCAATTACACATCCGTACGGCACAGGAGACTCCTGGAGAACATAGACAATGCCCCGAATTTGCCAAGCCTATTGTGAGTAAGCTTATTCGTGAGAATGTGAAGAATCCATGGCATCGCTATGCCATGTTCTCAACCGATTCGATAACCTCAGGGCTCAGGCACACGTGCTAAATGCATACGCAAGCTGCGCCCTGCTCGTCCCTCTCGGAGTCACTATCAAATTACGAATCAGAAGTCTCTCGTAGTGGAAAAAAAGCAAAGCTCCGTCGGCGTAGGGATTTTCAGCCACGATTATGGGCGAAGGAATAGCACTAGTAGGGGTGGCGCCGCCTCAGCCAACGGGGTTGAAGCGCGAGCCGGGATCGGGGCAATTCGAAGCCTTGCCTAACCAACAACGCTTTGGGAACTTTGGTGAACTCGATCGCGAACCGCGAAGGCGAGAAGCGAATACTCGAATGGCAGCAAATTCGTCCGTAGACAAATTTCATGACAGCAAATTGTATATATTAAGCGGCCGCTCTTGTCAACATTCGATATCTCCTCACTCTCATCATCACTTCACCTTGCTTCTCACAGACCATTGAAACGAAATCCCGCCAACCGCAAGTCTTCGTGAAGCTTCCTTGAAATATCATTCGGACTTGATTTCATAAATCCTCGCGACCTAATTCACAGTCAAAATGGTCTACCTTCTTCCAACTATCGTCGTTGGAGCTCAGCTCCTGACAACTGTGCTGGGCCATGCATTGCCTCACTTCCACCCGCGTGCAGACAACGGCACCATCCAGTACCCTTACCCCGAGCTTGGCACCGACGCGCCAGCCGACTTCGCTACCAACGGCTACTTCATCAACCATCTGTGCATCAACGTCAAGAACCTCACTGCCAGTGTCGACTTCTACTCGAGCGTTTTCGGCCTTCGCAAGCTCTTCACCTTGCACGTCACTGAGCACTACTCCATCACTTACATGGGCCACAGCCACGGCGGCAAGAACGGGACTGGCTACCAGACCGCTCTGGAGTTGAACCGCGAGAAGAACAACGCCGAGGGTCTGATCGAGCTCATCCACGTCGACGTGCCCAAGAACAACATCGAGTCTTCCACCCAACGCCCCAACACCTTTGCTCACATTGGAATGGTCGTGCCCGACATCGTCGCCATGCAAGAACGTCTTGACACTCTTCCCGACGTCAACGTTGTCAAGAAGCGTGGTGACCCTGTTCCCATCGGTGGCGAGGTTTCCGGCGCTTCTGGTCTGCACCCCGAGGCTCTGGAACAACTCAGTGCTGAAGAGCAGGAGCAAATCAAGGCCATGCTTAGCCCTGTCACTGGCCCGCTGATCTTCGTCGCTGACCCTGACGGCAATCTCATTGAGATTCAGCCCCAGGAAGGCGCTGAGCTCGTCTGAGTCTACAGTGTCTGTGAAGACCCGGGGAAATGGTTGGAGTGATGGAATGGTTGCAACCGTATGTCTCATGTATTATGTTTATGTGTTGAATGTTGGTTATGTGGATCTCGACGTATACTGTTACTTCTGTTTCTTGGCTTCTCCTGTCCATATCACACAATGCAAATAGATCTAGTTCTTTTACTCCGACATCTTTCAGACTTTCAGCGCCAGTACCGTGGTTTCGGGAATACAAACCAAAGTGATGCGAGATCCGGGTAATTTGGTACAAGCCTGTGGAAGAATTCGGTCTATAGTTTCATGTTGACGGAAGGTTGAATCGGCATTAGCTAAATGGATCTGGAAAACCTTTGAGTAGCTGTAGTTCAATTGGTCTGTCGCATCTTGGTCTTCTATGACTATGCTGCTTAGCACGGATGACGCGTGAATAAGCTAGGTAAGGGGGCTTGAGTGCTTGAGAAAACACTCTTCAACTAATGCAATATCCTATACAATACAACGCAGCCACCTACCCTTATTGTTCTGGCTCGCCATATCCAACGAGTACACATCTAACATTCAGTATAGTTCAAGACACAGTGCGTTTGGTTGGAGCGCGAAGTTTCCAAAAGAACTGTCCCCAGTATGGAAGATCTGGTGATGGGTATTGACTGGGGCCAGATCCTGCATTGGCAGCCGCTTGAAAGCCACATAGCCAGCACTAACATGAGGTCATGAAAATTCGCCACAACCGCTCATTAAAGCTTCCCAGAAGAGCAGTTCATCCGGTATCCTCGGGTTTCCACTCCCCACTAGATATCTCCGCGGTTATTTCTTATTCGATCTCGTAAAGCCTCATGACGAGGAGGAAAATTGCCGTCCAGCTGTCTTCCCCGCACTCCGCAGGTCGGAGTGCAACCCCACAGAAGAAAACCTGGGGTCTGGGGATAATGTGGAAGTTCATGGTCATTTCGTGGATCTAAGGTAACCATGGATGCGGGGAAAGCAATCACAATTCGTTATTTGACCAGGATCACTCTTAAACATTCAACCGCTCGTTGCCGAAGCTATCTCTATCACGATGGCGTTCAAATTCGCAATGCCTGAATCTTTATCCTCTTCGAGCCTCGGCTTGTGTTGCAAAGAGGAGGTGAGCACTTAAATAACAACAAAATGCCGCCTTCCGGCGCCTCATTTGAGTTCGAAAGACTTGACTGATCGAAGTCGACGACCTTCAAGACCCTGCAGCGAAGGCTCTCACAATGCATTCTTCGGTTTTGTCCATCTGGGTTTCCAGCGCGTTTGCCCATGCGGCACGCGCCGCCGTCATCTCCCAGCAATCTCCAACGGATCTGACCGGAAGCCTGACAGTCGATACAACAGCCGGCAGTGTTACTGGATTCATCAACGAGACAGCCCCGGACGTACGCCAATGGCTCGGAGTTCCCTATGCAGAGCCTCCTGTAGGCGCACTTCGCTTCCTACCTCCGCAGCCCAAGACAGCCTTCGGAAACTTGACGACAACTGCGTACCAGCCGTCCTGTATGCAACAGCTCAGCAATTCTAGCACGCCGTACACCGATGTTGTACCAGAGTTTCTCATCAACGGTGGTCAGTCGGAAGACTGTCTGTACGTCAATGTGTACGCCCCGCTGCATCCTGTGGAAGAGAAGCTACCGGTCTTCATCTACATTCCCGGTGGCGGCTTTACTGGCGGAGGCGCAGACTCACTTTACAAGATCCCGGATCAGTGGATTCAAAGAACACAAGGCCACATCTTCGTCATCATGAACTACCGGGTCAACATCTTCGGATTTCCGAACGCAGGAGCTGCGTCTCAGAATGCCGGGCTTCTCGACCAGAGATTGGTTGTCGAGTGGGCAAGAGACAATATCGCGGCCTTCGGCGGCGACCCAAGCAAGATCACCTTATGGGGTCAGTCGGCTGGTGGTACGTCAGTCGGCATGTACGGATACGCCTGGTACGAGGATCCCATCGTCTCTGGTCTGATAGCCGACTCTGGTGCGGCCTCAATCCTGACCGTCAATGATCCCGAGCACGCAACCTTCACCAAGTTTGCGGGATTTGTCGGTTGTGCGAACCTCACTGCCGAGGAAGAGCTCGAGTGCATGCAGAATGTCGATGCAGAGACCATCCAAAACACGCTGAGCTTCGGCGGCACAGGTACAGCATTCAGGCCGGTTGCTGATGATGTGACTGCGTTCACCAATATCTCTCAGCGTCTTGTGGATGGAAAGTTCGCAGACGTAGTAGGTTTATTCTCTCTTTGACCCCTGAAACGAGGACTAACAGCTTTCAAAGCCATACATCACGGGGTCAAACTCCAACGAGGGCGCATCCTTAGGATCAACCTACGACCCGAACGGTATGGTTCCGGGCCAATACGAAAACGGTTTGAGATCCATCAACTGCCCGGTCTCTCAAGAAGTGGCGTAAGGACACAAAACCTGCTATTCTTTTGTGTATTCATGTCTAAGTTGTGTGACTAGAAACCGTGAGGCAGCCGGCTTGACAACCTACTACTACGAGTACGCCGGTAACTTCAGCAACATTTCGCCTCTTCCATGGCTCGGAGCAATGCACAGCGGTGAGTAACCATCTTTCTGGGGCTTTACGAGTTTTCATCTTGACTGACTTGGTTTAGCTGAGCTTCCCCTGGTGTTTGGAACCCATTTCCAATACCGCGGCAACTCAACAGAGTTCGAATGGGAAGTCGCAAGCGCGATGCAAGGTACGTTTTCTCCTCAACTCATAAGACCAAAGCTAACAGTAGGTTGAACCATAGAACTCTGGCTCTCGTTCGCGGTGAACCCATCTCAAGACCCTGCGACCGCGGATGGATTTGTTTGGCCCAAGTACACTGCGGAGGTGGACAGTATGGTCTTGTTTGCCGCCGAAGATGAAGTTTCTCAGTTGCAATCTAGTAGCATTCTCGCAGAACAATGTTCAGCGCTGTCGACGGAGTAAGCCACCTCATTTTGTCACATTCAAGTCGGTTACGTTTGTTGTCTACCAGCAACAATGCCCAACACCAACAGAACATAGAGAAACAACATGAACTGGAAAGTCCAAAAACATGAGCGACTTCCTCCGGAATAAATCGAAATGCTAAGTCCCTTCGGTAACTGATCATTTACCATTTCAACGGCCTGCGTAACTATCCTGCCATTCATCTGTACTCTCAGTCTAATCCTCCTCCAATTCCATCCATTCATGATGGTCTCTGTCTTCGATATTGGAGATCGAGAGCACGCTGAAGCCGCCCGCGATCGTCAAGCTCGCGGATGAAGTCAGAGAGTCATGCTCTCTGTAGGTTGGTCGAGCTTTCTTCCGGACGATATCGAAAGTCTCCTTGCGAATTCTCAGGAGCATCCTGTCCACCATTATCTGTCGATGTTTGATACCTTCTTGTCCGTGCCTTTCCAGTACATCTGGTACACGCCAACTGAGGTAGAGGTTCCCGTGACTTTCACGATGTGCCACTCGTGATTGGTGTTCTTCGAAGTAGTAATGACACAGCTTGCATGTCGGCTTGCTGCTCCCAATGTACGTCCATTCGTTGAAGAACCTGTCCTGCCGGACGCCTCCGCTTGTTTCAAGGTGATTCAAGAGGAGCAACTCGGAGTGGACAACTGGACGGAAGTTTGGGTTCTGATACTCTTGTTGAATGCGGACATCGAGTTTGAAGAGTTGCAAATCTCTTACAAATCCTCTGAAAATTTCCATCTCTTTCTCCTTTCTAGTCATGCGGCCGACTATGCTTTCAGCTGTTTGACTTTTCACTCTCCTAGGCGCGCTGTGAGCTTGACTGGAAGGGAGATACGTGACGGCGAAGTCCTCAAACAACTGAGGCCACGAAGCCTTTGCAAGGAAGAAGAACTCAATGGACTGGGCGTAAGCGAGGAGTCGTTTCGACATGTGCCACATTTCCGCCCAACAACTCAGTGAACTCTGATCCAGAAGGCGAATACCTCGAGCTCGAGACCTTAGCTTTTGCCCAATTTCAGACTGTTCTAAAACTTGTAGATGTTGTATGACAACGGCACAGCCATGAAGAACTAAATCATGTCGTCAGCTATGGACATGCACATGGACACACTATAGACGTACATTCATGTTCTGATGTCTGGCCGTCATTTGCGAAATCCAGAATCCCGATCAGGACATTGAGGTTTTGCGCGATCTGGTTTTCTAACTCATGGTCAATTTTGAAGTATTGGTATTCCAACTTGCGTAGCCTACCCAAGTCAAAGTTTTGCCTGATCTTGTCTTCTGTTTTGTTGTCAGCTCTGGCGTTTTAGTCGTCCTCAACTGCGTTTCCTACCAGATTCCTCGACTATATCTTCAGGTGTCTTCAGGGTCGTCCTCAAACATGTTTCGGCCTCCCGATAAAGTGTTGTAAGGTAAAAGCCGACCCTTCTGCGATTGAATAGGAGTATCTCGCGCAATAGTGTGGCCTTGGTCAGCTGGACTTGCTGTTCCGATGTAGTTGCTCCAATTTTCTCAAGCAATCTTTGCATGTACAAAATCAAGACATTTGATTCGCTGTCTTCACGTTGATTTGAAGCAAAACAGTAATTCAAATGACCAGTATCTCGGGAGCTCAAAATCATGAGCGATGTTACGGTATCTCCTCCTTTGGCGCTGTCGCAAATATGTGCAAGCTTATTGACAAATGCTTCGAACAGTTTCCTAGGGTCGGTTTCGAAATCGTAATCGTTGACATCAACTCGCTCTGAAACCCCTTTGTGGACAAGCTCTATGTTCAGTGACTTCAGAAGCACTAGAGGTTCGTAGAACTTATGAACGACTCTAGATTGCAATGGAACCACCAGTTCCTCTAGTGGTAGAAACATCAAGTTAGTCAACAACAATTCCAATCTTGTATTGAAGACATGCTTACCCATTTTGTTGCTGATTAATATGGTCTCCGGAGTCTGTACCATAAGAGGGAGTTGAAGCTCGCAGTTTAATCACTGAAGCGGGACATCTGCTGCTGCTAGGTGAACTTGAAGAAAGCCCTCTAACATAAATAAGACGTGTGAGATTCATGAGTCTGGTCGTGCTTCTCTTTGCCCCACCGCAGCATTCGATAAAGAACGATGCGTCGGATGCAAGAGGCCATACCCCCTTCTTGATTAACTATGGTGGGGGCCAATCATGAGCACTTCTCCAAGAAAGTAAAGATGCCCTATCTTGGACCTGTTGCCTCATTGGCAGAGTTTCTCAAAGTCTGTTGTGGCCTTGAACTTTCCCCTCACCTTGCTTCTTGAGGTTAATCTCTCGACTTCGGGCTGATGACGTTTGAGAAAGACCTTTCCCCCACCATCTGGAATTGTGAAAATACCAGGACGTTGCCCTCCGCACCCATTTCTGGGATTCACACCAGCTACTACGTCGGATCCTGTGGCACGAATCTTTTGATGGCACTGATAATCTGCGACCGTACGATTCACGAGGTAGACCACATGGCCTGCTTCTCGACCAACTCCGCATTGCCAGATGTTGAGCCTCTTCTTGATGATGCGTGTTTTGATATAAGCTTCACTCAGTCAGGTAGGGCCGTGTTCTTGGCAGCAAACCTGGTAGCTCTGACTCGTCGAAGACACAACCACGACCGCTCAGGAGGCAGAAAACGAGGCTTTTCCTCTTGAGCACGGTTCCTTAGAAGATCTCTGGGAAGACTGGGAATGGGCTGCAATATTCCTGGACAGTAATCTGTCTACAGGATCTCTTTTGGAGTCACACCTCGACGAGATTCCCACTCATTTCGGTAGCGTTTTCTCAGAGTTCCCAACGGTGACAGTTTCAGACGTCAAAGACGGCACGTACACAGAAAACGAACCATTCATGACATTGGCCGTTCCTGAACCTGGGCCTGGGTTGGCAGCTTAGTTGCCTAACCTTACTTGTGCATCCGGCCTCGACTCCCATGCCCTTGGGTTGGCTGGTTGCCATATTGGCCTTGGTGGAAACGCGTCAAGTTCTGGACTATTGAGGTCTGTCAGCCATGGTTCGGACGAGACGAGCACTTATACGGCAGGCGAGTCGTCTTCGGGCTACCATGAGAGACACGTCGGATCCAAGACATCTTCAGACAGATCGCGTACAGCCGATGTACTTTGCTGCAACAAGTGGTATCGTACCGGGCATGCCTTCAAGTACGTTCATTTCCACCACCTAAGAGTGAAACGGATTTGCTAAAGAGTCCTACAGTAGGCACCGGAAGCAACATACTCGCCCAGTCAAGTGTCAAAAATGCGGGCAAGGATTCGCTGCGACAAAAGAGAGAGATGGTCATTGTTATCGACACCACAAGATATGGGCAAAGCAGAATAACATACCCGACCCCAGGCGTCGCTGCTCCGCTTGCCGCCGGAGATTGTCCAAGGCCTGGTATATCAAGAGGCATCTGAAGCATTCGCCTGATTGCAGAGAGAAATTACACGGCTTAGAAACGAAGGAGCAAGTCATTCCGTTGGACAACTCTGATCAGGAATGAAGAGGATTATTGATCGTTAAGGCAATAGAGATGTTGACGGAATGGCCTCACCAAATGCTACCAGACTGGACTAAGACTTAGCGAAGAAAACTGTATGTCGAAGACAAGATAAAACATTGTTGACAGCTCATTATACTTAGGACGGCCCAAATACAAACTAGGCTGCATGACCATTACTTGAGTAGAAAGGGCTTGAAGGAAAGTGAGACACACAGCAATGATGTCGGTGAAGCACCAGATAGTGGAGTTGGCCACTGTGAGGGCGAGCAAGGCGCACGTGTTAAACTCGCACGATTGAACGGAGCATCATTGGTTGTTTGAAATCGCTGTTTAGACAGCGCCCCACGTTTATCGGTCAATGGATGAAATGAAACCAGTCTTGAATCGTGTTGTTGCGACATGGATAGTAGCTCCGGCAAGTTGCATGGGAGCTTCTCAGACCCTGACTCGGCAGTTGGAAAGCTGGAGATATCGGCCCAGAACCCCGGGACAGTTACCCATATCCATGGAACGGAACTCAAGCAGTGGAACCATCCATTTATTCGAGTATTTTCCATAAGCGTTGTCGATCTCTGCTTACGATTTGGTCGCGTAGAGACGAGTCTGGTGAGAGCCGCGATCAATTGCATTCTATATAGCATTATATACCTTACTTGAATCTTGGACGCAATTGAATCATCAGCGGGACCTTTTCCCACACCAAGTAAGTTCCTTGCTTGTTCCACCAATCCAACTCTGGTTCAGCAAGTTCGAGGTCAAAGTGCCACATCATCTTCGCCATCGTCAAGCGCATCTCAGCGTAGGCCATTCTAAGTATCCATTCGGTTAGTTGACGCTCCTGAAGAGCACAGCAACATGGGGAGGACGTACGCTCTTCCGATGCAGACTCTTTGTCCCATGGAAAACGGCTGAGCAGCTGCTTTGTCGTCGTTGGCGAACTCAGGAGGGGGAGGGTCCAAGTATCGCTCGGGATGGAACTCGCGAGCCTTGTGGAAGTTGAGCTCCGAGGTTCCAGCTGATAGCTGGTTGACAGCCACACCCATACCGCCCTTAACCCATTTGCCATCGATAATCTCGCCTTTGCCGGGCACGAACCGGGGAAGCGAGCCAGGGGTGGGCGGGTACATTCGCATACCCTCGTCCAGGCAGGCGTTGAGGTATTTGCACTGAGCTGTTCCCTGCATCGAGATGTCATCGCTGGAGGCGAACTTCTCCCTGATCTCCTTCTTCAACTTTTCCAGCTTTTCGGGGCTGCGAAGGAGCAAGTACGTCAAACCAGACATTCCTCCTGCCGATGTACCACTTCCCGCGACGATGAAGTTGCTTGCCAACATGACCAGTTCGACCTTGGATAGCTTCTCGACCGCTTCGTTGTCATTCTCTAGAATGAAGGACATGAAGTCTTTGCCTGGGTTCTCGGCCTTCATGCGCCTTTCGAGCTTGGCCTCGGTGAGGGCGATGTGGTTTTTGCGCGACTCGGTCACGTATCGTGGGGTGAGCAGGTTCAGCAGCGGGAAGAAGCCATACCAGACGGCCAGCTGAAACCATACGATCGCCTTCGCTCTCTGCAGAATAACTTGGATCCAGGGCTGGTCTGCGTTGTCAAGGAAGCCGGCGGGTTCTCCAAATGCCAAATCTTGTGTAGGACGAGAAGTCAGCATGGTTCGTACGCGGCATGTTGCTATCGGCACTCACCAGAAACAATGTCAAATGCAACCAGGTTGTACCACGTCGTCATGTCAACAGGACCTTGGCTGGACTTCTCTTTCAGAATCTTGATCAAGTTGGTGGAGTGGCTCTGAAGGTAGTGCTCCTGTTCTCTCAAAGCCTTCTCTGAGAATGCAGGGTTAATGGCGCGGCGAAGTCGCAAATGCTGCTCCTGGGTCTCGGTCATCAAGCTCTTGCGTCCACCAATGCTAGGCGGAGCAATACCGCGACCATCGAGGGCCTTGGGAAATTCAGGTTTGCGTTGACCATAGATCTTCTTCCAGGCGGTTGATGTCGTGTATGACAATTCATCGGGCGCGATGCGTACGACCGGACCGTATTGGTCATGAAGCTCGCGAATTCGCCATGTGATTCTCCCTTTGAGGTTGGTGTAGTGCCAGGGAACTCGAGAAATCGCCCATAGCTTCGGGCCCGGGTAGTTGCGAAGGGGGTGGAAGTACAAGTTGTAGATGATTCTAACCAAGATGACGTACGCCACAAGCTGTATGACTATGTCAGCTTCTTTCTCGCATGTGTTCCTGTGATATTTGGTTATGGGTACTAACGGCGAAACCGACTCCTTTCAGAACATTTGGGAAGGTGAGAGGAGGCGGGTTAGCCAGGAGTTCCTGAAGCTTGTCCGCATTCAAATGCTGCTGCAACCGATCCATGACTTCGACTAACAGACTCGACGAGGCACTACAAGCTTGCCTCTACCCCAAAACTCGCTATCGATGAGTTGAACTGTAGGGTGAACAGGAAAGAAAGGCGAAAATTTCCTCCAGCAGTCAAAGACGGTCGGAGCATTGAGACAGAATCTTTATTTGTATGCTCCCAGGCCGGACCGCCCTCCACAGCAACAGGGGGATCCCGCCGGCGCGTTCTAATCGGACAGATTCTACTGGTGCTCTGATCTGCTGTGGAGAAGCTCTTCGCGGTGAGATATCAATCCGCGCAGCTGGGTGATGCCCGAGCTGTTGGCTCATGATGTCAGCCAGTGAGCAGTGATTGTGCCAAGCACGTGGGATGGTCTTCGGAGCACGTGTGGAAGCTCATAGTCCTGGAACAACTGAAAAGGGATGCTTCAGGGACTTTTCAACGTCCTGATCCCAGCTGACGCACCCCAGTGAGGAGGGTCCTGGGGACCGATCATGACTCTCGACCAATCTCGCCAAGATAGAAACAAGCTTTCGCGTCCAACGTGCTGGGGTTCGCAGTGTGGGGAGAAGTACCCATCCGAGACGTGCGAAGAAAAGGCCAATCAGAACCCAGCTGATAGACGATACTTGAAGCAAAACGGGACCTTTGGGTGGATTTGGTGCTTTCAGGAACGCTCAGTTGGCCGGCTGTCAAAGTGAAGAAACCAGGGTGAACCTTGGGTGCGGTTCCTGAACGCCTGTGCAACTGACTCCGGTTGTTGCGGGTCTCCTCCGACAATCGGATTCAGGATCTGGACCCCAGCAAATGGGTCCAACGTTCCTGGGGAAGGGAATTGCTTCTATCTCGATAAGAAAGATCTTACTTTCAATCGTTTGTTTATTCTCTCTGTCGTTACAACTTGGTTGACGACTTCCTGAGGGAGCCATAACAGCATCTCATCCCCCGAAACTTGGCCTCCAGGAAGAACCTTTCTGAGACTGGAATTTTTTTTTCCCGACTACCTTCAACATGTTGTTCTTATTCAGATAAGCTGGTTGGCGCGCTTTCTGCGAAAAATTTCACGTGAATTTGCGCCGCAATTGCTGAAAAGCAGAACATGTCAAGGACTGATGTTTTGCAACTCAACACAAAGTTGTTGTCATCGCTATGGAGACGTGGCTGAAGAATTTGAATATGACACTAGGAACTTGGCGGTCTTTGCATTCTTCAATTCAACTTGTATTCTCGGCGTATTTTCCTGACTCCACGTTGATATCTGAAAGGATGCTTTATCTCCGCAGCTAACTTTTATCCCGTTGGGTGATCTTCAGACGCCGCTACCATCCAAAGAGCCACATCGAATCCATACAGAAAGGTTGTGCTTCCAGATCTTCTTTCTAGTTCTGCGTGTTGTCGGGGGTGGCGGAACTTGTGCTTCAGCCTGGCCTCAGTGCTGGTGGCCTGCTGAAATCAACTATCATTGGGGGCAGTGTCTCCTGGGTTGCTCGCCGTTGTTCTCTCGCTGCAATTGAGCGGTCTGATGGATGTCGATGTATGCGACCACACCTCGAGCAACCTGGTCGACTGACTTGTGATCCCTCGCGGGACCTGACTCTCATCGCCGCCTTCTTCCGCATCCTCTCCTCATCCGAGTAGATCTTCACGATGTGGTCGAAAGCCAGGTTGAGGTTGTCTTGGGCTCTTTCGATCCGGATATGACTTCTACTCCGTTGCTCGAAGTTGTAGTAGCCCCGTAGGCCGAAAGTGTTGTCAACGTGACAGAGAGAGAGGTAATCGAGTGACGTGATGGCCACAAGAAGTGGTACCAGGTTCAGGCGTTGAGCGGCCCGCCCATACGATTGTCGCATGCTGAGCCTCCATTGTTCTTCGTGTAGTTCGATCTTCTCGCCATCTGTAAGACCAAAGCGTTGACCCCAGTACGTCAAGGATTTAATCTTTTGTTGTATGGCTGCCTCTGGTATGATTGAAAGCGGTCCTTTGGGCTGGAAGCAGTCTCCTATTGTCTTGGCGATGTCGGTAATTACTGGAGATCGTGTGTGTATGTGTGTCAGGTTCGGAGGCTTTTGGGCCTGTATGGTAGGAGGTTGAGGATGGCGTATTGCTGAGTTGTGCAACTGTGTCAAGGCTTGTTGGGCAATAGCTTGCATAAACTGGAAGATAGGTATGTGTGTGACAACACGAGAGAAGGTGAGGAATTTCACGTTCAAGGGCAAAACGTTCTCTTATATATAGGTATTTGCTGAGTTGACATGGGTCTCTGTACTTAAGGTTTGCTTTCGACATGGACGGAATACCAAGGTACCAACTACTGAAGACTCATTGTGGCTTGTCGCGTATTCAGATTTGTCTGTTGATGACTCAACAGACAAATCTAGCTTGGAAGCACAGAAACCTTACTTAAACTGCCATCAATGACTCTTCAAGGTATAAGCCGGAGAAAGGGTAGGGCTCGCGACCCTGTGTGAGCACTGAGATGGTTGATTACAACTGGAAATTGTTTTATGATGGTATCGTCGCCGTTACGCTTTTCTGCTCGTGTTATCCATGTCTGATTTGAACTCTAGCCTCCAGAACTGAGATTGGCTACGTTCGAGGTTCTATCTGCATGGCCAAAACCTAGCGCATACTAATCTCTCCGCCCGAATCCTGAGCATCTGGCTCGACCAAGTCTTCATCTCTTGAGACTAGATGAACACCCTGATGGGTGGCCGCCATGCTTCGACCTCCCTAGCCACGAGAAGTACCCCCCGCGCTTCCAAGAAACCGCTTCCAGCCGTTTGATGGCTTCTTCTCGGATGCCATGGGTAAGTTTCCATCCTCACCATCGTCGGAGGCCATATCCATGGGCTGATGGCGCTGCGGACCGTGGCCCTTTCGTCGGTAGTTACCCCGGAAGAACTGATCGGATTCCAGACCGCCAAGGTTCTCCTCCTCATTGCTCATCTTCTTGGCGATGTACTCGTCGCGGAGTTCGTAATCCTTGCCATTCTTCTTTTGGCCGACGGCTGTTCCCTAGATAGCGGCGAGAGGCTTCGAAGAAGCTTTGATGGTGGACTTGGCGGATTTGGCGAGAGACTTGGTGTCCATAACGGCTTTGAACTTTTGGATCGAAGTTGTCGTCTCGTCAAGCTTGGTTTTGATGTGAAGCGGAAGCATCTTGGGTCTGGAATGTGGTTAGTGATCTTCATCCAATATGATTGTTTTTCTTTGTTGACCAAGGGAGGTCAGTTAGGCAGGCGCGTGTGTTACCTTGAGATGTGCGCCGTGATGGCATTGTTCAATGAACTTCCGCTTTTGACTGGAGCAACATCATCGTGAGAGATGATGATAAAGCCCTCCGATGAGGATGAGGCGCGCAAGCGGTCTGCCATACTGCCTGGTGGTGGGAGGAAAGCAGGGTTTTTGTTTGTGTCGGAGAAAAGTCCAGCGGTTTTTTTTGCAGTGAAGAGTTTTCTTCTTAATGGCGACGGAAGGAGCGCGCAAGTTGAGGTGAACTGAAAACCTCAATTAGCTCACGTGACGTTCTCCGTTAAGGGCTTTGTTCAACTTGACTGTAATATCCTTTTTGCTCTAGTGTGACTGTGACTTGAGCCTTGAAGTTGAGTTTGAGCAAACTTGAGGATCCCGCTGTTTACCACACGATGCTCTGTGCCACCATGGAACGGTAATGTCATCCGCAATATCATACGTAATCAATTATGCAAGTTTCAAGAATGGGATATTTTGCTCATCATCATGGCTCTTCAAGTCTGTGCATGACATGTAGTTTATAGATATTCCTGGCAAACATACAAGGTCGCAGCTTCCTAGCCCAACCTAATTCCAAGACGGTGATCAAAACGTAGCATTCACCCCGAATATTCCAAAAACAAGAGCAGTGCCAGACATCTACAGATACTTTGCCGAGTGAGCCCAAAAGCGCAGACTCTGTCTCAAACACAGTCTACCTGCCCAGAGCTGTGAACCTCACACAACCTACCTAGGTACGCTACTAATTATTTGACATTAGAGTCAAAAGACCTACACTGCTCTCCGAAGACGACTAGGTAAGAGCGTTATATTGGGAAGGAGCTTTTCGTGCTCTGTCGCTCCTTCTCTTTTTCAATGCCAGCGTGCCCGATCCACCCGATATATCACATCACTCTCCTCTCGTCGCCTCCATCAATTCTTCTCTTTGTCCACCTCCTCTCACCAACCCAGCCTAGGTACCTTCACAACTTTGGTCTAGCCCATCTCGCATTGCCCAATCCCTTCAAATTCAGCCTTCTTGTCACATATCTCCCATCAACATCACAACAAGCAAGTGGCAGAATGTCAGAGGCTGCAGGTGCGGCTTCAGGAGCAAGTTCTGACGATCAGAATCTGCTGCTCGCAAGCCACCTGTCTTCGAACCCCCTGCCTTCCTCCATCCCCCGCGAGAGTCTGTCTCCGACTGACGCTGCCCTCTTTCAATTGCAGGATTTCCAGTGGGACGAAGAAACTGCGAAGGACTTTTCGCAATCTGTTGACGCATTCCTCGACGGACTCGAGCATCAGTCATCCGGACAGCCTGCGGCCGATACGAGTTTGGCTCATCACCAAGTCGCTGAGAACCCTCTTCCTGAGACCGTCGACCAGCTCGAGGTGAACGTTACTGGAAACATCGCCGACCAGATTCCCACCCAGTCTTTCAATCAAGTCGCGGCGCAACCTGCCGACCGCACATCTGAGCAGCATATCGACCAGGCTCCTCAGTCGACCACTCCGCAGACTCCTGAGCGGATCCAGGGCCAAGTCTCCCAGCGAACGCCCAAGCAGACTTCTTCGCCCCTCTCTACGACCTCCTCCTCCGTCCCGAAGATGAAGGCCTCTGCCCATGAGGTTGAGCGCTTCAACGACAAGGATGAGACCACCGGTCGCCCGCGACTGCAGCAAAGCTGGATCAACTACGCCCTGCGCGTCATGAAGTGGGACAAGAACGGCGAAATCTGGCACCCTGACCTGCGACAGAAGATTTTGGACGACTTGGAGCATCCAGTCACTGTTCACAACCTCACGGTCTCCAGGAACAGGCTGTACAAGAGTCTCACTGCCTTTGCTCGAGGCAAAAAACAGCAGTACTACGAGGTGGACTTCTGGGCCATCCTTTTCCGTAACGAGAACGGCCTTCCGGAGGTCTGGGTCGACGGCGAGAACAGCGATCTGGTTTGGGCGTTCTCCGACGTCATCAATGCTATCGTTGACCATGAGTCTACGGCGTCTATCATGAGCAACTACGGCAAGACCAGGAACAGCAAAAATGTCTTCTACTTCCAGCCCGGAAGCGCGAACACCCTGAGCAAGCCCGCCAATGCCCGTACTGTCCAAGGACAGGGAGGCAATCCTCAGACACCCAAGAAACGCAAGACCGAAGATCGCGACGCCATCGTCATTGCTAGCGACAGATCCGATGTCGACGAGTCCCCTCAAGAGAAGAGGCGCAAGACGAACAGAGGCGCGTACATTCAATCGACCGTGGAGAAGAGAACGCTTCGCAAGAGAAACAAAGGCGGAAACGAGGCAGTCGTCAGCGGGGACCAGAGTACCCAGAAACCTGATCACGACACGGAGAGTGAGATGGAGAACACCAACACCGGCAACAGCCAAATCAAGAAGACCGAGTCTGACACCGAGCCCGACCCCGAAAGCGAGGAAGGAAGCATGGCGGGTGATGATGACGACGAAGACGACAGCGAACTCATGGACTCTTGGATGGTCGAGGCCTTGAAAGCGCAGGAGGAGAAGAAGGCCGAGGTCGAAGTCAAGCCCAAAGTGACTGTCAAGCAGAAGATCGAGCAGCGCAACAATTTCTTCAAGACGCTTACGAGTATGTCGAAAGAGCACCAAGACATGGCATTCCGTACCTCGGTTCTGGACATGCTCCAAGGCCTGGGTGTCGATCCCACCACCAGCCTTTCGAAGCAGATGAAGAGATACAAGACGACTTTCGGCGGTGACGAGAAGCAGAAGCTAAAGAAGTGATGGACATGAGCAAGTCGAGAATATGATGAGCGGACGGACGGAGACAGATTGCAAGTTTTTGAAGGCATTGGAGTGGAATTGCAGGCATCGGTGGCAGATTGGAAGTTGAAGTCATTTGGAAGGTTGGCAGCTTGACATACAATGCTTTCTTTGGAGTTTTTGCGTCTTCGCGCGATTACCGATTTTCGTCGGAGATATGGCCATATTATGGGCGAACTGGTTACCCGGGAAGATTGGTTTACCGCGGCATTTCGATGGACAGTACTTATCTTTCGCACATTAGTACAGACAATGAAGTTTAGGCGTTACTTGATTTAAATCGATTCCGCTGTCGAGGCGGATCTGAAAGACTGGTCAGTTCAAGTGAGGCCGTAAGTGGGTGTTGGAGTAGCTATTGGAGCGCGAAAGAACAAATCTCTCGGCCCGCTTCGGGGACACTTCATCTCAAGCTCATCCAAGCAAAGTCGCAGATCGTCCGCCCATTCTCCCATTCAAGCAGGTCTTTCACGAAATCAACCATGCAATTCGGATGCCAGCGGGCCGGATACCTTGGCAAAAGACCTCCGCAGGCAAAGATGGGCGGAAAAAATAAAACGCCCTCGAGCCGCGTGATCAATGATCAACCAGGACCGAGACCGAAATGAGGATGGCAGCGGTTCATCTGAATAAAAACTGCCTGCTCACTCTATTCCGCAAGCGCCGCAGGTCGTCCGAACAGCCCCCCATCTCATTAACGTTAGCTGATAAGGTTAAATCAAGAGCCGAGCCAATATAAAGCAAACGAACCTGCGGAACGCCGGTCCAGGAACGGAAGTCGGATTTAGCGCGTGCGGGGGAGCGTTGCATGTTTATCACCCCCCATTGCCGGGACTAAGAAGCATGGAAGCCGTGAAGTTCGACAGATTCCACAGGGAGACGGCCAGCCCACCGGGCCAAGAAGCTCGTTTGAGTGTCCAGCGTCGCATCGAGAAGGAGTCGGGGTCGAAGCGAGACGCCACGGACAAATTAATCCGGCCCCCTTATATCTCGTCAATAAAGTCCCGATGGAACGCTCGGTTCGTTCTGGCCACCGCCGTCGTCTCGGTGGACGTGGTCGGACGATTCGCCGGCCAGGAGAGGGCGCGAGGAAGGACGACGGCCGAAAGAGGAAAGTATTCATGGATGGCCTTGTCAGGAGAAGAGAGTTGGGATGAGATGCGAGGCCGGGTTGAGGCAGGGATACGTGATCTGCCGAAGGCATACTTAAACCTCCGGCCATGTCGTGTCTTCATGAACTTCTACCTTCAGCCGTCAGTGAGATACCCCCAAGATACCCAGCGTTACCATCTTCTTCTTCTTCTCTTCTTGTCCAGCCGGAACTGCACATACGTCGGCATCGTAAAAGACAAGCACCACTCTCTTTTCCCATCCACTCCATCACCATGAAGTTCTCCATCATCACCATCGTCGCGGCCTACGCCGCCGCCGCCCAGGGCGCCATCACCTGGAACCTCGAAAAGGCCGCGAACCCGACCGCGGACCAGACGGACGCCTACAACAAGATCGAAGCGGCGATGCGCCTCGCCGTGGCCCGCCACGCCCGCCTCGGGTCCGCGAGCAAGTCCCTCCGCGTCTACTACGCGCCGGGCGTCCCCACGGCCGAGGCCAACTACAACGGCGACGTCCGCTTCGGCTCGAACCGGTCGTACATGAACGAGCGCACGGCGCTGCACGAGATCTCGCACACGCTCGGCGTGGGCCAGACGGCCGCGTTCGACCGCAAGTGCGCCGCCAAGGACTGGGCCACCGCGCTGCCGCTGCTGAGGTCGTGGGACGGTGCCTCCGCGACCATCAGCTGCGGCGGCTCGCACTTCTGGCCGTACGGGTTGAACTATGACAACGAGTGGAGCGAGACGAACGCCAACCGCCATGTGCAGATTGTCAATGCCATGATCAAGGACGGCATGTAAAGGGCGTGCTGTGGTGTTTGGGGTCGAATTTCTTGTAGATATTTATGTTGTCGAATGACCAGTACATTGCCGAAGCGATTTGTTCTTCTCCGTGCCATTCTCGTTCCAGAATGGGTGTTGACAATCGACTTGCAGGAAGGGACGGGAGTGATGCAATTCCGATCCATGTCGGGAGAAGAAAGAAGGTGACTTTGCCGCCAGCTGGCAACAGGCGGTCACGCTTCTGTCACGCTTGCGCCAGCTGACATGCGATGAACTGAGCTTATGTTCGCAAGCCTTTGAAGAATTCCCAATGCGTGCAATATGTCGCATGGCTCATTTTTTCAGGTGTCTTTGTTTTTGAAAGTGTTCTGTCTATCTATGAACTGGGGGTGTTGTGAGCGATCATCCGGCCTGGAAAATGCCAACTCCCAGCCCGAGAACAAGACATGCTAATGACAGGCCCTAATTGTCTACGGTCGGCGGTCTTGACAGGCGGGCGGCTCGCTGATATCACACCTATTCGTCTTCATCATCTCTGTCCAACGGTTCGTTTTTCGTTTGAGTCTGCGCTCCGTTTCGAAAAGGATCCTAGTAACGACGATCTTCTTTCTGGTGCAAAATTCCAAGAAGTCGCCGAGCGCAATTGAGGGTTCAACTAAGGCAGCTCACCTTACCCAGGCTCTCCAGCGCCGCCAGCATTGACCCTCATCTCACCACTTCAGCAGCACGCCACATTCCCATCATGACGAGCAGCATCTTAACTTTCCAGCTGGGAATGAGAAACAAACAATATTTCCGCCGAAATTTCAAACTCAATTGATTTGTACGAATAACACAACTTCGAAGCCAGCAGTGCATTTGATCATGTCTAGAGATATTCACATCAGCCTCCGACCTCGCTAGGCAGCATCGACTTGGTCTCATGACCTGCACCATTCGCCAGTCATGCCGTCACAAACCTCCGCGTCAAACTGTTCGATCATATCTGGGCGCATTGTCTGGTAACAATGCTTCAGCCATCCAGCAACAAGTTGAGTTGAAGAAATCGCCCAGAGGCCGCATCGCAGAACTCCCGCTGACGTGGCGCAGGATTACTCATCTCAGGGGCTTCAGACTCCGCCATAGCGCTCACCCTCGATCCACGGCCTCATAAAGAACTCATCGTCAACATGTTCTAGCACCCACGCCAGACGAATAGACCCATTCTAGGCAAGAAGTTTACAGCCTGGAAGACATCGATTTCCCCGCCCGCGATGATGACGCTCCGATCCGAGAAGCCCTCCCCATCCGATCCGGCCGATGGCTCGGGAGAGCGCAGGGCTATGCGGGCGGCGCCCCCTCAGCTTCCGCCGGAGATAATTGACGCCATCATCGACCACATCGACAACCACATCGATCTCCTCTCGATGGCATGTCTATGTCGCCAATACAGCGAATACGCACTCAAGATTTACTACCAACGACACTTTCAATCGCAAGGCCTGTCTTGGATTTCGCGCCTCCTTTGGCCCGGGACGCACTACGACGATCCCCTGAAGGACAGGCCCACCCCGGAGGATTCCGCGACGGCCCTCGGCATGCTCAGGAGAGGAACCCCCTTCTGCGACCCTAACGAGATCTGGTACCATCAGCCGCCCGGGACACCTGACATTAGCTACCTCTACTTCCGCTGGAAAGGCGGCATCGGTACCGGTTACTGCTTTGGCCGGTACCCCATGCTGCACTTCGCGGCGTACTCCGGACTCGACGACATCGTGGAGCACCTGGTCGAGAGCGGCGCCGACGTCAATGCGACGCCGACCCAACACACGAGCGACGAGGATGTCGTCTTGTCGCATCTCACGCCCTTGTTCATGGCTGCGTACGGCGGATCCGTAGAATCCGCCCGAATCTTGCTTGGCCATGGTGCTCGTATCGAGATGAGCTGGGTCGCGGCACTCCAGAGCGGCAAACCCGAGATGGTCCAACTCATGATCGACAGCAAGCCTGATTTGGTCCGCGACCCGATCACCATCTACCGCAAAACGATGAATCCGTTCAGCGCTGCTCTCGACTTTAGCGAAGACGATCCCGTCCCCGTCATCGCGACTCTCGTAGCCAACGGCGCGGATACGGCGTACGTCAATGCGTACAACCGGAACGTGAGTTACGCTCTGGTATGGTATCAAATCGACTAAACACGCTGACTTTGGTTCAGGTCCATCAACCGTTTAGTTTCGCGCAAGGTCTAGTTGGAGTCGCTCAACGACTCAGCCGAGACGAACCAGAGACGTGATCAGGACCGCGCTACTCTTACATCTATATCTACAAGGCACGAGGCGACTTCACACCTCCCACTGCCCAGGCCAAGAGGGTCATTTAAGCCAGTCCAGAACAAACCGACGGGTGCTCAATGGCAAGCTTTGCCAAACTTTCTCAGTCTGTGGTAGTTGTACGGCAGAGGAGCAAGGAACCCAGCAGCCACAGAAACCAGCGCAGCGCCCCAGAAAGCCGGGTCATCCAACTGCACCACGCCGCCCGTGAGGTGATAGTCCACAGCGTTCTCGGCCAGCTCCATGGTGATCATCGATATCATGCTCATTCCCGCCGCGGTCTTTGCAGCGACCGGCCACGAAAGCCGGTCCTTTCCGAGCCTGAGCAGGACAGTCTCGAGCAGGAGGGATGTGGAAAGTCCACTCGCCACTGGGAGAAAGTCAATCGACGATCTTGTAGGAAATCGCAGGAGACCGGTGAACTTACTCGAGATTCCCATCACGACTTCTGTCGCCATTTCTGGATGGAAAGCCTGGAGGTACCACATCGCAGAGAAATCGCCGAGGGTGCAGCCGACCAAGCAGCGGAACGTGTTGACGCCTGCGCGACGCCATGCTGGCTTGGAAGTCCAGAACTCTCGGGATAGCAGTGAAGGCGGTGTTGGCGGTGCTGCTTTCGATTTGCTGCAGCAGGAAGATGGCGGTTGGGGTTGCGACGAGGACGAGGTAAATCTCGCGCAGAGGAGATGTGCTGCCGGGATGATGGTTTTGCTGGGTCGTCGCTGCACAAGACGCACCACCCGAAGCAACGGCGAACAAATAGTCATCTTGGCAAGAGTGCGGTTTCCTCCTACCACAAAGGCTTTCGTGGGAAGCAGCATCTCTTTGCGTCAGGTTTGATGTTGGGGGTTCTTGTCGAAGGATTCCAGCCGAGAGATTTGCCTTCCTTCATTGGCCACCAAATGAATGACTAAGCCAGCTTTACCGAGCCAGTCATCTTCGATCATTGGCTGTAGACCGAGCTCACCTTCCACGCCGAGTGGTCATTCCCCTTTGGGACAGCGGAGTGCTCGGTAAGAAGGAAGCAACGGCCAACGGCTTCTCGGTGTCTCGGTGAACACCAGCGACTCCCTCTCTCCTCTCTCTCTCGACATCTTCCGTCTGCCACTCGACAAACCATCTTCTTCTCGAACATACTCAATCGTCATTTTGGTCACTCATTGCTACTCTACTACATCTGACACCAACACAAGTACTCGACATCCTTTCTTCGATCCCCGATTTCTTGATTCCGCCGGAGCTCCTCTCGTTCTCCCACGTCGTCTCCTGCTCGTCATTCCCGTGGCGATTTACCAATACGCCTTGGCCCATCCGAGCCGCGATCGTACATCTGTGATTATGATCAGGTAAGCTCTACCCCCTTCCGGGCTCTCCCCCGTTTGTAACGTTCCACACCATGAAATTCTAACACAATCTTCAGTCGACCGAGACTGCGCATGCACAAGCAGCGCCACGAGCGCCGACTCAGACTTGCTTTGGCTACCATAGACGAGGAGTACCGCGACCTCAGAAACTTTTCTCTCAATGCCATAGCATCGCGAGAACCGAATGCGCCCCGGACACGTACTCGAACTCCTCCGACCTGTGAATGCTGCTTCGTTATTGCACACTGCACCGCACTTTGCGCGTACTGCATCGGCAGAAATGCTATGATCGCTATCAATAGCGTCGGCAGAGGCCTGGCCTAGCTGGCGAGGCTGACGTATGAGTACGCAGAATGCCGCGTCGGGGTAGAGGACTTTCTACACGGTGTATCCGAGGACTTGGAGTGGGAAGAACAGGACTTAGAGTGGGGAGAAGAACAGGAGTGGGAGTAAGAAGAACAGAACAACGTCCCGATGTGGAAGCACTTCATCGGCCTTTTTACTGATCGGATGCCCGAGATTCCGCATACGGTCCTGCATGACTACCTTTCGAGAGGGATGGACCTGTAGAGCACCCTTGCGGTATTCTGTGTGACGGGCTATCAGTGTGTATTTGTTGAGCGATTGGACCTATTGCCTTAGCCAAGATATGTTGTACAGCGAGGGCTTTTGAGTCCTGAATAGATCAAACAAGCATCCATCCCCCACATGGCCATCGAACATCCCATACTGTCGTCCAAAAGTAGCCCAACTCTTGAAGATGCCGTTGAAGCACACCCTGGGTCCTAGAAGAAAGCTGAGGCGGTCAAGCGATCCTGGAGCGCATTGTTGTACTTCGCGTCCCAGCCATACTCAGACCGAGGGAATAGCGCCAATTTCCTGCCAAAACCTGTCAGCCTTACAGGAGGTCTCTCTGTACATAGAATTGATCAACTTACTTGCAGAATCTCTCCCACTCGCGGGCAATGTCAGTCCGAGGCCGGTTTTCCCCCTTGCGGCCCAAGACCTTCTTCAACTTGAACTCGACTTGCTTGCGCTCGTAATCGTCGAAGAACACATCGACGAAGAGGTTCCTGTCAAGGTCGTTTTGCATCTCCGGGAGGGAGCCGACGAGTTCCGCATGAACTTCCTCCAGGACCAGTAGACACGCATACTCCATTCCGTAGAAGTCGAAAACCATGTGAGAGACCTCAAGCTGGGCAATGGCAAGGAAGCCTTCGAGGAACTGAGGGACGGTGAGCTCCCTGCGAACTGGCTTGTTCATGCCCTTGAGGCATTTTTCGACGTGTTTCTTGATTGTCCGAGAGGTGGCATTAGCGCTGATGCCGAAGCGTCCTTGGGTTTCCCCCTCTTCGCTGGGCCGCTCGTACTGCCAATAGACTTCGCTCAATACGGGAGTGGGATGGAATTCGCGACGAAACCCAGAAGTGTTCCTCAGACTGAAAATGCGGTCTGCTTGGTGCCAAGACATTGCTCCCTTCTCAAACGTCTCCTTGTTGATTGGCAACTTGCGCGGAAAGTTGAACCTCGTCTCCTTCATGACTTCGAACAAGGTGGTCTTGCGGTTCTTTCTAATAGCAGTTAGCTCATTTGACGTGCCACCATTTGCAAAATAAAACCGATTCTCGCAGATCTTAATATTCGTGGGACGCAGCTCGCCGTCGGAAAATATTTCGCGGCCCTGCATCGTGATGAGAGCCTCCATATCAGCCCACTGCAACGGCCAGGAATTCTTCGCGCGAGCGTAGTTGTAAATGTGCGCCATGGGCATGAGACACCAGTCCCAGCTGGTGGTATGGATGATACCGCGCAGAACTTTCTGATAGGGAATGAAGATGGTGAGGCCGGCCAAGACGGGGTTAATCTTGATGCACTCCTTGGAAGGGAAGTTGTCTTCCGGCCTAAGCCATGCCAGCTTTCGCCCAACGTCGTGCTTGTTTTCCCTGTGCAACTGGTTGTCGGGTGGATCGATGTCGTAGAAGTCGTGAGGGAACTTTCGACAAAAAAGGTCGTAATCATCGGTGACCATGGCAAACAGGCCGTCCATCTTGCGCAGGTCCAGCATGATGGTGCTCAGAGCCACCGTTGTAAGATGGATGCCTTCGTTCTGGGGCTGCCATAGGTATAGCATCAAGCGATCGAGCCGCCAGAAGCCATGTTTCTCGCGCCCCCGGGTCAGATGGACGGAATGAGCCTCCAGTTCTCGAAGCATCTGGTAGTCCGCATCGTCGGGCCAAAGGCTCGGCATATCGGGATGCTTGGCCTGCTCAGCCAGACCGACCATCATGTTGAAAGCAGGTGCCATCAGCCACTCCGACAAGAAATCGACGTGGGGGTTGCCGACATACGGGCGGAATTCTGACTGGCCACCGGCGGGCTGGGAGTCATCTTGGACGCATGGTCCGTCCTTTGCCAGACAAAGATGTAAATGATTGGGCCAGTGCGCCGTGCTGCCTTTGACAATGGCAGCGACGATAGCTGGCATCAATTGCAACTCGGGGTTGACCTGACCAAAGTTCTCGTCCATGATTCCGATGCACTCAAATGCCGCCTCGGTGACGAGTGCAGCGGAAACAAGATCCAGCTTCCGGGCTTGGTAGTTAGCCCAGATTCCCTGAAGATAAAGGCGGATTTCTCGAATATCGTTGAGCAGGCAGATGAGTTCCACGCCCGAGTCGTCGATGAGATCAAACAGCTTGTCCTTGGCGGTCGGGGGTGAGGGGGTTGCGGGAGTGGCTGGCTTGGGCCGGGGACCTTCAGGACCGGTGTCCTCGTAGTCCTCCACGTTGAGAAGGCCGAACTTGTTGGTGAAGCTGGGATCCGGAGCCGGTGCGGAAGACGGAGGGGACGGGGGACGGGGGCTGCTGGCGGAAGGAGCAGCAGGGAACATATCCAAGATACGATCCAAACAGTTGGTGAAGAACTTGTGACCGTCGTCCGTGGCGACCGCACTCTGGGAGCCGCCCGAAACATAGTACTTGCCGACCTTGCGGCGGAGGTCGATCGCCTGCTGGAGGTAGGATCGCTGAATGGGAGGCATTGCGACCGCGGCGGACTTGCAGGCCTGAGCCATAGGCAAGAGATGCTGGGTGCAAAGGCCAGTCGCCTCGCGCGGGAGGAGCTTGGGCTTCATGATCTTCTTCGACTCGCTGAAAAGCCAGTTGAGGAAAAGCTTGGTGTTAGCCTTGTACCGAAGGTACTGGCTGTGGATATTGGGTGGCAGGATATTCGGCTTGTCCTCCATTGTGCTTGACGGACTTAAGCCATGAAAGATGGAAGCAGGAAGTCGCGATTAATGAACTGAGCTGATGGCGATGTTTGCAAGGCGATGGCAGTCGACGGCAGTGATGATGTGGTTGGGGAGAGAAGGTTGGCAAGAGTGCTGTGGGTTGAGAGTCGCAGAAATTTATCCTCCTCTTTATTCATCTTAGCAAGAGGGTTTCTACTTCTACGTCTCCTTAGTGTCTCTTTCCTCTTCCTCATCCTTTTGTTTCTGACTCACTCCAACACATGGTTCGCTGCATGAGGACTTCTCCACATCATGGAGTGCTTCATCGTTTGTTCTTATTGAGAAGCGTTTGCTCCAGAGAGGGGTCGCGTTGCATTATTTTTGTTGCGTTTGAATGGGGTGCCTGCGTTTCGTAGCCCGTCTCAAAGATCAAGACTGATGGGAGTGAAGCTGGACAGACTCATGATCGACAAATGCCTACGTCCAGTCTACTGATCAATACTCAGAGTTGTCGAATGTTTTACCAATTGGGGATTTGGACATGCTTTCAGGTGCTGCCCAGTCATGTGCCGGCTGTCTTGCTGATGAGTGTGGTTGCACAACCTTTATGCACAAAGGGGACCACTAACCATTTCCTACCTACAAAGCCTTCTAATAAATTCAGGTTGCACAAGTTTATGTAATTAATCGTCTGCCTCGTCAGACTGTGTTCAGCTTCCAAGAACCATCATTGGCAAGATTTGAACCTCTGGCAACTGACCCAGAGAACATTGAAAAGAATGAAACACTTGTGACTGCCACCTATCCGGAGGAAGGTGATCTTCATCGTTGCATCGTGGGCTTGAGTCAGACCATAGTGATGCCGCCTACTCGTACGGGTTAATTATCTTGGTGTTTTGCGAGCATCTGACTTGAATTGGGCTGGGCCTTCTAATAGGAGGATTGCTATCGACCATTCCGGCGTTGAGAGGCAATGTTTCCAGGGGTGTCTGCAATGCAGAAGCATGATTAACTCGATTACCACCGAAACGTTTCCAGCTTCTGCATCAAGTCAAGCGTTGTCTCCAAGAGTAGCTCCGAAACATCTCCGGCAAGTGATCATGAACATGAGGGCTCCCCTGGCCACATTAGCGAGTATCTTTTGGGTTCTACACGTCCCTTCCGGGTCATGTCTTCTAAGGCACAAGACGCGATGGTTCTCTCATGAGCTCACTTGAAGCGGAGAGCTCGGCAACCGCATGTAAATGGACATCAGGAGGGAGCATGAAAAGCTATATAAACGCAGTCGGTTCTTGCGTTTTCCCCAGTATACCATCTACGAACGGCATCAACAACGTCAACATATCAATCTTTTCTTTATATACAAGCTTCCAGACGAAATCATTCAAGATGGCCCCGACTTCGAAGCAGGCAGCCCTCTTTCTTTTGGCCGTTCCTCTGACGGCCGCGGCCTCGAACGAAGCTCGCCAAGCCTCTTCGTCTTCATTGCTCGGCCCAATCAACTTCCAGATCCCCAGCATTCAAATCGACTCCATTACTGTATCCCTCATAACTTTCGCGGACGAGGTCATCGACATATCTGGAATTTCCATCTTCGGAAACGTCAATGATGGATCCATGAACTGTACAGCCAATACGGACAATGGCGATGAGGTGGTGGTTGGACCGGTGACTCTCCCTGAGCCGGGGGGTCTGCGGATCAACTTGTCGTTGATCACTTTCGGTGATGAAGTGATTGACTTCTCCAACGTGGCTATTTTTGGGGATGTAAACGATGCGGGCTGTGAATAAGAAGCGACACTGGTAGACGTGAATCGATCTCTGAGTTTGGTCCGCAGAGTTTGTAATTATTGGTTTCTCATAGATTGTTATCCATGATCCGACTTCACTAATGCACTTGATCTTTCCACTTCTGGTTGAGTGATATCCCAAAATCGGTCAAGTCTAAGCTGATTGACTCTCGGCATATTGCATGAGGTTCACATCGCACACCCGGAAAGCTGCGGAGGAGACTCACGAGACAGGATGCCAAGACTGTGACATCCCGTTCAGGCCGCCAAGTGCGTCAACTAGGGTGAGAGGCCTGATCATTTCACCGTCAAGTTGTCCGTTGGGCATCACTATGGATAGGAGCCTCATTCTGTTTGCCGGATGATGAATAATATGTCCAATCGACAAGCCCATATGCGCAGTTCCGGTCCATGTTCAAACGGACAATGCGACATAACGGAAGAAACTCCGTCGTAAAAGCGGCTTTTCCTGCTGTCGGCCGTACACCACGGAAGCCGGCGTGCAAACAGTCGCAGCCTGCTCCGGATCACTTCTCAGATAATTCTTGACAGGGTAAATGCCAAGACCCGTCATGCGGAGGGCTACCAAAAGAGAAATATCAGCGCGGCCGCAGCATGCAGCGGCCCGGGTAGATTCAACCTGGGAGTTGCCTATTGGCTCGGAAACCCGGCGATGCCTGGTCATCTTCCACGGCATGGCCCCCCGCAAATGTCACCATGCAGATATGGACCCCAAGAGTGACGCGTTACTCTGTACCCTGCAGGTGAGTGACGTGAGGTGCATGCATATGAGAAGACAAGCCCAATTATCTCGAGCATCACAATGGCCGAATGGCAAGTCGGCATCCCGAGTCTCAGAGCCAAGGATATGAAGTTCGGTTTCCCGGTGAGCCCGGATTCGCAGTTCAAACAGATCAATCACACAGCATTTGCCATATTCGGAAGAGAAACTTTCAGTATTACAAGGCGTCCCTGAAGAAGGTTTGCTCAAGGCTCGGGCCGTCACCTGCTGCGCCGCTCACAACATCGCACCCATGACCTGGTTCCGTTGTCAATCGTGAGATGAACTTTGCTCAACCGAGGTAGAACCAATGCATAATGTCGTAGAATATGGTCTGTATGCACATTATCAATCTTACAGTAGACCGAAATATAACTTGTTCGGGGTTCAAGCTGAAGAGAAATGCCTTGGGTAACATGGTTTCCTACTTCTATTACATTTGACTGATTCTTCATTCTCTTCTTGAATATCCATCATCTGAGCCAGTATCTATTGCTGTTCAAAATGCTATGTGTAGTAATATTTAAAAGCAAGTTTTTAAGCATGTGTAGTGTCCTGTTTCTGCCGAAATGAGCTTGGCAGTGTCACTCGACCAAAAATTGGCAACCATCCTGAATGCGTGACCGTTGCCGCCTTCGCCAGAACAACTCATGCAGAATTCATACACGACCCCCGTACGGCTTCCCAGCTAATGCATTCTCATATCTCTTGAAGAACCCTTAGCCTCAAATAGGCCCCCAACCTGCCGAGCCACTTGCAACAAGTGTTGGTCTCGAAACCTCGAAGTCACGAGAGACAGCCCCACTGGCATGTTGTCCTCGCCTTGGAACCCGGGAATGTTGATCACCGGTGAATGAAGGGCCTATGAAAATGAGCAGATGCCCAAAAGGTAACTGTAAATTCTGACTTACCGTCCACATGGCGTTGAAGTCAGAGCTGCCGGTCCCTGTACCCTTGGGAGCAACGTCTATGGCGCTCGGTGTGACAATGGCAGTATACTGGTCCGCAATATCGTCCATGATTGGCCTCAAAGCTGCAATTCTATCTAAAGCCCGCAGATATGCCTTCTTCGAACCGGTGTGTGAGGTTCGAGCGATACTGGCGAGATAGTCACTGATCTGGGACCTCCGAGTGGTGTATTCTTTGTGAAAAGCCACACCAATCTCAGCCTCTAGAATCTCGTTCTGCAGAGAGAGAATATCGTCAAAGTCCGATGGTAACGTGACGTTTACGACCTGCGCGCCGGCGTTGGTGAGGATCTTGGCAGCTCGCTCCATAGCCGCCACAGTACCCGGTCCGGCAGTTGGCCACACCGGAGATTTGACGAAAGCGAACGTGGCCTCACTCAGAGATACCGCCTTGCGTGGTTCATCATCTCGGAGCCCGAGAACATTAGAAACATGCTGCAAGTCGGTTACGCTGCGAGCCATGACCGCAAAGGTATCTAGCGTCGGCGACGAGACTTTCTGGCCTTCGGCGGAGATCGCATTCCAAGTGGGCTTGAAGGCATATACACCAGTGAAAGAGGCTGGTCTGATCGTGCTTCCCACCGTCTGTGTGCAAAGAGCGATGGGTACCTGCATACTTGCCACAGCTGCTGCTGAACCAGAAGAAGAGCCTCCAGGAGTTCTGGAGATGTCTCTCGGGTTTCTTGTTCCTGGACCTTCAAAGGTCGCAGTAAACTCTGTCGTTGTCGTTTTTCCTGTTCATCGGATTAGCAAAGTACGCGAGAAAGTATTCGATCGCCTACTTACCCATGATAAGAGCACCATTCCGCCTCAAAACGGCAACAGATGCTGCGTCATGAAGAGGGCCGTCGTTCGCATGTATCGGTGATCCGTATGTCGTGGGAAAGTCTGAACATACTCATGAGCCTGTGACCTCTCATTACGACCGATCGAACTGCTTACCTTCGGTAAGAATTGCGTCTTTGACGCCAATGACGAAACCATGAAGAGGTCCACGTTGGTCTCGCGGAAGCTTGTCGAGACGTCTTGCTTCTTCGAGCACCTTGTAGGGTTTGATATGTGCCCAAGCTTTGATGCCTCTGTACTGATCCTCGTTCTCAAGTTGTCTGAGAAGTGACCAGACGTATGTTTCCAAAGTGATGGAGCCGGATAAGATAAGACGCCGGACTTCGCTTGCTGTCATACTACAAGAAACGGAGTGCTCCATGGTGAAGTATGGCCGAAGGAAACAGTTGGGACTAATCTCGGCAGAATGGTATTTGACCTGGAGGAGATCCATTGCCGCGAGACTTCTGCTCCTCCTCAGACGCCTTCATTTATACTCTCGAATTGTGCGTGGCCCGCGTGGCCCGCATGATTCCCGACTCTAAACTATATCGCGAATGTGTAAAGTGGTGGAGATGAAAGTCAAGTATCTCGATCCTTCCGATATTGAAGCATTTACTTGTGTTGGTTTAGCGTATAATCCATGGTTACAGATTGGATGTAGAAGTTCGGCAAGGACTGTGATGCTACCTACCGTGCATGCATGATGCATGCGAACGTGTGTAGTCCCCAGAGCCCCCAAATCATTTGCTAGACCGGGGGCCAAATGTCGCTCAACCGGAGTTGATAACGGCCGAGAGAATTGACTAAGCATATTCCACGATTGCCTTTCCAAGGCCGGATCGGAAGATGCACGGTCTTGGCAACGGTTGTCTCCTCCTTTGCTCCATGTCCACGGGCCGTCCATGTCCCAGCGTAAACCGGGCCGCATCTCAACGAGGGACACAGCGCACCGGGTCGCGGGCTGTAGTCATCCCTGTCCATAGCATGCGTCTCTTACCATGCTCTTTGTTTCCCATTATCTCCCTTCCACCTGCATATTCTTTTCTCCCACTTGGAACACCTCCGTGCTGCTTATAATAATACGATGCAGAAGGGCTTTTCGAACGATGATGTAGTGCTCCAGATTCAGCAGTGATGTTAATGTCCTAGTTGGATTCAAGAGGATGTCATGATACAGCTAGCATTTGTAGCCATGATCTCGGAGCAGCAGTCAGTACGTTTATTTTTATTTTTTTACCGGGCGATCGCTTCATACATGTAGACTTTTCATTTTCAGCATGCACGAAGATTTGATGCAGCACTCCGTCGAAACAGAATCAATGTTTGATTGGATTTGAACTCAATGTTAACTCGCGGGGTATGGCGAGATCTCGAACCGAGTCATAAGAATAAGAATTGCAACTGTTTGCGCAAGTCTCACCGCCGGATAAACCCAGCGAGCCAAGAAAGGCATAGCAGGTCTTGAAGTTGTGTCTCTACAACTCCGTTGAAATGATGTCTTTGAAGTATGAGATGGCCCTGGAGGATATTGTGCTTTGGGTGGTCATCGTAGATACATAGATCGCGGTTGAAGACCATTCTAGCCCGATGCAGGAGCTTGATGTGGATGATACGTGTTCATGTTTCGTGACCATAGATACAAGCAAGGCTTTCAGCGTCACTCCCTCCTAAATCCTTCCTCTAATTGAACTTGCGATACCGCTGTCTACTCAATCCAGCAATTTTCCGAACTTGAACCAAATGAAAAGAGGGTTGTGCAGATTTTGAAATCATATGTGCTTGAGTTACTACTAATACCAAGTCAACTCGCAGAGAGCGGGAAGGGATACACTCAAAAACGCCACAGGCAAAGGAAAGATCGCAATTGTTGCCTCATCACACCATGTAATGCGGCAAACTTCCTGATGTGGGTAAAACGCGACAAGTTCGACGATACGACGAGGTGATGCAGCCATGTCTTGCAACACAAGTTCCTAAAGGTCAGACTCAATTGGCCAGGAAAGGGATTCTTAAACCCGCTCTGTAGCAAAATCCGGCGCCATAAGCGACGAACCGGTCTCTCGCATTCTTGTCTTCGCCTTCCCAGTGTAAGACCGAATCCGGGCACATATTCCTTCATCGCACCGCTGACTGCGTGCCAAGGCGGGATCTGACACGAGATTCCCGTCTTTTAGCGGCCCAGAGGGGCAGTGATGGGGAATTCATGCTTGTTTGGGTAATGATGGAAGCAAGCCCTCGGCATCTGAGCATGCTGACATCAGCACGGAGAATCCTTCGTTCAGAGTCAAGTGGCCAGGGTTGCACTTTACTGGCTGTTCTTATAGGTTGAGACCAAACTATTACTTCTTTTGATAGTAGTTGCGTTCGTCATGGTGGGAGCCACTGGGAACTGGTGGGTTGGGTTGGATTTATAATGCCGCACGACGAGACTCATCGGTTGAAGGAATGATAAGCTCGGCTTATTCGTTCGTTTCTGCCTGTATCGTTTCAAGCTACCCAAGTGATATAAACAGGGTGTTTCCCGGCCTCTCAAGCCTTCGTTTGTACCAGCAAGTTCTGTGTCAACGTTCGCGGTAAAAACTATGACGAGACGCAAGCAACCCTCAAAACAAATGGAGTTTATTCATGTAATGGCCCCAGCAGAATATCAAAATAAAAGGCAACATCAGTTCCGGAATTCAAGTTCAAAAGCTCCGAGGGTTGTATATCTACGGCCACCGATATATATTCGAAAGCTCCCCGTGATGGAGCCCAGATACTATGGACCGAATCCGGACGTCAGAGGTGAGTCACTGATTCCGTTGGAGGTGTGATCGAATGTCGACTAAAGGTTTTGCTTAGCCCTGCGAAAGTTACAGCCTAGATATCTAGCAGTCCCAGATGGGGTTAATGCAAGAAAAACGGTTCACCATGCGATGCTTGTACCACAAACTTTCGCGCAAACACCGGACATCCCGCAGCAAAATCGAACAGAGAAGGAAGAGATAAAGAGGGACGAAGACTATATGGTGGGCAGAGACGAAGACGAGGACATAAAGTAGACTCAACTCTCCTAATAACAACAGTCCTCGATGGGTATTTTTCCTTTGCAAGTACTCCGTCACTACCTCTACGGTTGCTCTCGCTGCTGGTAGCTCTAGCATTGAGCTTATTATCCGTCATTATTACTAGCGAAGTATTCGACTAGGCATAATAACTGTGGAATCGTGTTAATGATGGGGATGAATGATGGGGATGAAGATGTGGGATGATCATCCTTGTCCAGCCGGCACAAGGGCCTCCTCAAGTAGGGACAGTCTGGCCTGTCTCCGCAAGGTCCTCTCCTTCTTAAGGTTCTCAGCCGTTACCTTGAGTAGGGCTAAATTCTGCAGCAGTTCCATAGCAGCCTGGAAGCTTATTAAGAAACTTTTCTGAATATTGAATGTTAAATGTGTACTCGTTGGGTATGGCGAGATATCTATAACCAGATTATAAGGGTGGCTGCATTGTATTGCGCGGCGTATTGCATTTGCTGTGGAATCGTGTATGACACAGGCAAAAATTGAGGGTATTATTGCACATGTGGTGTCCTCTTCTTTGTTCTAATCCTCCCAAACAACTTGCATCTTTATGACTAGACCTTCAAGTTCCACGACACTGACTGAGCTGGTCCTCAATGACAACATTATTGCTGCTATTTCCGGCTCATCGTTTGTTATCCGAATCTCTTGACTCTCCTCGTGCCAGGGGCCTCGTCAATCTGTGTCCGCAACCTCAATATACGCGCGTCTGCGATGGCTTGGTGAGATGGCATAGCTCTGACGTGATAGAAGCTCGTGGATCTCGAGCTCATGTCCTTTTGTGACAGCAGCGCCAGAGTCATGTCCGTATTCCTCCCGATTCTCTAGTTCATCTATCTCCATGACCGTACTCTGCGTGCTGGGTGCCTCTGGTTGCATGTGTGTTGCTGAGCGCGACTCGTGTAAAGGACTAGGGCAAGGACTCTCCACAAGAATGACTTCTGTATTCCCAGGAATCTTGGGGTATCCCAGGTCGTAAGGCGAACCGACAGTTGTATCAGGTCCTACGTTATCGGGCTCTTCTTCTTCCAAGCTAGCCGCCTTGCCAGGAAACTCCAAATGGAATGCGTTGGCGGCCAAGCGCAGCAGTACTTTTCTGTTTGCGTCTGCCCCAGCTACATCGTGAGGGACTTTGCCATCGAGAAGAAAACCGAGCGTCACGAGGACGTGAACGCCACAGCTACTCCCGTCCAACTGGCGGGGGGAAGGCTGCGCAGCCAACGTCAGTCAAGTCGACCAGCCGAAATTCACTGGGCAGTGCTTCAACTTACCACCTGATGCCATGTGAAGTCCCTGCCAGTCATACCATTCAGCCACGGGAGAACCCGTTCCTCGACCTGAATGGAGATTAATTCGCTGTTCATTGAGTCGTAGTGCTTGAAGGTTGACTCGAGCAGGTTTATTTCGCCGACTGTCCAGTGTTTGGGATCCTCGTGGTGCATGACCGCCAGGATGCGATGGGCTGTCGAAGCGGCCCTTGGGAAATTGGCGGGCAATGCCTCTACCCTGAGCCATAAAGGATGCATCAACAAAGTGTGAGCTGTCGAGATTCCAGTCTTTTCGGTATCGTCCTTCAAAATCTTTTGCAAGACATCGATGGTGTCACCTGTAAGGCACTCATGGGGGTCGTTAAGCTGGCGTATAGCAGTCCGGTATTGTTGGAGTCGGTCTTCCTTCAGAAGTTCTTCGGCTTCGTCGGCCCGTGGACTCTCGAAGTCGTCGATATCGAGGCAGATTGATGCCCCGGGGCCGAGATTGGCTGGAATATGACCTACGGACGGCAGGTAGAGGTCATCATCATGAATGTAAAGAGGGTTGGAGGGGTCGCAGTTGCGTTGTGAATCCGCATTGACCCTCGAAGTTTCGTCGGGTACAGGGTCGTTTGCCTGAGGTTCGTTGAAAATATCGATGTCGCTCTGGAAATTTCTGTGAGTTAAGTCGTTAGTGGGAGCGTGAAGAAGTGAAGACAAGATCGATTGGTTGCTAACCGGTCTTGACGTATCTGAGAAGGTCTCGTTGTAGTCATGCTTTCAGTCGCAGGAAGAGACCATGGGTAGATTCCAGCTGATCTTTTATCGTGATGGGTATCATGGATGCCCTCGAAAACCGGCATCTCTATAGAACTTTTGAGGGATGATCGATTTCGCTCGGAATCCCCGTCGGACGGCGCGGAGGAATCCATCGCCATCCCAGCAGACAGCGCTGGGTTCATGGAAAATGAGCAGCAGGATGCTAGAGAGCGACGCTTTGGCGAATCCAGGAAAAATCTGCAATGAAGAGAAAGGAAAAGTCCAGGAGGGAACAGATTGAGGCTCCGGGCGAGGCGGCAGGGACTGGCAGGTGGGGTGGGATGGCAGAAATGAGAGGTACGTGGTGTGAGGACAAACTAATCGGTTTTCAAAAAGCAATCAACGGCCGTCACTCTAGAGATTTCAGAGCCGAAAAAGTGAAAGGGTTGCCTTTGTGCCCCGGGCCACCTGTTTGGAAGATGACATCTCAAATCAGAGGTTCTAAATAAATGTGTACTCGTTGGGTATGGCGAGATATTGACCAGATTATAAGGGTGGCTGCATTGTATTGCGCGGCGTATTGCATTTGTTGGAAGATGACGTTGGGCTGGTGGTCTTCATCAAACGTGAAGTAAGTAGTGGACCTCTGCTAATGGCAGCCTCATGAATGAGCAGAGTATGTATGTGCTTAAGAGTCTTATTCAACTTTGAAATAATTCAAAATTCTTACAGCTTCTGCTTCAAATAGTCAGGAGAGGAGGAGGTAGATGCAGCGGTCGCAAACCAATCTGCGCAGCCTTAGGGGCATTTCGACTTCGGCTTGTGGAGTATTTCATGACATTATCAGGCATATTCCTTTCTTTTCATTGTTTTCTTTCATTGAGCAAGTATGGTAGCGCGCATAGTCTGAGAAAGTGCAGTACATCAAACCACAGAGTCCAGATTCCTAGCAAAAAACATCATCCCACGCCCATACGCCTTACAAGCCAGTTGCCGGAGGCACATATGCATCGGCAACTTCCTCCAGATTCTCCAACTCCACAGAACCCTTGGGTGAGATAAACGCAGCAACAGCCTCCTCAATCTTCTGTCTCTTCGTCTCCCGATCGTTGATCTCGATCTCGATCAACCGCTTCTTGCGGGTAAGGTCTCTCAGCTTCGCCTCGATGTTGGCGAAGCTTTGGCTGTCGTCGGACGAGGCTTGAGCAGCTTCCCAGGCATCGTGGTCTCGGGGGTCCGCTTGTCTGGCTTGGATGTTCTCCCAAGATCGGTGAATTTTGATTCGAAGCTCGTCCATCTCGAGCTCGACTTCGGTCTTCCGATCGTACGCGTCAGCGAGCTGTTCATGGGACTCGCGAATGTGCTGAGACGCCACGGCGATGCGGGCGGCGATTTCGGTGAGGTCTCCAAGCTGAATATCCACTTCTGCGGCGTGAAGTTCGATTGGGGATGGCGCGACGTGTGACTCCTGCGTTGCCGACTCCTGTGTTGCGCCTGGGAGGTTGAAGTCCGTTCCTGAAAATGGACGACGAGGGTACGCGTCCGCGCTGGTTTCGACTTCAGCTTCAGACTTCAGGGTGCGCCGGTGACAGTCTTGAAGTTGCTTCGCCTCGTAGTGAGCAAAAGCCTTCGAAGTTGGTGTGCGCTCGAGGAAGTCTCTCAGCTTCCGCTTCTTGGCGTCTTTGGCTTTGACATTGGGGCTCGGGCTGGGGGTCGAGTCGTCCGAATGAGGTCTGTAGCCCTCAACGTCGATGATCTCGATCTTGGTTTTCTCTTCCACCATCTTCTCCGCATGGTCGGGGCGCTCTGAGACTTCGAAGCGACGTTAGCAGGGACAAGCTACAAACAAGGAGCAAGGGGAGAGAGTGGCCAAACGCATCCGTACCTATGGAGCCCTCTGCACGGAACGAACGGTTTGAGTGATCGTAGTGGATGATCCTGGGCTTCTGCGACTGCTCAGAAGTATCGGACTCAGCTTGATGGGTACTGCCGGGATGGAGATAGAGTGGGCGAATGTTAGTCGGTGAGCTGGATGCGCCAGCCTGGCTCGGAGCATGATGCGCGAAGGCCGGAGAGGATGATCCCATGACGCGAACGTTTCGGCTTCCGGTTGATGATTTTTGACACTACTGCAATCGCCGGACCCGCGAATACCAAGAGGTGTTTTGTTTGTGTTTGGCGAGAAATGAGTAGGGAAACTTGTGCGAACAATGACGATGTCGCCTCCGAGTCTCTCAAAGGTTTATGAGAGGCAAGGCAAAAAAACGTTTGTGAAAAGTTTTCTCTTCTGCAGAATTCCGTGAGAAGGTAGCAACATTGGAAGGAAAGAGCGGAGGGTGGAATACAGAGGCAGGTGCGCCTCTGGCTTGGTCTGTTGCGCCTTCTCCCTGAGTAACGCTCATTGCTGGAGTAACAAGACATCACATAAAGTGCTTGAGTCGTCTATAAAGTGTTTTCAAGTCCACGTAAATTTAACAAGGAAGGTGGGAAACAATGGTTCGCAAAGTGTTGCAATCGCTATTACATAGATGCTAGAAAAATGGCCAGAAAGTATGGTTGAGTTTTAGTGAGAGGAGGAAAGGAAGAGAAAATGAAAGCCGGAATAATATTGAAAGATACCCATCAACAATCAATCCAACTATTTCCCTGCCCTCGGGACAATCAAGAGCAAGAGGACAAAGCCATAGCCAGGCGGTCTAAGTTATCCCTGATACCTTTAGCACATTTGAATAATAACCTGATCTTCAACATACTGGACCAACTTCAACGGATAACTAAAGACAATGGTCAGTTTTAGTGTGCTTTCAGTATGGTGTAATCTTACCACTTAGTTGGTTGATATCGTGGCAGTGCATAAGGATGCATGCTAGGTCCTCTTGTGAGTCACCGGCGTTACCACCTACAAAAGCTTCTAAAATCCCATCCCAGAAGTGTTGCATATTTACCCATCACAATCATATCTTAGCATATTTGCATTCGTAGAAGTTCAAAACTACAGCAGACCTGATCAACGAAAACTCATCATCATCAACACCACGCATGACTTACCATCCAAGCCATTTCAGCCATGGTTACAAAGACTCATGAGACGACTCCCTGCCAGAGTGATCGCAGGCAGGAGACGATGTTTCTTGACCGCAAAATTCTCAAAATTCTCAACTCTTTCCTAGACGAGAAACGGGCTGTTAATCAGCGGACGAAAGACCTTCTCTCCAAGGTAGGGGACAAGTGGGAATCCAAAGAGAATGAAATCACGCGCGACTTCGACAACAAGAAGCGAGCCGTTTGGAAAGACTACAAGGCGGGAAAGTTGAAGCCGGATGTCCGCTGCCGCGAGAAAGGTTTCCTGGAATGTCAATGTGGCCTTCCTAGATGGAACATCGCACGAAACGAGACAGAGTGTCGGTCAAAGGTGGAAGACCTCTGGAGAACGGAGTATCACGAACTCCTTCCCATTCGTTTACGATATTTCGAGGAAGTCGAACAACTCAACAAGCGATGGCGCAACGAGTGGAGGCGAGTTGGGCCGGTCGGTCCATGTCCTGATTTGGATTCTTTTGATAACTAAGCGATTTCTTATCCTTGGGGACAACAAGCACTGGGGTCATACATAGGCAGGCTACGTTTGGTAGTTCAGTGGAAATTGCACCTTTGATCTTCCGATTCCAAACGTTCTTGCAAGTTTCAACCCCGCCAGCGCGAGCGTGCTGTATCTTATATCAGGTCGGGTTTCCCGATGCCTCGGTTCACCAACTTGAAGCTGATCTTTCTCAAAGGCTACGACGCGTAGCTTCGAGATGTCTGATTACAGCCAAGATCACATCGCATGGCATTGTAGTCCTCTGGGATCGAGCGTATGTCAGTGGGCATGAAATTAAGCTCCGGGCTTCTGGGGTCACAAGCCATCGAAACTACTGGTTTTCCAGCTCACAGCATCAACCTTAAGCCCAAAATCAGTTCTTAGTATAAAAGCAACAAGATAGAAGCACTTGAAATGCCTCTAGATTATTTGATCTTCGTATCTTTTACGATTGCTGCAAGCGAATTGGTGCAGGCAAGAACCTAGAGATACCGGCATGGAGCGGGGTAGAACGCTGGGAGGACATCCGGGATGCCGAGATCGGTGGTCTCTTTTGACCTTTCTAACTAGGCATAGTGCATGCAGGATGTCCACATGATATCCGTAGCACGTCCCCACTAACGTCAAGCTGCCGACGAGTCCAGACTTCATGGTCTCATCCAAGTTTCTTATCTCGGTCGGTCGTATCGGAGCCTTATTTATCATCAACGGCAGGAAGACGCAATCTGCACAAGAGATGTTCTCAGAATGCCTCGGAAAGTTAGACCATACCGACCCAAGACCAGAGGTTTGTTCTCAACTCTCACTCAGAATCGCATTGAAATGGATCGTGGCCTAGCTAATAAGGAGGGGCTTAGGATGCTTCGAGTGCTCAAAACGTCGGATCAGCTGCGATCGTACCGAACCATGTTGTCAAAAATGCCGTGACAAGGGTTTGAAATGCAGTGGTCTGGGCATCCGGCACCGGTTCAGTGAAGGTGTTGCTGTGCGGGGATTTTGGAAAGGCAAATCTATCCAGGAAGTCTATGAGAGGTATGTGATGGATCCAAATGAAACTCTGGCCATTGCTCACGGAGTTGATCATGGATAGACGGGCTGAATCTGATCCGGCAAATGTCGAGAAAAACAACCCAGGTCATCTTGCATTTCCAGTACCCTCGGATAGTACGAAGTCTCAAAGCCAGTCCGACGCAGTAGCATGGTCGATCGTTTCAAACCATACAACTAACCAGCACTCGAACAATCTGCATGGCCAGGTCACTTGTCAATCTCGAACATCTAGACATGTAGCAACCTGCCCAGACCGTGAGGGTAGGATTGTTTCTTCTCAGTCACAGGAAGTGCACACGGGTCATGCAACAGTCTCATTTCTGGGTTTGGAAGCACGGCTCCTCATGCAACCATCGGCCAGCAAACTTCCCTCTTGGAAGATGGAATTAGTATCTCACTGTGAGTAATTAGTCGATTTATGGGAGTTTCAGGGTTTCAATATCTGTGATACTTGACTGACTTCGCCACCATATCAGTTTCCGATCACATCGCGATAGAGATGGTAGCGATTGACGGCCAACATAACGGATGGCGCCACATGATACTCCCTCTTGCGCTTACAGATGATCTCGTACTCAAAGCTGTTCTTGCCGTCTCGTCATTTCATGCTGGCAAACGGCGAGCTTCAAAGCAAAACCCGGCACGGAACTACCGCTATGCATCATCCTTGCCAGCGCCTGAGTGCAATTTCTGGCACCATACATCCTCGAATACTCGTCTAGAGGCCATGCGCTTGTACTCCCATACAATCGAAAATCTCCGACGAAGAAGCATCGAAGCTAGCAGCTATTCAGGGATGCTCTCCACTCTGCTGAGCATACTAATTCTCCTCGTTGCAACGATGGTCACCGGATTGGACGATTTTCCCGTCCTTTTCCGCCTACTTGAGTCCGCACTTGAGGCCATCGGTGGAGAAGATAGTCTGGGAGGTGACGAAATAGCCACTTTCATCCTTCGTCAAGTACACAAGTGAGTAGATCCCCATACTCGTGTCTTTTAAACTTCTTTGAGAACCTGTTAACTGAATCGTCTGCAGAATGCGAGTTTACGCAGCACCGCTGCTCAGCGAAGAAGCCGGCATTGCAACGCTCAGTTCTCAAACACAGATTAATCAGGCATTCGAGTGTCTGAGAGACTGCTCACAGTCACAGTGGAAACCTGAACATTCATCAACGGTCTCGATTCTCGCTGATCTCATCCAACAGTCTTATGATATCTATCTCCGACAAGCAGACTCCTCGAGGATAAACTCTGCTAGTAGAGACTCGGATTCAATATGCCGAGTGCGCCGCTTCAAAGAAACCTTGGAGTCATTCCCGACAGAGTCTCCTGGTAGACAAGTCCTCATCTGGGCGACCTTCGTTGCAGCGTCGGACTCCATACTGGAAGAACACAAACTATTCTTCGCCAATGTTTTGAAGAGCTTTTATGAACGTAGTGGCTTTGAGAACATCCTCAGGGGTATCGATCTCCTTCAGAATTTATGGGCGAAGAGGACCTCTGGAGAGAGATGGATATCCTTTCTCCCTCAGGGCAGAGTTTTCATCATGTAGGGTAATTCCAAGGGTTCCCTCCATTGCTCCGCCACCTTCTCTTCTTTGATGACGTCTCAACTTCCCATGTACTACGTCAATAGTCGCATAAGCCAAGTGACATGAGTGCTAACCAGGGAGAAATGAGATAACAATACGTGGAGTCGAGACACATGAGACAGTGAAAGGCTAATTTGGCTTGGCTATGAGAGCAAATCCTCTTCAACTGCCATCTCCGCTTCGATGAAGACATAATCAGGCCATGGAACACAACTCCAAGGGGTTGAAAATTGGGTTGATTGGAGCGCTAGAAAGATCTTGCCACATGTTTAGGGCCGCAGGAGTTTAGCTTGGACGTGGTGTAAACTTGGGCAAGGCTCTCGGGATCTTCTTTACGGCATGGTCTTGGTCCAATAATATCGACGGATGCTTGTCAAATGACAGACTTTCTTCTCATTTTGGAGCAGTGGTGGAGTATGTCTTGTGATTTGACTTCTCCGGCTTTGCAACCAGCCTCAATCGAAAGGCTTCGACGGTGCACAAAACCCTGTGTGTTTCTGAAAGGTATACTCTGAGAGTTTGACATTTTTTGGCTGATTACTGGCCAAACACACTGGAAAGCTTGGAATTGATATCAAGTCAGACATTCTGTTACAAAATGTCTTGGTCTACCGTCAGACGGTCCTTCTTGGGCATGCAGCTCGTAGGCTGGGCTGGACGTTTGACACCAGCAGATTGGAAGGCACACCAGAATTCGTGAGAACTAGGCTCCCAAAAAGCCACAATTTGGACTGTCGAAATGGCAAGGCTATTGTATGCAGTTGGCAGCAAGTGATGTTTTGATTACTTGGAACTTGGATCATGAACTTGCATGAAAAGCAAGCAACTTGGTGCGCTGCAACAACTTTAAGAAGGTGAGGCTACCGCGTATATTCTTGTTTATGTGAGCCCTTGAGGCACGCCTGTCTTCATTCCGTGTTTCCCCTAGACTCTGTTCACTGTATGATCATCAGCCTTGAGACAACCCCTCTGACGGTCATACAAGTACCGGCCAGATGTCTTGGCAGCTGACGGATTCTTTCCAACTAATTCGGCTCAGAGACATCTCCCCGCTATGATCATTTCGTTCATGGTTCATCCTTGCGTTCTTGCAACTAGGTAGTGAAAGTGATCTGAGACGACACCGGAAGTGGCCGCCTGTATCTCCACACGTCCTCTTGTCCAAGATGAGACGGATCACCACTAACAGGTGTGTTGAGAGCTTGAAGACATCAGGATCTAGATGCATACTTGGGTACCGCAGGACCACTTTACGGTCGACACACGTTTGCATGCATCTTGTGGCCCGGTCGTGGTATAAAATGAGTAGGTTACGCCAGACAGACCCAAGCTCAACTGCCAATCTTTTTGCAAATACCGTATACCTTCCAGCTTCCTCAAAATCTAACATACTTCTACAAAGATCCATTCCTTAATATAGAAAATTCATCGAATTTCCCGTCGTGGCGATCTTCTCTCCAGGCAGGCCACCTACGCAAAGACGTTCGAGTCTTATCATGGAGAAAGCGAAAGCTGGCGACGCCGACGGAGCGCAAAGCCCCAGACCTTCAACGAGCAAAGTGGGTAAATATATCTGTTTAGACCTGAAGTATGTCTAATTGAAATAACGCAGGATGAAGTTACTTTGAGTCCTGATACGGCAAGGGAGAAGAACGACCCCACTAAGGCTACGAAGTCCGACCACAGCACGGGACAAAGGGAGAAGGGGAAATACAGTGATGTCGTCGGAATGGTGCGATCATCGCTCATATAACTATCAATGACGAGGCCTTGCGTATGATCAACGCCAGATATCCATGGAGTTTACAAGTCGTTCTCACCATGAATACTTTGCGATATTCAAACAACGACATTTCGAGAGGAGCCATCAAAACGACGCGACCTAAAATCAGATCCAGACCTCGAGCTAGACAAAGAAATAGGCAGGATTTCAAGGTTCTGATTGGTCGATCATCTCTGCTCCCGGGAGCGCGGGTGTAGATCTCTCTCGGTCCGGCCCGGTCTCCCGGCTGGACCTGATGGCTGCCGCCACATCAAGGTAGAGAGAGAGGATTACTTCTTTGACTCTTGTGCTGCCACCTCCCCCGGGTAATGGGTAAACCTGCATAACAGCACAATTGATCGACAATAAACGGTAGTCTGATTAGTTTCCTTGTCTGGTCCATCTTTTGGTTCCAAAATCATCCGTGCAGTCTGATTTCAATTATCCCGCTTCACTGTCTCAACTGTGATCCTTCCCTCGATGGCTTCTTAGCTTCTCATTTCCCTGACAAATTCATGCGCTGTTTTCGACCCCTGCCCCGTGATTCTAGTGCGCTGCAAGCTGGCAATCTAGAGACCAGGTGGAAGCAGCCAGTCCCAGCCAGAGGGCATGCGAAGTGATCGATCTTTACGTTTGATGTCAACGATAGTCTGTTGAGATGGCGAGAATCAACCAAAGGCAGGTGTTTTACTGATTCGGAAAGAATCGAAGCTCATATGCGCATCCAGGTTCTCCCACTACAGTCCCGAGGTCCACATCCCGACAGTTGAAGCAACTCTACCCGGCCAAGGAACCAACATTGTTCTCAACCATGAATGGCCTCTAATCGCTTTCAAACTCTCGTGATATCTGTATTGTCAGTGGCATTGGCTTGGAAGGTAATACTCTCGATGGATCCTGAGGTGATTTCAATTGACGTGAAGATATCCCGTCATAGCGTATGATTTCAAATACTGGATACCCTGAGAAATTTGAGCTCGTTTTCGCGGACCATTGGTAGAGCTCGTCGCTTAAACTTTCTGTCATAATAGTTGCGACGCAGAGAAGTCCGTTGAAAGGTTGCTTTGGCTTCCCAAAGAGGGATCTGAATAGATTTGTTTCAGGTGAGAAATAACCAACGGCAGTTTGTCGTGGCAAGCATACGCAATTTATATGAAAGGCAAGGATATAGTCCGAAGCCAGGATATAAAAGCTGGTCGGGGAGTTGCGGAACTTCACAGGATGCCCTGGCTTCCACCGGAGATTCGGAACCGTCCCGGTCTCGGGAATGGCTTGTTCGGTGAACAATCATCTCCGGTTGGTTCCCAGACAAAGAACGACCCGCCGTCAATGGACGCTCTCCCATGGCTCTGGGCCCGGAAGTGATGGCCCCCATTTCTTTCACCTGCCAACCAGACAGCTGGAAACCAGCGCGACGGAGCCTCAACTCCGCAAAAGTTCTGGTCCCGCAGGGCGGCCGTTGAAACCGTTGGAAAATGTTGGCCGGGATCGATGCCATCCACTGCTTCGACGCAGTTGAGTGGAGGACAGGGAGACAACTTGCGGGGGTCTGGAGCCGTTGATCAGGGGGTCGAGACTGGAGACTCATTTCGGTAACTTGGCGATGGAGCCGAGGTGGGAAGTGGTTGAAGGCGGCTTCTCCCTTTTCATCCGCTCAGACACGAACCTCGCGGCGGTCGCTGCGCGTTCGATCTGCCAGGGTATTGACCGGCCGGGGCCAAGCCCATTGCCGATCGAGTTCCCGTGGACTCGTGGAGCAGCTTCGCGCGCAGTTAGAAAAACTTGTCAACAACATCATCAAAATCGCCACTGACAGCCAGAGAGAGACTTGACTTCCGGTAACTTGTCTCGCCAGATCGCAACCCAAGCTACGTGGAAGCATCCTGTAAGCTCTTCTTGTGCCGAATCAAAAGGAGTCACGCTGATGATCACTAGCGCCTACGATATCCAGATACCACCGATATGCCCACCCCCGAAGCACGAGCCGCCCGGGCGGCGGAGGAGCGATCCCGATGCTGGACTACGAACGTCAAGGAAGAGTCGGACCACGCGGATGAGACGGAACACCAGCCTACCGGCGGTAGCTTCTTGTCCGGGATCACTGTCACCACCGAGATCCTTATCAGCCCTGTACGTTGGTCTCAGACGAGGGTTTGGCTAGAAGAGATGTACTGACGAAAGCCTAGCACGAGGACGACTCCGAAGCGACAACAAATGCTGAAGGAACAACAGAAGGAGACGAGAAGAAGACGGATGGGAGCCAAAAATGAGGTACGGCGATGACGATGAAGACATAGCATCCATGTGCTTTTGCTTTTTGAGACCTGTGTTGGCAGGAACAAACACACAATATCCAGCGCGTACGTTTGTAATACACATTGATTAGTTTTTTTCCCCCTTTTCCCTATCTCGGTATGGAAGTTCCGATATTTCCATCACCATACTCACGAGTCTTCTTAAAGCATATGTATTGCCCAACGAGGGCGAGAGCACCCACGACTACCTCTCCCGCTCGCGTCTGCGAAGTCCTAGCAGCCGCAAGTCCGAGGCCGATCACCAACTGCATGACGGACCCTAACGCGGCTGTAAACTCGCAAACCTCGTTGAGGGGAACATAGTTCAATCGGAACCCGTGCCAGAGTTGGGTCTTGTCGAGGAGCCATGAGAGGCTGCAAGGTTGATCCCATTCAATACCTGATGCCGATTCAATGCGACAACCAATCAACGCAGGTAGACATCACCGCTGCATTTCCTGAAAAGGGAAGTAGATTCCCCAATCGCGGTACAGCGAACGCAACCTCTCGGATTGCAGCGTATCCATCGACGTCTTTCGAGTTCTCCCAATGACCCTCGAGTATCTGAATCACCATCTCGGCATCCAAGTCCAGCACCAACCTCGAAATCCTCCGGGGAGGGCATCTTCTAAACAGTCATTCCGTAGCGGGAGTGAACCTTCTTTTTGGAAAGGTGGCCATTTTCTCGTAGCATTTAAGCATCTTACAAGTCAGCGTCATTCCATACCAGCACGTACCTTCTGAGGGCACCTGACGTAGACCGTCTTCAGATCGTGCTCGCTGAGCTGTCCCGTCTTCCAGCGCAAGTCAACTCGAAGCTCTCCGGTCTGGTGGTTGCGCCACAGGGTGCACTCTTTCACGTCGTCGTCCCAGCTGCCCAACGGGAACACAAAGATGTCGCGCGGATGATAGATTCTGTAGGCGCTCCTCTTGTGGAAGTACTTCGCAAGCTCGTTTGGTGCATTCCTCCTATGTTGGATCAGCTCGGCGCCTTGTCAGCGGATGTAGCCTGAACTGACTGCAGAAAGTCTTGGTTCTCCTGGGAATCCTTCTTGTCGCCGCGCCATTTCGTCCTGAAAAACACCCGGCCCTGATGATAACAGTTCAGCAATGATGATTAGTGAATGTGGGTGTAGAATACGTACTCTGTCGTAAGAATTTCCGGTGACGGCTTGGATGACCTCGATCTCGACTTCCTCGAGCTTGGGGTCCTCGGACTTGACTTTCCGCTCAGTCCCGTCTTCAGGAGAGCGGAAGCTCAAGGCGTCGTCGACCTCCTCGCGCTTGATCTTCTGCCGGGTCACCTGTTGCGGAAAGCTCGAAGTGTCGGCTTCTTCGCGCTTGATCTGCTGCCGAGTTTCGTGTTGAGAGGCATTGAGCAGTAACATTGTTTGGCGCCGGGTTCGTGGAGCCATCCCGACTTGGCGGCCCGGGAGCCGGGCGGCGGATCGGTCGGTGTCTCATAGGAACGACGGGCAATCCGACGCAGCAGCTGCCGCGAGGTGGAGTAAGTATGGGTAAATCTCTTGAGAGTAAGGTTGTGATTATGAATTGAGAAAAAAAAATATTATTGTCTTGTTTTCTTTCTCCGTCATTTTCCAGCGCGTGCGACTGACACTGAAAGAGAGGTGTTCGGCAGGCGACACCCCACCGACGGCCCCGAAGCGGCCCCATCACAACCGAGCCAATCAAAGACCTTACGCGCAATCGCGCCGTTGCCGGGATGGCGTCTTATCTTATCGCCTTATCGCCCCCCGAGCGTTTCCCTGGACGTCACCTGCCTTTTTCGTCTGCATTTCATCTTGCGAGCTTCATTCATCTCCGCATGTGCCGTGCCGTACGGTTCTCCACGGTTATTTTCCCTCGCAACTACTTCTCGCTACCTCTAGGCCTATCTCTAGGCCTATCCTTGCTGCTGTTAGCTTTGGTATTCTCCTTGATATCCGGTGTTACCCCTGAAGTATTCGACCAGGAATAATAACAATAACCGTGAAGTGGTGTACAACCGCGACGGTACAACCCGCCACCCGCACCATGTCCTCATAAAACTCCTCGCATCTCCAGAACAACATCTCTGGTTGCCAAGGGCGCCCACTTCCCCGCGTCAGTATTCACAATGGCTAGTGCAGGACAGCGTCGTCTGCTCACGGCCTTCGTGGTCGGACTCGTGACGTCGGTCTGCGGCACCGTCTTACAGGTCCAATCCGACGACCGTTCCGACTCGCGATATGTTAGCTCCCGGAGCGAGATCAAGGAGCATCGCCTGGCCAAGATGGGAAGGCTCGCGTACGACATGGAGGTCGCTATGCCCTCCTCACTCACGAGTGCCCCGTTGCTGGAATGCTTCCAAGTCGCCCAGCCCGTCCTCGAGCCGTCTGCGTCTGGTAAGGCAGTCACGGTGACGTTGATGGAGCACCAGTTCGCCAACAGCTACGGCTCGCCTTTCGTGGGGGAATACACCCCGCCAGACTTCGATTTCGATCACGTCGTCATCAACTTCACCGTCGAGGTCAGGGGACGCCAGTTCGATCGCTGGGGAACGGTGTACCTCGACAACGTCAACATCTTTTCCACCTCCACCGCGGAGCCGACACCGAACGGCATCACCTGGACCTGGAGGAAGGACGTCACGCCGTATCTGTCCCTGTGGAAGCAGCCGCATACGCTCATCTTCCAGCTCGACAACGTGATCACGGACGTCTACACCGGACTGCTGAACTCCACCTTCACCGCGACCTTCTTCAAGAGCGGCGCGCAAGGAGGAGCACCGCCGGCAGATCTCATCATTCCGGTCTCCGCGAGCAAGAGCCCCGCCACCACGAGTTTCTGGACCTACCCCGAGGAGAACGCCACCGCGTCGGTGACGTTTCCGAGAAACGTGAACCGCGCCGTGTTCTCGGCGAACGTGAAGGCGCAGGGAAACGACGAGTTCTGGTGGAGCAACGTGCCCCAATCGGCCGTCGACGCGTTCGAGCCGGACGCGGGGACGTACCCGGGATACTCCCCGTTTCGGGAAGTCCAGATCTCGATCGACGGGATGCTGGCGGGCGTCTACTGGCCCTACCCCACCATATTCACCGGAGGCGTGGTTCCGCAGCTTCACAGGCCGATCGTCGGGATCGACGCGTTCGACTTGAGAGACCATGAGATCGACATCAGCCCGTGGTTGCCGCTGCTCTGCGACGGGAAAGAACATACTTTCGGCATCAAGGTCGTCGGTCTGGTCGACAATGGCGAGACGACGGCGGCGTTATCGAACACGACCGAAGGAAGCTGGTATCTCGTCGGCAAGGTTTTCTTGTGGCTCGATGAGGAGGGCAGTGTTACGACTGGTACCCTGGGAACAGTCACGACGGAGCCGAAGATCGCGTTCGAGCAAAAGCTGACGCGGAACGCGACCGGTTACAACGAGACTCTGGACTACAAGGTGTCCGTGAAGAGGGACTTTGGCATTACCTCGACCCTGGTTACGAAGAAAGGCAACGGGACAGCCACGTGGTCTCAGAGCCTGGAGTATTCCAACGTGGGCGGCTTGTATTTGAATGGTTACGGAGGCATCAACACGTTTCTCACGACGGGAAAGGAGAAGGCAGAGGTCGCTGGCTGGGATTACGAGACGAGCTTCTCGTACCCGCTGTTTTGCAACACCACGACACAGTATCTCCCTGCGGGGAACCTGACGCTGTGGGCTCAGCTGGATCAAGCTCTGAAGCTGGAGGTGAAGGGTGACGGGGTGTTTCCGAGCGGCGCAGAGGCGTTCACGGGGGAATGGGATGGTAGCCTGCTCGATACGGAGAGGAACGGGACTGCGAACTACTCGCGATATGGGGATAACACCATCACAACTGGTGTCGGTCGCACGCATCAGATCTTCCATTTCGGCGGGTTGAAGGGGGAGACGGCGAAGGAGCTATACTTCCGAGACGTGGCCGCCTTCAACAACAGCGTCGTTTCAGATGTGGAGGTCATAGGAGATCTCGCCATCTGAGTCAAGGCACGCGGTGGTCAGAAGAGGTGATATCGTTACTCGGTTTGCTGCGTTGTATTACGCAGCTGAAACAAGAATAGTAATAGTAGTACTAGTCGTAGTATCTTGAATCTCCTTCTTCCCTTCTCCGTCCTTGATTGCCTCCACTTCTCTACCAAACTTGGGAAAGAAGTTGGTAAGCTAGCCGTGGCTCAATCATTTTGAGAAAAACCACGATGGTTGCTTCTTAAAAGCCTGGCTAGATATCCATATCTCGAATCTCGCCAAGACATAAGCCTCGCTCCAGTAGTTTGCCGGACAACTCTTGCATGTGATGGGGAAATGTCTAAGCACTCCTCCTCGTATCAACAGTCGCTACAACAATTATTCAAACATCCATACAATGATGAGCCGAGTTTCTCTGGCATCCCTGGGTTAATCCATCAGCAGACATCACCAAGAACCGTGCGGAGCACATACCCCTTCAGTCCATCTCAAAGAGATACCTCTCCTCGCAATCATCGCAAAGCTCCAACGCCATGATGCGCTGGCTCGTGGTACAGTTGACGTACTGGTTCACCAGCGAACACACCCGGCGCATGTTGATCTCGTCCATGAGGGTGGGCCGCTCCCACGGTCTCCGGGCATGCTGGACGACCAGCTGTATGATGCTCCGCGTCCCGCCGGGCGCGTGCCAGACCGAGGTGTGGTTCCTCTGGAGCCGGTGAAGCGCGCACGTGGGGCAGCCCCTGTGATCGGGGATCAGGGTCGCGGCGGGGGACGCCGACGCCGGCGTGGGTGTGGGTGCTGGGAGCGGTGACGGGGCGAGACTGGGTGGCGTTGGTCCGGATCCAGATCCAGATCCAGAAGCGGGCGAATCTGACTCCGGGACCGAGGTCGGAGTCGGGACCGGAACTACCAGCGGCCGAGGCGATAACGACGCCGCCGATGCCGATGCCTCGGGACTAGGGGAGCCGGAGCCGAGGAGGCCATGGCGGGAGACGGGCCGGTTCACCGAGCCCTTGAGGTCGTGCAGGGAGGTCGAGACGAGGTTGGGTGTTCCGGAGGAGGAGGGTGTGAAGCTGTCTCTTCGCCTGTTCTGCCCGCGACTGAAAGGCTCTCGCTCGTTCTTTAGACGTCCCATTAGTTCCAGTGGCGGAAAGCCTGCTGTGCCAGGCCAAAGCGAGCAGCAGCAGCAGCAGCAGCAGCAGGAAAAAATGTCGGGAGGTCGACGCACGCCCACGGCACGTCTGCCCCTGAGCGCGGTGTCGGGTCCACAACTAATTTCGCTTGTAATCAACGGCTCTTCCGAGTCCACCTGCATCCGGGTTTTGAGTGAGGTTCTTGCCTGCAATTGAGCTAGGAATTGACTTGCTGCGTGATGTTCCGGCGCCGATTGGTAATTCGTGATCGCGAATATAGCCTCATGGGAATTCTCTGCCTTTGAGACTTCTCCTGTCCTGGACATTGTGCGTCTGTGTCGAGAGCGCTGCTTTGCAACCATTTGTCAAGAGCGAAGTCATGGTTCCGGGGGCTATCCATTTGGCTTCTTGGTATCATGAGCTGTTACCCTCCTGTTTCATTAATCATAATCCATAAGGCTGACGAGAACATCCTTTCCTAGCTTACAAAATGCATGCCCTCTTGTCGACTACCGCTGGATCAAGCACACTTATAAGATGCCCCTGTTTTCCAGTATCTTACTCAACTCTTTGAGTTTCACGGGCTTCGTCAAAAACAGGTCTATGCCGCTGGCGAACGCTTCCTGCTGAGCACTGGTCGAAGCGAGACCCGTCAGCGCGAAGATGTTACAACGCGATAACTTCAGTTTCCTCTCGATGGCCCGGATCCGACGTGTCGATTCAAAGCCATCCATCACCGGCATGGATATATCCATCAATATGAGTCGGAACTGGTCCGCAGGCTGACCAGCCGCGGCTTCGAACCTGTCCAATGCTTCTTGCCCATTCGTTGCCGTTTCGAATCTGTGACCGAATTTCCTCATGTACGAGGCCAGAATGTTGATATTGATCGGGTTGTCGTCCACGAGGAGGAACTTGGGCCCGCCCCCTCGATGCTGTTTGGACGGTTGATCGAAGGATTGCATCTGCCTCGACGTCATAGGTGAGTTATTCTTGGGTCGTTCCGGGAGGACACATTCTTCCTTCTTTGTCTCCTTTGAAGAGTCTTCGGACTGTTGGCCATTTGCCCGCTCATCCTCCAACGCCCGAGTCACCTCCTGTCGCTCTTCTAATATCTTCCGCTCTTCGGGGTTCAGATCCGACACAGAGTCCACGACTTCGCCAGAGCTGCGCGCCTGCGCTCCCGTTGGTAGCGAATTTATTTGCTGGGGAACGTCAACAATAGGCGTTGCGATGTTGTCTAGCGATAGTTGACTCGGAGTGGGAATGCCCGAGGATTGCAATTTGATCCATCGCCGGAAGCTCATCAGAAGAACCTTGGCTAATTTTCTTGGACCAACACTAGACCGCGCGTTAGCAAGCATCCTGGTATATGTTCGATGGTACTTACGGCTGTGAAATGAAATCGAAGCTAGCGTTTTTATTCGAAAATCTCGGAGTCGTCGCTAGTCGACGCGCGATGAGGGCATTGCGACAGATGACCACTACAGGCATGGACACGCGGCCGTGGCGATGCTCGTGCAACAGCTCGTCTACAGAGGCTTCGGTTGATAGGACCAAATCCGCGAGAACTGGCTCATCGCTGGAGGCTTCGACGACGTGCATTTGTAACCAATCCATGCAGATGTTGGCGATGAGCGCTCCTTCGCTCAAGGTCCCCTTGGTAAGATCGTCGTCCACTTTCTCACGCACGGCTTGTTCGGTGGGTAGCCCGTGGAGCCGGACCCGAAGACCCTTCAACTCACTGACGAGGGATTCGAATTCGTCAAAGCCTGCGGAGCCTGGATCGCCAGTCGGGGACGGCGTAGCTGAGTATGTTAGGGGAAGAACCACCGTGACCCTCGTTCCGTGATTGACCTTGCTCCAGACTTGAATAGACCCATCCAGCTTGGAGACGATCTGATGTACCAAGCTCAGGCCCAAGCCTGTTCCAGCCGACAGACTGTCTTCCTGCGAAAAGGGTGTGAACAGATGGTTGTGAAGATAGTCCTCGCTGATACCACGTCCTGTGTCTGCGATGATGATCTTTACTCCAGATTTGATGGTGGGCTGCCCCCCATCTGTCGATTCCGGCGGGATTCGAAGTATGCTGACATTGATGAATCCTTTGCTGGTAAACTTGAGCGCATTACCGAGCAGGTTCATGATTATGCGACGGATTGCGCCCGGCTGGGTGTGAAACGCCCAGGAAATAGCTGGACTGATGTCGAATGTTACGGGAACATCCCCAAGGAACATGAGCAAGTTCCCGTTCTTACTGGTTCGGACGGCGTTGTGCTCCACGGCTTGCATGCTATCAAGTCGTCGGATTGCTTGGATCGCGTCGGCAGTATCTGTGTGGTCTCCCGACCTGTCGTTGACCAGATGGGCAATGGACAGACGCTGGTAGCTGAATCCAGCACAGACGCTCTCGACGACCTCCTCAGCCAGCACGTCAAGTTCAACGTCGGACATGATGCTCATCATTCCCGCTTCGATACTGAGTTTATGACCAGAGCCCCGTCTTCCCGCTCTGCCGCGTTCACTGTGACTCCTCGTACCCCTGACGGTGACACTATCGGGAACACTGTGCTTTTTCGTCGGTGCTGCAATGAAGTTGTTGATCTTGCTCCAGTCTAGAAGATGGTCGATGGTTTCCAAGAGCGTCCGGCCGCAGTTTTCAATGGAGACCAAGGTCTCACCTTGGAACGCATCCAAAGAAGTGTCGTATAGTAACTCGGCCCCCAGTATGATGCCGTGTAACGGAGAACGTAATTCGTGGGATATCGAATTGAGGAGATCCGTTTTGGACTGTTCCACCAGTAAAGCACTAACGCGATCAACTTCAGACATGATGACGGTACCGAAAGCTCGAAGATAGCTAAGCTCGTCTTCAACGGTGAAGGTCCGAGTCGGATTCTTTGTACAGACGAATCCGCCAGCGTACCAACGCTGTTTGTTGACGTCCCATAGGGGGATCAAGGCCACGCTCCGAGCCCCGGGGAAGATTGCCGCAATGCCTTTGCCTTCATTTTGTCGAGAGAATCTATTCCGGGGCCGTTTGCGAGGTAGTAGGGCATCCTTTGTTTGGTCGGGGACCAGTATTGTCTTGTTGTCTTGTTCCGATTCGGGAGAAACCGTAGCAGTTTCATCGCCTGAGGTATCGCTGGACTGAATCTCGCCGTTCTCGTCAATGCTGAAGATCTTCCCTTGCGGATAACGTTGCAAAAGCTTGTTGAGGAATCTGTCCGATACGTCCGAAAATGCTCGAGAAGGTAAATCCCCGTCAATGCTTGAATCCGACGAGCTCGAGAAGCCGAGGATTCGACAACTTTCCTCCTCATCTCCATGTTCAAGGGCGCCGTTGCATTGTTTTGAAAAGTTCTCCGTTTCGTCACTGGATGAAGAGGACGCCGATGACTTGCTAGACCTGGGCGATTTCGGATGACGCGGCGTCGATCTCGCCAAACCCCCGAATGAAACGATGGCAGCATCCAGAAAGAGCACGCTCTCGACCTCAATGGCTTCTCGGACGACATTGGCGGCCTTTGAAAAGATGTGTCGGATCTTAGGCTCGTGTGGATGTGTATGGGCGAGACCGGACACGGATCGAAGGGACTTTGTGGGTGTACCAGGCACAGTCAACGGGCTGGGGCCTGGCCGTAGTGATGGTCGAGACTTGGTTGTCCCGTTTGTAGAGGGTGGCTGTGCTGATGGTGATAGGTAATCGGCCTGCTCTTCAGCGCGTCGGTTATCGGATTCTTGCTGCAGATGTTGCTGGGTTCTATTCAGACCGCCCTCTCGCGAGACGTCGTCGACGAAAGACTCGGGGTTTTCGGTTACTGTCCGACCGGACAGGGTGGTTTTTCCCTCAACAAAACTGCCGACTCCCCGCACCATCCTATCTGCGCGACGGTGGCTATCGTTCCTCCGCCTGGATTCGAGATGGTCCATGATGGCGCTAGAGATGTCGCGAATGAAATGCATCGAAGTTTCGTCCAGACCCGGGCGGGGCTTGCTGTCGAAAACGCAAAAGGTGCCAATATCGATACCCTTTTGCGAACGTATTGGGACGCCTGCGTAGAAGCGATTCTGGGGCACAAGACGGCTACAGGCTCGTTTTGAAGACCTCGGATCTATTGGGATGTCGGAAATGATTGTCACGGGGGGTTGGGCACCATCCGAAGAACTCTCTGCTGAAGGGTACAGAGGAATGCCAAGAGCGAGCTCGCAGAGGCCTTCTTTCCGTGGGACGGCGGTGCCGCAGAACAGGAGATGCTCTCCGGTACCGACATGATCAACTTTCGCATTCGGGGTCAGACGGAGAGAGGGGGTAGCCTCGGCGACGATATACTGGTAGTTCCTGTCAAAGAGAGAGATCAAAGCACGGGTGCCTTGAAGACGCAAGACGCCGAGCTCAGCAAGTGCCGTCAGGATGGGATCCGGGGAGGACCGCAGCTCCGACGAGGGGATGAGGCCGCCAGCATCGTTGCGGATAGACTGCGCAATCAGAGCGGGATCATATCTGATGAGCGGTCAGTCTAGAGCGTGATATCACCGCGGACCGAGTTGACGGGACGGTATCTCTGGGCAACGGGCAACGGGCAACGGGCATCGGCATCGGCATCGGCATCGGTATCGGCGTCGACAGGCCAGGCCGGGGGCAGGTCTGAGTGAGCGGAGGAGTGACAGACGAACCTGAAAGTTTCCCGTTCACGGCGACTCTCCGAGACGGGTTGACGGGCCGGGAAACTGTCCATGAGCGTGGAGTGGTAACTTTTCCGAGACAGAAGGCGAAGGTGTGAGGCAAGATGGGCGGCCTTCCCTTCCGTCAATCGAAGGCGAAGTGAAGATCTCAGAGCAGCTAGCCTTAAACCAGAATGTTCACCTTGGGGCGGGTCAGTCTCGAGAGTTTCAAGCGACACGAATGAAAGGGCAAGCTGCGCTGGCAACGCGTCCACATCGGAAGTCCATGGTAAGGTAAGGTAGGTTATGCGCCACCGGGGTTGGACAAGACGTTCAGGGCCGGACTGAGGCTTGTGATAAGGTAAGGAGGGAGGTATCCGTAATTAGATGTGGCAATCTTTTTCCCAACGGTCCACGCCTGGGCCCGTCTCCGGCCACTTTTCGTCGGAAGAGCGCGTAGCACACATGTCCGTAAAGGCTGAGTGAGACCTGACCTGAGGGAGGGTGGGGGGTTGCGATGGCAGAAACTGGAAGGGGACGAATGCAATGAGATTGAGGAGGGCAACAAGAGGGAGCCAGAAAGAGACAGAGAAATGAGCCGACGATAGCAATGCCAGGCCGGTAGTAGTAGTGGTGGTAGCTGTAGATGACCATATTCGTACATCAAATGGGCAATCACTCACCTCAAGGTATCTGCACCCCACCGGTACCCGCGACGCAGGTGATGAACGACAGCTAGTGATGGCGGCGCTCCATCCGGATGAGACGGGAGTTTGAGTAATAATTTGGTGGTTGATGATTGAGGACTGAGGACGAGGTCGAGGCGAAAGGTGTGTAGGTCGTCGGTAAGTTAGATCGGTAAGGCGAGGGTGAGGCGGACAGGGTGGACGATAGGAACCCAGGTCGAGAATGAGACGGGAAGAGGCAGCAGCAGCAGCAGCGAGGGGCGAGTGGCTTGCAGAGCGGCTTGCAATGGAAGAGGACAAAGAAAGGACCCGACGTGAAATGGCACCTCAGAAACGAAGGCTCGTGTTTAGGTAAGGTAAGGTAGGGCGGAGGAATCGCCGCACGAATGAGACACCCCAAACGATGCGACCTAGAACCCCTCAGCCGCTGTGTCCCGACGCTCGCTTGGATCTAGTGGCAACTTTCCTTTTTCTCATATTTTCTGTGCCGTCCAGCCTTGTTAACGAAGAAAAAGACGGCGCGGTCCAGCCAGAGAGACAGGCGGTACCTACTGCAGCCGCGAAAGCTAAGGTAGCAAGGTAGGTAGTAGCTGCCGTCGGCCTTGAACCTGTGCGGCGAGGGCCTTACCTAAGGTGGTTGGTTCACTTATTCGCGGTACGTACTTCTGCCGCCCTCCACTACTACCTAGGTATCTAGGTACCTCAGATCCCCAACGGATGAGTCTTGCGGGGGACTACGGCCTGTGAATGGCTGAAGTGGACAGTGCGAAAGTCTTAGCGTGGGGTGATGGACTTCTAGCAGCAATGGCATCCCGTCCGAGTCGAAGCAACTCGCAACATGCAGAAAGTGAGAAGGTGCTTGCTTTCCAGCCAGCCTGAAAAGCCTAGACATCCGACACGCCGACGCCTTGCACCTAATGAGTATCTAAATAGTAAAGCCTTGCACCAGCAAAACGCCATCTTTGCTACAGTGTCGTCTCACAGTGTTTGGTCCGAAACAATCAGAGTCCGTGCTTCTCCCATGCGGCTACAAGGTACCGTAAGAAGCAAGGCGTCATATCACTTAGCTTTTGTGGATCCGGGCCTGGACCCCGACAGGCCAATCTGCCCTGCCATCTGTATTGCATTAGATGCAGATTCAAATTACCGGTGCATGCTTGTGCACATTTCACAAGTACCACTCAAGCCTGTCAACATTTTTCACTTTGTTATATACGAAGCAAGAACACTGTTTCTCGACATGCATGTGAAGACCTCTCAAGCTGCTTTGCATCAGTGAGTGAAGAAGCGTATATGATAATTAAAGTGCTTAACTGCAAGGCGGGGAATAGACACCCCCTGGACCCCTGGTCCCCTGCCAAGACCGGCGCGAAGTTCTTCTCTCTAAACGGATAACGCGGGGTCCGGTATTTGCCTGCTTCCTTCCAGGTTACTACTGTTGGCTGGCCGCTAATCGCAGAGTGACTTACCCACTGTCTGTCTGTCTGCCTCAAGAGAAATGACGAGAAATGACCGTCTTATGACACATGCAGAGAGAGCACATTTCCAAAGTCATACGTCAATATGACCATCGTCAGACAAGAGAGGGGGGAAAAGCCTGAAAACAGGATGGAAGATGCTTTCCTTCGTCACCTTTCCTTGATTCATCTCATGTTCTGGTTCTGGTTCTCGACGAGTTGAATACCGAGAAATGAATATCAGAAATGAATATCCATGTTTGCTGCGGCCACAGCCAGAAAACCCATCCATCGCTACCCAATGTAACCACTAATACCTTGCCACTCACTACGCTTACACCGTGGTCACTGGTCCGTCACCCCGGCAGGTGTTCGACCGCGTCCTCCCGATTGCCAGAGTCGATTCGCTCCTCCCAGTCCGATCTATAAATCAGCAGAGCCGGCCGGCCATGGCCATCCTAAAATGCCTGCAGCCCGTGTGGCTGGTGTCCACAACGACGTGCCTCTCAACGGCCACGGAGCTGTTCCGCATCATGCATGTGCTCTTGCTGCCGTGCCCGGTCTGCCGGTATTTGCGCCTTGTCTTGAGGACGAACGCCTCCCTGGGTGGTGGCCTTCTGATAAGACGCCGGCCTCCCACCAGCAGCAGTTGACCAGGATGACGTCCTGGGATGACGGCAATTATCACCGAAAAGCGGGCATCTATCTTGGAACCACCCGAGTAATGACAACAGGCTCAAGTGAATTCATTTCATGTACTATGTTGGATATCGTGTAGGCCCAAACACCGCTTTAAATACGATACCCTATTGTCCGTCATAACAACACAAACAGCAATACGAAACCCTCCCATCCCAAGCCTCAACGCCAAAAACCCTGAAGCGGCGCTCAGCAATCAACTGCTGGCAATGGAGCGACGCTCAAAGACAACTTGCGGCTTCGGCTGCCGTTTTGCGTAGAGCAGGCCGCAGACGTTGCAAAGCGTCGCGAGTCCTTCTGGACCCATCCGCCATTTCGGCGTGTCTATGCAACTGCACATGGAGCAGCAGGGCTCGTACTTTCTCCTCTTGTTGTTCTGTTTCGCCGTCTTGGTGGTGTTGGGCAAAGCGTAGGAAGACTGCCCCCTGTGTTTCCCGCCGAAGTGCCTCGTGGGTTCCTCAAGGTGAGAGAACTTGCCAATGTCGCGAGCAATGTCCGCCGACAGCCGGCGCATCGTCAAGAGCAATTCGTCTCTGGTGGCTGAACTCCGGTCAAGAGGGAAACGGGCGTCATGCGCGCCGAGATCGCCGCCGGAGTTTTGAGATAGGCGCTGGAGTTCCCTGGCTGCATCGTTTATCTATTCGTGTAGAAGGCGGGTTAGCTTCGGATCTTATTGTTACTGGACTGATGCAACTCGAAACTCAAAAGATTTGACAACTCGGTGAGAAAAAATGAGGGGGAAAAAAAGGAAAATCGGAAAAGAGGATTTGAAAACATACCCGTTGGAAAGTGTCTACCTCCTTCAGCATCCGCAGCGGTGATGATCGAGATGGCTCATTTTGAGGATTGGTATTTTGGTCGTAACCTGAAGTCGACAAAGAGGCAGGATCGTAGGCTTCAACGTTGTTGTCTGGCTGCAGCTGCAGTGGTGTTGGTAAGGTTCGGAATTCACTCCGGACAGAGTCCGTGCCAGTCATGGTAGGTTCCTGGTTGTATGAGTGCCACTGCCACTGGTGGAGACGGACGGCAGACAGCTAATACTGTCTTGAAATCTGCTTCCTGAATCGAGATGGAGAAAAAGCGTGCGGGATGGGAAAGGGAATTCTAAAGTCGATGTTTGAAAAGGCGATTAACTGGGGAAGGAAAGGGCGCAAGGATCGAAAGAAAGGCTTGAGATCGAGCAAGAGAGAGAGAACGGATGGGAACGTGGAACGTGGGAAAAAGCTGGCGGCCTGCCTCGAGACCCTGAAAATCGCAAGTACGAACCTGTAGGTACCTTACCTCCCCAGGTACATGGGTACACGGGTACAGCAGGCGTAGTGCGTACAGTAGGTGTACCTACGAACCCAGCTCAGGGCACCAACAGACCGGGCCCGACGTGCCCCAGGACCCCGAAGACCCTGGCGAAAACCTCCATGCCTAACAGGGCTCTCTTCGCTGCGGACCTTGGCATCATTTTATCCCCGCCGGTTCCTGATTGGCGGCGACAGAGCCGGAGTCGAACCCGTCTACGAAGTACCTACTGTGGTACGCCCGGAGATGCATAAACCACTTGATTGTTTAACATGTACGCAAGTATCCCACTCGTGTGATTTCACAAATACATCAAACCACGACACCGTCCCCTCCCTGTACAGTTTCGTTACCTACACCAACAGCATCTGAACTGGACGAGACAGTCCGCGGTTGAATCGCCAATTGGTGTCCCAGAATACCTAGGTCCCTTACCAAGGGCGGGGCCCAAGTCGACCACACCCACCAGGGCAGGTGCGCATCGCTGTCGTCAACGTCAGGGACTCAAGGACCCCGTAGAGGTATGGCATGAAGTCGTCAAAGGATAGAATGAGCGCGTCGACGCCCGTGCGATGGAGCCGAGGTCGCTGGGGGTTGAACGGGTACGCGTCGGATGGTGACACCTTGACGTCGCTGGCTTTGGTGTCAGCCTCCGCCTCGGCCTCCCAGAAGAGATAGCTGCACTCCACGTCGGTTGCTAGAGACTCCAGAGTGCCGTCAGGGCGGGTGGAGACGTCCCAGCTGACACGAGACGTCTGGTCGGTGACGGAAGGTTCTGTAAGAGGCCACAGAGTGGTGAACTTCCAGTGATCTGAGAGAGTAACGTAGACGGAGACTGAGTCGAGAGGAGTGGGTGACATGAGGTAGATGGCTGGCTTGCCACCTGTGAGTCTGAGTAACACGTGCATGGTACTGTAGTCACAAATCGCGTAGTCACGCAAGGTTTTGTCATCACATAGCTGCTTGGCTGCAAATATAAGACGCTGTTGATCAGGTGGAGTTCCTTCTTCGTCCTCATACATCTTCTTGAGGTCCAAGATCGTCATTGAAGGCGAAATCCGAAGCTGAATGATCTTTCCTGTCACTACAGAGGGTTATTAGCACAGCAATCAGCGATTCAGCTTCAGGCTGAAGATCTCACATGTTTTGATGCGCACGTGGATAGGTGGCTCCATCTGCGAGATCGGGATTCGTCGGATGCGTTTTCTCTTCGGCTCAGCACACTCTGCTTCTGCTTCCTCTGCGTCAGTCTTTTGGAGACGAAGGACGCATTTGTCGGAAACAGCGCTGTAGGCCGTGGGATCGAGCTCGACTTCCTCAGTATCGAAGGGAGTGGTCAAGTGGATGACGAAGTCGACTTTGTCAAGACCGAAGTCTTCATTGATTTTGCGAATCAGCAAGTTGTACGAGTTAGGAAGCTCGATCAGTCGACGGCGAGTGCCGAAAACAACTGTGACAACGGGCATTGCAGTGATGGGTGTTGTTGAATCAGCGATCTAAGGGAACGAATGTGACGAGAGAGAGAGAGAGAGAGAGAGAGAGAGAAAGGAGAGGATTTGCGTGAGCAAGCTTGGGACAAGAATAAAAAGAAGATGAAGGAATCGAAGCCGCCCTCTCCTTAAAAGGTGTCAGGCGTGAGCGACAGTGTCGAGGAAGAGGCTGGAAGGTACCTTATGGCAGAGGAGAGAAGTAACGGAAAGGTACGAACGAGAAACTTCAAACAGGCAGGTAGGCGGTAGGAACCAGGCAGAAACTTGATTCAGGCACAAGGAAAGACATGAAATTTCAGGAAGGTACGACATGTTACGGTATCTAGAAACTTCCGTCTTTGTCCCAATGGAAGCTACGCGTCGCCAAACAGGAAGCTGTCACCGTTTCCCAAAATGAAGAAAGAGTAACCACTGTATGAGAAGGAAACGGAACCCACGCAAACCGCAAAGATAACCCTAGAGGTGATGCTATCGATAACCTGGAAATATCTACCTTAGAAAGAGACGGAACTACCGAAGCGAGGATCGAGACGGCTTCCGTCATCATCGATAAGCTCAACAACGTCAACAGGAACTTCACGCGTATTCGGCCATCAACTATCGCCAGGTCACACCACGATTTTGCCATTTCTCACATTTGTTCCCCCTACCTCAAGCACCACCACATTGGGTTACAACTTCGAACCCATCTCTAACTCACAAGGTACGGCACCAAAATCAGTCTCGTTCACATCTCAATTCTGACAATGGCAGAAATCCGAACCATGGACACCATCCCTCGCCGCTTCATCCAAAAATGGCGCGCCAACCCCAGAGCCCACTGGATCACAGACGAAAAGCTGCTTACGTACATCAACACGCGCAAGGAATCCTGCCGCTCTGTTGAGCTATTCGAAGAGCTCGAGAACGCCGAGTGGGCTCAACGCATGCGTGCCAAGTACGGTCCCCGAGCTGCTGCTGCCGGCCTCGCAGATGACCTGCAAGCCGCGACATCCTACAATGGCTTCACCACACCGGAGAACTATCGCGGATTCCTCCAAATTCTGCAGGAGCTTCTCGACGGACCCTACATCAACACAAACGACATGGTCAAGTTCGCCGACTTCGCGCGCGAGTGGATCGAGCGGGTCTTGCGCTACGTTCTCAAGGTGAAGGAGGGTCGGATCGTCGTGGAGCATGATTCGGAGGATGTTTACTTGATGGAGGAGGGAGGCAAAGACATTGAGGACTTGATTTAGGGCAAGTGTGAGGGGTTGGCCGAATCCCGTTTATTTTCGCGAGAGGCCGTGGCAGACGATATTGGAGTTTTGAGGACAATGGGAGCTGAACAGAATGGTCTATGAGCAAGAAAGCTTGGAAATTGAGGCATTATCTAAGATCCAAAGCCATCCCACTCCATTGCTCTCGTCTATCTTGGGAGAAATATCTTGCTCGTGGACATACAACACAGCCAGACCCGCAGCCATGGTGCCGTTTCATTTGGCTATCGATCTATGCCATTCAGTCATTTGCTGACTGCCCGAAGAATGGGCCTCCCGACGAACGAAGTATCCCGCCCGACTTGATCCTTCACCTGGCGAAACAAGCTCCTGTGGGCTCACCCAGATATCTGTGGCGTGTGGATACGTTCTCGAGGAGCAAGATGCAGAGATGTCCTGGTGATGTCCCGCGTATCTTGCGGCCCAGGGCGCATAACCCTCTTTTTCCACATCTCGAAACCCGTCCTGTGGTACCACTGCGCTGCTTGACCCCTCAGCATCATCCAGAAATCGTTTTGCCGAAGGCATAACTTTCGACTTGTGCCCAAACTGTTGCCTCAACATCTGAACCGCACGCTTCGCGTTTTCGACGGTGAGCAGAGGAACTGTCCCGTGTCGGCGGTAGTGGATGGCGCGGACGAAGGCGCCACACCGATCTGGATCCTCGTCTTGGTACCAAAGATAGATTAGGGGGAGGTGTGGTCGGTGTCGTATCCATAGCTTGGTGGCCAGCGCCAACTGAGCCATGACGGTCCTGCAAGTGCTCGAGGAATCTTGCCATTGGAGCGGAAGCCATTCTTGCTGATCCCAATGGATTGTCAGAAACCGTTCTAGCTGGGCTTTTGTGGCCTGTTTGATGTTGAGATCCAAAGTCGGTTCGTCGTTCTCATATCCCTGGTAAGGGAAGTACTCTGTGGCGCCGTCGGCGGTTTGCTCATAACTCGAAAGACTAGAAAAGCCTGGCGAGATCTCCAGCTCTGAGACGTCGTAATCAGGGTCCTGGTCTGAAGTCAAGACCGTATTCCACCAAGATGAGCCCGCGGAATTGTCGACTTGACCGGTGTTGATGTGGAGCATCGATGTGGTTGCCATCTTTGCTAAAGGTGATCAGAGTGCTTGTAAAGAGTTTGGTATCAACTGCAGTCCTTGTGGTTGTATGAGTACAGAGCTCATCGTGAACAAGAGTCGAGATAGGTGGCCGGCGGGCACGATTAAATGGTTTCGACTTTCGTCTTGGCAGCATATTCGGACTCGTTCAGTGCGGCGTTTCCGAATGCGAGGTTTCGGTGCGGAATCTTTCCAGCCTGAACTCCTCACATGAACATGAAGCAGTGAGATAAGATGCGAAATAAATGTGCAAAAGATACCAGTCACTCATTGTCTTGGCCTCCCTTTCCGGTCCTTTCGATGTGACCAATCATGAGCTGCCTGAATGATCGCATAGGCGCAAACTCACACGAGGATGTTTCCTCACTCGTCAAAATGATGGGACATCAGACTTGGAGGGATGTCTCGAAGGGACCGGAGGTGGTTCCGGCTTGTGAGCCAAGAAATGGGTGAAGAAGAGATCAGGGGGCGTGAAAAGGGAGAAACGTGTGTACGTTGGCCAAAAGACACCGCCTTCCGCCAGTTCTGTGTCGATCCCATGGTTGTAGGTGTGACGGATATGGGGGAGTTCATCATCTTTCGGAGAAACATTGTCTTGATCTCACTTCAGCTTTCTTGTTTGGCGACACAGCCAAGCCGCGGAGGGAGACATCAAGTGGGGTTGTACAATATCCTGCGTGCCGCGTCGCTGGTGCCCTTCTTAGCACCGACCGCGCGGCTCGAGGTTATGTAGGGTGTCAAGAAGTGGTTTTGAGGTAAGACGACTCAGGGCTGTTCCTTGCTAGTACTATGGCGGCGGTAGCCAGTTGGAGATGTGACAGTATGTCACTGCTACACTGATGGTATCACTGGCGGGCAATTTACCGGTATGAAGACGGATTCAAGCGCAATATGCCTAGGGAGCAGGGTGCGTTGCCTGCCGGCGCGTCTAGCAGCTGGTCCATCAAGCCTCCTGAGCTTGCCAAGTCTTAGAGAGACATGCAATGACTCTGTGCAAAGTGGCCGTGAGAAAACGTTTTCTCATGTAGGTCCTACTGATTTTCGTCTATCCGGCCGAAAATTCGATGGATGGCATTTCAAAGATTTAAGTCCTCCTACAAGCATTGCATATCTTGTGGGGACTTATGCAAACTTGGAGTTGCTCAGACATAGACAGACTGTGGCAATACTTCATCTAGCAGTGAAGTTATCAGTAATTATCACAGTCATAAACGAAAATGAGAAAACATCAAGCCCTGCCAACCATCCAGTAAGGGACCACAACGCCGGGACGGTCACAACTTTGACCAAGGCGGACCCTGATCCCAAGGCCATGGCACAGGCGCACTTAGAACGTCCCAATCCCGTGGCATAAACGGCCAAACATTAAAATCAAAAGTCCCTATCAACCCGAATGACTTCTAAGACCTGCATGAATGAGGTTCCAGACTTTTCAACCCATGTGTCATTGGGACTCAGCCTACGACTGCTCCCTGATATGTCACTGACAACTTCATCCCGTCTCTTTCGAAGTCTACCGTTTGGTAGGCTCTGATCCTCCAAACATCAAGGCGGTACTCTCACGGGACAGATGTCCTGCTCCGGTTGTGAAGTGTCTAGACGCGTCATGTCTGCTGTATGTCTCACTTCAAGGACTACAATACAACCCCTGAATCATTGTTAGCGCGGTACGTATGTTGCAGTCAGAATAACTATCACGGCAATATAATTGCTTATGTTGGCAGTTGTTAAGAATGTTGTTCTGGAGGTAGTTTACTCATGTTTCACTACAATAATTCAGGGGGCATATTGTACTCCGATGCCAAACCAAATCTGACAAGGGACCCCCCCCCCCCCTGTTGAAAAACGCTGACCGCCCTTACGAACCCACTGGACAAGCAATGTCTCAGTCCTGATTCCTCATCAATCGGACTTCGGAGCTCGCTCCGTCTCTGGAGGGTCTTCGTGCTGACGTGACTGTACTTCGTGACTGAGTACAAGGAGATATGCAACTAGATCCCGCGTACTGACACGAGTCTGCAATCATCCCAAATCAGGCCGGTTGAAGGCAGTAAACGAGACGCCTGGCTTTCTGGACTCGGCATAAGAGCAGAGATGTGAACCAATATTTCTGGCCTCAATACCCGGGATTTGAGAGTAAGACAAACATATTGCCAAGCCGACTAAGGCTTTCAAAAAGCAATACATAAATAACTCTTAACATTTGCTCGCTTAGAGCGGGCAGGCAGACGAAATTCAGCTTGAACTGCTTTTCAGCCCAAACTTCGTGACGGACTAATCAAGGCATCCAAGATCGGCGTGGAATGGTGTGAGTGGCATTGAGAGACACGGGTAGGACTAAAGCTCAGCCATAAGCTCAGCCAGGCCCGGTGAGAAATCAGTGCAGTCAGACTGTAAAGAGGAATCAGTACAGGGCGAATGCTAAGAACGGGGGATGTTTTAGCGGGGGTTGTCTCGCGATTTTGGGTACAGGGCGAGAGACAGGGCTCAGTCTCTCAAATGTTTCTCACATTACCACCCCTTGGCATGTTGACAGCCACTTATTGTTATTGTCGCTGTAGCCTGTCTCTGACGTCGTTTTTACTGTCTTCTTTGTTGTTGCGGTCTTTGCTGTTGTTATCTTCGTCGTCTTCGTCGTCTTCGTCGTAGTATACGGCTTATTCTGTTTACTTCCTCATCCATTTACATGCGGAACCAAGTCACCCATTCCTAATGCAAGGGCAGCAATTTGGCATCATTGTTGACGCGGACTTATTAACCGCAAATTTGAGTCCTTATTGTACGTAGCTTTCTATTTGATCAATCCACTCTCGGCTCAGAAGTGTCCATCTCAGAAATTGATTCCCCTCAGTGGCATTTCTTTTCACTCCTCACTCGCAGCATCGTGGTGCCGAGATCGTCTCCAAAAATTGCCCGATGATAATGGAGCCTTCCCTGGTTCAGGCAGATGGCTCGTTGTGGGAAATACAGGTGCTCGGGTGTCCACTTCGTTCGCTGGACAAGCCGGGATCTGAAGGAGTTCCCGGTGACTTCTGGGACAGAGTAGGGCTCCGAAGATTGTGAGAGATACCAAAGCCGGCGCGGGGCGGGGTACTGGGGCCATTCATTGCGTCGAAGATGTCGTATTCCCAGGGCTGGGCCGTCTTATCAAAAAACTGCTGTGGTCGGCTCTTGTTGGTCAAGGTTTCCTTATTCGAGGTCTCCTTGTTGAACGTCTCCTTGATCAATGTCTTCTTTCTCACCGCGGTCAAATTCTTGGACGGCACCTTAGAGAAAAGGGTCAGCAGGCTGTCTATGAAAGAAACCCATAGATGGTAGAGAGCTTTAGATATATGCGAAAATACCTTGATCGCGCGCTTTCCTCGGCGACGGTCGATGGTAGGAGAAGTCGGTGGTTCGCGGTACACCAAAACCGACTTTGGCGGAGTGAACCGCCCGATACGACGACGCTTAGAGCTGGTCTTGGAGCTACCGCTCAGAGTGACGTCGCTTGTGGCAATTTCATCATCTGACATGTAGTTGAACGGGCGGGGGCTCGCGGGTGACGGTCCAGCGGTACGGGGGGAGTGGTGTTTCGAGCCGGATTCGGATGGCATGATGTAATGGTTGACGGAGAAAATGGGGGAATACTGGTGAGGTAGTATCAATAACAGATTTGTTATCGGCTGAGGCGTGGTGATATTGGAGGGTGGTGATGTTGAAACTGTTGTGGAAGTAAAGAACAGACGCTGATGCAACGAAATTCTCAAGGACGAAGTGTCCGAACGGGCAAGGACTCATTCGAGGGAAGACAAAGGCCATTAAATTTGACAAAGAATCATTATAAACAATCTGATTGTATTCATGCGACGCACTTGCTAACATTTCTTTCATAAAAGTAACTACCAGGAATACTGCGTTCCGTTTCCAGGCCAATCCATCCCAGATTTACTTCCCAGCATACCTATCCCCTACATATTCCTTCGAGATCATCGAAGAGGCAGAAAAATGCAGATTCAAAACTACGCACTTCCGTGAAACTCATGATTCCTCGATGGCCAGGCAGAACCAGCAAGAAGGAAGGAGCAAGCGGGAGAACTTAAGCGGCAAGAGCCACTCCTTCCTCGCACATTCCTTCCCTTCCGAAGATAGACAAAAATTTGTCAATTTATCTTCACGTCGCCTTTTCTTTTTCTCAATCGTCTTCGTCAGGCTTTCCCTCTCTTTTCCAGTCTTGCCACCTCCACTCCAAACACTCGCCAGCGACCAGCAACCTACACCACAAACTTGCAGTTGACAACACCTTCCCACCTGACAACAAGATGGGTCGACAGAAGCGCGGCGTTAACGAGTCTGAGGACTTTCCCGCTTCTCGACCAACCAGAAAGATCTCTGCCAGGCCGAGAATTCTCACGCGCCGAGAAGCCTCGATGGCTCATCCCCTCGCCACTCTCCGGCCTCCTTCAGTGCGGACTCCTTGCCGCAAGAAAGTGCCTACTAAGCCCCAGTCACAAATCCCAGAGAATAGTGGTATACCCTCATACTTTCTCCTCCTCTTTTTAATCCCTTTACTTAGGTTTGGATTCGCTAACTTTACCTTTACTTCAAGATGCAGATTCCGACGTTTCCGACTTCGCTGGCGAAAACAACATCACATCGAGCCCCTCATCCGACGACTCCGTCATCGAATACACACCCACCGTATCTACAATCTCTGGACATCGTTCCAGTGGGAGCAGCCGCAGCTTACTCAACTCTCGCCCCATTGGGAACACCTTCCGCGAACACCTAAACGATGGCACCCCGACAAGATCTACAGGCCGAAATGGACTGAACAATCTTCCAAGAATTGCGTCGACGAAGGCCATGTCACAGCATGAGACCTCAAGCAGGGACTATGCTGCCGTCACTTTCCTCATTCGGAACGGACCCGTGAACGATGTGCTCATTGAGCGTGGCAAGGAGTTGCTGGAAGACCTTTTTGCTGGCTGCGATGTCGATCCTACCACCACCAGTATGGTCAGCTTGGATGATTCAGATTAATGGGATTGGAAACGATGATTTGGGGCAAGAATTGGGCGCGGGTGGATCCAGACGGCAGAGATGACGATGTCTCTTTTGGGGATACGGACAGGTCATGGGTTGGAAAGGGGCTTCTCTTGAGGAATGTTTTTTGGGACATGCGGTGGTGATTCCCAAATTCTTGGTAATTCGTGCGACATATCCATTGATTTGGGCAATGGAATAATGTTACAGCTTGGCAACATCTGCCAAAGAGGCTTTCGAGGAGAGAATCATATTCTTCGCACAGAAGTGAAGGCAAGTTCTACATCATAGGCTCCAGTTAGCACACAATTTTCTTTGATGCCGCCATGAGCGCATCTTTTTCCGAGCGACGCGGAAAATACGACTCTCAGATCATTGTACTGAAAGTCTCCTTAGCCTGCAGGCTGCAGCCTTGACTCCTCATCTTCACATCTCCAAAAGGAAATCGCCACGGTCCTTCCTCCAAAAACCACCCTTCATTGACTTCTTGCGCCCGGCGGGCTCGACCGGACTTGACTACCTATTCTTCAAGCGTACCGCCTTCTGCTTGGTGCGGAATTTCCACCCGACATCTACTTTTTTTTCTGCTCAACAACCTCAACCACGAGCTTCGCACTTCTACAAAACGCAATAACAGCACCGCCTGCGTCATCCTCAACTCATTGCAATTAGCATCACCCATATCCATCACACCATGTCTTTGTCCGTCATTGCCATGGCCGGCGATCAGCGAGTCCGTATTCCGACCATGCGTTACGACGACAACAACTCCCCCGTACATCTATATGTCAACATACAAGACGGCAACAACCTACGCGAGGTCGCTGTCACCATCTACCCCGGAAGCCAACAAGTCTCGTGCGAGTTTGCCATGACGAACAATTCCGAGATTAGCGCCCGCCAAGACGAGTTTCACTACGCGAAGGAACTGGTAGCGAGAATACCGATCGCGAAGCGGTCCGGCGAGGGCCATGTAGGTGCTGGGACCGACAACAGCATGCGTACGACGGAGGTCTCTTCCGACACTAGCGGCGAGAACGCCCATCGGCATACGGCGACGACACAGGCCTATTCTCATCGTCGTAGCCCCCGATTTCCGTCAAATACTACCGATATCACACTCATAAGCTCTACGGTTGCCTCCGTGCCGACCACGACAGAGGAAAACCTCATCCACAGAAAAGGCTCCGAGCCAAATAACAGATTTCGCCCCTCCAGAGCAAGATCTTTCCCGCAAGTCGCAGCCACGGATCGTATCCTCCGTTCGGATCGCCAATTCCCCGCGAAAATGGCCTTATTGCCATTCAAAGCCAGCAAGAAGAAGATCGACCGACTTCACAGGACCGAGAAAAAACCTGTGCCAACCTATAGTCCCCGTATCACTAGAAGTGGCACTCAACGCGCCAATGCGTCTATGCGTCGCGTTCTTCGTCCACGTAATGGGGGTGCGGTCAGTGTTGATAGACGGCGGGGAGACGCTGGCAAGGAGAACCACAGAGGACCGGAGAAGACTACACTGGTGGCTGGCAGGTCTAGCTGCCTCAGAAAGCCCAGATGGGCTTGAAACAGTATGTGGGGAAAAGGGCCTTTAAATCGATAAAACAACTTGGTTAGATGGCGTACATATGGACAACGGGTGTTTGAGTGCCGGTACCATTTGCACAGCAGATGTAGCACCGCGGCGGTACATTTCACAAGGATGAAGGAAGTAATAGACAAAGAAACCAATGACATCTGTTTCGAACTGCTTAAACGAACAGAACACAATGACGAAAACGATGGAAGAAGGACGAAATGGTTGACTAAGGCCTGAAGACCGACATTGACATGAACAGGCCGGCAATTAAAATCATATCTAGCGAGTTGGCTAGGCACGATCTGGAGCAACTGATATGGCTCAGTCTTGGGTTTGAATGTGAAAGTCGAGGATTAGCTCCCAGTAGATCCTCTAAGACTGAATCGCCATCGGGCCGGTCATGGGGAATGCCAACCCGGGACCGGCAACCTTTCGCATGGCGTAATCTCGGCTGGCGGGTCGCAGCTGGCATCTACCGAGTTGATGTTGTTGGTTACGGGAGTCCTCTCCCACATGCCGGCCGGTGGTCCACATACCGCAACACACGGACGCGGGGACCGACCCCTTTAGGCGGCGATGCCGGACCCGCCGGGTCCCGGGGCTGACTGACGGCGGAGGCGGGATCCAGTTCCGATCCCCAGCATTCGGGTATTCTGACGCAAGTCGAAGCATTTTCAAGACTAAAATTAGTTTCCGAAGGCTAGTGGGATCTGATCGTGCTCGGTCTTGACCCACTTCCATCGTCCAAGGGAACAACACCACGGGCTAAGGCTGAGAAAAGAGATCCATCGTGGACGAGCATAATCTGAGGATATTGTTCAAGCTTTATCAGAGCAAGCAGACCCCAGCGGCATAATTATCTTTTTAAGCCTTCTGGAAAGAATGGAGGGTGATTGAGGCAAGCTTTGCCGGAGTCAATAAGCAATAAGCATTAAGGCTATGTTGGTTTTCACTCTGAAACCGGGTTGTCATCGCCAGTGCACTCCACCATTACCGGACATCCTGGACTCATCCACCTTACACTGGTCTGGCGCAATGAAGCGCGGCTGTGTAGCCCACGAGCTGTCGACTACCAGGGAAGCACGGAACGCAGCACGACAGCCGCATGAATCGTTGGTGTTCGGACGATTCAGCCAGGAACGTATGGGTAAATGGGACGATCAGGCTTGCTGTGTGGTGTTCAACTGACGTGGGATGTCTCCGCATTGCGGCTGTTATAATGGAGTCTATCAAACGGCAACTTCCATCACTCCATGCTCGAGTTCCTGAAGTGGAAACATCACCCTGAGACTCGGCCAAAGATCCCTTCTCGAAGCCCCTTTTGTGATTCTTTACAGCCTCTCGGCTCCCGATATACCCAGTCATGGAATTCAAGTACCTTGTCAGCTTGGAGGATCTTCACGACAAGGAGCTGACATGCTCGCCATTTCGCGAGACACGTCAACTTGTGGCGGGCCATCGTGAGATCCAGGATTTGGCAGCTCAGCATGGCAACAGCACATTCCAGGAAGTGGACTTTCAAAGATAAATAGAGCCATTCGCCCTCACATCAGTAGCTTGTTTTCGTCACACTCAGTCACACTCATTCACTCACTGATACCACCAACTCACTCATTCTCTCGCTCACCTTCTTTCACTGCCTCTTCAGGTTCCCAGTCTCTCAACCACCAACTTAATCCATCAAAATGCAATTCTCTACCATCTTCCTCGCCGCTGTTGCATGCGCCACTGGGTAAGTCTCGGGAAATAATTACAACGTCTTCAGGACTCAGCTCACCAATCTCGTCAGCGCTGTCGCCAACCTGCACACCCAGGCCTGGTGCATCACCAACGGCCTTCAGGACAACGACCCCAAGGTACGCACTCGGCACAGCTCCTCTGAACAAGAAGGCATACTGACAAACAACTCAGAACTCCGATGCCACTCAAGCTGCCTGCGGGGCTTACAAGGGTCGCCACACCGGCAACGAGCAGTGGGACTCTTGCCCGGATTGCGAGGTCGTAAGTCGATACTCATGCCCCATGAGCCGAGAACACAGAAGCTAATTCTCTTTCAGGGCCTCAAGGACAAGGACGTCCAGGTCTGCAACTCTCCCGCCAGCCACATTGGCGGTGATGAGTGGGAGGAGTACTGCATCCAGTTCGGTGCCGAGAAGGGCAAGGCCAACTAGATTTCTGGCCTAGAGAGTCGCGGACGTTTTGTGGCTTTCTTTGTAATGCAACTTCAACATCATTAGACGGTCGAAGAATGATAATGAGTCAACAACAACTTTAGTTGGATGGTGCATATGTTTGCTTTATGACACACAAAACGGGTGAAAGAATCGTGTTTCCAGAAACATGAATAGGTTGTGGTTATGAGACCAATCTGAATCACAAAAGCTGTCATCACAACGGTAACAGGAACGGGGCTTGTTTGCCCCAACTCTTGATCGGTCAATGATTGGCACTATAACCAACTTGAATGTGGCAGTTTGGTCATTCCCAGCGGATAAATCGTATTAAGAGCTGGTCTATTTCCAAACCAACACCAGAGGAAGCAAACAAAACCAACCAATAAGGGACAGATGCCGCCATGTGGCACAGTCACCCCCTCCCTAGTTGTCCCAATAGAGTATCTCGACCGAGCTTGGCATCGAGACAGTTACACAAGGTGTACCCGTTGGTTGGTTGGTCCTCCTTACTCACAAGCAGCATTCGATGCACAGCAACCGGAGAAATTTGGTCGAACGGGTCGAGGGATTTGCCCGGTCCAGCAGCCAATATCCTCGAACCAGAGAGTCTTCGATCTTCTCGGCAGCAACACCTTCTCCAAATTCTGCTGATTCCACAAGAAGCCTCTGGTCGCTGCGAGCTCATCATGCCTCCCATAGTGGATATCACCGCGGATTCAGCAGAAGCGGGCGACGGTCTTGTGTTCGTATCATTCTCACACCCCGGCGACATAGCGGAATGCGCGACACAGATTCGTTCCCACGTGGCTCGCAAGAACCATCCTCGGCGAAAACGAAAGCCGCAGCCTACCATCACCTGCAATCCACAAGATCCTGAGCAAAGTTCCACCCTGGTGCAGAGAACCGGCGCTGTTCCTCAGTCATACTTCCAATCCATACTGTGGCCGAGAGGATATGACCCAATCGCCGCCTTCATGCAGCAGCTGCCTCCGAATGAGGATAAGCTGATAAGAGTCTGTGGGTTGCAGTCTCGGTCGCAATTCTACGACTTCTCATCTGACTTGTGGTTTAGTTGTGAAGCACTCCGTGCTACGAAGCATGAACTACGCCGCGAATCCAGAGACGATGCTCATCTCAAACCAAGACGCGTTCTGGCGCTCCGTGACTCGGTACTGGGTCCAAACAGCGTTCATAGACAGAACCATGCTTTCGTACATCTTCCTCATTACCTGTCGATACCTGGCAGAGCGCAAGCCGGATTGGAACCATCGCCTCTCGCAGAAAGCACTCCAGTATAAGCAGAAGTGTTTGCGGGAACTAGATTTTGCCTCGCCCACTTCGGATCAAATGATAGTCAAGCGATTCGCACTGGCAGCAGACGAAGTAAGTCGCTCACTCGGCCACAGCTTCCATCATTGCTGACAACTTTCCAAAGATGATCTGTGGAAGCCCAGTTCGGGCACAGGAACACATCAGGAGCGCGGGAGACCTGTTGCGGGTCAAGACGATCAAAGGACGGGGTGGAGATTTCTCGTTTGACGAGAGCACTGGCAGATTGGTCATTAATTTCTCGGAGGGGTTTGATGGTAAGCTCTTGGGTACTGTGAAGTGGAAAAACCCCTCCTCCAAACCAGAGTCGGACGAGGAGGGTGAGACGGAGTTCACTTATTTTATGGGCAACGGGAACACGCCAGCCGCAAACGTGTTCGCAGGTTAGATACGTCGGTGGTGGCTCTTGATCACCAGCTCAGCGGTGCCATTATCGCCCTTTCTTTTGCGATCTACCATTGACCGGAAATCTTTCTCGTCGTGAGGCGCGTGTTCTGGAGCCATCTTGGCATGGCTCTAGAGAAGAATGATGGCCGTATTGGTGGATCAACGCTACAATGAGACTGTTATGAGTGGTAAACATAGAACATAGAAATTGTCAAATGATGAGAGAAAAGAAAGTCAATTCAAGTAAGCTCCAGAATTTCACAGACACAGGAGTAGTAAATCGTGGTGAATCTCTGTCACAATGGCGAAATTTGATAGGGCAGAGGGAGGCTCCTGACGTGAAGACTGTATATTGTTTTGCGGTGCATGGTTGTGGTGAAGTTTCCAGATAGACAATCTGAAATCAGGCAAAGATTGACGATTGATTCTCGTGGACGTCGTTGACCGCAGGTCGATGAACCCATTGACATCAATGCACTTGCAGATTGGCTAGTCTTAGTCTGGATGCTGTCCACTCTGGCGAACCCTCGTGACCGGTCGTGGTCTCAGTCAGTCCCGCTGTTTGGCTTCTCAAACGAGATGACGGCGTACTGGAAAGTACCGTTTGCGTAGCCCCGTCTCATGGCGCGGAAGGATTGCAGGAAGGCGATGCCGTCGCGACCCTGACTTAGGGCAAATGCCCAGAGCGAAGGGTTTTGGACCAGAGACCACGTTATGTCCCTGAAGAAGTCATTAGTCCTACTAAGCAGGCACGCTGAGGTTCAGTCTTACCAAGTTCTGCTCACATCTTTGCTGATGTCTTTCGGTCCGGCAAGAAGGGTGAGCCCGCCCTGCTTGGCCAAGTCGACGTATCCTTGCTGGGTGCACATGGGAGGGAGGAGCATGCCGTCTAGAGAGGTCTGGTCAGTATGATTGATCCTGAGACGATCGGTATGACTGACCTTCGATTGGCTTGATGTCGTTGTTGAAGTCGGCCTCGCTCAGATCCTCAGCCTTGAACCAGTCTGCGAGCGCCAGCTTGCCGCCAGGCTTGAGGACTTTGAAGGTGTTCTCGAAGAAGAGCGCTTTGTTGGGGAAATGGCTCAGCGCCTCGCTGATCCAGACCGCGTCGAAGGAGCCTCCCTGGCCAGCAAAGAAGTCGCCCATCTTCTCGGCATCGAGCTCTACGAAGCGCACCTTGCCCTTGCCCAATCCGAAGAAGCCGTCGGCGTCGGGCTCGACTTCGGCATTCTCCTGGCCCTTTTCGGCTGCGGCTTTTGTGAGTCGGTTGGCGATCTCGACCTGCTTGGTCGAAATGGTGATACCGGTCACGGAGCAGCCGAGAGTCGAAGCGAGGTATCGAGAGGTGCCACCGATGCCGCAGCCGACATCGAGGACGGTGCTGTTCTCTCCGACACTGGAAAGCTTGAGAAGGAGTCGAATGAGGTTGATCTGAGCTTCCTCCTTGGTCTGAGAATCGTTCTCCCAGTATCCATGGTGGATGTGCTCGCCCCTGAGTTTGGATGTTAGCCATGTACGAGCTTCCTGCTACACAAGAATGAGAACAGGACTGTGCGAGAGCTTCTTGTTCGGACGAGTCGATGCGTCAAGGGGCGGACTAAATCACGCTAACCCCGGGGGCAAGTCAACACTATAGTATCGCGATCATTATTTGTGTTTTAGGTGCCCATTGGTGTCGTTGGTGTCGTCCTTGTCATTGGTATTGTCATTGTTGTTGTCGTCGTCGTTGCCGCCGTTCCTCATTGTCGTAGTATTGGGTCCGTATTCAGCGTCACGTATTGCGGTGCGGGGGTGCTGACTTTCCCGGGGATAAATGATTTAGCTGCACCTGCACGAACTCTCTCTCGCTCATCTTGTTGAGCGCTACGTCTCGGTTGGTGGCATAGGTACGAAAGGCAACTGAAGGTTCGTGGTGCAATTACGGAGCAGGGAAGCGGCATACCAAAGGCTGAGATAGTAGTCACTGGCGAGATCATAATGCAGTTTGATCCGGTCCTTCAGTGCCTGCATTGTCGAGTGAGCCAAGCCGAGAGGGGTGTCATATTGCTGACTGAGCGGCGTAGTCGAACTGTCTACCGTGGCGGCCATGACGAGAGCAGAGGACGAATTGACGCGTGAAAACGACTATGCAAGAACCCGTCTGTGTGCAACGAAGACGCTTGCTTCACTTGATGATGCTTTTCTGAAAATGTACTCGCTCAGATTGAACGAACGGTTGGACAGCTGACAGCTTCAGGAGCTTGGGTAACGGGTAGCAGGCCACTCCCGTACCCACGGACGGCCTCGGCTCAGCTGAGGGTACATGGCCAGCCATACGAGTCTCGTGCATTGCGCGTGTACTGCTTGAGGTAATGCGTGCATCAACAATAAGGTCACCTTCCTCAACATGTTGGGTGAAACCTCTCCGCTCGCCCAACCGAAAGGTGACGTCGGAAACTAAAACAGCCAACTGCATGACCGTGCCGCATCGTCAAGGTTGTCGGGGCGGGGAGGACCTGGCGGGAAGGATCTGGCGGGAAGGAATGGCCTCCAAACCACCTCACTGGGCTGCCTTATGTAATATTTGAGTCAAGCCACATTAGCAGCATCACGTGACTCACGTGACTGAGGTGTGATGTGGCTGGTGACACTGAGCCAAGTTCTAAAAATAGCCGGCATCCTCAGCCGGACCTTGGTACCTTGGTAAGCCGGCCAAGCGCGCAGCCTCAGCCACGCGCCGGGACATGTCACAGGGTGGCTGCGCCCAGCGCCCAGTGCCGAACGCCGGACCGGGGCCGGGTGGAACCCCTTTCATCTGCCAACCTGGAAACCTTTTCTCAGTGCTCACACAAGGCAATGAGCGCCGTCTGTGCAGGAAAGTCAGTCGCCCAGCAAAAGGAAAAAAAAGGAGAAACAGGGGCTTGATTTACGGGGAACGCAGCCCAGCCTCACCCCAGCCCACGTCCGCGTCAGCGCCTTACCTTGTTTACGTATTTTGCCTGTCTATCGTATTGCGAACGGTCACTCTTTTAAAACTCATTCGGTGTTTCTGACAAGAGCAAGAGAGATTCCTTCGTTTCTCGTGTTTACCACTCAAAAGCTGAGCTTATCTGTCGCTACCAACAAACCCACTCTCACACTCGCTTCATCTCACTCAACCCAGCATGGCGCCGGTTCACCCAACGACGGCGCGACAAACGCTGGCTCATGCAGGCGCTATTGCCAATGTAGCTTGGAAAAGAGCTGCAGTCGTTGCCGGCCCAGAGATTGCGCGCCGCGCGCTCGCTCGCCGCGACTTGAGCGTCAACCACACTCAGGGTGTTACCCTTGGTGTCATCGCAGCCTACGTTGTGGTCATTGCCATTCTCTGGAATGTTCCTTATGTCAAAAATGTCCTCTGGCCTTTTAAGATGCTCACAGTTGCATTTCACGAATTTGGTCATGCCATCGCTGCGTGCTGCACCGGCGGCCGCGTCGTTTCCATCACTCTGGATCCGAACGAAGGTAATTCTCTGAGAATTAAAAGAGAATATGCATGGAAACTGACTTAGAAACAAGGTGGTGCAACTTTGATGAAGGGTGGAAAACAGGCCAGTAAGTGAAGAGACAACCCCCCCCCCCCCCAACTCCTTCGTTCGACCACGAATTGATGCGTGATGATGTCCACAATGCTAACACGATATTCTCTCGAAAGTAACGCTTCCTGCAGGATATTTAGGATCAAGTCTCATCGGCGGGCTATTAATCTTCGCGGGCTTCAATATCAATGCCAGCAAGATAGCCTCATTCGTCCTGGCTGTCTGCTTTCTTTTGACCCTGTGGTGGGGTAAGAGAGACTGGCTGACGATCCTTACGGTCCTTCTTGCCGTGGGATTGATCATTGCTGCTTGGTTTATTTCTCATGCGCAGGCTTTGAGATTCGTCGTTGTAAGTTGATCACTTGGTATGAAAGTTGATATGATCTAACGACGCACAACAGCTCTTCCTCGGTGTCATGAGCGCCCTCTACAGCGCCTGGGATATTGCAGATGATCTTATCTTGCGCAAGGTCAACGAATCAGACGCCTCGGTTTGTCTCTTTTCTCATCTTTCACTTCAAAAGGCTCAGAAGCACTAAGACAAGGAAACAGGTTTTTGCCAAAAGATATGGCGGGTCCAGTCGCTGCTGGGGACTGATCTGGATTGTGATTTCCATTCTCTTCATGGTCGCAGCCATCATTGCAGGTCTCGCCGCGTTCCCTCAGTCCTTTGCCGAACAGGAGAGCGATTCTCAGAAGTTCCTGCCCACCTAAAGGCAGAACGGTATCCTACGGAAGCATCAGATCACGCGATACAAAACATGAGAAAAGAGCAGTCTCACAATGCTCAATAATAGAGGAGAAGGCTCTTCCGCGAAGAGCATCGGCGACTCCGACGAGATTCGGACTCCGCGCGTTCCACCGAGGATCCACCCACATTCCGGATTCTGAGTGGAGACTGGTACGGCCCCGGCAACCGCCGACGAAGAGAGGATACTGAGACACGCTGAAGTCGACGTGGAATATCATACAGATGGCGACGGGTAATGGGAATGGCCGGGACGAGGAAGCACTGTCTGAAAGCATTTCAGGGGGTGAGGGCACGAGAACCACAAAGATTACGAGCATCATGACCGCGACAGACCGAACAACCACGGACATACCGTCGCGATTCGGTTACCATGTGGACGGATATCGGCTACTTTACTCATGGGTAGGGCTTCTTTCTGAAGGGCACGACAGGAGTTTCAGGTCGATTCGATGTTGTTTTTTCTCTCATAGGGCATTGCTATGTACCAATCAGAAGACGAGAATTACAGGGAATGAGCGTTCAAGTGTCATGCGACGTCAGTGACAAACTTCTCGCAGTGGGACAATGATTAATCGCTGTTGAGGTTACAGAAATTATAACCTTGAGTGTTATTACAATGAAGATACGACTAACAAGTAATACATCGGGACGTCAACGCCATCGACGACACGAGGACACCAGAGCAACAAGGATAAAGAGGACAACGAGGGCGACTACGACAATAGAGACTAAAATAACGGGCGATGACGGACGACGATGACGGACGACGACGACGGACGACGATGTCAGACAAAGGGATGTGAGGGCGACGAAGACGACAAGAACAATTACGACGACGCTGACGGGGACGACAGAGATGACAGCGGCGACGGGTATGGCAATGGCGATGAGAGAAGCAAATGAATGATGAAGACGAGCATGGAAACAACTAGGGCAAGGCAACGATGGCGAGAGGCGAGGAAGACGAGGATCGGGACGACGATAGCAACAAATCCGACGACACCAACGAGAAGCTGGACCGTAACAAGTTCATCACCTACCTACACAAGACTTTTCCCATCAGATTCTCACCGCGAATGAAAATACATTCCCTCGAAAACAGCACGATAACCAGCCACCTCAGCACTTTCCAAGATCAAACTCAACAGCTCTGCCACCCAAAGCTCAGCGACTCCGTCACAGGCGACGTCCCACTCTCCTTCCGCTCTCTCCCGAAAACGACACGCCCAGCCTGAGAGACGATGCGGAACGTGACGTTCAGGATACCGACATACCCGTCTCCTCCAACGCACGTCGACGCCGAGTTCAGACGCTGAGCAACAGCCACGTTCCTCACAACAGCGCTGGAACCCGCCGACGTAGTTGTCTGCTTGGTGACCTGGTAACGAACTCATCATTAGTTCCTTTCCATTCCCAAAAGCATCCTCAGACACATTAAGCACACTCACCGTATCACCCGCCGTCTCGCTCCAATACGCCGTCGTATAAAAGTCCACCCTAGAATTGGCGCCGAGATACAGCCCACCCCGGACAACGACATCCTGCAACTGCAACGCCTTGCCGGGTTCGCCTTGATCGACGAGCAGATGCACCTGGCAGCTCGTCATCTGCCCGGCCGCGAGAGACTCGCTAAAGTCGGAGAACGTGATGGTCAGGTCGTCGAGGCCCCCGGACCAGGTCACCTTGGCGTCTTGGGGACAACCCGGACCGCTGTGGGTGAGCGACTTGATCCGGGCGGCGGCCGCGATGCCGGCTCCCAAGGATAGGAGGAAATGGGTGATGCGAACCATTTGCGAATTCGTTGGTCTTGCGGATGAGGATGACGAGTTACGGTTTTGCATCCGTCGGCCGCCTTCGATTCCACGGTGCGGGGCAGACATTCTCTTATAATGCGTCGTGATCATGGAGGAGGAGGAGGCCAAGGTTCTGGAAAAGATCGAGACCAGTTAATATCGAGCCAACTTGCCACGGAGGGGTCGGTTAATTGTACATATAGCCAGCAGATTAACACCCGCGCCGCCGATGCGACTTTCCGGGCTCCTAGGACATGTCGTTCGTGGTTCGCTTACGGGACCAGCGAAGCCGGAACCAAACATTCTGGCTACTCTAAATTTTCAGCTTTCAACAAGGCCATGCTCATGCTGTATGTGCCTTGAGCTGTAGGTCAATATTGCTGCCATGGACGCATTCTGAACATCACGGCGTAGCAGCCTAAAAGTAACATATTGATCATACGCCACATCATCAGGAGCCACACCGTCCGTAGCAGGATGGTCTAGTTCGCGATAACGGCAACGGCCAAACGCTCCGTCTAGGCTTCAATAAGTTGTGTGGCGGGTGAGCCAAGATGGCCAATGGTCGAATCACTCCAGCACGCGACCGAGACAAGGCCAGGGATCAAGCACACAAAATGGTTGGATGCCTCAAGCGCAAGATTGTTGAAATAAATGATCAATTCACCAATATCTAAGCATATCTCCGACCTGCCCTCTCTTTAATGGTACCATGCCACCATGATGCTGCGCCTGACTCCAATGATGCTCATGTTGATCCTGTATCATGCAATCATCCCCGTGCGTCTATCTAGTTACTTTGACGGCTAGTCCCAGCTCATCCAGTTGGACCTGAGGACGTCGTCTTCTTCATGCGATTGGTCGGTCAATTGACCGGCCGGCTCAGTCGCCTTCTCTGTTTTATTTTCCTCGTCCGAGGAGCTCACCCTCCCGTCTACGAGTCAATCCCATAGTCCTCCTAAGGAATCTCCCACTGCAACGAGCTCGCGGCTGCTGACCTCGGGTAGATCCTTGCTCACTTTCTCGTTCGTCTCGATATCTTCTGACCCTTCGCGGAGCCAATTGCGATCGCTGTACGGTTCTGGGTCCGACATGTCGGTATGCGACTCAACGTCACCATCAGAAGAGTGTAAATCTGATGTTTCCAGCTCAGTGTGTGAAGTCACTTCGCCTCTGGATCCCGGAGCTAGAGGATCAATATCGATGGCAGGCGTCATGAACAGGTTGGGGTTGTGAGCCAGTGAGCCCTCTGAGTGTCGTGTTCGGTGCAGCGGAGGCGTAACAGGTGTACCAAAGTCGAACTCAACAGCCTGGAGTTGTGCCGGGTTGATGGGGCTAGTCATAGGTCCCCGAGCCAAAGACACGTTGAAATGGCTCTTGGCCGCTCTTTTGAGGCGTGGTTTGCGGACGAGGACAGGCGATGAGCTGCCGTGACCGTGCCTGGCGCGCATCTCCAAGCGCTCCTCCTCCTCGGTTTCCTCGTCAGTGAGCACGTTCTCCATCAGTCTTCGGTGGTGGGCCATGAGCTGAACACTGCTGCCCGAGCATCGTCGCTGTCTGTTTTTGACACCCTCTGTATCCAGAGTGAGAGCAGGAGCTCCCGAGACCGAGGGGATGGCCTTGGGATCTGACGTAGATTTAGGCCAGGGTGGCGGGAGAACGATGCCAGTGGTGAGTCTTCGCAGATCAACCTGGCTGTCCGAAAAGACGACACGGGCACGCAATCGGTGCACAGCTCGGTCTAGGGCGAGCTCGATCGCGCAGCGGTCGCGAATCCGACTGAGCTTCGGCCACGTCGCGCGCTCGCCCAAGAGACAAGCCCGCAGCATGAAATCCGGACTTGGGTTGCTCAGAATCTTTGGAATGTCGTGAATGCTGACCTCTGGAAGGATGTTAATATCGCCCGAGTACTTCTGGCTGAGAATGCTTCTAAGCTTGGTGACTAGGTTGGGGAAGACACCAATCTCCGCCAAGAAGTGCAGGCGATGCAGTGCCTCGTCTTTTGCGAGAGCCGTCAAGGTATAAACCCATTCGAGCTCTTGCTTGCTCGCCGATATACTTCTGCGCGCCGCCGTTGTATCATCGGGATCTAATTGGTCGTCGCGGGCCAAGAAAGGTACGACGTGCGGGTTGACTTGCGAAACGATGAAATGATTCACGTTGAACATCTCGGCAAGTCTCGTCATGGGCAGGTCGTTATCGACGGAGCCGTCGATCCATTTCTGCGGTGTCGGGTTCCACGGCATATGCTCGCCAGTGTCGGGATTCTTGACCAACAAGGGCGCAGCGCTGAAGACCAACGGGACGGAGCACGAGGCAGCCACCGCGGACCAGATCATGACGTTGGGCGCCGTGATATAGTTCAGCAAACGCGGAAGTTCGTACATGGACTCGGTAGAAACGCAGATGTTGAGAACCCGTCGAGTTCGGTTGTATGCTTCTTGGAACGTGAGATCTCCAACCAGGCCACGCATGACACGGGTCAGATGCTTGATATCAGACCAGCTACCCTCGGTGAGCAGCCTTCGCATGTGGTCGAAAACTCCGTCGGGGCTCTCGTCGGCGTCAAAGACGGCAAGATCACCATAAGGAAACTCCCTGATGAGACGAGGTATTTCTTCATCGGTCCGTGTGCAGATGACGGCGGACACAATGGAGCCAGCTGAGGCACCTGATATGATGCGCGGCAGCAGCTTGACTTCAAAGAGGGCCTTCAGAACACCGATGTGGGACATACCCAGGGTTCCTCCTCCGCTCAACAGCAATGCGCTCCGGCCAAAGCTTTGGCGAGCGAACAAAACACTTTCGAGAATATCTTTTTGCCCCATGCCTTCGGGCAACGCGTACTGGCTCTTTTCAACGAGCGCATCAATGGTTTGGATGGCAGACTCGACGTATCGTTCAATGAGATTTTTCGTGCCGACGTACGAGTGTCGATACAAGTCAACATTTCCCATGCCGCCGAGGTCCCTGCAGAGAGCAGTGCGTACCAGATGCATCATGGCGCGTGTATCGCAGTTTGTACGGGCGTCGTCGAGTTCTTTCAGCCGGGCCTCGATGAGTTCTGGATAATAGTCTCCATTATAGGGATCCAGTTTCCACAGGTCGTTTTCTTCGAGAATATCAAGCTCTTCGGCCGCTTCTTGCCAGTGTTTTCGGTTGTCGGCCTGCAGGGAAGCTTGTTAGCAAGATTGAAGCGACATGACTGGGGGATACGCGTGTAGGAAAGGCACTCACATTCTTCATGCGAAGAGACAATATCTGCTTCCGCTCCTCCTGTTTCCGCTTGTGCTCCCGCTCTAGCTCGGACAAGCCATCTCGTAGAGACAGCACGAGATTGTTGGCGCCTCTTATGGCACGAAATATCGAATCGAAGGCTCCATTTCGGGGTTGCGAATGGTGTTGTTTCTTAATGGAGGAAGCGCGGCTGGGTTTCAGCGAAGTCGAGGGGCCCAGAGTATTGGACTTGACCCTGACGCCGGGCAGAGGGTGGACAGAGTTGATGAGGACGTCGTTCATGGTAACGACGGAGGAGCTGAGGCGTGAAGGAAGGTTTTCGGTAGGGCTAGAAGAGGCGTCGAGGAAGAGACGTGTTGGTGGACGAGATGCAGCCCTGGTGCCGCCCGAGTGGCATCACAGCCTGGGAGCGTGGTGGTGCGGCGGATTTCTGACATGTGCTTTCTGGCGGTTGTTTTGGAGCGAGGCGGTCAGAGCATGGCCGCGTCGGTGTATCGTAGCGACAGTGGTCGGTCGGCTTGGTGGAGTTGCGGAAATACGCCTTGGAGTTGGAGTATCTGCGAGTGCGGAGAGGACGAAGGAGAGAGCGACAACAAGTTTTGAAGTGGGCGTGTCGACGCAGACAGGACCGGTCTGCGGAAGAGTCGGCGGACGACGTAGAAGGAAGACGAGTAGAAGAGGAAGACGTCGCGTCGAGTATGTGTTGGTGATGCGGTCGTAACGGTCGGAACAAACAAGAAAGTAGCGATTCGAGTCGAGACAAGACAAGCAAGCACACAAGACAAGTCAGATCATGTCAGTGCTCTGTGCTGTGTGCTGTGTGCTGTGGTGCGGCGCGGCTAAGCAGGGAACCTGAAGAGGGTGCAGATCCGAAGGGCAGATGACCGGACAAACTGGTACTAGGCCAGTACTCGAGAAGTCAAAGGTAGAGACGGTGACTTGGAGCCCAGGTTGGGGTTGGGTACAAGGTGTCGGAGCAAAGGACCCTGCCCTATGAGGGAGAGAGCGTCGGCCAGGAAGGGGAAAGAGAAGAACCGGCGGGCGCAAAGGGCGGAAGATGGTTGGTAGATGGACGGACGAGGTTGGCGCGGTGAGGTGAGCGGCGAGGGGACGAGATGAAGCGACGGACTGGCGGGAATCCGTTGTTGTAGGACGGGCGACGACGGAGGGAAATGCTAGGACAATATGAGATGCCGGAGTAGATTGTTGCTTTCCAAGGTATCCGGGAGAGATAGAAATGTTGGAGAGAAGTGGTTAGGATAGGAGAGAGGAGACAAGACGATGAAGACTGTGAGTAGGCAATCAAGGTGGAAACTAAAGGTGACATACGTAGGATTGACGGAGAAGTTGGAGGTCGGAAGAGGTGCAGGTGGTCATTGGCGATGACACCGACCTGGAAGCTGCAGGGGCCCCCAGCCAGGAACTGGAACCGTGACCGCCAGAACGGAGCAGATGAAGTGGGAAAATAGTGGGAATCTGCGATGTTGAAGCCGGGGCGCAATGCAAGATTTCCCCCACAGAAACCTCCACAAAATATCCAGCGTCCCTCCACAGGGTCTCGTGCGCTGTGCACTTGTTCCTGCGGGGGGCGGGAGGAACGGTGCCCTGCAGTGAAAAGGGCGCTGTGCGAGGTCGGCAAGCGAGTACAGAGCGCTACCTAAGGGTCGAGGAAGCGAGAGGACATTGACGGAAGGCTTGAGAGAGGCCAGAGCACCGCACCTCGGAAAAATCGCAGAAAGCGAAACATAAGGTCAGGTGCTCTCTGTCGGAAATACTGCATCTTTTGCATTATCTAAGGTAAGCAAAGCGACGTGGCTTAGGACTCCACGTGTCTATGTCACCGTGTCACAGCAGACGTAATGGTCCGACTCAGCAGCGACTCTGCGAACCGACTGGCCCTCTTCTTCCTGCCTGGCAAAATGAAAAATAATGTACGATAATATTCATCTCCCCGCAATTCTTCAGTACAGGCATTAGCAAGCACAAGCGTGACCTCCGCGCTGATCTGGGCCGAAGGCTAAGGGCATAACGACGAATGGGAGACGAGGGAATGAGGGCTCGTTCATTGCAGATGACCACCCCAGATTCCGGGAATCCTGGGGCAACTCACCTGTGCATCCCGTAATGGAGGGCACAGGAGAGGCCGCTATCCGGAGGTACAGAAGCAAGGTACTCTGTCTGTAGAATCTTCGGTGGTCATCAATAAAAATACATGCGATGTAACTGCGCTCTGCGTCGCTTCAAAGCACCTCTAATCAGCCGGCCAATCATGCCGTGCCGCCTCACACCCTCACCGACAACTCTCTCCCCGCGTTGGAGATGCCCTCCACTCACCCATCCGCGGGACGTCTCATTCTCATCCCTACATCTTATCCCTCTCTCTCTCACCTACACACACACAATCTGCTTCCCGCCAAGCCAGCTGACTCCGTGTCTTATACCCCATTATGATATGAACTGATGGAGATCCCGCGTCTTACGTCTGTAAATGATTCTGCTGCTGCAACACATGCTCAAAATAAATATTTGCACAACTCGTCCCGTCACTCCTCTCCTGGGTGAGCGGCTCAAAGTCCCGTCACAAGCCAGGACAGGGCCGTTCGGTGAACTCTCCGCCCTCCATCTCATCTCCCGTCTCTACACAGGTGTCAAGCACCAGGTCATCTGTGTCTTGCCAGATTCTTGGAATTACCTGAGCCTGGCTAAGCGCCATCCGAGTGACACGACTCTACGGATACCCGTCTCCCCCACCTCCTTACCCCTCACGGAACGTCGACTTGGTTGTCTCTGGGAAAAGTTCTGAAGACTCGAATTCCCTCAATGGAATGAATCTATCTGTTTCTGATCCACTGCGCTAGTGAAGACCCGAGAACCATGCCATTGTCGCGGGGAACGCGCTTACGCCTGCCTGCCTGCCTGCCTGCCTGTCTGCCACCTCACGGCTTTTCAACCTTTACCCGTTGCCGTTTGATGTCCTTCCCAGAGAGAATGCCGTGGACCTTGACTGATACCCGCCTCCATGACTTCTCCAAATAGTTCATGAATCAGACATCATCTGGTCTCCACTGCCATGTCTCATGCTCTCAATTTCCTTTGCAAATCTTTAGGTAACCCGTCTCATCTGGCACCCGTTTTTATTGTCGATGGTGTACGATCCGATAGGAAAGACTTCCAAAGTCACCACGGAAAGCCTCAGCAACGAGGACAACAGCGGCGGTGACAATCATAATGACAATGGCATCAGTCCTATTTCAATATCCAAATTCGGATTCTTTCGTTGGCAAAGCATCATGTTGCCTGCTTTCCTTGCGACGATCCATCATCCTTTTGGCTTCCGCCGCCACAGCTCTGACTCGAAGTCTCCTTCGGGTGGACCACCTGTCACGTCATACAGAGAGTCTCGTGTGGTCTGAAATATAATCCATCTTCTGTGCGTCATTTCTGTGAGTCTTGTGGTCCGCCCCGTAACCTTATCGCCGGCCTCCCCTGGTGCTGATCTACACTCTCCAGATCATCAAAGTTGACCCGGGTCGTAGGTTTCAATACAGCCGAAGCATCTTTTTAGATCAGCACCACTGGAAACAAACTCTTGCAAATAGAGCGCTGAATCCCAATCTTTACAGATCGCCTGTCTTAACATTCTCGCCTGCGGGCTGCACAAGGCCGCCAGCAAACTCGGCCACCTTATCCCGGAGAACATGGGCCACCTTACCCTCAGCCCAGAAGTGCCCGGCCGAGGCAACCTCTTCGCCGCGAAAATGTGATCCGTCAACATGCTCTAACCTCTCCACCCAGCTGCGAAGCTTCGCCACCGGTACGAAGACGTCTTTATCGCCGAACAGAGCCAGCGTGGGGTTTTCCACCAACTTCGACTCGCTCAGCTGCCGGTGATCCGACGTGTATGTCGGCGCGCCTTGTTCACGAGACTTTGACGGCGCTCGCGCAAACAGCCCGCGTCCTACTGAAGTGGGAAGGAATGACATGGTCGCCAGGTGCGTAATGACGCCTTGTAAGGGTGACACCAGGAGGTAAGCGGTCCGCATTTGCGTGAGGCCAACGACCTCCTCTAAAGCAGCAGGTGCGTCCGGTGCTGGCGTATCTTCTTCCTTTTCTTCAGGAAGAACGTCGTCCTTGTGACGGTGGAGGTGATGATGATGGCGCTTCGTCTTCGCCAGCAGGTCATTCACACCCCGCCGAATCTTATCTTCCGCATCTAAAGAGAACGACCTCTTCGAGTCATGGCTCTTGCGCTGGCTGTCCTCATCGCCTCCAACCCGCATACCCAGATACTTCTTCCGCGGTGACGTTGACTGGGCGGCTCTAGCACTAGCCAGTATCACATTCTGCTGTTCAGCCAAATGCTGAGCACGCAATCGTATGTCGGCCGCCGCGGAACCGACGGCGGGCGACTTGAACTGTGCGAGTATGTACTTTATCGGCGGTATCTGTGTCGTAACCATGGCCCCGTACGAGTAACCGCCGAGGAGCAGCAGCGGATGCTCCGGCGAAGACGGCCCCGATCGCATGTCCGGTGGCGACGGAGTGCGGGCTGCTGATGGCGACCGCAAGGCGCCCGGGCCGAACGGATCGAGGTAGTGCATGTAGTACACCATGAAGCCGACAAACGACATGTAATCGCTCCGCTCTGGTTTCGCGGTCCAGGAAGTACGGCCGGCCGATCCCGATGCACCTCTGTGGCAAGCATTCGAGTTAGCAAGATACTGTCTACTATTGGTGCCGCGTTCGCGCTCGCTTCTCGGGCATCCTTACCTAAAATTGAATGTTCCCACCAGAAAGCCCTGCCGTAGTAGAGTACCCGCGACGATGTCGACGATGGGATCGTCGTAACATCCACCCAACGGCGCGTACGGGTGGGCTATGACAGCAGCATGTCGCTTCCATGTCGGCGAATTCGGGGCAGCTGGGTGCAATGCCTGGCAATGGTATACGCGGCAGTCAAGAACGGTGTCGTCGTGAAGACTGGGGAGCGTGAAGCTCAACGTTGGTTCGGGAAGCATTTTCTGCACTTCATAGTGGAGAAGACATTGCTTTGCTCGGGTCGTCGAGAATGTTTAAGACGCGGTAGTTCGGACTCGATCGGATCGAAAGAAAAGCTTCGTTTGTCGCAAAAGGTCGCAAAAGAATCCGGGTGCCTGGAGCTTGATGGGTCGGATATGTCGGAGGATTGAGGGGCCGTTGTGCTAAAGACGAAGATTGAGGGGGAGCGAGGAGGAATGATATGCTGACGTCGGAATGAAATGAGCCTTGTGATTGCGTCCCTGCGCCCTCGATACACGGCCACCGACAGCTCAGATGCAGACGAGGTTGTTCATCGACGGGGGGACGGGATGACGGCACAGGCACAAGAGCCCCTCGCATGCAAGGCGAAGCAAGCTTCGTGGTGGCGTCGTAGCACAGGGATTTAAGCCCCAGGATGATGTAACCCCCGCGAGGTACGTACCGTGCCCGTGCGATGCACAACTTCACCTTGATTTAGTTCAGCTCACCGAGCCTTGCTACCTTACTGACCGAGACTCACCTGGGACTTAACACGGCGAATCTGTGTAAGCATCATATTGTTACTAGTAACCTGCAATTAACTGTTGCCTTCGTTCATGCAGTCTGTGTAACTTGTCCCCAGGTGTATGGTATTGAAAGATATGAATTGATTGCATCAGACGGGGAGTTACCTTCAGCCAACGCTCCATCACCACGTTTGTAAAAGACCCAAACGAATGTCGAGTAAATAGCTTCCTGTTGAAATCACTACCGGGGGTTGAGATGCTTTGGGTACATCAAGCCGTTCGAAGAAACATCAATTGATGCCAACAGGACTCAAAGCTAGCCCACCTGATGAGCCAGTCACCCGCATCAGGAGTGCGAGGCATGGAAATGGGTTGTAAGGACCTCAGAAGTGGACGAGATAGGCAGGCGGTTTGCGGTGATAACACAGACCATATTTTGCCCATTAAGTCAATATTTATGACGTGTGGTATAATTCCAACTCGTGACATCACAAGTTCTTCTTCCCTTCAGCCTCGGCTCTTTCTCGCCTCCTCTTTCTCCAGGCCTTAATCTCATTCAACAGACCCATGACTAACGGCACGCCCACCGGGCCGAGAAGCGGCAGATATACGGCAATCTTGTGTTCGTCAGGGAAGTACAACTGCCCAACCATGCTCTTCTCGAAAAAGGCCCTCTCTGCCTCTGCCTCGGCGACTCTAGCATGCTCTAATCCTTCCGGCCCTCCCAGACTCGCGCAGGCAAGCTCCAAGTGGTGCATTGTTTTAGCCACCCCGTCAGCAACGTTGCGCGGGATGGATATAGAGGGCAACGCCAAAGACAGCCGCGCCAGAGATCCCAGCGTTGACGACGCCCGGAGCAACAAGTCTGCTGAACGGATCCGCGTCAGAGTCGACAGCCGCAACGGGAGAGAGCCCGACTGAGGCGTCCCCAGGAGGGACAGCAAGTGTCCAGCAAAGGTCAGCATCGGTTGTTTGAGAGTGGCGGCCGGCACGTGTGAAGTTGTTGGCGGCAGTGACAACAAATAAACCGTTCCCCACTGCGGGATCAGCCATGACTGGGATGTCTCGGATCCCGAGTCCAACCCGACCGTCTGGTTGCCGACGAAGAGGAGAAAGTTTACCGTCGGAGCGCCGCCAATGGATGGCGAAAGGGGCCATTCGGCCGCGTTGATAAACGAAGCAAGGTCGTCCTTGCTCAACACCTGAGACTGCGCGCCCGGCGTGGCATACAGCTGCACTTGGGTATCAATGGTAAAGTTGTGAATAGGGCTCAGCACATCCAGCATAGGCTTCATGTAGTCTCGAATCGCCGCGTCGACGTCCCACGTGTTGGGTACGGAGCTGCTCGTAAACAGAGAGAAGCTCAGGTGGTATGTTGGCGAGTATCGCAGGGAGCGGGTGGTGCGCTTGGCTAGCGACTCGGCCGCCTCGGGCGACATGCCCTGGGGTTTCGCATCGGAAGCTCCTGACGCAGCAGAAAGAAGGTACGAGATGATGGCCTGTTCCTCGGCGTAGGTGGATCGCAATTCGTTGGCAATGTACGACGCGAGCGCGGACGAGGACGATGTCGGCGAGGGGATGGAGTTGGGTGGGTAGGTGATGTCGAGAATCGGAGAGTGTGGGTTCAGCGACGCTGTTGTAGACTCCCCAGGGCTGAGGCGGATCGTAAGGGCAACCTGGGAGTCGTCTTCGGGCAGTGAGGAGGCATGGCTGTCGCGAGGGGCGAGCTGGAGGCGAAGATGGTGACCCGAGAAGTCATTTAGGTCGTCGAGCGCATGCTGGGTGAGCCGCAGTAGATTCTGCGCTTCTTGATCTTGGAGCTTGCTTGCTTGTACTGAGATACGAAGAGGGAAGACGGGACGACAGGCCTGGCGTGAACAGTGGTCAGCGGGGTCCGAATGATGAAGCGCGGGAGGGAACATAAGAACACCATACCTTTCCATCAGCCCAATCCAACATGCCAGACAGGGGCAAGTTGGCGCGGTAGATTGTCGTCGTCTTCCACCATATTGGAAGCCCAACAAACAACACAATGGCCCAAAAGGAGAATATGACAAAAGAGCGGCGGCTGACGTCGGACGGCTTCTCAGGGGGCGGAGCCTTCCGGGATTCGGCCGGCGGCGATGGGACGGTGACCGTAGAGGATTGTTCAGCAGGGCCGGGAGATGGGCTCCCTACTTCATCGAGACCCGGCATCGTTGCAGCCTTGCCCGGTTATCGCGACAGTAGGGAAGGCTGCGCGGTTGTCGAGATGGACCTTGAGCAGTTCCCGGCACGATCGCGTACCTAGTATTGAGATGTGGTGAGTAGGTACGAAGATACATCGTCGGAGCTTATATAAGACAAGGCAAGGACCTTGAGAGCCGATAAGAATTTCTTGATAAGTTTTCTCTTATCTGATAAGCGATAAGCTAAACTCTGGATGGTCGAGATGTCACTGCTTCACAGCCAAGGGAAACCTGACAACTGGATTGACTTTGAACTTTCCTGCCGCCTTCGCAACGATGCTCCCCACGACGAACGTTGACCACAAGCAAATGTCAACGTCACGCCTTCCTCGGCGCTTTCCAGTCCTGCAACGTGGTAGCGATGCATTCTGTCGTTGATGCGCCATATTCGTACTTCGTTCACCTGCCGTCATCACAGTTTCTCCATCTAGGCCATCAACTTTGGCTAATACGCCTTTGCCCATCAGACGCCACGCCACATTGCCAAACCAGACGATATTTCGCATTGCGACGCGTATCCGTACCGCAAGTTCTGTCGGCGCACCGGAATCCGTGGCCCGGTTGCTGTCCGGTTCCACAGGGGAGAGAAGCGGAATTGGCTTCGCTTGTTGCCGATCCCCGGACCTGAGTGACCTGATCCTCGGCCTCGCGCGAATACGGAATGGTTGTTACTCCATCGGGAAGGCATTGCATCTGGAGAAATTCACGTCTCATTGGGGGGCCTGGTGTAATACTCGCCTTTGACGACGTCGATCTCCTCGCGATCCGCGTGATAAACCCCCAAGCACGTCTGGGTTACGTCGACATGCCCTTCGCACATGCTCTCCCGAACGTCAATTCTTGCGGAATCGTTCGAGTCAAGTAGCTGCTTCGAACGAGAGACTGGGGATGGATGGCTATGAATACTCTGATACCTAGCCGACATTTCGTGTCATCTTCGGAAGTATTCCACGACAACTAGACGCACAACCGCGCACCTGGTCCCCTGTCGCATCGGGCCGCTGGCCGTCCCTGGAAGAAGCAATATCCCTATCAAGCGTTGCGAGCTCGCAAGGTCGCTCGGGGTGTTACCACCGAGTTGCACCATTCAAGACAGCAACCACGCTGCGGGCCGTGGAATAAGACAGAGACACCAACCACCTCGGCAACTCGTCTGGTTCCAAAGTTCATCGGAAACAAAACGTGCGGTACAATCTGACGCGTTGCGGTCCGTACCTTCACCGCGCTGAGAGAAAGAGAGAGAGAAAGCGAGCGGGAGGTTCGCACGTTCGTTCTCAGCAGTCGGTCGGTCGTCTCTGTCTTGGGGAGATGGATGGATGACAGGGGCAGGGGCAGCGAAGAAGGATCCGGAACAAGGTCTAACCCCGCCATTCGAATAGCGAATCGCAACCCGTCAAGACATCCGTCAAGAGGAAGGCTCCTGCGACCTACCCACCATTGTGAATCGAACACACAGCTCAAACCAGGCCGGCGCAGGGCGCAGGCGCACGAGCTTTGCCAGATGCCGAGGCTCCCGTCTCTCAGTCTCCCGCTCTCCAGCCCAGTCTGGCAGGCCAAGCCCAGCACCGCAATGCGGCACAACGCACACTGCATCGCATCGCGAAGCGAACATCGATTCTGATCTGCGGCTAGTGGTACCGGCGGTGCTGAAGTTGCTGTCACGGTACGCAATACTGCTGCCAAACGAGATCTTGGCTACCACTAGGCGCAGTCGCAGTCGCGGCAAATAGAGAGAGCTCTGCTTCTTCTCCGCATGACATTACATGGCATTGCATGGCGTGGCATTCCTTCTACACTACACCGTATGCGCTTGCGGAGGACGTTCCTTGCACTGCAGATACGTCTACCACCCTCCCACCAGACTTACACCGAGGCAAACGAAGCATTGTCCTACTTTGGGGCCTGGGACAGCGACTCTCAAGACGAGCAGACGAGGAGGAGCAGCAGCACCACGGGCAAGCTGTTCGTCCTCCGTCAGCACCAAAGCAAATGAAGCAGGTGGTCTTCCTCGGCTGTTGAGAAACATGCCACGCCCATGACCCTGTCCGCCATCATCACCGTGGAGCTTCTCCGCCACCCTTTGCGGTTCCAGGTCCAGGGTATCGTGCCAAAGTCCCAGTCGTCCCGCCGTCCGGTCTCTGATAGTTGTGTTTCTTTCTTCTTTCTATCCGATGGGGGTACGTGGGCTCACACGTCCCAACAGGCGACGGTTGAGGTCACGACATGATCTTCAGATAACACATGACTAACCAGCCGGTACTTGGGATTTGTGTGGTCAAGGTAGCTCGTCGCACCTGGTGTTGTGCGGTGTTGGAGGTCTGGTCGGTGTCATGTCGTGTCGTGCATGAGAGAGAGCGACGGCAGCTTGTCCAATATGGATCCCTCAAACCAGGGACGACGCATCCAATGCCAATGCCGACCGCAACACTCTGTTTCTTTTCTCGCTTCCATTCGCAATCTTGTGACAGCCTCGACCGCCCGTTACAAATACCTACCCTCGCCCTCCCGCAATTGGGCCAGTCCCACACCAGGCTCGACTTTATCATCCTTTCTCCAAGCTTCCAGCTACAACGGTACTTCAGCCACGCAAGAAGCCGAGAATCTACACGGGTCCAGTCAACGCCGAACAACCGTGACGTCTACTCTGTACCCACGCCCCCGTCGACCGCTGTGTGCCGCCGTCTATCGCCCGTCGGCTCTGGTACCTCTCATATATTTTACAGATTCGCAATCTCGTGGAACGATCTTGTCGTAGAGTTCTAGGGACTCTCGCAAAGCAACAATGCCTGGTACGTATTGCCCGAGTGTTTCTCTATCGTCAACGTCTTCTCCAAAAATAAAAAAAGAGAAGTCGACGCCGCAACATTACCTCAGCCGAGGCAGACCCTGCCATTGTTGGTCCGATCGCGCTGACTCAATCCGCTTTTGCGACCGTTAGTGCCGCTCTCTCTCGCGTTGCCAGCTGCTGTGGCAGCGTACTCGTATATCAATGCTCGCATATCGATGTGGTATGACAGACACCTGCTTAGCTGCGCCCTTCCCGCGACTCTCTCGGCCCTCTGGCGCGAACGAACCGATCGATTGAACCAATTCTACATCCTCGAGAAAGCCGCCCAGAGCAAGGCATCGGCGAACCGGACTTTCATCATCTTCGAGGGCAAGTCCTACACATACGCCGAGACGTACGAGCAGGTTTTGAAATATGGCACCTGGCTGAAGGAGCGCTTCGGCGTCAAGCCCAAGGATATCGTCGCGATCAACTTCCAGAACTCCGACACTTTCATCTTCCTGTGGTTGGGGTTGTGGTCAATTGGCGCGAAGCCAGCCTTTATCAACTACAACCTGACGGGCAAGCCGCTGGCGCATTGCATCAAGGCCGCCACGACTTCCTTGATGCTGATCGACCCCAACGTTGTCGCCAATGTCGGAGAAGATGTTCGCAACGAGCTGTCGTCGGTGAGGTTCGTTGTGCTCGACGCATACCTGCATCGCGAGATCGATGCTACGAAACCCCGACGCGCCCCCGATGCCGACCGATCCGAAGACCAATACCAGAACATGGCGATTCTCATCTACACATCGGGCACGACGGGTATGCCCAAGCCGGCAATTGTGTCGTGGGCAAAGTGCATCGTCGGCGGTGTCTTCACCTCGAGATTCACCAGCAACGGGCCCAAGGAGGTCTACTACACGGTAGGTGTTCTCGCCAACCTGCACTACATCCGTCCTATCGCTAACTTGCGCGACAGTCTATGCCTTTGTACCACAGCTCCGCTGCCCTGTTGGGATTCGGCAATACCCTCGAGGCCAATGGCACGATTTGCATTGGTAGGAAGTTCTCGACCAAGCTGTTTTGGGAAGATGTACGCGCATCCAAGGCCACCATCATCCAATACGTTGGCGAGACTTGCCGCTATCTACTTGCGGCACCTCCTCAGATTGACCCCGTCACCGGCGAATGCCTCGACAAGAAGCACCATGTGCGGGTGGCGTTTGGCAACGGGCTACGGCCCGACGTGTGGAACAGGTTCAAGGACAGGTTTGGCATCGATACGATTGCTGAGTTTTACGCTGCCACGGAAGGCTCCTTTGGCACCTGGAACCTCAGTCGTAACGACTTTGCCAAGGGTGCCGTTGGAAGAAACGGTACGCTTTACAGCCTCGTTATGGGTATGGACGTTGCCCTCGCCATCATGGATGAGAACAACGAGCATCCTCTGAGGGATAAGAAGACTGGACTGTGCAAGCCTGCCAAGGCCGGCGAGCCTGGGGAGTTGATGTTCAGGCTTTCACCCACGGACCTGGAGCGCCGCTTCCAGGGCTACCACGGCAACCCAGATGCCACCAAGGCCAAGGTCATGCGCAACGTCTTTTCAAAGGGAGACGCCTGGTTCAGGACCGGTGACGTGGTCAGGTGGGACAGCGAAGGACGTCTGTACTTCTCCGACCGCATCGGCGACACGTTCCGTTGGAAGAGCGAAAACGTTTCGACACAAGAGGTTGGCGAAGCTGTCGGGTCGCATCCTGCCGTGCAAGAAGCCAACGTCTACGGCGTCGAACTGCCTAATCACGACGGCCGAGCGGGATGCGCTGCGGTGGTTCTGGAGGGTCAGCCCTCTGAGGAGACGCTACGCAGCATCGCGCAGCATGTGAAGCTCTCGCTACCAAAGTACGCGCTTCCAATCTTCCTCCGGGTCATGCAGCCCGAGGCTATGCAGACTACCGGTACCAACAAGCAGCAGAAGCACGGTCTCCGGGCACAGGGAGTGAAACCTGGCAACGCAGATGCCGGCAGCATGTACTGGCTGAAGGACGACACATACGTGCCCTTCTCAGAGCGTGATTGGGACGAGCTCAACGGCGGGCGCGTGAAGCTGTAGACGTTGAGTGCTGGGTTTGATTGACGCGCGCGAGATACCACTCTTACTTTTATCCTTCACTTAGAACATAGCTTACGAATGCTCGGATGCTCATCGAAGCACGCGCGTACATAGTGAATTAATGACAGCATTGCATCCTATCGTCTTCTGATCAACGCTGCCGTGTCGGTTGGCATGACTTGATTTATGAAGATTTCAACGTCATGGGAGTGTTTTTGGGGGAAATTATCTGTCCGGCATTTTCCTTTCTACAGACACGATAAAGCGAAGACCGTTTTGCCCTCTCCGGCTTGGCAGCGACTACTCGGTTACGAAGATTGGACTGGAATCATCGACACGATCTTCATTTACCTACTGCGATGTTGAGACTGATATTTGAAGCAGCGGCTGCTGCTTAAGTGAAAGTAGAATCTTCCATAGTCAGACATGAATAGTCAACCCACTGAGCCCACTTCACTCTTCTGGATAGCCTCATGTCCGTGTAGCAAGACCTTCACTGCGATTACACCGGATACAACCATTCACCAGTTGCATCTTGACACAAGGCGAGACCTACTCACACGACAATCACATAGACGGCATCTTTGCGATATGAATCACCGTCATCTAGAAATCATATATAGAGCCATGATCCGGCTCCTTTCAAATCCAAGTCTCAGTCAGAAGCAACAATAGAAACACAGAACCATCTCGCACAGAGTAGAGCATCCCTCGCACTCTTTAAAGCATCACGCTCAACAAACCGTAGCCATGAGCAACAACGGCCCCGCCTCTCCCAACACCGACCCTCCGACTCCTCCTGCTTCGCCGCCCCGTCCCCCTCAGCCGGCTCCTCAGAACTAGCGATGTTGGGACATCGCAGGAAAGCAGTACGGGGCATCTCTCACGTAGCAAGATGAGAGGAGATAGTCAATAAAGTACAGTACATCATTGCATGTTATCTTTTGTGATATCTTGCGTCTATCGTCATCTGGGCCATGTTCTTTGATATTATGCCCATTCTTACTTCCTGGACAACAAACTCCCCAATGTTGACATGATCTCGTCGGACTTGTGCGCAGCAATGCTAATGTGGCCTTCGCCTTCGACGAGCCTCAACTCGGCACCCGGAACGATCTTGGACGCCTTCTTTGCCATGGTCACGGGTACGTTGATATCCTCCGCGCCATGCCACCAGACCATGCCTTCGCTGACATCCAGATCCTCCAGCTCGAAGCCCCAATGACTGCCCGCCAACTTCACATCATGTGCCGGCCCCTTGCCCCCGGGTCTGATGGCATCGCGGACGCTCGAAATCATGGCAGACCGTATCCCGTTTGCGTCTGGATCCAGAACGGCACGATCAACCGCCGGACGGGATTTGAGGTCTTCCAGAATGATCCGTTCAAGCTCTTCAGGGTGCTCATCGTCCCGAGCAGCCTTGAGAAACATCCACTCCATGCCCCAAGCCACGACTCCCGGGAGCCACGGGCCAAGGGTCAGTATGGCACGGCCTTGGACCAGCATGCCACCGAGCCCGAGGGACGGCGGGTACAAACCGGAGCAGATGCCGGCGGCGACCAGTCGATCGCGGGGGATCGACTTCCAGCATGCGAAGACGTACGGAGAACCGCCCGAGAAACCCAACACGCCAAACTCTTCGATATTCAAGTGGTCGGCGACGGCGAGGACATCGGCCGGCCAGTCGGTGATGCGCCTGTTGGGCTGGAACGTTGCTTCGGCGTGGCCCGGGCGATCGAGGGCGATGATTTGGATGCCGTTTTTAAGGGCGGCTTGGTGGAATACGAAACCCTCGTCGTGGCTGCTGGGGAAGCCGTGGAAGTAGAAGATGACTGGGTGATTCTGGCCTGGGACGTCTGAAGACGGAAGGTCCTCGGCTCCGGCGCCAAACAGACCGAAGCTTAGAATGCGATCATCCGGTAAGGTGACGGTTCGCGTGCTTGTTTTGGTAAAACGACTCATCGTGGCAGTGGTTTGCTTTGATGGCGTATTTGGTTCGTGAATGCTCTGCTTCTATTCAGCGATCTGTATGTCGACGTTTTGGTGGAATACGAGGTTCACATGTTCCATGTCTCAGAGTGGTGACATAGAAGATGACAGCTTTTTGACGGAGATCATCTCCGACTCAGACAGCTGCTGAGGCAGCAGCGTTGGTGATAGCTACCCCGGTCACATTCAACCAATACGGGGTAAGTTAATCCTTGCTCGCAAAGCTGAAAATACGGAAGCGCGCGTCTTGATCCTTCGAGGGGCGCAGCAATAGCCCAAATAAAGGACATAGTGAGTATAGGCATCTTCTTTCACTTGAAAGAAGTGCAGGCCCGGGATGGAGGTACAATCTCCCCGCCAAAAGAAGCCAGCTAGGCTCCGAGTACACTGGGTTTCCCGATCCGGGGGCTTCCATCTCGACCCGGGAGAACGGAGTCGGTGTGGGAACTTCTCGGGACTTTTGAAAACTTGGAGGCCGGTTCTGGAGCTGTCGTCTTGATAGGTCACTTTGGCTGCCACCCAGATGGAACTATTTTGCAGTCCATCTTTGCTGTCCTTCCTGCTACTGTCGTTGTCATCAACAACAATGGCTTTTGTGTCGTTACTACTGTTGTCGTTAGTGCTGTCGGCCGTGAGATATTCCTCTTAGGAAGTAGTAATGATAATGGCTGTCAGAAGCTTGGCTATCTGGAACCATGGCTGAAGGATGCCGGGTTGGATGACTCGTGGAGTCTCACAAGTGACAACACTCGCAGCTGGACTTCCGGTGTTTAAAAGAAGACGGCATAGATCGGGCGGCCGGCAGTCGGGGCGGGACGGATGAGGTCGGCGACTTGAGGACCGACCCGGGAGGTCGGTTGTCGGCGATGGCGTGCGAGGGGAAACGGGGGCTGTTCGTGGGACGTGGCGTGGCCGGCGTGGGTTCGATGACTTGTCGGAGGCCAACGACAGGCGCCAAAGCATCCCCATGAAGCCTTGCGGTGGGGATCGTGATGAGGCCTGGATGAATTGCCTCATGTGATCGTCGCCAATAGTCTAGGTTTTACAGAATATCATATGGATTATTCATGTAAGCCTGGCTGGGGATTTGGAGACTGAGGACTCGGGAGATATTCTCGGAGCTTCTGCTGAAGAATACAGGTACCTACACAGGTGCCTGTGAAATGTTGCGATAAGACACATTAGCGACATGGAAGCTCCGATAAGACCAGATAAGGCACATATCGCCTTATTTCCTCGTCGGTAGCGCCCTCAAGGTGCGCTGTGATAGCTGCCGTTTTAGGGGTCTCTGCTCCATGATGTGCCCTGGGCCAAGGATGATGTAATCGAGCACGCCATCGCGACTAACCGAAATCGGACATGGAGGGGTAGTGACACCTGAGAAAAAAAGCCCCTCCAACGCTGGGCAGCCACAGACTTCACAACGGCCAGCATTTGTTGCCCAGGAGATTCCGTGACCTTCGATGCCAATGGCACACCGGGGAGGGTGTTGTTGGCACGGCAGTTTGACTGATTATGTCGAGGGGGTTGCCCAAATCACAACCGGGGAGGGAGGACGACGGCTGATGGAAGAGGTCGCCGACTCGCGGGGTCCAGATGTCCAAGTGTTACAAGTCATGACAAAGCTTCCGTTTTATATAGTCCAAGTACGTTCCTTGCCTTAGCTTAAACCGCCTAGATACTAAACAAAACACGCCAATTGCCGTGGTCAGCTCTAGCTTGATATCATAGACAAATCACATTTATAAGCACCGGGCTTTGGGGCCAGAACGGAGTTGAGCCCGGCTGATGGATGAATCAAAAGATGGTGTAAGAGAACGGAAAGCCAAGGGAAGAATGGGTTGACAAGGTGAAGAGGAGGAGGGGTACTCAGCCAGACCCCTACCGCCCCAAGACCACCCACGTACCAGTATCCGTAACGAAAGGCAAATCAAAGTATTGAAGACAGATGCCTTGCCTTGCCTGAACTAGGCCGTGTCTTCTGCAGCTATTTAGTCCAGCCGTGTCCCGCACCACCTTTGTGCCATCTTCTGCCTCACTCTCTTCTCTGATCAACCGACTCTCTGTCTCACTCATCCAACCTCTCAACCCATCTCCCATCTACAATCAGACACAATGGCTGACCAGCGCCCCGCTCCGTAAGTACCGGCCCCTCGCATTGCTGCCCCGCGCCAGCTACCCCGCCATCCCCAAAGTCCTCGTCGCCGTCGTTACCACCACCGGCATACTGTCTGTGGACGACGACGACGGCATCTCGATCCTCCCTTCGCCAGACCCGTGTAGGCAGGCCATGGCTAACACCTCTCTCTCAGCCTCCGCCTCGGCACCGTCGCCCCCAACTTCAAGGCCGACACGACCAACGGCCCCATCGACTTCCACGAGTTCATCGGCGACAACTGGGTCGTCTTCTTCTCTCACCCCGAGGACTACACCCCCGTCTGCACCACCGAGCTCGGCGCCTTCGCCAAGCTCGAGCCCGAGTTCTCCAAGCGCGGCGTCAAGCTGATCGGCCTCTCGGCCAACACCCTCGGCTCCCACGAGGGCTGGATCAAGGACATTGACGAGGTCACCGGCTCCCGCGTCTCCTTCCCCATCATCGCCGACAAGGAGCGCAAGGTCGCCTACGCCTACGACATGCTCGACTACCAGGACACCACCAACGTCGACGAGAAGGGCATCGCCTTCACCATCCGCTCCGTCTTCATCATCGACCCCAAGAAGACCATCCGCACCATCCTCTCCTACCCGGCCTCCACCGGCCGCAACTCCGCCGAGGTCCTCCGCATCGTCGACTCCCTCCAGACCGGCGACAAGCACAAGATCACCACCCCCATCAACTGGGTCCCCGGTGACGACGTCATCGTCCACCCCTCCGTCAAGACCGAGCAGGCCAAGGAGCTCTTCCCCGAGGTCCGCATCGTCAAGCCCTACCTGCGCTTCACCCCTTTGCCCAAGGAGAAGGCCACCGTCGCTTAGATGCCGGTGGTCTAGAGTGGAGTTTGGTATGGGGGCGTTTTGTCGAGTGACGACGACTGCTGTCTGGTGACGACTTCGCGCACCACCACCACAACGCTTGGATAAGCACGGCAAAACAACAAAACAACAAAACAAGAAAAAAGCCAGTCTTCTCTGCGACGCGGAGAGGATTATACCCAGACGGTGGGACGCGATGCCACGCGTTTCGTCCTGCCCGATACCCCGACGTGGCCAAGGCAACAACTGGCTAGACAAGGTCCTCGGAAGAGGAAACACTTCCCTAGAACGTATGAAATAATGAGACATGTCCAAACACTGCTGTTCGTCCAAAACACTCTCCGTGATGACTGGCGACCTGTTACGAAACGACTTCCTTGCATCCGTGATATCTGAACCAGATTACCATACCATGCTTCGCAGTTGTCGGGGTAAAATGACCACGGACGCGCATCAGTAGCAGTAACGTCGTCAGCCAAGACCTTGGGAAGCAAACATGTTGAAACTGCTCAACTGCAACGTAACTTCGTGTCATCATCACCAGGCGGTCAGTGAAGGTGACGGGGTTCGCTAAATGAGCGCTTCCACTCAGGACATTGCAGTCACGTAGGTGATGGAGATGAATGGACAAAACGAGGCGTTCGCCCGACACACCGAGAGGAGACGAGGAGATGAAGTCGGATACAGATAGTACATACGGCCGCCGTCATGCCTTGGGAACGGACCGTGTTATATCAAGGACCCGGCGGACTGGGAAACGACCTTAGCGAAGCCAGACCTGAAGACCGCATGGCTCTGGAGGGCGTGTGCCATGTGTCTGTAATTTAGCCGCTGCATGGGGGACACAGTTGATCGACATTCGAACACCTCTCCCTCTCAGGGGCGTGTTGCACGTTGACGAGCCGCCCTCGTGCTCCTGGGCCTCTCTGGCTGGCCCGGCCGTGGCTAGCTCCGTGGTGACCTTGTTTCTCTCCCTCGACTCGGCCGACAGGGACGGAGCAGCCCGGAGCAACGGAGGAAACGACGGTTGTCTCTGGGAAGAGCTAGACGCCACTACGGATAGACTAGGCTTCCCACCCACGAGGCAGGCACCTTGGTTTGGCGCCGCCCATCAGGTCAAGCTTAACCTTTAGGACTGCATAGTATCGCGTTCGGCTCCTCAGTCGGAATAGTTTGGGCTCGCTGCAGCAATAGTTTACCATGCTATGCAGTAGTCAATACAGCACGACACAGCAGAGGGCATGTCTAAACAAGCACGATCCTAGCGCGACACGAGGCAGCACGCGCTCCGGAGCTCAGTGAGGCTGGAGCCATTCCAGATTCCCAAAAAGTCAGAGCCAGGAACAGCCGGGGAAAGTTGAAACAATGGCATCCACCAAATGGCAAGTGGCCGGGTTCCCACGTTTTCCGCGTACCGTCCGCGGTCTGTCTCGTCTCGTTGGCGTCCCAAGTTCCCAAGTTCCCAAGTCCCAAGTTCCAACAGTCGGCTCGGCAGGGCCAGGCCCAGCACCAGCAGGACAAGGGAGAGAATCCAACGCCGCCGGGTCGGCAGGATGCCTGTTCCGGGGATGGGCTCGCCTGAGACTTGACAGGCCAGGCACTGTTTGTTCCCGAGGGCTCGGTGGGCGTTTGGAGATGGAGAAGCGTCATTTTAGTGTCGGCGTTCCACACGCGGTTCCAGCGTTGACGGCATCAGAAGTTGTGGTTCTTCATCTCGTCAACCTCCCTGACGTTGACGGAGGTACTGTCCGTGATGGACGGAGGACGGACCACGAGCGGGCAACTGCGACCGGAGGACGGTGGCTTGAGCTTTTGAGCTTTGAGCTTTGAGCGTCGAGAGCGTGTGACAGGCCCAGAGGAGCGGTGTCGACCGGGATCAGGATCAGGATCAAGGCCGGGGCAGGGACAAGGACCAGGTAGGCGTGTTGGCGTGAGATGTTTGCCTGGTATCCGTATCCGTCTCCTTTTTCTTCTCCTTCTCGTCGAGCTCCCATTCTCCGTCCCAGATTGTGCTTTCGGCGCCGTTATCCCCTCTGCCTGGCAAGGGTTGTGAAATGAGGGTGTGGTGGTTCTCCTTTCCGTCATGTTCTCCTCTCCCGCCGAGCTGATTGGGGATAGCGGCACACGCACGGCGAGTAACGCAGCGTTTCTGCAGGAGGAGGAACGCAGAAAAAAGGGGTCTTGTTGCAGCTCGATCGTCTGATGTTTTTTTTTCTCCTACCGCAGCCGTAGGATTCCGATGAATGTGTGCATGGAGTGGCTGGCGGAGGGATGTTGCGGATTGCGTCGTACAGAGAGTTCGTATCTGTGTGCGATTGATATCGAGTATCTGTACGGATACAAAAGTATTCGTGCTCTTCTTTTTCTTTTTCATTCTTTTTTCTGCCCTTGGTCGTGGTCGGACAACGAATGAAGCCTGTTCGGTTTAATTAGCGCAGCTTCGATTTTTCTTCTTTTCATTTTCTCTCGTTTGCTCCCGCGGGTAGAGGGGCCGAGCGAGGTCTGACAGGGGACAGCACGGGCAGGCGCAGGCAGGGGGAGGGGTAAAAAAAGTTGGGACTGGGCGGTACGTATCTTTTGGGCATGTTTCCGGACAGGCCAGGAGGTCAATGCGTCAACCAAGTGGAAGTGCCCCCGCCGTGAATGCACAATTCAGTGGTGCGCATAAAGCCACCTCTTTTGATGCATATGCAGTAAGCCAGCCCAAGGCACAGATATCAGGTCTTGCCCTTCCATACCACCGGGACAGTTGATATCATAGATGTTTTGGCAGTGTATTATTGTGTTTGGCAGTCACTTGGGATATCTGGTACCAGATAGGAAGAACTAAATGCGTTGGTTTCTTCTTCATTGCCTGTTATCAGATTGAATAGTGAAATATGGATGACCTTATTATGCATTAAAGAAATCGAGTGTGGCTGGTGCCTTATGCGCCCTCTAAGGTACCTACCTAGGTAGTGAGTGGTATCGGCGGCGAGACGCTGAAGTGGTGCCCCACCGTCTTCTCTCGGGTGCCAAACCAACTTGCATCCTGCATCAACACTGAACTTTGACCTCCTGCCTTCCCCTCCTTTTTATCCTTATTTCTTTATTTTTCATCTTCCAGCCCCCTTTTTTCGTGATTGCACCGGGCACAATTGGACATAACCGTCATTTGCTGTATACACAACTTAATTGTGCCGAGGAGTCTTTGCTTTCGTTGTAACTTTCCATTGCTACCTACGCTACCTACGTGCATCAGATAGTGGTCGATACCGTTTCAACCACCAAGTGCTTGCTTGAGCTTGAGGTATGTACGAATACCTACGTCCGTAAAATGCACAAATCACAAGTCCATGGGCCCCTTTTCCCCTCATTTCTCTCCAATCCGCGTGCCAAAAGCCCATCCTCTAGCCCCATTTTCCCATCTGTATCTTCCATTCCTGCTATCGCCTATCGCGCCGCGCCGCGCTGCTCGAGTGTTCATACCTGCGTATCCATCTGTTCTGTTTCGGCTCTGCACGGTGTGCCTCGCGTTGCAGCGTGCAGAAGCGACTGCAAGTTGACGCTCATCACCTTCTTCATCGGCTCAGGTCCTTCGTCGTCTTTCTCCTTTCACCATCTCTCCCCCATCGCCGTCCACCAACTCATCCCGCCCTGTCTTGTATCCGTACACCGCAAGGCCAGAGACGAATACATGTCAATTACTCACATCAGGGCCTCTTTACTCGCAGCATCCAGCATCTAGCATCACATCCCGTCTCTTCGACCCGCCCGGAACCCACTTCTTCCCTCGCGTCCGCGTCGGAGGTCAAGCTGCTTTTCACCTCTTGACCGGCCGCTAGTCTGTGCGTCTACGCCCTCGCCTTCGCCTGCCTGGCCTCGCCCTCGCAGTCCTCCGCCTTTTTCTCTCTCCTCTTCGCTCACACGCAGTGCAGTGCAATCAATTCAGCTCGCACCCCCTTGGTGTTTTCCGGTTGGGCCTAAGTTTTTCACAGTCCGCAGCCCGCAGCCCGCAGCCCGCTGTCCGCAGTCCGCATTCCGTACAGATACTTGTCGGCCAGAACCAAGACGCCTTTTTCTACCTCGACTGCCAGAGCCCCAACTCGCTTCGTCAACTCATCCCCGAACCCCCAATACGCCGGACAGGCATCTGGAAATTAACGACTGCAACCCTGCTGGTGGTCGATAGTCGACGACGACACTGTCACTGTCATTGACAGTCCGCCTCTTGGTACCGTCTCCGGCTGCTGCCGTCCTCGCCGTTGCCGCTGCCGCTGCCAGTGTCGCTGTCACTGTCACTGTCACCGTTACTGCCACGACGCCATTCACACTCACACTGCCACTACCACTACCACTACCACTACCACTACCGGCCGCTGTCACCGCCGCTTCTCGCTCGTGCTGGTGCTCCTCTTTTCTTCCTCCTCTTCCCTGGCGCCCTACCGATACCTCCCATCCGTACCGTACTCGGATTGTGTTATTCGTACCCGGCAATTCATACTTCACTTCACCTTGGCGATAGGTACCCCCGGGATTGACAGTTGACTCAACTCCCCTGGACGCCTGAGTCGCCTCGTGTTGAGGTTGCTGTCGCTGTCGCCGTCGCCGTTGCCGTCGCTCACCCCGTACGTCGGACAGTCGGCCATCATCGTCTTCTTCCGCCGTTGAGCAGTCCGGCGATCCGCCCGTGTCTGCATCAGGCATACCTATCTGCCTGCCACAGGCAAGCCAGAACGAACTTCGCTTCTATCCGACCTGGCCTGCCTCCTTTTGATTCGACTCTAATCGACTTTGACCGAACTCGCCTCGATCCCTCTTGACCAAATTTGTCTTCGAGCCCCGTTGGCAGACTTCAACTCCCTGCGCCTATCCCCTGGTCCAAAGGTGCGTACCATGTCCATCTTATTATTCTGCCTTTCACCTATTCGTTCATGATGGATGCGCTGTTCTTTTGCCTCGTGCCGTTCCCCTCCCCTCCCAGTCCTAATCCTAACCTAACCTAACCCCCTCCTGATCCCCTTCCCCATCCTGATCCTGTCCCATTTGGCCCTCCACTGCCCAGCCCACATCCCACTCTATCTCTTGTGCGCCGCTTCCTGTCAACTGTGGGGAGCAGAGGCAGAAACGGAGTCCCAATGCCAGAAACGCGCACAAAACGACTCGTACAAGGCCTTGCCCACTCTTAGCTCAGCCCAGTCCAGCCGAGAGCCCAGCCAGCCTCGACGTGTCCACATAGCAGAGACGGACAGACGCACACATATCCCATACCCACGCACACACGCACACACCACACACACAGATACATGACAGAGAGAGAGAGAGACTCGAGACGAGAACAGCCACGCCGGTGGGAGAGAGCCACAAACACCCGCCGACCCGTCTCCAAAAGACAGAGCCATGGTCAAAATCCCAGCTAGAACTACCGCAAGAACCACCTTCAGAGCCGTACCCGTCATCCCGACAGGGGCCCCAGCAGAGTCAGGCGAACGAATCATCCTTGGCTGAGTCGCTTGCTCAAGGGTCCCCGTTCGATCCAAGATAGCTCTCTTTTTCGCTCCTCTCCTTCTTTTCAACCCGACTTGGCCTCTGGTTCTAACTTCTCGACCTTCTCTCTTTCTCTCTGCCGGGCTGTATCTTCATCTTGCCTCTGTTGTCGTTGTTGTTGAAACTCCCACCACCAACAACGACGACATCACGCCGTTCCGCTTCCCCCACCGCTCTTCTTCCCCTCCACATCTTTCAACCCTCTTCTTTACCCGCAACTCGCTTGTTCTGGAACCTGTTCTACAGCCAACGGCACCGGCGCCGAACAGCTTTCCTGCATGAACATCTTCTAAGCCTTTTCCCCGAGCCTCTGAGGGTTTCCCTCACTTCCTTTCAGCCAACTTTGACTTCGCGCAACTTCCCTGCGACTGTTGAGACAGTCGGGGGTTCGCAGCTGCAGCAATGTCCGGCATGGGACTAACCTCGAACCAGTCAGACCTCTCGCGATTCTCCGACTCGGAGACGGAACAGGATCGGTCCCCTCCCGGAAAATCTCCCGCCGATATCCTCTCCGGCGTCTACCGCGGCTTCAAGAAATTCGCTCCGAGCAGAGACGATTCGTCCAAGCTTTCGAGACAGCCGTCGCTTTCGCATTTGGGTTTCAAGAGCAACTCCCCGAGCTTGACATCCTCTCCATCCCCGCCCCCTTCCGCGAGGCCCACTCCCACCCCCGATCCAGGCTCATCCAAGAACCGTTCTCTTCAGCATGCGAGAAGCTTGAGCCTCCAGAGTAGTCTCGCGAAACCGTTGCCCGAACCGCCACCGGACAATTCTCCAATCGGTCCCGATACTCCGGCCGCCGCCCAATACAACTACGCTAGTCTTGGCGCCATAGACGAGGCTCCGGCCGATGATATGGAGAGCCGCACCAGCACCATGGACTCCGGCGTTTCGGTGGACAGAGCACAAATGTACAGCGGGGGAACAGGATACAACGCCGACATGGCCAGCAGTCAGAGCAGTCTGGCAAGCTCCTCGAGGCAAGATGGAGGTGAAGAGCCAAGGGAAACTCTGACGCCGAGGAGTAACGGTCCTCTGTCCGCAGGCCCTTCGCCCTCGTCGAATCCAGCCAGGGCACCCTCCGCTGCCGGCACACCGACTCCTTCGTCATCCGCACATCTCTCGGGCCTCATGTGCAACGTGCATCGCACGACCGGCAGGGAGCCGCATCCGCTTGTCGGGGCTACAACAACTATCCTCGGTGACAAGCTCTACGTCTTTGGCGGAAGGATCCTGTCTAGGAGCAGGCCTGCCCCTTTGACGTCGGACCTGTACGAGCTAGACCTTATTCGCAGGCATTGGTCCAAACTGGAAACATCCGGCGACATTCCTCCACCCCGGTATTTCCACTCCATGTGCCCTCTAGGAGACACCAAGCTCGTTTGTTACGGAGGCATGTCCCCCACGCCGAACCAGACCGGCACGGGCCCGGATCAGCAGCCCGAGGTGACCGTAATGTCCGACATTTACATTTACGACGTTCCAACGCGGAAATGGACGTTCATCCCCACACCAGAGGCGCCTCAAGGTCGCTACGCACATTGCGCATGCATACTACCCACGTCAGCGTCCTTCACGTCACACAAGGCCCCACTGTCGGCACTCCAACATAACCCCTCAACAGGGAACCCGAACGAAGGAAGGATCGGTGTCAACATCGACGGTTCTGGTGGCGCCGAAATGGTGGTCGTGGGTGGTCAGGATGGCGCCAATCACTACATCGAACAAATAAGCGTCTTCAACTTGCGCAGCCTCAAGTGGACCTCGATCGAACCCCTCGACAAAAGCTGTGGCGCCTACAGGAGTGTCGTCGCACCTCTTCCGCCCTCTGCCACCTCGCGCATCGGCAAGTCGAGTTTGAACGGATTTCAGCGAGACGGCGCCGGCCAAGACTCCCGCGAAGCTGGATCGTCGATGCTCATTTACTCCAACTACAACTTCTTGGACGTCAAGCTCGAACTACAAATCAGATCCTCGGATGGCACCCTGACCGAAAAGCCCATGTCGGGCTCCTACTCGCCTCCTGGCCTGCGATTTCCCAACGGAGGCGTCATCGACACGTACTTCGTCGTGAGCGGTACCTACCTCACGTCCTCAAAACAAGAATACGCTCTATGGGCACTGGACCTGAAGACGTTGACCTGGTCGCGCATTGACGCTGGTGGCGCCGTCTTCAGCCAGGGCAGTTGGAACCGCGGCGTATTATGGAACCGCAGGAACACATTTGTGATTCTTGGCAACCGGAAACGAAGTCTCGTCGATGACTATAATCATCGGCGTATCAACTTTTCCAATGTTTGCATGGTCGAACTGGAAGCTTTTGGCTTCTACGACAACCCGAGAAAGACCAGCCCGATGTCTGGTTTCGTGTCCGCCAGTAGCCCGTACACCGGTCCCGGCTTGAGCTTGGCTAGGAAGGCCGGTTCTACGGCTGGCGGACGTTTCCACTCGAGGGCCTCCGAGGAACTAGGAGAGAAGGCGCTCGCATTGCGCGAACTGTCCGACATGGATATTCTGTGCCTGCACGGAGAAAGGATACCCATCAACTCGAGGATTGTAGCGCGACGATGGGGCCCATACTTTGTACAACTTTTGCGAGAAGGCACAGCGACCCAAGACGGCAGCGACGCCATGACCCTGCGGTCTGGACTCGGAAGCGCCGTCAGGAATTCCGTTCTGACCATTACGCCTTCTCGCCCTACCCACGAGAGCACGAATTCCATCGCGAGCACTGTGATGTCGTCTGGCTCCTCGACTAAACCCCCAAGCACAGCTCCGACTAGTGCCTCAGCGGCATCGTTCTCCCTCCCCGCCGCCGGCAACGCCGACCCGAACACAGTCAACTCGGCCCCGACTCCGAGATCACTACCACCGAACTCGCGGCCGCGGTGCCTTTACCTCCCGCATACCTACCTCACCGTCCAGGCTCTCCTCCACTTCCTCTACACATCGTCCCTACCGCCGCCTTCGTCTCCTCTGTGCACACCTCCTATCCTTTGCTCCCTCCTGCAGATCGCCCGGCCCTACCGAATCGACGGCCTGCTCGAGGCAGTGGTCGAACGTCTCCACGCCCTCCTCGACTCGAGAAACGCGGCTGCGGTATTCAACGCCACCGCCATGGCGGCAGGAGGCGGCCGCGGACTCGACGGCTCGCTGAACCCGAACTTCTTCGTCCCGGTCGACGCCATGGGCTCACCGTTGTACCCCGACGACTTTCAAAATGGTAGCAGTGCGGACTTGCAAAACCTCTCATCCCGTACTGGAGCACTGCGCATTAACACAGCCATGTCCACAGGCCGGCCGTCCAGCGACGAACTCAGCGCGACGACGAGCGTCAGCGGGTCCGAATGGAGCTCCGAGATTGGCGATTCCGAACGCGGCGGCATGCGCGAGGTCTGGAGCGGCGAGCTCAGCTCCGTCATCGGCCTGCAGAAGCGTGGTCTGCGTGGTCTGATGGAGGGCAGGAGAATGCGCGAGCGCACGGGGACCAACTCCGGCACCAGCATGAGCGCGGGCGTGCCGCCGTACGGCGGACAAGGTCGGGTTGGGCTCGGCATCGCCGGGTCATAGATCAAGTTGCAAGAGACTTTGGAGAGAGATGGGAGCACGGGGCGCGGAGGTAATGAACTTATGATAGCATGGCCGAATACAGCATTATTCCCCCCAGGAGCGCTATGCCCGTGATGGAAGTTGAAATCACGGGGAGAATGGGAGAGCGGATGACGGGTTAGATGAAAAGGATGGCTCGTGGCCTGTTGATAGTCAACGCGGAACTTTGTCCGTCGACACGGAATGAGTTTGCAAATGATACATAAAAAAAAGTTCTGAACCGCTTCGTCCTCCTGTCCAAACGCCCATGAGAAGTTCAATGCCCTATACGTGTTTCGTGAATCTTGAGAATGCCGCCCGCCTATCGTCCAGCTCAATGACATGGGTAAGAATGAAAAAACCCCATCTCTCGACATCATTCCTAGCTGGAGAAGGGGCAAGCACCACGGCTGCGACCCTTGAGACACTGGACACCCTCCGCCAACTCCTCGACGCCCTTGCCAACCTTGTCCTGGGGACCAATATCCTCGAACAGGTAGCCCTCGGGCATCATCTTCTCGTTGCCGGGAACGGTGCCGCCGAGGAGACGGGTGACCAAGCCCGTGGGGCCCCACCGGTTCCAGAAGGTGGCCGGGATGTAGTACGGGTGGACGAGGTAGTCGTAGTGCTGGATGCGTCCCGTCTTGGGGTGGGGGTCGGAGAAGAAGACGACGGGGGTGAAGCGGGGGAGCATGAGATGGCGGACGACGAAGCGGCGGAGGATGAGGGCTGCGTAGGCGGTGAAGGAAGCGATGATGCCAGGCTCCGGGTAGCTGTTCTCAGATGTTAGTGTCTTCTCTCATGACTTGTGTGTAACGCGGAAGCAGACTCACCCAAAGGTATCGCGGACGCGGTCTCCCATCAGGACGGTAAAGACCTCCTGGGCGAAGGGCTTGGCGAAGGCCGGGACGTGCCAGATCATCATCTCCATGAGCTGGGCGCTGGGCTGCATGTTGACCTTTGCGGGCTTCATGGCGTCGATCTCGTAGCGCTTGGCCCAGGCGGTGATGTCGTCGGCGAACTCGATGCCGTCGGCCCACGAGTCCCGCGAGAGGTAGCCGTCGTAGCGGATGTCCATGGCGTCGCCGATGGCCTTCCAGTGGGTGCCGACGGCGCACTTCTCCATGTCGGTCAGGGGCCGCCACTCGTAGAGGTTCATGAAGCGGGTGGGCTCGGTGACGCAGACGGCGAGGGTGTAGAGGAAGTCGGCGTTGGAGATCTGGCCGGCGGCCTTGTAGCGGCTGTGGAGGTAGTTCATGCGGGAGAGGGCCTTGAGGCAGCGGTCTGAGGTGGGAGGGTTGAGGGAGAACCTGGGAGATCCATTAGAGGGGGGTTTTGATAGAGGAGGTTGGAGGGGGAGCTTACTCTCCGAAGATGATGGTCGTGTCCTCATATCTCTTCTGGGCGTTCTTGGGGTCTGCCAGATTCTTGGTGGCGACGATGAGCTTAGACATCGTCTCGAAGCCATAGGTCTGGATGGATGGTCAGGACTTGGATGAAGTGGATGAGATGGAGAGGGAACGAACCTTGAAGATGGCGAACTGGAGAGCCAAGGTGTAGAACTTGGGGAACTCGAACTCGATCATGTTCCGGAGGATGATCTGGGCATCATCGTTGGTCATGCGCGCGAGGGAGACTCGGTCGGTGTATCCCATGCGCTTCTGGAGGTTGTTGATGCGTCTGAAGCGGAGCGCGCTGCAGAGAATTACCCATCCTGCGAACAAAGCTGCCAGCATGGAGAGAGTGGGCAGTGTGGCGGGCATGGAGGTGGTATAGTCCATGATGCGCGCGGGAGTGTGGCCTCCAGGGGCTGAGTGAGTGAAGTTTGACTCGGAGTCCATGATGGTATCTGGAGGCGATACGTATGAAGTTGCACGTTGTTGGTGTGGGTAAGTTGTGAAGCTGAGGTGGTTTGATAGATAGAGGTGAAGTAGAGGTAGGTGAGTGGATTGATCAAAGCTCCATTGGTGTTGTGAGGTGGCAAGAGCGTTGGCTGCACGGTTGCTTTGATGAGCAGAAAGAGCGCCGCCGACAAGCGACCGCACCGTTTGATATTAGTGAGTGAAACTGGGCTGGATATTTGTTGTAGGAGAATTTCTGAAAAGTGAGGTGTCTCACAGGCAGCCAAGTGTGGGAGAAGAAGCTGACTAAAGAGGGTGTATTAGGTTGAAGAATTGGGAAATCTGGAGTACTCTGTACCACAAAGTGAGATGATGTTGATTCTTACCTAGCCTGGGACCAAATGGCTGTCCCTGAGACTGCTGGTTCCCAGAAACGGCTGAAGTCGTCAGTCAGACAGCCAGAGTGGAAATAATCCTCAAATAGTGTGAAGAATGAATGCTGCTGACGAAAAGAAACGAAGAGAGGGGGAGAATATGAGGAGATGGAAAAATAAGCAGCAAAACCCAAAGTTCTTTCGACCCCTGTTTGACGTGAACACGAGGAGCCCAAGATGGAGGTGAGATGCAGGGGACCCTTATCGCTTTTGACCAGTGGGTTATCTGGGGTATTCGTACTGGGTGTGTCGACGTGAGGTGAGGGTTGCACCAATCGATGCCTGGAGAAATGGGAAATGCCGTCGGTGGCGGCCCTGTTTCTTTGAATCGGGATATCCGCTATAATCCCGGGACGGCGTATTGAGCGGTCGCTGGTGCTATTGACTGCGTGGTGGGACTGGTGTAGCGTCTTTTCTTCAAGCCGCCGTCGCTGTCAGTTTGAAGTGAAGATGGACGGTGGAGAGTGAGACAAAGAAGTTGTTGATCTGTGGACTAATTATCCCATTCACCGTGCCGAGTGACAACTAGTGGGACCAATTAAGCCTGGAAACGTGGGTGAAGCCGGCGACTTGAGACGAAATTTGCCCAGATAACCGTGGGATAAAAGCACGTGGATGAAGCTCTTCTCTCACCGAGGAAAGGCTGCAACGAAGGATCGCAAGCTCTAACGTGTCTGACCCAAGCCACATAACGCCAAGTTGAGGGCCGGCAGATGGAGGTGCACCCCGCCGTTGATGTGGCACAGAGGCCTGCTATTGGGTTAATTGAGTGCCTTATGCTGACGGTGTGTTTACCCATTTGCTGATTCGCCAGTCGACTCGACTTATAATTGAGGTATGACAGGCACAAAAGGGGCCCTGAAAGATGGCTTCCTATGCTCAAGCTCTAGAGCTAAGGTAGTAGCAACAGCTCTAGACTCAGGGCTTCGTCGGCTTTGCCACCGGCACTTCAATTCGTGCCATTGATCGTCCTGCCCTGACTACATTCTATGTCAGAAACCGAGATGTTGAGGACTCAGTGGCATGCAAGGCTTGCTGCCAGCAACAACATAGTCTTGGAAGGCAAGAGGCAAGGTGAATATCATCTGCCGACCACAACCATTGAGATATCCGGCGAGCGAACCCATACCACATGGCCAGCTGAAGCGTTCAGATCAGATAATTCGTACTTCTGTGGAGATCGAGTACAAGTAGAAAATCACCTCATTTAGTCACAACGATATCGCCTGTATTAGGCCTAGCAGTACTCGGTGATCGAGGTCCAGATTATCATGAAATCTGCCCAGTAAGCGGCGATGAGAAGTGGTGCGCCTTGGATTCGTCTGAACGTGGCATTGCGCTGTACGATACAAGACAATGTGTTTCGACGAGTATCAAAAAGACATGTCTTGGATCTGTCGGTGAGTCTGTGGGCCGTAAACGCGGCGGCTGCTCAGAATAACATCGTCGATGATCTCTGAAGATCTTGCGAGCAAACATTCTATTAACAACACGCGCTTGAGGCGGCGCATCTCGGCCGGTTTGATGGTCTCCCAGTTGATCCAACATCGTCACCCCGCCTTGCGCAGAAACAAGCGCTCGGCTGTGAAGAAACAGAGGGTCGGTCTGCAGAAGTCTCCACGGCAGTTGTTAGAGATAGATTAAATGCATGAGTTTGATCCTTGCCGACATGTTGGTTCCATCGTCGATGATGGAGCGGGTGATGGCGGCAGACCGCTACACAGGCCAAGGTTATATTGCAAGGTGAATGAATGTTGGAGGAAGAAAACACCAAGGACAAGAAATGGAGGGAAAATGGCCGGGAGCTGGCAGTTGACAGTGGAGTGAAAGTGGAGAATTGCCGGCCCGCTGTGGAACGTCGATCAAAGGCGGACTAGTGCGGGCCTATTTCCAGCCCTGGCCACTCAGAGGCCCGACCAAGGTTCATTGGATCCACAATGATAAAGACGACCCACTTCTGCTTCCAGGCGCGCGTCTAAATTCGACCTTCAATTTCGTTGCTTCCACCTTTGACAGCTTTGCTTCGCTTCACTCTCGCCTTTTCGCTCATTTAATTCTCCATTCTAGTACGTATCTCAGTTCCAAGTGGCTCGTCCAGAACATCCGTCCTTATGCCAGATGATATGCAACATCCCGTCTGCTCTGTCAGGTACCCGTCGAGGATGACCGTCCTCTATTCGTTACTGGCCCCCTGATGGATTCCGCAGATCGAAGACGAGCATCTCTGCCCAGCTTGGTGTCGCACCCTTGCTGTTTTCATTGCTGTTGTAGTTGTTGTTGCTGCTGCTGCTGCTGCCGTCCCCCAACGCATACGGCCATTGCCCATCTCCATTGATGCACGTCTACGGCAAGGCAGCTTGGCTTACCCTGCCGCGCGGGCGCTCATAGTCGCCCACTTCCAATGCAATGCGACAACCCTGCCTCATTTCGTCCTGGACCCCATTGGTCATCTCGCCGCGGACGTGGGGTCTCAAAGAGACCTCTCCATACGTCTCTGGCGGCTCGAGACTAACACCATCTCGCCTGCTTGCCCGCAAAGACCGATCGACGGCCGACCCCACGCATGTCGTGGCATGATCCAGCCCTAAACACTGACGAACCTCTCCAGATGGAACCTCGCCAGCGCGGCAAGGCTGGCGCCTACTCATACCCAACAGCTGTTTGCTAATTTCGACCCTCTTTTGACGGCCCCGCGGTCTCTTGTCCCCGTCTGAACCGTCTGCTCCCTTCTTCGGGACCCCGGTACCCGTCCGATCCCGCCAAGGTCCCATCGTGCTCGTGAGGTAGCCGCCCTTCAGACCCGGCCAGTTCTACGCGCCCAACTCCAGACAGACGCCCATCTTCAAGACCTCTCCAGCCAATGTCTGCCGTCCTTCCTCTCGCCATCCGCTCTTTCGGACACACGAGACGGGTTTCATGGCATCTCTGGCAGCTCTCTCGCTGTTGTTCAGCCCAGCTGTCCTGTTTCACATTCCCAGCACCCCGGTCTCATCTCGACTGCGCTTCTGCGTCTCTTTGTCGACCCGCCAGCTCGTGATGTTGCTTAAAGTCGGGCCCTCTGTCCGGCTTCTCGACCATCTCTCGACCTTGTGTTCGTCTGTCTATCAAGCAATCTCAATCCATCTCACAACATTTCCTTTTCCGTCTCATTTCCTTTTTCCTTTTCTCTTTCCTTCAAAGTCTTCGTCATCGTCATCGTCGTAGCATTTCCTAAAGCCAGATTTCCTACCTCTCTTCTGACTTGCATCCATCTCCATTCGCTCTTCGCTATTACTCTATACCCATCATCGACCTCTCCGGATACTACCTCCAGGCGAGGCGAGGCGCACCCACCGAGAAACTTTCGCTTTCGACATCTTTCCGCAGCTTAATTCTGTAATCTGCACTCGTTTTACTTACAACCTCTACGAAAGCAACGCCAGAGTTGCTTCACTCTCCTCGAAGCTTCTCACGAATAACATGCCCAAGCATACGCGGGCATCCAGCTCGAGTCACAACCGCTTCCTCAACTCTATGCCCGTTTCTCTCGCCCCCGCGGCGAACCCCATCGCCATGTACAACCAGCGTATGACCATGCCGCAAAACGCCTACTACACCATGCCCTCGTCATCGGCTCCGATGCAACATCAGCCGCAGCCGACGTACGAAAGCTACGCCCCGGTCGCCGCACCCCCTGTATCGGTCCCTCCTCTGCAACACCGCGCCTCCTCGGGGGCCTGGACCCCACAGGATGACCAGCAACTCCTCACGGCCCGGTCCCAGGGTCTCAACTGGGGTCAGATCCAGATGGCGTACTTCCCGAACAAGACGCCCAACGCCTGCAGAAAGCGTCACGAGCGTCTTATGGAGCGCAAAGGCGCCGACGACTGGGACAACCGCAAGTTCGAACGCCTCGCCAAGGAGTACATGAACGTCCGCAAAGAAATATGGTCTATCCTCGCAGCCCGCACCGGAGAGAAGTGGGGTGTCGTCGAGGCCAAGGTATGTCGAGAGCCTCACATCATCTCGTCCAAAGAACACCTGCTAACTAACACCTCTTCTTCCAGTGCATGTCCAACGGACTCAAGAACCTTCAAAGTGCGTCTCGCGCCGCGGCCAGACGGGAGCGCCTGGAATCGGGGCAGCCACTACCACCTGGGTATGACGATGACAGCGGCATCAGCGGCCTCGGGTTAACCGACGACCTAGACGCGTCCTATAGTAGCCCGGAGACCGTGTCCTCTGGACACTCTGGGAGCGGCGGCAGCACCACCTCGGCCGCCGGCTACGTCACCTCCTTCAACCATCTCCAGCCTCTCCATGCCGGGCAGTACGGCTACGGCCACACGGGTGCCCATCACGGATACAACAGCTCCGTCTCCTCGAACGCCTCCGTCAACGGCGGATACCCCGGCCAATCGCAATCTCCCAGTCCTTACCTCCATCCTCACGGCCAGAGACTGCCGAGCGTGGACATGGGCATCGATGCCATCATCAACCGGCCCGGCGGTGGTGCACAACAACCCATGTAACGACCTTTTTCCTTTACCAGAATGACTGAACGCTCGTTTACAACATCATTCGAATTCGGTCGGAGGTTTCTTTCGGTTTTATGCCGTCTTTTCTTTTTACTTTCTCGTTTCAGAGTGGCGTTCCAGGCGTTATTGGGACTACGTACCGATACAACGGATATACCGAGGGCAAGAGGATCGGGCGCACTGTTTTGTCAGGTTGCTTGCGAGAGATGGGATAACAGCACAACGGCAAAACGAAGTGCCCTTGGTAATGACGATCGATGGGCGGAAGAGCACCTGAGGGGTCATGAATTCAATGTGTGTGTGTGTGTGTGTACAATAGCATCTATAGATACCAAGAGGATGGGGTCTGGTATGAAAAGGGGCGGAGACATGCAATCGAATGCTTTTTGGACTTCACTCTACGCATCCACGCGGACAATCATGGGCCACTTCGATGAGGCGCAAAAGGTACGGAAAGAGTAGATTCGGTATCTTGACCAGATACACCCACCAAGGCCGTAACGGGCCCGCTTCTATCCTTGACAAAGGAGCATACTATGATACATGCAAGTTCTACACTTGCCCCTACCGCTATCTATCGCGCGGAATGGGCGGAGCAACAGGCATCTCTTCCAGCTCGTCCTCCCACTCGTCGTCGTCGTCCTCGGTACCCATGACACTATTCCACACACGACTCCACATGCCCTTCTTCTGGAGCAGCGCCAAAACCATGACGACAGGCAGATGCCAGACACTGGCCCAAAACAGACCCCTCGCCGAGCCCTTATGGCCCTCGTACTTCCAGAACCTCACAGCCTGCCACGAAAGCCAACCGTTGACCGACAAACTCGTCACAGCAAAGCTCCACTCCGTCACGCCGGCGGCGCAGAGCGCCACGCAGAGGGGGATGAAGGCAATGCTGTAGCGCAGCGCCACGCGGGCGTTGCGGGCCGGGTTTGTCCACGCAAGCATCCGCAGTCCGGCCGCCTTGTACTCTTCCCTGATGGGCCATGACAATGCCATAAAGTGCGGGAACTGCCAGGCAAAGAGGAGACCGCCCATCAACCAGCCGCCAATGGAGCTACCGTCGCTGGCCAGGAGCAGTTCCCGCCACGACCCGTCGCCCGACGCAGTCTCGCCTGCTGCCGCCGCCCAGCCCATGAGTGGGGGAATCCCACCGACGACAGCGCCCAGCCATGTGTTTGCTACGCTCATGGCCTTCATCGGCGTGTACATGCCGGCGTAGATGACGATGTTGGCGCCGCCGAGGAATGCGACGGTCGGGTTGACGCCGAAGTAGAGCGCACCCACACCGGTGACGGCGGTCGCGACGGCGAACATGACCGCGGCCCTCGTCGAAAGCAATCCTCTGACCAGCGGACGGTTCCTCGTTCGGGTCATCTTGGCATCGGTCGATTGCTCGTACAGCATGTTGAGGGAGTTGGCCGAGGCGGAGCACAGGGCGGTGCCGGTGGTCAAGAAGAGCAGCGTCAGCGGGCTGAGCGAGGGCGACTCGGTGATGGCGGGGGAGAGGAAGGCGGGGACGGGGTATACAGCGTAGGAAGCCATGGCCGTCAGCACGACGAGCGCCGAGAGGCGGGGCTTCGAGAGGGAGAGGAGGGTCGAGAAGATGCGGCGGGCGGAGTGGGCGGGTTGTCGCTCGGCGACGCTCGTGAGGGCGGAGGAGGCATCTTGAGGGAGAGGGACTTCGGGTGAAGAGGACGCGGCGGCTTCAGCGGCGGCTTTGCGTCTCGCGGCTTGGCGGCGACGATGTGGAAGTTCGTGGTTTACGTCGAGGTGGTTCGTCTCGGCGCGGGGGTTTGTCGAAGAGGAGGAGGACGAAGAGGAAGCGATCGAGGCCGAGGCAGAAGAGCTTCTACTCCCTGACTGTCGAGGGCGAGGGTTCGCGCGATCCAGGACGCTGTTGGAAAGGAAGTAACTCGCGCCGAGTCGCACAGCGGGCGCCGCCTTTGGTGCCGTGGTCGAGGCAGCTCGTCTCGGGATCAATGGCGACGAGAAGACGCCTCGAGGGAAGCCCGAAGCTTGGCGGATGCATTGTCGACACACATTATCAAGACGGTAAGGGCGCAAGAGCGTATTGGGAGCTGGCCGCATGGTTCTTGCTCTTCTCTGCGCTCATGTCGGCCTGGTGTGGTTCGGGTGGCCAAGGGCGGTCGGCGGCGGAGAGTCGCTCGGTCTCTCACTGAGCCATGCGAGGCGTACGCGGGTTCCGGGCTCGTAAGGTAGGGCGAGAGTGACTGCGAGGGGCTCTGGCCGGGGAATTGGCTGTGACGTCGAGTCGGGTCAGGTCGAGTCGAGAGATGATCGGGGAAGACGCAACGAGAACAGGACGACAATCAGGCGGACGACACGGCCTTCACAACTGAAAATATTTGGCCAATCAGACGTCGGTTGATGGAGACCACAAAGTGGTCCCACCTTTCCGGGGCTCTGACCCGCTTCGGCGACCGGCGGGCAACTTGCGGCATCCGACAGCCCGACATCTACATCATCATCACCGGGAATTGTCGAGGGGCCTTGGCTCTTTTACAAATGGAACCATAATAATTGCAAATATATCTCTACCCATCCAAAAAGACACTCAGCTACCTGAAAGTCCGATCGATCTATCACTCTCAAGCTTCCTCATCTTCACCCTCATTCTGGCCCTCCGCCACCTTCGGTCTCTTCGACGGCCTCTGCTTGGTCTTGTCGCCCGTTTGCGCCGCGCCCGAATCATCGCGCTTGCGCTTTCCGCCAGACCGGTTGCCCTCGTCATCAGATTCCGGCACCAGCTCGCTCGGATCCGCCTGGCTTAGGTCGTCCTCCTCTCCGTTGTCCTGGTATGTCGGGTCGCGAGGAAGTCCTGGCCCCCGCCAAATCCTACGTTTCTTTCTTTGTATGACTCCGTGCTCGTCTGTCTCTTCGTACTCCTCCCACACCTCTTCCTCTGCCTCCTCGTCATCCTCATCGTCCTCTTCCCCGTTATCTTGGTAGTCTTCATCGCCGTCGTCCTCGTCCTCGTCCTCATTCTCGGCCTCATCCTCTTCCTCATCATCGCTGTCCCCGGGGAAAGGAAGGCCAAAGTTATCGCTCATCTCGTCATTGTTGGGATCCTGGAACCAGTACGCGGTACCGCGGTTAGATCCCTGCGTCGGGCAAAAGGTCCCCTCTAGCTCGGGATGCTTCCTAAGAAACTTCTTCCTGAGCGTGGAGATAACAAAGTTTCTGGGTTTCTTGATCCAACCGGCACGGCTTGGAAGCTCCGGCATCCCGTCGGCATCATACGTGACCTCGCCTTCCTGTGCCGGGATTCGGCAACTGCGGTTCGGGTCCGAGTGGGCCTGTGGGAAAATGCAAGGTCAGCGATGAAACAGCGTGGTCCAAGTCGATTTGCCTTACGTTTATTTGTGTTTTCCTGTCCGGGTCACCGTTCCTGATTTTGGAAGAAGCTTTTCGGAAGCATCGCGAGCAGTACATGTCATCGCTTGGGTCAAAATCAGACTTGGCAGTTTTTGCCGCTTTTGCAGTCTTCGACTTGGGCTTCTTCGGCTTCTTCGGCTTGGTCTTTGGAACTTTCGTTGTCGAAGTCGTCGGCACCGGGACTGGGCCCGTTGGCTTGGGTTGGGTCTTTGGCGGCTTTGTGGTTGAACTCGGCGGCACAGGGACCGGACCAGTCGGCTTGGGTTGGGTCTTTGGCGGCTTCGTGGTTGAACTCGGCGGCACCGGCACCGGTCCTGTGGGCTTGGGTTTCGTCGGCGGCTTTGATGTGCTGGTCGGCACGGGCACTGGACCTGTGGGCTTGGGCTGGGTCTTGGGCGGCTGGGAACCGCCGCCCGCAAGATCTTCTTCCAGCTGTCCATCTGTTTCGTTATCTTGTTCCTCCTCGTTGTTATCAGGGACTTCGTGGCCGTGACTAGTCTCGACGCCCTCCATGGCTTGTGTCTCAGACCCAGGCTCTTGAGGAGGGTTCTCGCTCGGTTCAGGACGAGATCCCCCAGGCTGAGCAGGCGGCGCGCTGTTTGTGCTCCCTTGCCCAGGCCCATTACCCGGTCGAATTCCTGCGAATGGTTTTCCCGGAGGCCTTATGAGCATACCCGGAATGGGGTGTTTTCCCTCTCGTATCCTCTGCTTTCTTCGCTCCTCATCCGCGGCACGCATAACAGCCTCCCTGTTCGGTCGCATGCCGCCCACAAAGTCTTCAGAAGCATGCGCTGCTTCCATGTGACTGTTCCATTGCTGCTGGCTCATGAATCCAACCATGGCCCCGCACTTTTCAAAGTATGGACATCGCTTGTCGCGTCGATCCAGAGCATTCTCATTCTCGGGATCCCACAAGGTGTGACCCGGACCGAACGGCCCTTGCACTACGGGAGGGGGAGCTCTCTTCTCGGCAAGAATGTCCCAGAGTTGGAAGACGTGACATTCCATGTGTGCGACCTGGAGCCTCCGATCTTCATATTCCCCAAGCTCTGGCTGTTCTTCACGCACCTCCTTGGGTCTTTGGAAGGACAAATGGCACAGGGGACACCTTGGCAGCGGTATGCCATAATGCTTCGTCTCAAAGTGCGCAAGAACTTCGGATGGCGTGAGTCCGAATAGGGGTTCTCGACAGCCGTAAGCTGTGCACTCAGAGGGGGGGTCTTGACACGGGTGTGGCCCTGGTTTGTCGTGCCACGCCAATGGATGGCTCAAGTATCGAGATGGGCCACGAGGCCGCGAAAAGTTGGTGAGCTCATTGGAGGCTTGTTCACCCAGGAAAAGCGAATCTGACGGTTGGTCCCTACCGTTCCAGTAGCTCTCCGGGTAAATGTCGAACGGAGTAATGTTCGGAGGCTTCTTGGCAGTACAATCGGTGATATGCTTCCTGATCTCTTCCACGTGTTTCTGGACACCATCTTGGACAAAGCTCTTCTGGCAGTAAGGACAGAAGCAGCCCACATCGCCAAAGAAGCCTCCGCAATGTTCCCGATGGCGGTCGATGGCATCGTCGGGGAGCTTCTTCAGAGAGAGTCCGCACTTGACGCAGTATGGCTTCCCAGCATGGGATGTCCCTCTGCATCGGTGTGGGTAATCGTCGTAGGGTGCCAGCTCGTCCCTGTCGCTCAAGGAGTTCCAGACGTTATCGCCGCACGTCTCGCAAAAGGTACACCTCCCAGCACCCTCCGCTAAAGGCACACAGCACCGATCATGGTGATCACGCTCCGTTTTGCCGCTAAGCGTTTGGTGGTCGCGACCGCACCGGTCGCAGAATCGGTACTCGGACTCTTTGCTGTTAGCCTTTGTTGGCGGACTGGGCTTTGGAGGAGGCCCGACTGGAGGCCGCACTCGTTCGGCGATCGTGGCTGCGGACAAGATATCTTGAGCACGTTCGACCGCAGCTTGGCCGGAAAGTTGTTGTCTCTTAGCGGAGGGTGTTGGCTGCGGCATGTCCAGAACCTTCCGGAATACGTCCTCGTGTTTGGTTTTGAAGTGGTCCTCCTTTTGCTTCCAAGACCAGTGTTGAAAAAGCTGTTCACTGCACCAGGGACACCTGTCTCCAACATGTGAGCCCTCCAGATGCTTCAGGAATTCCTCCTCCTGGTCAAGTCGGTATGCATATCTGCACCCCTCATACGGACATCTGGAGAGGCGGTCGAGTACCATGCCACGCATCGTCCAAAGATCGCTTTGAAGTTGACGTTGCTCCGTCGACGTAAGAACGGCCTTCGACACCATTGGAACTCGGGTCCCTCCAGTCCGCATGATTTGCTCGACTGCTGGCGCGTTGATCGGGATAGCTGGATTGTAAACGCCCTTATCGAAAATGCCGGGCTGTTGCGCCCATGTTCTCTCACGGGGCTCCATACGAGACTCTGTTGTCCTTCGCGGACTTGGCTGCTTTTTCGGAGGCATGACGAAGTGCTCGCTGGGCTGTGAGAGGGTTGGGTGCCCCATTTCTCGACGGAATGGTGTCACCTCTCCATATCGAGGACCCCATTCACACTTTTCCAGTTGTGCCACTGTGATTCTCGTAGTTAGTAACGCTCGGCAGGTCGTGCGAAAGTATGTATCTTACCATAGTCGGAAGCATCGTCCTTCACAACGGTGACACGCACCTCTGTAGCGATGATGAGACGTCTTATCATCGCCAGCTCATTGTTGGAAGCATTTGCTCTGAGAACAAACTGAGACTGGTTCCAGTAGCGTTCGTCAATCACTGGCTCGATGAGGATGGAGTCTGTTCCAGGCTCGTACGTCTTTTCGGGGTGACCTTCGTACAGCCTACGGATCTTGGACTTGAACGAATCCATTCTATGCGTATCGACGTTGAAGTCTTCATGGCTGCTGTTTGCATCCCCGAGACGGATTCTGCAAGCTTCATCGTCGTCCATAGGTTGAACGACGAAGAATCGACAAGCCTCACTCGGGTCTTCGACAGCTTCCTGAATGAACTTGGAAATGGCTTGCTGGTCTTGGCTTTCGGCGTTCACGGCCAGGTGGTTCCATCGAACTGGACGACGACTACCAGCAGGGTAGATCGTGCTGCTGAAAAAGTCTGTTCCGCGCCATATCCGGTAGTAGGAAGGTCTGAGGGGAATGTGTGCATTCCTGATGAGCGTCTCAAGTGTCCTGCGGGCCTCTGGGTACGGGTCGTCAGAGCCTTCTCGACGAAAGCATTGTCGCATCTGCAACATTTCAGATGTGGCGAGTCTTCCAGGCAAATGAAAGATGACGGAACCCTCGGCCAAAGGGTGCGTGGCAACGTTGAATGGCCTGGAGCCGTTGCATCGGGGGTGCATCATTTTCCACAGCTCATGATCGATCTCGAGGCCGCCGAACCACTGCCTTGCAAATGATCTCGAAGTTGAGAACTCATTGGACAGGCGTATATCGCAGTCGCTCTCACCCGGCTCTTTCGGGCGTCCTATAAGGACTTCCTGGGCAGTCTTCAAGAAAGGCATGTAATGGTTGATGCCCCAGGGTTTCGGGGTTGGCCAACGTTCCCCCTCTGCTTCAGTATGGAAGAACTTTCCGCGATTAGGCATGCCCAAGTAGGAGAGGTTCTCTTGGCCTTGACTGTCAACATGCCTCAACTTGACCAAATTCCACAAAAATTCGCTTTCCGTGGGCGCGAAATCAGTCGGGGTGGTTTCCCCTTTCCTATGGGTGAACCACACGCAATCGCGGTTTGACTTCTGTTCGTCGACGTACTGAGCCACTTCGCCTTTCGAGATATCCCGTATGGTGGTTTCGAAAGAGCGTTCGATTTTCCCGCCATTTCGGCTGATATGCGCAAGAATGACATCGCATTGGTCCCGTTGCTTCAGAGAAAGCAGCTTTCGGGTAGCTTCCTGGAGAGTGGAAAGGTTTCCCGAGTCGAACGATACTCGGCCCTGGAAGCCGAACAACTGAACAAAGGTATCAGCTGAAGGAGTCGATGTGCTGTATGTCGACTGGACTTTTGGGCCGAACGAAGAGGGAGGGAAATAACCTCCGAATGACTGTGGGTTGGAACCGGCAGGAGGAGGAGCAAACCCAGAAGGGCGGGGAGGTACGAATCCTCCAACACTGCTGGAAGGATTGGGTCTTTGACCACCAGCTGTCACACCAGCGTGAGACGCCGTCGGCTGCGTGCTGGCCGCGGGCTTGGGGGTTGGAGTGCTGAAAATACCTCCGGCCGCAGACTTGGGGGGAGAAGTATTGAAAGTACCACCATGGGTCGATTTCGGAATCGGAAGCAATTTGGACTGAGGGGCGCTGGGGGTGTTTGTCCGGCCAGGGGCGGGCGCATTTGATGTTGGATTCGTGGATGAGAGTCCAAAGAGCTTGGTATGGCGATTCGACGTCGGCAATTTGCTAGAAGATCCATTGCCCTTGTCTCCAAACACTTTAGAGACCAGTCCGGGGCCTGAAAAGAGCTGTCGCCGAGGTTGTTTCTCCATATCCGGCATATCGTGATCGCCATCTTCGTTGTCGTCGTCATCTAGACCTCCACCGCGAAGGCTTAGGCCTTGAGAATCAGACTCCTGAAGGTCAAAATCGGTCGCTCCAGAAAGCTGCGACGCAGGCACAGGTATGGTGCTGTAATGTGCTTCCGTCCCTATAGACAATTGTCAGCATCTTATCAAATTTCGTGCGTTGGTTTCAGACCTCTCATGTTGTCATGGCCAAAGTTCCGCCGGTCGTGAGCCGTGAGGAAGTGCAGCGGCGGGCAAACCTCTGCTTCGTGGAGGTCCTCCCAGTCGTCGACGTCAAAGGTAGGCTTACCCTGGCCGAACAGATGGGACAGGACCGGTTCGACGGGCAGACCGAAGTAAAGCATTGTAAACTTGGTGGCCAAAGACAGAGGATGGCCTTTGAATCTGCCTTGGAAAAGGGCATGGTATCGCTCGGTGTTGTCTTCCTGGCACTCTCTAAGGCTTCGAGGTTGAGTGGCGGGCAGGAACAGCTTTTTCTCATGGTCTGTAAAGTGGTCGTCCAAAATCTGTTGAATGCGTACAGTAGGGTCCGAAAGGATGCTCTTGAATTCGTCCTCGATGGTTTTCCAAGCCTCGTCAGTTGGTCTGATGAGAGGGCTGTAGCGATCCGTGGGCGGACGCATGCTCCTCCTCGTGTCGGACATGGTGCGATGAAGGGAAAGTTGACAAGAAAGAAAACAGACTGACGAGAATTCGGATAAGGAATGATGAAAAGAAAGTGAAAAGCCAGGAGAGATGGGTTGCGTTAACAAGAACTGCTGAGAAAGGCGAGCTCATATGAATGAAACGGCCGCGAGGGACGTCGCGAAATCGGCATGACCTTCCCAAGGGATTTGACATGCCTTTGAAAGACCATGGTCATTCAGGTGTTCCCTCGTGGCAGTGCTCCTTTGAACCTTTGATACCATTTCTGTATTGTTTCCCGAGGAGTCGAGTGACACAAACAGGGCCGTACTCTAAGGGAGAGGAAACTGCCACTTCAAAAGATCCGAGTGCATGCTGAACGTAAAAATTATCAATCTTAGTGATGTTCTATTGCTTAATGAAAGTCGATGAGAATGGAGCAGAACCGTTGATGGAGAAACCTCTCCTTCTGGTTTCGACACACTTCCAAACATGAGAGTGGACTTCGGCAATCGCGATATACCTCAATGCGAACGCCCATACATACCAAGACTCGCAAAGGACCGACCACAAACAATGTGAATGTAGCTTTGGCCGATGACCGAAAACGGATCGATGAAGCATCGCGAGCAAATAAAGAACCCTTCGAGGATTGAACTGAATGCTTTCGTCTTCGGGATCATTGATCCATAAAATTGAATGTAAGTTAAGTCGTCGCCAAATGATACAGCGGTTGGAGCACAGAACAAAGACATCCAGATAGCATTGTCGCTAACAATGGAACGTTTTCGTCTCACTATACGAGATTCATCGATTGTTATCCAAGCGAGGAAGTTTTGGGCGCGACAAGCCCAAAAGAGGTCATGGCTGTTGCTGTCGTCCTCGAGGATTTGACGACAACAATTGCCTCCACTGGCAGTGCATGGACAGCTTCACCTTTGCAACTCAACACGTATCCATACCCATTTGAAAACTCGAGATGCCACTTTCGGAATATGAAGTCACCGGGATTCATATCGTCAGTAAGTACCATCCGCCATCCCTTGCCAAATCGCTGTATCTAGTCGCCAGATGCTGCCCCCAGGTCTCATCAAATGTCTCCACGCCGGTGGCATCCATACCAACTCCTTCGGCCATGCGCTGCAGAATGGCAAACACCCTCCCTCTACAATTTTCATCGATATGTTTCATTGCGTAAGCTGTAGGAAAATGCAATGTCCACACGTCAGCGGTGGCCACATGGCACTGGTGGCGATGGCTTCAACCGGCAATGTTCCCAACTACCAAGGTCGCTCGAGTCGACCCACAGGGCCTTGGAAATGCCGACTTGAAGGGACAGAACCGACTTCGTTAGATTTTACATAAAAATTATACCTCCGTGCCATCGTTATAGAACAAAAAACTGCCCGATCGATATCACGCATCGAATAATACGATAAAACCTCAACATCAACGTTGACAACAAAAAGTCAGTACAACGGCCTCAAAGTGGAAAGAAAAAGACACTGGATCTCTTCGGTCTTACCCATATCAATACTTAACAATGTCACTCGGCGAGAAGTCAATACCGGGCTCGTCTAGCGCGCTCGACGGTCGCGCAGTTGCACACTCGCCTACTGACTCTGCCCATCCCCTCAACAACGACAACGACGCTCCTGATGGTGGGTTTCGCGCTTGGATGGTCGCCGCCGGCGCTGTAACAATATTTTTCTGCACTATTGGTCTTTCCAACTCATTTGTTATCTTTCAGGAGTACTACATGACGCATCAACTACAGGGCGAGTCCGCTTCCAACATCTCGTGGATTGGTTCCACACAATCCTTTCTTTAATTCTTCACCGGCATGCTTGCTGAAACCCTGTTTGACCGTCATGGCACTTTGGCAAGTGCAGTTCCTATTTGCATTACGAGAAGTTAAGGGTTGGATTGGTGAACATTAACACCATCTTCCAGGTTATATGACGAACGCAGTTTTATACGCATGATAATATAGAACATGAAACCGCAAAAACTCGCTCAATATCCCCGCTCCTCTGAAAGTGCGTCAAGCGGCGTACGATTGTCATCGCTGAGGAATCGGAGCCGCACCTCGCCTTCCGGCAGCTTACCTGACGCGCTCCGCTCCGTCCCGGCGCCGGATGGTAGGGCTTGTGGATCCCGAGGCCCGGGGCGGGGTATAGATAAGATAACACTGAAAGGTAGCAAGCAGTGTTAAGTCAGGGTACAAACCGAACCTCGCACATAGCGCTTCGCCTTTCCTCAAAAGAAAAGAAAAGAAAATCCCACCTTGGCCGCCGAATGTCAACTGTTTGGACCACTTTTTGCTTCAAGCTTCCATTCTTACACGCTGATAAATGCAAGATCCAGAGGGTTCATGGCTTCAAACATGCCACTTACACAAGGCAACTTTCCCGAATAACATGGCAACATCAACTCGGAAAACTTGCCCAATTGCTCTCGCAGGTACGCTAGGGTGACAGAACTCCGCATCACGGAGGCCCGGTGCGGGTGCGGATGCTCTATGGATGCTCGACAGAACCTTCTGGGGACCCCACGTTTCTGTCACAACCCACTCCTCCTTCATCAACATTGGCAACCGGTTCCGTTGCTAAGTATTCGCCCTGCAACTGCGTTGCCGGAGAAGTTGTTTTTGGGAGGTCATGCATTTGCGCTTACGTTTACCGTCACAAGTGGCGCGCCCAGAGGCCTGAATCGGCGGTCCCTGAGAGAACCTTTGCTGTTCGCCGATACTTGCTCGTCTTATTGCCTTTGGTGTTTGAAGGCCGTACTGTTTAACACCACTCCATTTGAGAACAGTGGAGAGAAGTGCGGGGTTCTTGCTGTGTATCGCCAGCACAACGCGTTCTTATAATTGAAGTCACAGCAATCATCTCAGTCTCCGGTCAATCCTGAGTCGATATCAGCATATCGCCTGCTTCTGTTCTGCCTTGTTTCTCTTGTACAAAAAAACTTCGATACCGATTTCAGTGTCTCCATTGCCTTGCTGCTCGAGTGAAGCTTCGTTCCCATCCACCTTACCCTGAGTGCCCAACGTCGACAGCACTTGTCACTATGGCCTCCCAATCCGACTCTCTGCTGGGCAGCCTGAGATCTACAAGTCAGGTCGACTGTGATACCCTAGACGTGGAAGGTAGCCATTCTCAAACAAATGCCACACTATTCAATATGATATTGACCTTCCTTCAGTTGCTAAGGAACTCGGACCCTTCGTGGACTGTACCTCGAATCAAGCCATCGCTCTCGGTGAGCTCACCAAGCTCACACCCGACGGTAAACTTCATCATGAGCAACTCATACGAGATGCCGCAAAGGATGCACAGGGTTGGGCCAAGACCACCTGGCCTGATATCGACCCCGTTCTTCTGGCGGTCGAGATTATGGTAAGTACTCGCATAGCGAAGAAAGTTCATGCAACCGTTTTGCTAATACGACAAAAGATGGTCAGGCTATCGCTGCAGTTTGCGCCGTACTTGACTGGCTACTTTCACATCCAGACCAACACCAATTTCTCATACTCAGTCGAGAAGACTCGCTACAATGCCGAGAGTAATTTTTCGGCCGCCCCATTACCATCTGAGCGTACCACTCACTTTCACTCTCAGGAATCGTCGAAATGTTCAAGACGATCGAGCCTAGCTTTGACGTCAAGCGAGTATGCATCAAGATTCCCTCCACCTACGAGGGCATCGCTGCGTGTAAGATCCTCGAGCAAAAGGGAATCGCTACTTTGGCGACAACCATGTTTTGCATGGAGCAAGCCGCGTTGGCTGCTGATGCCGGCTGCACATACATCGCCCCCTACGTCAATGAGCTGAAGGTGCACTTTGTGCCCGGGTGAGTATCAGCCTGTGTCAGTTGGCATCTACGAGTATAGACTGACTTGCCGGTTGTTCAGCTACATCGATGAGCACAAGGCTTTCGACTTTTGCAGACAAGCTCAAGCATACTACATCGAGACGAAGGCCAAGACGCAAGTGCTGGCTGCCAGTCTTACTTCAGTGGCGGAGGTGGTCCAGCTTGCTGGCATCCAGCACGTGACTGTGTCGCCGCCTCTGCTCCGAGGTCTCGCTGCGCAGCCGGCTTTGTCTTGGACGGAGAAGATTGGCGCCTACTTTGCTGCCGGTCCGGACAAGAAGTGGACTACGGATTTCGGGGCGGCTCTGAAGGACGAGAGTGAGTGGCGCATCGCCTTCACGCGGAGCGGCAACGGCAAGTATGAGGAGAAACTCATCCAGGCGATCAACATCTTCTGCGAGTCGCAGGCTGGTCTTGAAGAGCTTGCCCGCCGCTATTTGTAAGCAGCTGGCTAGCTGTCGTCGTTGAACCTTCCTCCGACATGTCAAGATTCTACCCAACTCTTGCGTAGGCATACCACAATGAAGTTTTCAAATAAGTTGAGCGTTGAAGCAAGTCTTGCGACGTACTGTCTAGTTTGAGCTGTCGCAATCATGTCAAGTTCGCACCAAGGGAAGGAGACACGATTCACGATAAGAGGTTAGCTGCTATTGGCCTGCGTCGCTTGTTGCATGCATCAACCCCTGCCTCTCGATGATAACCCTCCTCCTGTTATCAGTGAATCCGTTGTCTTGGCCTCATATCGTCCCCCAACTATCTGGTAAGAGATACTTGAAATCCCATTACCGAGCTGAAAAGCTGTCGATTGTATGGCCATGTTGCTTCCTGCACACTGCGGACTTGGCCGGGGCCAACCCCGATAGAGAAGTTCTGTCGGGGCAATTGATCGCTGCGGAGGGGTTACATCGCATCAAGCTGACTGTTCGCGGACTACATAGAGGCGGACATGTCTCACTTTCAGAGACTTCTGTTGCCACGGAGCGTTTGAACCGTGACTGAGAAGCGGTCAGGACAAGATCAATTCTTCGGCCCCGTGTCCTTCTCCCCGGACTTTCTCCTGTCCTCCGCCCGGACCTTGGTTTTGGTGTTTTGCCGGCTCTGAGCGTGCAGCGAGGTGCATATAGCCAGCAGGAAGTCAGTAACCCGCCAACATATTGCACCAAAGACGATCTTCACGATGCGGGGTTTTCGTACACAGGAGGTCAAGCAGCGGTTCACTTCGGTGAAGGCATGGGAGCTCCCCAAGCACCCCAGTGCGATCGCCCCGGATGGCGTTTGGGTAAGGTCATCCAGTCGCCGTGTTTGGATCAGAAGAATTGTGGCTAATTCTTGCGAAGACGAACTCGGATATGGACCCCGTTCCGTTGGAACATCAAACATGGAGCATCTGGACCATTCTGGCCTACTGGAGTTCAGATCTGATGAACCTGTCAACCTTGCAAACTGCGGGAAGTATCCTGGCAGTCGGATTAAGCTGGAGAGAGTGAGTAGTGTCGAGTATCCCTTCCAAATGTCTCTTACATCACCGTTGCCACTGTTCCTGGCTGCGAAAGGATGATGAGCTTCTTGGTCCTCGTCGTTTTCGTCATCGTAATCATCATGCACTTACACAACTCAGGGCTATTCCCGCCATGGCGGTTGGGACCTTCGCGATCGCCATCGCCATGGTTCTTAACGGCGCGATCGGAAGCAGACTTCATGTTCCTTTCTCAGTCATAGCAGCAGGGAGCTTTGGGTTCTACTTTCGCTACTTCGCCATCGTTAGCCGAGCCATCCTGGCCATGTTCTGGTTTGGAGTCCAGTGTGCAAACGGATCTTTCTGCCTCACCATCATGCTGAGCGCCATCGCCCCTTCATATGCGGATATACCGAACACGTTACCCGAATCGGCTGGAATCACATCCATGGGAATGTGCTCGTAAGGCTTTCCACTTCTCTGAAATACGCTCCGTGGCTGACCTTGCGGCTGTTCAGGTTCTTCCTCTTCTGGGTGCTTCAACTTCCTCTGTTGCTCATTCACCCAACCAGACTCAGGCCCTTGTTCTACGTGAAGCTGCTTGCCACACCTGCTGTGGTCCTTGGTACCATGGGTTGGGCCGTCAAGAAGGCTGGCGGCGGCGGCGACATTTTCAAGTTGCAGCCCGAAGTTCCGGCAGGAACGGCACAGTATGCGTGGCTATGGCTCAAGTGTATGTCGAGCGTAACAGGACAATGGGCAACTATGGGAGTCAATATTCCGGACTTCCTGCGCTACTCGAAAACGCCCAATGGCCAATTGGTGCAGCTGCCCTTCGTCCCTCTCGTGTTCACTCTCTGCGGCACGTTAGGAATTATCACGACCTCAGCGACAAGGGTGTTCGTGGGCGAATACCTGTGGAACCCATTGGACATCGTTAGCCTGTGGCTGGCGAACGGGTCTGGAGGCCGGGCCGCCGCCTTCTTCGCCGCTCTGGCTTGGTTCATCGCCACTGTAGGCACCAACATCACGGCAAACTCGATCAGTGCGGCAAACGACTTGACAGTCATGTTCCCCCGCTACTTGAACATCAAGAGGGGCTGCATGGTTGCGGCTGTTGTCGGAGGATGGGTGCTGGTGCCATGGAAGATCCTCAGTTCTGCGCAGACTTTCCTGAACTTCATGGGTGCTTATGCCGTGTTCCTCGCGCCGATCAGTGGTATCATGGCCGCGGACTTTTGGCTTGTCAAGAAGCAACGTTACGACCTTCCTGGTGAGTTTTTTTTTGATTCTATCGAATCGTGGACCCAGACTGACGTGCTTCGCCCAGGTCTCTACGACCCTCAAGGCCGCTACAGGTTCATCGGGGGCGTCAATTGGCGAGCGTTTGTTGCTTTCATCGTCCCCGTGGCGCCTTCACTGCCTGGCATGGCGCTTGCGATCAGTGGATATCCCGCGGTCAAGATATCTGAAGGCGCACAACATCTGTACAGCTTCGACTGGCTCTTTGGGTTCGTGGTGTCAGTGTTTCTGTACACATCACTCAGCTGGTTCCTGCCCGCCAAAGAGTCTCTTGTAACACAGACCGTGTGGGTTAGAGACGGCATGGATATCGAGGGCAGTCATGGCAGCGACATCGAGACACCCAAGATTCCCGAGAAGGTGCAGGCAACAGCTCAGGATGGGCACCATAGCCCTGATTCCAAGGTACTCTGAACACGAGAACAAGCAGGCGCGATATCTCGTAGTACATAGAACTGCCAGCAACATATGCTGTTACATCGCCTTGGTTGCGGTCCAGTGTCATTCTTGCATCTTCTTCGTCTTCGTCTCGTGTTGCATGTCAGTTCGATATTCAACAGGCAGTCTCTTTAGATTTGCGGGGGAGCGAACTGGCATTCCATTCGGCGTGACCTCAGTTCACTAACGATTGCCGTCTCCATTTGTCGGCGACTAACAAGGGACTGGGATGAGCTGTTGAGACGTGTCGGGGCGGGCTGCGACGGTCTTCGGGGACCACGTGTGCAAGTCTGCGGCCAGCATCGGCGTCCTCGGTCGTTTGCGCTGCGGCCAAGTCTTGTGATGACGCACCGAGCACTATCGGTTTCGGGCATGTTGTCGGTTTAAGGTGCTATTGTCTGGGTGTTGAGCGAGACTGCGATGAATATGAATGCCGAGCTCATCCCTTATTTGCAGCGTGGTGGTCTTGGAGGAAACACGACGTCTGGTTCCTGCGATAAGTAGAGAAAAGAACAACACCGAGTACGTACCGAGGATCCGCTCCGTCAAGCACGGCCCGTGCCCCACCAGAACGCCGAGTGCATAACTCTGTGCACAATCCATCTGCACAATAGCACCATGTTGTGCACAACGTCTGACTTATGAAGAAGCTCATCTCCCTCCCCCACCCTCAGACTTTTCTCTCCCCTCCCAGAGCAATCACGCCATCGCCCTTGTCAGTCACATCATCGTCCAAGCTCCACACCAGAGCCGCGCTCTCGACGTCGTCGACCACCAAACGAAGCCCATCTCGGCCATTCAGCACGCGACTTATCCCAATGCAAGCGCCGCGGCGTCTATTTAGCGAGCTTTTACAGCTCTCGACCCGGCGGCCCGTCCCTCCTCGACCGCGACACGCCCCCGTTGCCGCCGCTGTTGGTCCTGGCCGCGTCTTCGCCGCTCCTCGTCAGCCAGGTTCTCTTCAGGCTCGCCTCTTACACGCCTCTGCTTGCTCGAGACACCCCCGACCGACATCCGCCTCCTCAGCGAAGCTCGAGACTGGAGGTACCGCTCCCCAGGCACAAGAACATGGATCGAAGCAGCATCAGCAGAGACCCCCACGGCGTAGAGGCCCAGCTGCCGTCCGTACCCTCCTCGCTAGCGGCGGGCTGCTGTCTCTCTTCATTGGCCTCTCGGAGCCCTTCCACGTCCCCCAAGAAGACGATGTGGACGCCTCCGGATCGGCACCCTCGACCGATGACCGCGACCCGTCCCTCCCTCGCTTCCGGCTGACCGACGTCCGGAAGCACGACGCAAAGTCCGGCAGCCCGTGGGTTACACAAGGCGACAAGGTCTACGATATCACGGATTGGGTCGGAGCCCACCCCGGAGGTGATGTCATTCTCCGTGCTGCCGGGGGCAGTATCGATCCGTACTGGGACATCTTCACCATCCACAAGTCGCCCCACGTCTACGAGATTCTGAACCAGTATCTGATTGGCTTTATCGATGCGGCCGACCTCGTTGACGGCAAGCCTGCCACCAAAGAAATCGAGGATCCCTTCAAGGCCGACCCGAATCGTGACCCGAGACTCATCACTCTGACTCCTAAGCCTCGCAATGCCGAGACGCCCGTGGAGGGTCTGGCAGACAGCTACCTCACTCCTAATGAGCTCTTCTACGTGCGTAACCACATGTGGGTTCCCGAGGTCGACGATACCTCGGACTACACCTTAAAGATTGAACTGCTCGACGGGACTATCAAGGAGTACACTTTGGATGATCTCAAGACCAAGTTCAAGCCGTCGACCATCGTGGCCGTTCTTCAATGCTCGGGCAACCGCCGAAGTGACATGACCCGCAACGCGAAAAAGACCAACGGCCTACAATGGAATGTCGGTGCCATTTCTTGCGCCGAATGGCAGGGCGTGAAGCTCTCTGACGTCCTCGCTGACGCCGGCGTTCCGGTTCACCAAGCGTTCGCCGGGGACACCGAGGCCAAGCATGTCCAGTTCATGGCCCTTGAGGCCTACGGCGCGTCGATCCCCATCGAGTCGGCCCTTGACCCCCGTGGAGACGTCCTTCTCGCTTACTCCATGAACGGCAAGCCTTTGCCGAGAGATCACGGTTACCCGCTCCGCGCCCTCGTGCCAGGCCATGTTGCTGCTCGATCCGTCAAGTGGCTGAGTCACATTACGGTTTCGGACGAGGAGAGTTACAGCCAGTGGCAGCGTAAGGACTACAAGTGTTTCGGACCGAACGAGACGAAGCCCGACTGGGACAGCGCGGCTCCGATCCAGGAGATGCCCATCACGAGCGCCATCACCACCGTCAGGCTGGGTGACTGGACGGACAAGGTCGAGGATTCCAAAGTCAGCGGACGTGAGGCTTCTCTCAAGGGATACGCCTACTCCGGCGGTGGCCGCAAGATCGTGCGCGTCGACGTGAGTCTCGACAACGGAAAGACGTGGGACCAGGCGGAGCTCCTCGACGAGCCCGGAGTCCCGCCCAAGTCCGGGTCCAAGTCGTGGGCCTGGAAGCGCTGGCGGTACGACGGCGTCGTGCCCCTTGGCGAGCCGGGGGAGAATGGCAAGAAGTGCACGACTTTGCTGGTAAAGGCCACGGACGAGGCGTACAACTGCCAGCCGGAGAGCTACGCCGCCATCTTCAACCAGCGTGGCAACTTGGCCAACGCCTGGCACCGTTTGAAGATTTGCTCCGATTGTGCCAAGCAGGCTTTGGTCACTGGCAAATGAGTGCCGAAACTAATTCAAGAGGAGGAACACATAAGAGATCGGACAAACGGAGTGAGGCAGGGGCTGCCTTTTATTTCATTTGTTAAGCAGAGGCGCATTGGGGAGTCATGATGAGGCGGAGCGTGTTGTTTTCCAGTTATCTATATTCGGCGTGGCATGCCCATGGCGTGTTCACAGTGGACCTTTTCCTTACTCAAGATCGAAGACAGACAGTCAGTTGTATAAATTGGTAGACCTCAGCATCGAGATCACATATTTCACGCGCAAAGTCCAAGTGGTAACTGAAGGATTCGATTGTTACAGTTGTACAGCCCGGCAAGCCTCTTGCCCCTCGCTGTACTGGCGGCATGGCCCAAAGCCACCGCCATCTATCATCTAGAACCAATGCCGACGTAGAAGTACATCATTCGTGCGCCGCTAAGTGTAAATCTAGTCCTCGTCCTCATTCTCCTCGTTGTCGGTGAAGTACTCGAACTCTCCCGGCACCGTCGCCTCCTCGTCTCCCTCTCCATCCTCGTCAACGGCAGTAAGAACACCAGCTGCCGCCGCTGCACCACTCTCGTCGGTCGCACCAGCAAGATCACCTCTCCTCTGGCGGCCGAGAAGCTCGCTCAGCTCGTTAAGCGAGCGAAGATCTCCGCCAGCGCCTGCTCTAAGGGCCTGAGAAATGATGTTTTGTTGTTGCCTCGGGGTCAGACCGGCCGATGAGCCACCGGCGTTGCTTTGCCCGGCAACAGGAGCCTTCTCCGTCGTCACCTTCTTGAGTTTCTCCTCGAGAAGAGATTTCTCCTCGTCGGGCTGCGTATCCTGCAGCAGGAGAGGTCCACCGGTAGGCTATTACTAGTTAGCAAATTGACTCGCCAGAATTGATGGAGTTCATCTTACCTTCTTGACGGGCTTGTAGCGACCAGCAGGGAAGCTGATGTACTTGAGCTGGCCCGGCAGCACACGCGACATGTTCTCCATGTCGTACCCGACCTTTTCCTTTTCTGCCTTCTTCTTGGTGTCGGCCGCAGGAGCAGAGGCCTCCTTCTCAGTAGCCTCGCCTTCCTTGTTATCCTTGCTGTCTTCCTTCTTCTCGTCCGTATCCATCTTGTCGGAAACAGCAGGCTTGGCAGTGTCAATATCCATGCTCTCCCGGCGCTGAGCACGCTCCTTCTTCTGGGCTCTGCGCTTGGCCTGCGCAGTGGTGGACAGAATGGCCGTAGCAACCATCGCGGGACCCTCCTCGGCCTTGACCTCCTGCTCGGGAGGATAGTCGAACAGGCTGGGGCGGGTAGCACAGTGGAACTTGAAGCTGGGAATTTCAAGTTCGTGATCGAGACCGATGATTGAAGTGGGGGAGAATGCCAAAGAGAGGAAGTGGGTGAAGGGGAACCAGTACCAGTACTGAGTGAAGACAGCCATGCCAACGATGCCGGCCATGTTCAGGTTGCCAGTCTGGGTCTGGAGTCCAATGGTGCAGTTGCGTCCGCCAGCGTCAATGATACCGAGCGCCAGGGAGGCACCAAACTTGGTCATGGCATCCTCGTGACGGTCGCCCACAACCTTCTTCAAAGTCTTGCGGATTGCTGCAACCTTGGGGTTCATTACCTCGTTCTGCTGGATCATGATCATGGCCAGGGAGATAAGGGCACCCTGGCGAACGAAATCGGTGGGGTCCTTCATCATCGGCTCGAGAAGGTCAATGGCCTCGTCGAGACCGGTACCGGCGCAAGAGATACCCAGAGCCATGGCAGATCCGTACCGCACGTGGGGGTTGTACGATTCGGAAAGAAGCTCGACCATGCGAGGAACGCTGCCGGGCTTACGGAAGAGGATGAAACCCAAGCTCATGACGGCAATGCGGCGGACATCGTCGTTGACGTCGCTGACGGCAGTGTGAAGCAGTTTGCGGATGGCCTTGTTGCTGCCGGTACCGCAGTAGGCGAGAGCAACGGTCATGATGCCACCATATCTCAGAGTCGGGTCGGGGTCGTTGAGGAGCCCCTCGATCATGGCATCGGCACCCTCCTGGCGACCGTACATGATCAGAGCCATGCCAATAGCCAGACCGCGAACGATCTTCTCGTGAGTCGTCTCGTGAGCGTAGGTAATCATGTCCTCCAGGGCACGCACGTTGCCCGTGCCAAGCATAATGAGACCCATGGCAAGACCGACGGCCTCACCATTAAGGGCGGAGTCGGTGAACAGAACGGTTCTCAAGTTGTCAAAGATCTCCTCGGAGCCGGTAGCCATGCCTGCAATACCCAGACCAAGCGCGCCACCGTGCTGGATAACCTCCTCTTCTGCGGACGTGAACTGAGTCTTGAGGTACTCGAGGGCATCGGCACCGTGGTTGGCGTGGATCAAACCGTAGGCGTAGAGAGCACCGCCCTGGCTGTAAATGGAGCCGCTGCTCAAACCGCTCTGGCGGGGCAAGTAGGGCTCGAGGAGCTTTCGTGATTGTGTCAGATTGCCGCGGTGGATGACTCCAAGAGCAGCCGTCGCGGTGAACTTGGACCAGTTGACGGCCTTTCCAAGCCACTCGAGGTTGTCGCGGAAGAACTTGTCGTTGGTGGTGCCTTGGTTCATGAAAGCATTGCAGAAGGTGACAGCAGTGTGGAAGATGGAGTTGCGACCCTCCAAACTATCGCGGACCTTGTTCAGAATGCTCAAGTCGGTGCGGTTGTTCCTGTAGAGGAACTCGAGGTTCAATTGGATGGTCTTGCTGCCGTCGAGAATGGAGCGAATGTTCTTGTAGACCTTGGCAAGGTCATCGGAAACCTCCTCCTCGGAAGATTGCTGGTTCTCGAGGAGAGGCTCGTCCTCGGTGGCATCGCTAGCGGGGGGCTTGGCAGGCTCTCCAGAAGGCAGAGAGTTGATAATTTTGCCCAAGAATTCCTGAGTACCATTGTCGTACAGGTCGAAGGCGATCTGGTATGCGCTGGCAATCGAGTTGGGGCCGCCATCAGTGACGAGCTGCTTCAGCATGCGAGAGGCCTCCTCGTCCGAGCTGAGATACACCACGCACTTGGCGATGGCGAAGTAGTCGGGGTTGGGGATCTCGTTGAGCAAGTCGAGAATGAGGCGGAGGATCTCGGTACGGAAGCTGCGTTCCTGGACAATATCCATGCATATGCTCAGGGCGTACTCCATGAGCTCCTCAGCGGGTCCCTGGCCGTCTTGTGCCTTGGACTTTGACTTCTTCTCGTCTTCGCTGGCCCTTTTGATAACGCGGCGAAGAACCTCCAAGTTCTTGGCCTCGACAGCAATGCCAACAACCTGACGATACCTGCCATCCTTCAGGCAGGCCTCAAACAAACGCTCAATGATGCGCTGCAGAGCATTTTGTGTGGCCTGGTCGTTGATGGGGGCGACGGAGCCGGAGCGACCTTCCTTGACGGGCTGGAATGTGGGATCGAGAATGGTGTTGTCGGTCGAGACTCGGGAGAGGAGCGACTTGGAAGGAAGTGTCGTCTGAGAGAAGGGCGTCGTGGGGGAGATCAGGGCGGATCCGTCGGCGGCACCGCTCGCAAATGTCGTCGCAAGAGCTGGCAGGGAGTTGTCGTTCTTGGGCGACTTGGGGACGGTGTGCTTGGCGGAGGAGGCGGCAATGTACTGGTCGATGCACTTGGAAATGATGGTCTCCTCGAATTCGCCGGGGGCATCGAGCTTAAAGAGATCGCCAGCGGCCAGGGCAAAGGTCATACTCTCGTTGTAGGCCTGGAGATGGTAGTAGACCTTTGCCAGGACGAGTGCGGCCAGCTGCCGTTGGGGGAAGGAGTCGTCTTCATAGAGAGCCTCACTGCGGAAGTGGTCAGTACCTCACAGAACAGCCCCGCGGACAGAGGGATGGCGGGCTCACATTTGACTCAAAGCTCCAGCGACCTCAGTCCAGACAGTATCAATGTCATCGTTGAGGGTCTGGAGGGCGAAGACCTTGAGGTCGTGTTCCTCATCGGCCAGGAAGCCCAGCACTCCGGTAGCTGATACCAGGCCAGGCATTTTGGAATGTGGCCACGGACACGGAGCTTGAGCTGAGCTGTTGGGAGGGTGAATGCGCGACCGGAGTGTTTGATGACAGGATATCAGGTGGTTCGAAAGAGTCTTGTCACGCCGACCGAGTTGGTTGGATGGGATGAAGATCGGATTGGTGGTGATGGGAGCTCCGAAGAGGCTTGTTTGGTGATGGAAGAAGGACGTCGAAAGTGAAGGCGCGAATGCAGCATCCACGTCAGGCAGGTCTGCCTGCCTTGCCTTGCCTTTGCCTGGCCCTTGCAGCACCATTCGCTAGCGCCAATAGCAGGAAGCAGCGAAGCGCACAGACCATAAGTGTAGATGAGTCAGCATATTTTCGCTGAGCTGCACCCGGATTTCTGAGCAGCGAGGACGCTGGATGAGGTAAGCATTCAACACGTATTTGGATTGGTCAGATGGAGTTTAAGTGGATACATGATTCGAGACACTGGGTGAACTGGAGCACTCTGAGCTGGCTGGTTCCGTCAGGTCCAATTCCTCGTGGCCAGCTGTTGGCAGCCATGTGTGGTATGTGCAAGAGTGACCTCACTTCACCCAAGGTATAGGCACACTGAGAGCTTCGCTCACCCCGCTCCACCGGCCGAGGACCATTTCAGTCAGCTCAGTCAACTCCGATATTCAACTCACGACCACACCTCATCTTCCCTGCCACTCAATTTCCGTTGGAACTGTTCTCTCGAATCGCAGTCTTCCAACATGAGCTCGGAACAAAATCTCAGTCTCCTGTTGCTGCCGTGTCCACCCCGGCCGCCGTCCCGCGCGTCGCTCAGCGCAGCCTATCGGCCCTCATTTCTTGCCGTTCTTTCAAAGATCAGGAATTCCACGCGAGCATCTGTGCTGATAGTTGCCGTTGCCTGTCCTGTTCTGCGCGGCGCGTCACCAAAGACGAAATCGCTTTCATGGGCTGCGGCACAGTCTCTCGTTGCCGGCATCTACAGTCTCATCGCGGTCGTATGCGCCGAGCAAGGTATTGCCACTGATGTGGACGGAGGCCCCGGCTCAGTCGACTCACGGGTGGTTCTTGTCGATCACGATGCGAACAGAAGAGTCGCGCCTGATTTCGTTGCAGCCATCGAGCCGAACAATACCACCGTCGTCGACCTCCCCACATTCGCGTGTGCCTACCACCCTTGGAACTACATCTTCCACGTCAACAGCGAGCAGGGCTACCGGACTCTTTCGACATACTTGAAGTTTGCGGAGGGGAAGCAAACCATTCTCCAGTCGCAGCTGGTTGTCGTCGAAGCAGGTCTGAGCATGAACGTGGAAGGCACAGGAAACGACGACGTGGAAGCATCCCCTTTGTATCCTGTCGTCTGCCTAGGAGGCACGTTCGACCATCTCCACCCAGGTCACAAGTTGCTCATCATGGCGGGAGTTCTCTTGCTAAGGGTACCGGAGAAGGACTCGGGTTCGAGCTGTCGTATGGTGCTGGGCATCACAGGGGACGAAATGTTGAAGAACAAGAAATACGGCGAGTTCGTGCAGTCCTGGGACGACAGGGCACGGTGCATCCTCGACTTCATGGGATCTCTTCTCGAGCTGGACAAGAGCGGATGGAAGAAGAAGTCGGGACCAGTTCCAACGGTGGTAACGAAGCCGGGCCATGTGGAGGCCAAATTCCGGAACGGCACTATCACGGTCGAGTGCGTCGAGTTCCAGGACGTGTACGGCCCTACGATCTCGATGCCGGAAATCGAAGCACTCGTGTATTCGGGGGAGACCCGGTCAGGCGGAAAGGCAGTCAACGACGAGCGGGTCAGGCTCGGGATGAAGCCACTGGAGACGTACGAGGTAGACGTCCTTGATGCCCGGGATCTCGGCGACGAAACTGCGACGAAAGAAGACTTTACGAACAAAATCAGCAGTACGGCCATTCGGCAACAGAAGGCAGAGGCCGCGGCGGCGACGGCTGCAGCAGCCAAGTCGAGTCTGTGAGGTGCGTGCCAGCACGAGGGTCGAAAACAGCAGTCAGGATACCCCAAGACTCATGATTGAATTAAAGACGTATGAAGCCTTACGGGGACGTCGCGCAAGTCGGCATGAGAAAGGAGGCTTTACGCTCATGGTACAGAGTATCCGCTCGAAAACGCGAAAGAAATGCGCGCCATCCAAGTTTGGACGAATATCGGCGTTAGTCCTATCAGGATCAGCGTCGTATCTGGGCCAAGGTGCTCCGAGAAAAAGGTAGGGCGAACGGCGACGGGCATCAACAGTGACGGCAGTTGTGATGCAAGGGCGTCCGTCTGCCATAGATGAGGTAGCACACCTCCTGAAGGGCCTTGTACGAATTCTGCAGGAGGAATTCACTGGAACTGTACCCTGTGAAACCAGGAAGCAATTGACATGACGACCTGGCGGTCGACTCCGGGTCAGCTCAAGCCTCAAGGAAGACGGGCTCGGCAACCCTGGCAAATCTGGCAACTATTGTTCGCAGATGGCGCACGCGAACTCCAAGCTGGCATTCAGAAAAAAAAGTGGAAGACTTTTGAGGTGGATGCCACGATCAGACCCTCTGGCGCCATCGACACGACCCGCTTATCGAGCACAGCCCCGATAAGTCTCTCCAAGTACTGCAGATAGTAATGTTTGCCATATGATACATGAAAAGAACGTACTCGTTAAGACAATTGTGCGGATTATCTCATAAGTCAAGGAATGGCGCGCGTGCTTCATCTCGCAGCCCTCCACTCTTCCAACGCCAGAACGTGGAGCTGGCCGTCAGAATTTGGAGGACAGGGGAGAGAGAAAATAAAATAAAAAAACAATTCCCCGACAGGTGGCAGCGTGAGCACTGAGCTACCTACCCCCCTTAGCTACCTAGCATACCTAGGTAGGTACGGTACAAGGGCCCGAACTGCGAAACGAGACAAGGCTGTGTTCAGGTTACCTATAGCTGTCGTCTTGAGGTACCTAGTGATTTTGATGCTATATCGAAGTGAGTATTCGTAGCTGCTCTAAGGTAGTTCTCAAGGTCCAGCTTATCTCAATATACCTAAGGTACCTTGTGCCATATCAACTTGCCCGGTCTGTAGGAAGCTATTTCCAAGATGCCACAAGACAAGGTATGAGTACGTACCCCACGTCAACTCCATCACATTGCACCTTGCACCTTGCACCGACGCCTGAGAGCTGCCTCAGCACCCGACCTCAATGCACCTGCGCCTGCACCTGCACCGGCACCAGGCTTGAACGCTGAGAAAAGGCGCTGGAAAAGGACGGAATAAACCCTGCTGCGATCGGCGCGCGACCAATCCATTTCCATCCTTTCTTTTTTGTCTCCAAATTTCCCACGCAGCAGCTGCAACGCAACAGAAGCCAGGAGCCAGGAGCCAGGAGCCGGAAGCCAGCCATAACCAGAGCCAGAGGACAAGATGTTTTCTTTCTGAAAAGATACCCGACCTTACCACCTCCACCTCCACCACCCGATCGATCTCGCTCCCCAAAAACTCCCGTCCCGTCCTTGCTGGCCTGAGGTACCTTAGCCATTCACATCCCGGTTCGTGGAACACGATACTAGCAGACATCACGAACGATAATTGCCCTCGCCCTCGCCCTCGCCCTCGCCCGACGACCCCCTGTCGAAGCTATCCGCCGCGCCTCCATCGCATCTCCCTCACACGCACGCGCGCACCCGTTTGCCGTTTCTCGATATATAGAAAACGAACGAGAGGAGAGATAACGACGGCCCAACCCAACTCGCGACGACCACGACAACGACCACGACGACCCCAATCGTCACTCGCACCCGCAACCTCTAGTCGTCCATCTCATCCCGTCGCCACGTTCCCCCCCTTCGCTCCATCCAACGAGCAAACGAAACAAACGAGCCCGACCCCTCTCTACGCTACTCGCTCCATCGTCTTCATTCGCCCCCCTCCTCCCCGCCGTCGTACAATTCGTTTCAATTCTTCGAATACGCTTCTATACTTCTGGTTCAGTCTAGCCTCTAAGTGTAGCGCATACTTTGCTTGGTCCTGGCTCTGCCTTGCCCAACGTAGTCCATCCCATCTCTCCGAACTCCGACACCGACAACGAGACCGATCCCACCGACTTCGACCGCAATCGCAATCCTTCTCGCTTCCTGATCATGTCGACGTGATGCTCAACTACTGCGTCAAAATATTGTTCCAATAGAATCGCGTCGGATACACATCTACGTCGCGACCGACTCGACTCACACGACACCGCGTCGCATCTCTTCTCGCACGTCGCGCATATGATCGACTGGTCTTGAAAAGGCGAAGCTGAAACTTTGCGCATCCCAGCCGAAGCCGGGCGGAGCGTTGGACCGGAAACAAGTAAAATATCTTGGGATACCCTACGGCCCGGAACTGCACGCCTGTAGTCATCGCCATGGATCTCAGGAACTTGATCAACGATGACGCCGATCGGAGGCGACCGGCTGCCGCTGCTGCCGCCGGTCCTCCTCCCATTCCTCCTCAACCGCATGCGATGAAGCATCAGCAACCGCCGTATCCTCCTCATCTTCAGCAACATCCCCAGCAACATCCTCAGCAGCACCCGCAACAACATCCCCAGTCGCATCCGCAACATTCTCAGCATCACCCGCAACAACAGACTCCAACTACTCCGTCGCAGTCTACCACCTCGTATGCCTTTAGAGAATCTGCCTACAGCCATGCGCTGCATTCGTCTCCGGGCAAGCCTCCGGCCCCTCAGGAGTACGCCGTCCATCCCCAAGCCGCAAATCAGGCGTATCCTCCACAGTCGCCTTATCAGACCCCGGGTCCCTATCCCGGCCGCCCGGCGCCGCCTCCGCTCCAGGCTGGCACTCCCGGCCCGTACGCCGATGTAAGATCTCCCCAGAGCGCCTCCATGCCCGCCCCGTCCCCGTATCGTCAGACCCCGACGTCCTCGGTGAGCGGCCCTGGCGGTGGCTATCCCTTCCCTCCGACCGGCCCGCCTCAAGAGGTCGCCAGTCCTGTGCAACGGCACCAATATCCACCATCCAACGCGTACCCCCCGAGAGACAGCTACTCTCATCCGGCTGGTGCAACCGCGCCTCCTTATCCTCCGCAGCCGCAACAGCAACAGCAGCCTCATCCGCAACAACAGATGCAGCAGCAGCAGCCTCAGCACATGCCGCAGACGCCGCCCATCGGCACCCCCGGTGGCGCTCATCCGTATCTACACCAACGCTCGCAGTCGACACATTCAACTCCTACGCCCACCTCTGCCCACAGCCAGCAACAACATCCGCAACATCACGGTCAGCCTTTTCCTCACAGCAGTCCTGTGGCGACGGCGCACCCGCCGCCCGAGTACAACCGACAGCAGTCACAACCTCCTACCCCACTGGGCCCGCCCCAGACCGGGCCTCGTCAATCTTCCTCTGCACCGAGCTTTGCGCAACCACAAAGTCCCTATCAACAAAGACTTTCCGCCTCGCACCTCGCCCAAGCTACGCCACCGCCTCCTCCGCCTCGCATGCCCAGCTCCCACGGCACTCAAGATCGAAGATCCCTGTCGCAGAGCGTGCACAGTGAACGCGACAGAAGCGTTAGCGTGAGCCCCAAGACCAGGGTGCCGAGTTTGCCGAGCAGCGTCGGCGGCCACACCGAACCCGAACAGCGACCACAGCCGAGTGTCGTCAACATGGTGGAACCCGAACGCGAACGCGCCGCGACGCCCGCGAAAAGAAAGCTCGCCGATCGAGATTTGAGCCCCCGAGAACTCGAGAGGAAGGAGCCACGGCCACCTCCTGGAGAAGTCAATGGCGGTCCTACCATTGCGCGCTCCCCGGTCATCCAGCGAAAGAAGACGATACACACGGCGCCTCCCGTCTGGGCGCAGACATGGAACTCGCGGGAAAACAAGAGATTGAAGCAAGCCAACTTCGAGCTGCAAAAACGAGGACCGCCCCATATCAACGGAAAGCACGAGGCAAAGACGGAGAGCAACAGCAGCCGCCATGCATCGCCAGAGGCTGCGCGATCTGTCCCTCCGCCGGCGGTGCAAGAACCAAGGCCCGAACACCACCTGGGCGCTTGGGAAGAAAGCATCCTCGGAACTCGCCCGTACGAGGAATTGTCGAAGACGGTGGCCGATTTCTTCTTCCAGAACGTGGTGCTTCACCCCGACTCTGGTGAGATCATCACCCGTGGCGTACAATTCGAAATTGAAGCCAAGATGGGCCAGCTCATCGACAGGGACACAAACGAGCGTGTCCAGAGGGCCATTGGCACGGAATGCGTTCTTCATGATAACGGCCGCCTGGCATTCAAGAGCAGCATGACCGAAGTAAGTTCCGCGTATACTACTTTACGTCTCTTCAGAACTGACGGCTTTTTCTCCAGGCTCAACACAAGGGTCTCAACGAGTTCCTCAATACCTTGGTCGTTCAGACAGACCCGCGAAATCCAAACGCACGCGGCCGAGTACAAATACAGTATAAACATCGTCGAGAAACCGATAAGTTCTTTGAGCTGCCCTTATCGATGCACGCCCGCCTCCCGTCATGCGTTCGTGCCCTTCTTCCGCCTAGGCGGCCGATCAAGGTTCGCGTCACGTACGACATGAAGACACGGGAGGTTTTAGCCAAGATTGTCAAGGCCAGGGTCGCCGACCTCCATCTTCATCTGCCTACATGTCCGCTGGACTGCCGCATCAGCATCAATTTGGAAATGGCATGGGACGGATCGGTAGAGGAACTGGAACGCGTGGCCGTGAGTCACGAACAGAAGTTTCCTGATCGCAACAAGGACCGACTGAGCTACAAACAAAACCACTACCAGGTCGACTTGACGCAGGTGACGCAGGTGTTGCCTGGGCCTGGAGTACGTTGCCCAGAACGAGTACAATTTCCGAACTTTGCTAACATGTCTGCAGAACACCCAGCGTACCGACAAGGAACACGAACTCGAAATCGAACTTGCACCGGAGATCCTTATCGACCAACAGCGCCGTGCCATGAGAAACGAGCCTCATTCATACCCACAGCTGGTGGAGGGATTCATCGACAATGTGCGTGTGCTGGCCCGCCGGAGTCGCGATTTTGTGTAATATTTTTGTGTGAGAGCACCTCGAAAAAGACGTCACTTGCTTTCTGGCTCGGGTGGTTTGATACCAAAAAATTGGCTGCGTCTGGCGTCACGGGTTCAGCGGTGCATTTTACAATAGTTACCTTAGTTCATACCTACGGCTTGCATGTCCGGGCCACGGCCTGGACGCGACGGTCGTCAGTAATTCTTATACGCGGGCCGAGTCAATATAACCGCACTGAAACCGCGACATCAACCCGTTTAGTATCGTACTTCGCCAATTGTCGTGACGTTTCGACTTGGACGTGAGCCTGTTGAGGAGAGGCTTGATATTTGGTAGTCATCGAAAACGTCGATGGTGATGCGAGACGAAATCTGAGAACTACCAGAAGCAACGCATATACATTATCAAGGGGTATTCATGGAGAGCGATAACCAAAAACCTAAACATTATTTTACAACCCAAGACATCTTGAGCGGAAGCACACAATTCTATCCTCAAGCCAACTTTTGATCGCCCTTGCTCGTGCCGTGATGCCCGACAGGCTGAATGTCCTCCGAATCAGCTCCACGGGCACTATCGCCCCCATTGACCTCTTTGGAAGATATGACGTTATTGGAGGCCGGCACGTCCCGGCCCTCTGTGTCCTCAATTTCTTCTTCCAGGACGAAGTTGAGAAACATGCAAACGAACGCTGTGATGGCGAAGCCCGTCTCCATAATGAGAACGATGGCATCGAGGAACCCCCGAAGACCGCGGTTATCGCCGGCGTAGGTGAAGACGTTGTCAAAGTACGTCGGCACGAGAGTGGCACCGTAGCCGAGGGTCAAGCCAGCGGTCAGGATGAAGCGGTTGCGGCGGTTGAAGGGCACCCCCTTTGTGATGATGGCCATGCCGGAGACGGCGACGGCGGTGAAGAGGAAGGACGTCATGCCGCCGAGGACGGAGGAGGGGATAGCGACCAGCGACGCGGCGAACTTAGCGAAGACGCCCATGACGATGAGGAAGAAGCAGCAACAGTAGCCGGCGCTGCGGTTCGCGCAGCGAGTAAGGGCAATGACGCCGTTGTTCTGGGCAAACTGTCCTTTTGTGTGAGTACATATTTGGCTTTGGGAACGAGATGTGCGCGGATCACGACTTACGGTGGTCATGGGAGTTATGGTCATCAGGGCGGCGAGAACGCCGTTGATACCGTCTGCCAGCACGCCGCCCTGCACTCGGGACTCGAAGAGACGGCCTTCGACCTCCAGGCGAGAGACGTCGCAGGTCGCGGTGATGTCTCCGATGGCTTCCGTCGCGCAGATGATGTACACTGCCAGAAGAGGCCTGGCCACAACTTAGTAACAGGCAGTGTGAAGAACCCGTTCAGGTCGACTTACAGTATAAGCGGACCGTACAACGTGAGCTTGAAGGTGTGCACCCAGATGAAGGAGACGGCAGGGGCGCTATCGATGCCGGACCTGTCAAAGTATCCGCAGGCGGCGGCGATAATGCATCCTGGAAAGAATCAACATTGATGTCCTCGCAGTGAATGTGAAGAAGCAACTCACCAACGAGCAGGCCGATGACGACGGATGTCGACTTCATGATCGGGGCGCCGAACCGCTCGCAGAGGATGATAGTGATGAACACGGAGAATCCAAGACCAAGGTACTCGGCTGAGCCCCATGGAAGGGCATGAGGAGCTGAGATGTTGGGGCATTTGGCGAAGAAGTCCGTCGCAGTGGATGGACTGGCACAAGGTCCGGATCCGCCCATCCAGTTCTGGAAACCACTCTCGACCAGGCCAATACCAATAAGCATGACTGTAATCGTTAGACATGAGCGTCTGAAGCTACTCCGTGAGGCTTACCCGTCGGGCCGGTGACAATAGGCGGGAAGACGCGCAGCATCGCCTTGGCCGGCATGAAAGAAATCGCGATTTCGATGAGGGCGCAGAGAGCACTGGAGCCGATGATGGCTTCGCCCGGTCAATTTTCAACTCATTCAACACTGAAAGGGCAAAAACATACCTCCGTAGCCATCGGGGCAAGGAAGCTTGTTGCCCTCGGCGTCTGTTGGACAGAATCCATTCGCGTACATTTGAGCGAGCGCACCTTGCGCGACGGGGATGATGGCAAAAGAAATGCCGACGACGGAGATCAACCCGGTGCCGATGTAGTAACTGCAGACGTGTGAGTTGAAAGGCCCATTCGCCGAGGATGGATGCAGGTCATCTCACGGAGTCTTCAGGATGTGAAATCTAGTAATTTGGATCATGGACAACAGGCCGGACACGATCAACGCGGTCGACACCAGATACTGCTGCATCTCTCCGGTGAGGTTGGCACCGGCGGCGCCGCTGAGCAGGATGGGCGGCGTGATGATGCCGGCCAACATGGCGAGGGCGTGCTGGAAACCCAGGAGGAGCGCGAGCAGCGTGGGCATCTTGTCGTTGAGGCCGAAGAAGGGGGCTGCTTGGCGGGACTTTCTCATGAAGGGCAGGTTCGGACGGAAGAGGAACGCATAGTCGTAGTCGCCGATGAGGCCCTCTTTCGTGAAGAACTTGTTCTTGGCGCCGCGGAGGCGATCCCCCATCGTCTTTTTGGGAGACGTCTGGGGGACGATTTGAGATGGCCCTTGGTCCTCGTCCATCTTTGTTGTCGTATGGTCCGGGTATCGTGATCGAGTTTTGGTGAGAGTAGGCAAGACAACCGGGGTTTCTGGACTTTGGAGGTCAGAAACCTAGATTGGAATCGGCACACAGTCTCCCGCAATTGACTGATCGAGTGCTGGTGAAAAAAAATCTCGACAATATCCACGAGCAATGACACAGAGTAAAGATGTGGATCTTCGTTTATATATCAAAATGCGACGACTCATCAGTTATTCGGTACGAAGTAACGGTACGGCGCCGTATCCAGACAATCCAGTCGGTAATCTGCATGGGTGGGATCCTTTTAGTTGATGGTTTCGAGCAATTAGCTTCGACTGCTATCAGCTGGATAAGCGGCTACGGATGATATGAATGGCTGGCGATAGTAAGAAAAAAATAACTAATTGTGTATTCAGAGGGGCGGACCCCGTTTCCGTTCCCGGGGATAATGAACGGCTGGCAAGTCTCTTCTTCCTTGTCAACGGTATCTTGATCCGGACAGAACATGAACATGGACGGTTCGTCCCTTGGTGGCGACAGTTTGGAAGATACATTCATCACAAGCAGCAGCGACTTGCGGTGACTGTATTACATGAGATGAGATGAGAAAACGAGTGTTTAGGCCGTGAGTGAGAAAGTGACATGACAGCAACCCCGTCCGTCCCCAAGCAACCCCAAAACATTTACTTACACTCAACACCACTAATCCCTGACGTAGCTAAGGAACTAGAGGCTTACTCTACAGAGTGTGGGGGAACTCCCCGGCATCGCTCCCGCGTGGCACACAAGGAGACTGCCGCCGTCCTTGAGGACTTCCTCTCGGGCGCATCCTATATAGGTGATGCGGCGAGCTGCGAACTGCGGGACAAACTCAGAGCCCCATCGGGAGCCGATCAGTAGTGCAGCTTTGTTTCAGTACTTGCATCTTATCCCATCTCATCCGAACATACCGTTGCCTCGACATGGCATGAAGCCGCGGAACTGCTGAGATGGCCGCCGGCCATGACCTTCACCTCACCCAGGAGTCCGAACAGCTCGCGGATGCTGGGAATATAGAACTTCATGGGGGTCGCTGCAATAAGAAACCCCTCGCGATGCACAACTCAAGCAATTACTGAACAACACGGCCAACTGCAGTATCGCAAATCTGACCTGCCTTACTTCGTGGGGTCTGGGCCGTCTGATGCTTCTGACAGCTTTCAAACCCACCGAAAGACTATGGGCAGATGTCTCCCATTGCGACGCCTGATGAGGGTGCACTCCAAGACCTCAGCGCGACAGCTTGTTGGCAGCACCCGACCGGGGAAGAGATAAGACAAGACAAGACAAGGCCCAGGACCAGCGGCCACTCAAAAGACGCATGCCAATATCGTGCAGAGATAAGGAATTGCCCCAAACGAGTCAAGGAGGGATCCCGAGAGATAGAGGCGCTCGCAATGGCACCGTCCTATTGGTCCATGTGTTTGCCGAGAGACTCGGAGATGCTGTTGTTCGGCGCGGCAGGGCGGACGGGACTCATTCACACATTTCCACGCTGCTCTATTGTTGTCTGGGAGCGGCGGACTCCGATCACGAGGCAATGAGCCTCTCCCAGGGGCTCACCGGTCCGTTGTCCTGAGTTTCTGACGGCATGGGATGAGTGTGGTGTTTCTCGCCTGGTCTGTTATCTCCGATACGGTCGGTCAACGCGTCCCTCAACTTGCCGACGCCGTTTCATGCCGTTTTCACACCATTGTCTTTTGCAACCTCAATGCAAATTGATTTGCAAGCCATCAATCATCATAACCTTTGAGGAAAAGATTATTACATATATTACTTTGACTGGTGATATCAGCGTCCTTTCAACGTCTGAGGCGTATCCGGTCGTTCATATCCTCTTCACCCAGCACTGAGACTTCTTTCTAGTCCAACTAACTCCATCTTGAGGCCGTGGATGACTCTATACGTCTCTGTACGCCACCCTGAATTTATATGTACAGATTGGTGTTGGGTTCAGTTTCGCCCTAAACATAGTAAGTGAAGTCATGTCTAATTGTCCATGTCCGCAGCCATCATCGGTAGTCATCTCTCATGCCGCGAACAACGTCCTGTTGCGAACCGAATCTCGTCTTGTGGTACTCGTTGAGTTGCTGCCGCCCAAACTCCCTAACCAAACCCAGCTGCCCCTTGTGCCGCTGCCCAAGACATTGGGCAAGTTCAGCTTCTGTTCGCGATCCGCATTGGCACATATTAGGTGTCCCTCCGAATGACGCCCGATCTTGCGCTGCGGGGAACATGATGCTAGTACGTCGGACATCTTTCCAAACAGCAGCGGCGGATTCACTATCACCCTGGCGCCCAAGGGCCAGCTTGGCCAGGTTCCAGTCCATGTCGCCGTCGCGACTTTCGTATCGACGGGCCGAGAGGTTCATCGTACCTCGCTTCTGCTCGACAGCCGCAATGGAACACGATGCCCCGTCTCTCCCAGCTCGACGGCAGTTGCATCGGTCAGGGTTGACCTCGGTGTCTTCGTCAATGTCCACCGTCACCAGGGCAAGTCGTTTTGTGACCCGGTTCTGCGTGAACAGGACAATCATCGGCTTTGGCGGCCGTCTGTGTACAGTTCCCGTCGTGTGTCCGCCGATGCTCACGGTGACGGTGTGAGTCTCACTGTTGTTTGAGCTGTTATTCGACGGTGAAGTTGTCGTGGAAATGTTGCTTGACACGCTGAAAGTCCTGTCTGGTCTGCTATTAACCGTGGAAATGGACGGCGCCCTTGCCGAAGACCATGACGCAGGGAATAGACCAGTTCGCGGAGGGCTGGATGGCGAGAGTGTCCCTGATTGACCTGTCGGGCTTGCCGCCGGCGTTCTCCTGGACCCAGATCCAACTGGCCGACGTGGGATAGATATCGGGGGCCGAGAAACCATTGGGCTCATTCCGCTGACTGCAGAGGTCGCTTGTATTGACGAGCTGCGTCCCGAAAATGGCATTGATGAAGCCGCAGTGTTCCACATGGACACCGTCTCGGTAGGGCTTGCCGTGAACGGATCAGTGGAATTCCACATACGCAGAGTATTTTGTCTCGACGTCGTATCGTACGCTGAAGACGCCGCGGTCGAGGACCTCGCGTATGCGTCGTCCTTTACCAGGGCTTCATTGTTGGTCACAAGCTGGCCGTCGAGCTGTTTTGGAATCCAGAACTGAACGCAAGCATCTTCCACCAAAGGTTCGTCTCGCCCTGAGACGACGAAGCTGACCATAGCGTTATACTGGCAGTAATTATCGAAAGCCTTGAAGCCAGTGACGCCTTGCTGGAACTTCACTACGTCCTTGAGTGTCGTGAAGGATAACTTGGCAATTCGCTCGTCCTTGCGAAGGATCATATCCAGAACGCCGGATCTCGACGGAACTGCGTAGAGGGGATTCAGGATGACTGATGTGATATCAAAGTCAATGGTTTCGGCTGTCACGGTTAGCAAGTCTTCTGGCCAGCCCAGTCGTGATCACAAACCTTGGCGGCGTGCGCTCTTGACGGTGCCCTGCTCTACACCGGTGATATTGATCCTAAACCTTCTCCCACCCGCGCCCATTCGACGCAGCAGTTGCAGCCTTCTTTGTACGTTGGCGGCAGAGCCTTGAAGAGGGCTGGTTAAGTCCATGTTAGCGGTATGTCTGTGTATGATGATAGCAACACATACATGTCGAGGATTTGCTCCATCAACGCGTCCTTGGTCACGACATCTACAAGCTGCGGGAGCTCTTTCTCGGGCCATATCTCAAACATCTCTGGTGCCATACCCTCCAGACTTGGCTTCACCAGATCCTGCTGGAATCGGACACATTGTGTCGAAAGGCACTACTGTTGTTAGTATACGATGAAGAATGGGCTCGTCATTGTTGCTTACGTCCTTAAGCTCTTGAATGTATGATGGCCAGTGAGACACTCCGCGAACGACGCCACTGAGTTCGGGTGACTGATCAATATGCTTCTTCAACCAAACACATTTCAGCAAGTTCAAATACTGGTGCAAAGGCGGGATCTTGTTCTCCACCAAGATACCTATGGGTGTAAAATTGATCGTGGACTTGTCGAAATGAAGCACAAAAGCATCTGTCATCTCCCGAAGACTTGGTTCAGGGTCGCTCGGAGACCGAGAATCCCAAGCTCTTTGAAAGGATTCATCGACCAAGACCGGAACCTCAAGAGTGTGTTCTTCCCTGTGAGCTTGCTGGTCTAGTGCTTGCTGCAGATCCGGGACCAGAACCCCTATCAAGCGATGCAAGTCGCCGTGGACGGCTTGGATGGCTATGTGAACTTGGTGTATGTCTTCACGGATACGACGTAGGAGATCGCTGGGACTTGTCAGTGATGCCAGTGAGAAGGCTTCTAGTGGAACTGACATTTCAAATGGCTTCAGTACGTGAAGAATCTTGGAGTTGTGAAGGGCGATTCTGGCCCGAAGCCGGTCTGCTGCTGGTGCAACGAGGACGTTCCATTCGATGTTTTTGAGAGGCCCGCTGGCTGATCGATATCGGTTGTTCTCATCAATGAGTTCGAAACATTCCTTGAGAGTGTCCTGGTAGTCTCCGATAATCTCTCCTAGAGATGAGGGATCCCATCGCAGGGACTTTGAGAACGATACATCCCTACGAAGCGACTGGTCTGCCTGAATCACCACACGGCCAAGAATGTCGAGATTGTCTGCGAGGCCTCTAACATCACGGCCAAATTCGGCATATTGCTTTGCTACGATATCGTTAGCTTGTGCCTCCGTCTAAAGTTGTGGAATTCCCGGGAGCTAAGATTCAGCCCTACGCCCACGGCCACGCTGATGAGGCGGATGGCTAAATCGAGGGTCTCAATGCGTGAAGCACAGACAGGTCGATCAGCTATCGACAACGCGGATCTGAAATACACCATCCAGTACAAGGAACGATGGGAGAGAGGAAAGATGGCATCCCGCGCCGAACATACTTGCACCGTAGTCCTTGTCCCAACCGTAGTGATACAAATCCCAGCAAATGCGCCCAATGTTAACTATGTCTCCAATTTGGATGGGTCCCGCCATTGGGGGAGTCGAGCAAGAGTTGCAAAAAAAGACAATGTCTATCACGCCTTATGAGGTTGGCATTTGAAGTGCAGTTTCGTCAGAGGGCGTGAGCTCAGTTGAATGCGACGACAAATGGGAACTTCCAAAGTGGGCTTCGCGTCAACGGTCGCGCGTCAGATGGGCAGATGGGCTCAGTTAAGAAAGCCTGGCCGCAGGTTCGGGTCAGGAGCACACGACCAGACCGTGGGAGACGCCACCGGGTTCGTGGGAGGTGTGCGACGCAGTGATAGAGCCAACAATGCACGCGGTCGCCACGAGGAGCATGTGCTGGTAGGTAAGCCTTTTCGACGTAGGGTTGCTTGAGAAGGACGATAGACCTGTCCTAACTACGGCATTGAAGAAGGGGGGAGGGGCGGAGAGGGGAGAGGAACAGCAATCGAAGTGAGGCTGGGGATGCAGTCACCATGGCTGTTTGCCTACTAGGACGGTTCTCGCGCACATTCGGCGGGCTGGACAGCTCGAAACCGACACCGAGAGACGGGATTGTGCGGGCAGCAATGCAGGCAACCAGCAGGGGAACAAGACACACCATGCCTCCGCTGCATTCACTTGTCCTCTTTGGCAGCCTATGACGCCCGGCTTGGCTTGGTTGTCTGCAGGTTTGGCTGGAGGTAGGGTGGGAGAAGCCACAATACCGGGAATCTCTGGGCGGCTAAACACCAAGCTCGAGACTGTCCCCGTTGGCTAGCCGAGGGTGTATTGTGTTTTCACTGCATTCGTTCCCCTCAGTTGTGGGAATGACTTGGGGAACAGCTGTCGTCTTACGGGTCTCTGAAGATCGCAGCTATCGGTAAGCTCACAGCAAGGGAGGAAGAGAGACGACGCTCAGGGTTCAACCAGGGGAAGAAGGGTTGTCACGCGGTCTCAGATTCCCGAGACACACCTCAAGGCATCCAGTCCAATTTAGATGCAATTGCTGTCTTGTCGCCCTCCTCTTCCGAGCTCTTCTCGACGCGGAATGCGAGTGTGCGGCGTGAGATTGCTAGTTCGAAAGATAAGGTGCGGGCTTGCAAGGGTTTTATAGCACAAACACCAGATGAACTGGTATGGGTATAAGATTACCACCTTTTAGCAACACGCACACTCATCAGCCAACGTCGAAAAGATTCGACGGCAGTTGTTAAGCATCTCGGCAGCAGGCTGGTTAACACCAACTCACGAAACAGAGTAACGCCTCTTGGGAGGGGAACGTTAACTGGAGGCTGACAACTGATAATCGATGCGCCCAGTAGATGGATACATAAATGAGCAAGCCTCTAAATGCATAACACGAAGAGCCATCTGATCTGCACCAGCTGGGGTGGTGAAAATGCTGGTGGCGGTGGCAGTGAGCTCGAAGAGCGGAAAGCTGCCGGGGTAGAAAACGGAATGGTGTCACCACCATCCTGCGCTCGCTTCGTGAGGCCTATCAACTCCCGTTTACTGAGACTGAATCATTACCAGATCGGGGACAGCTTGACACGCAGCTGCAGAGACTAGAGCCTCGGCAACGCGTCCCTAGCTCCGGGGAGCGCACGCGCTGCAAACCAAATACCTGCCACCTCGAGCTGAACGATCTCTTACCTTGCAGTAGCTTGCTCTCACCATATTGGCTCCGTGAGGCAGACTTCTAAACGAGGCTGTCGACGACCGAATGACTCTACGGATACCGAAGCTCGTTCTGGCACAGTGGCTTCCTCGGCATGCATGCAAGCGGCTGCTACACCCATGCACACAAGTCTGCCCTGCCTTGTATGCCGTTCTGCCACCTCTTGGTGGTGCGCGAACCGGCTTGCAAGCTCCTTGTGGAATACGCCTGACTTGCATACCAGTTCGTCACACAAACAGCAGACCGAGATGTTCCATACTTAACCTTGAAGCTGCCCCTCCACAGCCTGGCTTGCTATGTATTCCGGAATGATGCCCACTTAACCCCTCCAACGTGCAATTGTCGCCAGCACTCATTGTGGAAGCCGTTTAGAGATGAATGACTTTCCAAGCTCAACGGGCATTTTCCAGGAGCCCCGAAACGCCGATGATAACTCAAGTAATAGTGACGCCGGGATAGTGCTCGCCAACATTGACCAAAACGGCAAGGGAATCGTCACTCACGCCCCGAAAGAAGGCTTTCGGCTGGGATACTTCGATGTGTCGTGCTTGGTCATTAATCGCATGATAGGTTCGTGAATTTGACGTCTCATCTTCCAGGCACCATCAGGGAAGGCGCCAGTGACTGAGTGATAAGATGCTAATTCTCGAGCAACAGGAACGGGAATATTCATGTCCCCTAAGCGAGTGATGAGAGGGACCGGAAGTGTAGGTGCCAGCTTGCTCTTCTGGCTCGCCGGCTTCATCTACTGTCTCTGCGGGACCCACGTGTATATTGAATACGGCTTGAACGTTCCTCGTTACAGAGTGGAAGGAGTTGAGCAGTCTATCCCTCGAAGTGGTAGGTCACGAGCTTCGAATATACCATGACCAGGACACTGATAATCATCTCAGGAGGAGATTTGGTTTACCTTCAATACGTGTAATTCCTAATCGATACTCCCTACTGTTGATTATGTTCTGACAGTCACATCTAGGTATCGAAAGCCCGCCTACCGCAAGAACACCGTTCTACTTTCTACTTGTATCTTCGGTATCACGTTCATTATTCTTGGCAACATGGCCGGTAACAGTATTCACTTCGCGCTTCGTGTCCTAGAAGCGGCCGGTGTCGAGACACCCAGCAACGGAGCCGTCAGGGGCATTGCTCTCGCCGTTGCTTTCTTCGCCTGCTTCATCCACGCGACCAGCCGAAGATTCGGAATCCTGCTTAACAACTTCTTAGCCGTCATCAAGATTATGATCATGCTTCTAATCATTATATCTGCCGTTGTCGTGGGCGCTGGAGGCTTTCCCAACACCCACAATGTCATCGTCGACAATACTTCCCCCAAGAACTCGTTCAAGGGCGCATCATCAGAAGCGAACGGATACGCCCAGGCTTTCTTGGCGATTATTTTCACGTTTTCCGGGTTTGAACAGCCGAATTACGTTCTTGGTGAAATCAGTCGTCCGAGGAAGAAGTTCCCCATTGCGATGGGCACTGGTGTGGGCATTGTCGTGATCTTGTATCTGGCAGTCAATATATGCTATGTGAGCGGAGCAATTGCTATAGGATTGATGTTGGAAGATGAGATCACTGACCTGCCTCAAGATGGTCGTCGTACCCGCCGAAGCTCAGAAGAACGAAAACGTTGCCCAGCAGTTCTTCGAGCTTACATTCGGAAAGTTGGGCGCGGATAGTCAGATCGGAGCTCGAATCTTCAATGCTTTCCTCGCCATCTCTTCCATGGGTAATATCATCGTTATGGTATGTCTTGATCGCGAAAGAGAGTCGCCCTATGTTAACTTTGAGATACTAATACAACTGCAGACATACACAGCTGCTCGTGTGAAGCAGGAGATTGCCAAAGAGGTAGGGCCGAACTGCGTCATCAACGCATCCATACAGAAGATACTGACTTAGCATTGCAGGGCATCCTCCCGTTCCCCAAGTTCTTTGCCTCAAACAAGGACATGAGCCTCGGACGTCTTCTTTTCTGGTTTCAGAAGAAGGGATGGTTCAAGTCACTCCTCCAACTACGATGGTTTTCCCCTGAGCATCACAGCGAGAAGACCCCAGTTGGTGCGTTGGTGCTTCATCTAGCCAGTTGCATCATCCTCATCTTCGCGACATGGAACGCAGAGCCTGAAGCAGCATATACTGCTCTTACATCGTTCAGCGCCTATGTCGTAAATGCCTTCATCGGAACGTTCTTAGGTTTGGGAATACTCATCTTGCGTTTCCGTGGCCCACCCGTCACTCCTGCCGACGATGATACTCCGACATACGACCAGCCTACATCACCGCCCACCTGGGCAGAGTTGACTGGCAAGAAATTTCGCCCCTTCTTGTCTGTATTTTGTGCCGTTATATATACATGCGGTGGTTTGTATCCGGTCATCACCAACTGGGTCCCACCTTCGCAGGTGATCGACCAGATCGTCAGGCCTTGGTGGTTAGTTCCCACTGTGTCATGGCTCATAATCACCCTTAGTATTGCCTGGTTCATAGGATTTGTCTTGGTGGCTCGTTACATCGAGAAGAAGGACCACCGGGTCTTTGTTGTAGAGAAGAAGCCGGAGTTTGAGGCAGCTGATGGCAGCACACGGAGCTCCGAGGCTGGCCACAGAGGTGCTGACCTGATCCAAGTCCACGAGACAGTTTACTTGAGCTGGGTCGGCAGAGAGACTCTTCGACATAGACGACCAACTTTCAGCGACCACAAAGAGGCAGACGGTTGCGTCTCAGAAATCCCAGCATCCCCTTACGCCGGCACTGACTTCGCGGCATATATGTCTCACCAAAAGGAAGGCACCGCATCAGGTGCGGGATATCCTAGATACTGAAGGCCCCCTCGGTAGTGCTTCCTATATTTCCTTAAACTAATGCATAGTTAAGGAGCCTGGCTTAATGATGATTTCAAAGTTTTACTGTTTATTATTCGTGTACTTAGTGGTATCTGGGCGGGCATTATAATGAATTCTTTCTTCGTGATCTTTCATCTCATGGCTCCTGCTCTACAATATTGTCGAGGCGTGGCTGGAGCTGTGCAAGAACTGAGCGGTCTTGCCCGTCAGGCTCGTAGGATCGGAAGACCTCGCCCCGCATCAGCCTTCGTGGAGCCCTTCGACCGGTGAATAACTCGAACTGGGCAAAGCCTTGTTCTGGTAATAGATCCAGACCGTCCATCGTCACCCAGCCTCGGTGAGAAGCCTCCCTTGCTTGGCTGAGGATTGGTGTGTCCAGAGTTTTATAACCTAATTCGAGGAGACAACCGCCAGTTGGACTACCGAGCCATGCTTGTGGCGCGACGAAGTTGGGCGCAGGCACGTCGCCGATGCTGTGTGTTGGAATACAAGAGACGATCATGGTCGGCGGCCGTAAGTCTTCGGGCCAAGGCTCGTCCAAAGTCCTGATGATATGGAATCTGGTTTCCATGTCCGCGTGTGCACTAAGAAGAGGCAGATCGTGTCGTTTCAGCAGACGGGTGAAATGTGCGACCATCTTTTCCGCATTGGAGATCGTCCTGTTGTAAACCACGATGTTCTTGACACCGAGCTGCAGCATGCTGTAAGTGGCAGCCCGAGCCATACCGCCTGCACCGATGACAAGGCCGCAGCTCATCGGCCGTACGGCGTTGGCGGGAGAGAGTCCCCTCCGGAGGCAAGCCCTAATACCGATCCAGTCCGTGTTCTCTCCGTAAAGCGCGCGGACCGGTCCAGCACGATTCCTGCAGTTGAACAACTTCTCATCCTCCGGGATAGTGCCATCGGGGTTCAGTCGTCGGACAGGAACGAGTGTATTGACGGCACCGATGGCCTGAGCATGCCGGCTCAGCGAGTGCGTCAGAGTTATGATCTCGACTTTGAAGGGCAAGCCTACACTGGCGCCCGCAAAATAAGGGTCCTCGATGAGTTCTCTCAGACCATTCAGTGATGGTGTCGAGAATGGACGGTAGAGATGCGGTATGCCGCAAGCCTTGAGCGCAGCGTTGTGCATTGCTGGCGATAGACTGTAAGAGACTTGGGCGCCAAAAACGTAGATCTTCATGGGGTCGAACAGAAAAGAATTGTACAGCGCCTGGGTCGCTTGCACCGCCGTCAGACACGGCTGGTCAGGATTGTACTTCGTCGCCATTGCTTCTGGCACCACACTCGTTAAGACGTGATTCATGGCCGCCGAGTGTCTGCCGCGAGGACCAGAGTTGTAGGCAATGAGTGGGATCTTGTGGCCCGTTGAAGCCTCTACTAGAGCCTTGAGGTGATTCACATCAAAGTTGTCCTTTATCGAAGTCACCGGCTTGATGAGACGGACAAGGTCGCACCCTAACCGCCGGGCTCTGTGATAGTGTGACGTCCAGAACGGATCTCCCCAAGACGGAGAGTCGACGGCAGGAGCAAGATGGCCGATAATCTTTGATCGCCTCTTCATTGAGATGATTTGGAGAAGCTGATAGTCATTGAGGCGGAGGTCGATGGTCAGGTACTCGGGCGTAAGCCGAAGGCCGTGCAAGATGTAGTCCATGTAAAGAGTTTCAGACGAATCCGGGAAGACGACATGATATATGAGAGGGATGACGGTGCTCCTCCTGATAGAACCAATAATCCTTGCAATGTCTGCTGCTCGTTCGGAGTCCAGCGTCGTCGCAGCTGCAATACCGTCGACGACAATCTCGATGGCGTCGGCGCCTGTCTCCAATTCCTCGATATCAATCTCGTTGTTGAGAAGGCTCGACAACGATACCGAGATGGCATACGTAAATCGACGGTCCTCGGTCGGTATTGACGCCAACGGAAAGGCAGATTCGATGAACGGGATAGAGCCTCGGGGCATGATGAGACTCAGGAATTTGAGGAAATGCCTCTCCGCCCGCTTGAGAGTCAAGTAGGGAGCAGGTGGCTTCTGACCGCCAGCGTGGGCTTCTATCCTCGCTGCATCAGTCTCAATCCACGGATCTGCCGTTTCGGAGACGTTAAAGAACTCCAGATTACTGCAAGTTCGGAAGAGGGTGCTGCTGGCGGCCAGAAGATTCCTGGCTTTGTCCTCGTCTTCGATCTTGAGGTGCTCTTGAATAGCTTTAACGTCGCGTACGATATGCACGACCGGATGTGTCCGACAGAAGTCTCTCAACAGAGTCTGTACCCCACGCTCCATCCAGCTGCAAACGAGCAGACAACCCTTGGAGTTCTGGTCAAGAAGATCTCGAAGCACGTCTGTCTGGCGACGGTGACATTCTGCGGGGCCGTGTGCACGTTTATATGCGAAACTGGTCAGGCCAGTGACTTGCTGGAAAGCCTTCTCGCAGTCGAGAGCTCTCCGTGCCATAGCCGTCGAGGCGATGATGGCGAGCGTCGACTTGCCGGCGCCTCGAATGCCAGCAAGGACAATCGAGGCGTCGGCAGGAAAAGGCGGGATCTCGTTCGGTAGGTGTGATACTGGCGTTGCGGGCCTCGTTATTGGTGTCTCGGGTCTGGAGCAAGCAGCCATTGAGTATCTGCTGCTATTCGTCCTCGGGCTTTGAGGCTCTCTCGGGGATGCGTTGTAGCCATTGCGAGTGTCGACACGAATGAACTTTGAAGGATTCTCGAGTTGATGGTGTTGCTCAGCGTCTTCGCCGTCGACGGCCGTGGCCACGAAAGACCGCTTCACTCCGGCGGTTGCCATAGCTCCTCACACTCGACCTCGACCAGGCCGTCGCAGTCACAGCTGGGGTTGGTGAGGAAGCCCAGGATGCAAGCGCATGCGGCGGTGTCAAGTTGAGAGAGAGGGCGCGCAGGTGATTGTGTGTATGTCGGCCAGCAAGTTTCGTCCAGCGCCGCTTAACCGGGTGATCCCACAAGGTCAAGCTGCGTTCACTCTCTCAGGTCCAGGAGTCAAGTCGGTCCCGTCGAGTCGCGTCCAATGCCTACTAAGGCGGCGGGTAGAATTGTCAGGTGGGAGAACACATAGAATCCGCTTCCCCATTTCCGACGGTCGGTGCTGAATTGTTGCCCCTCTCCCTTAGCTTCTGCTTGGCAAAGATACTCTGCTAAGTGTTTATCCAAGAGACTGAAGTTAACAAGATACTTGCTCCACCGAGTTTGTCTCGCATTCGCAGTCTGCCGGTCCAGCGTTGCCCCTGTTCTGATAACTCAACTCTAGGAAGTCCTAACCGTCTCGAAGTTCCTATTCCAGAGAATGCAGTAGAGACAAATCCACAAACTAGAACGCAGACCCGTTGTGATGCCAGTAACCCCATCTTAACAGTGACAAGAACCGCAAGGAAACGGGGTCTGTTGGTGTCAAGAGTCCGGAGACTTGTCCGTGCATGTTCGCAACTCCAAAGTATCTCACTAACACCCCGCATGCCGAGTCATCCGTACACGGCTTCTGACGGCCAATTAATGCCACCGGGATTCCAGCTGACCTTTGTCCTCAAGTCCAAGATCAGATCGAGCAAACAACCTTTGAGGCGGCGCTGCGACTGTCCGACGTGAGGTTACCCCAGGATTTCCCCACCTGAAGCAAGTTGCGCGGGAAATCTTGGAGAAGCAAAGACGTCAATCATCGCCGCTGTCGCTGCTGTTGTGCTGTTGCTGTTGCTATTGCTGTTACCGCTGCTGCCGCTCCTTTGCTCGCTGCTACCATCATCCCCCTGCCACAAGCGCATCGTCTCGTCGCGATCTTTCTTCCGGTCGCTTCAACCATCGCCCGCAGCGCGCGTTCCCTCTCCAGCTCGCAGCTCTCACCGACACACTCGCCCTCGTACACGCCCTCATGCCGTTCTCCGGGGCGTGAGCCACAGGAGCTGCTCTGCCGCCCGAGGCATCAACTGCAGGATGCCCTCCAAGAGAAAGGTTCACGATGCCGAGACCAATGCGACCTCGACGTCAGCCCCCAAGCGCCAGCGGGTTTCTCGAGCATGCGATCAATGTAGAAGGCAAGCAACACCTTATTCATCCGCTTTTTGTTTGTTCTTTTCGGCTCGTATGTCCATCAATATTGTTCTAGCAAGGCTGAAGGGTCATGTTACGGGAACTTCCCTCGCTTCTCGAGGAAATGCCTAGTGATCCGAGAGTGAAGACGGTCTTCAACTCGAGAGAATCCTGGCCTTACCTTTGTCTTCAGCCTGCCAATTTCCTCGTTAGCCAATGGTTCATCATTCTGAAATGCAGAAGATGCCTTTCTGGTGCAATTCAGGAATCAACAAACCGCTCGGTCCTCATGCTAACCGAACTCCCAGTGCCCGAGAAAAATGCGACGGTGTCCAGCCCCAATGTTTCTCTTGTGTAACGCTGTCAAGGCAATGCACGTATAATGTCGCCCCGAAGAAGCGCGGCGTACAGACCGGTCTGATACGAACTTTGGAGCTCGCCCTCGTGTGGCTCTTCGATCAGGTTCCCGGGACAGAAGAGAAGCTCGCCGAGTTGCTGGCCCGTGAAGGGGATGGTGGTCAAGCTCTGCTGCTAGACAAAGACAACGCCGCTGGCAGCCGTCTTCATAAGAGGTGGAGGAGGTGTCGAGTCCACAAAGACATCGATCGTCTTCTCTCTGGCAAAGACGGTGTAAGTCCTCGCCAGGACACCTCAGGAGACGAATCGGACGCGGAGACAGAGGGCCGTAACAAACAGAAGGACGCAACACCACAAGACGCTACCGATACCCCGAAAACGAACGGCCCTGAACGAGCATCGGAAACGACTCCGAGCGAAGCCGTACCCAGACATCGACACGGTTCTAGATCCCGACGGAGATTCAAACTCCCGAGGAATTTCCCCCGACTACTAGAAGTCTACTATTCTTATACCCAAAGCTGGCTTCCGATATTGAATCCCAAAGAAGTTCTCGACGAATTAGCTGCCTCATACCCACCCGATGGGTTCGATATCGACCCGGAAGACTCAAGTGCTAGCTCAGCTCATGCTGAGCTATGGTGCGCCCTCGCCGTCGGATCTTTCCAGGATGCAACGTCATCCCAGGTGTCCGGGCGGACTGACCCTTCAGACCGGCCCAGTCTCATTTTCGCCGCTGCTCGGGGTCTTATACCCGTGGAAACCGACATGGGACTGGGCCACGTTAAAGCCCTGTTGGTATTATCTTTGGTCAAGCTAGGACAGGACAACGCGGGCGCTGCCTCGTTACTCATTGGTCTGGCTGTCAGAGGCGCGATGGCCCTGACAGATGGACGGCCGCGGAATAGGGGTCGAAACTCCATATCAGGAGAGTCGGCATCCTTGACGCCCGAAGCGAACCCGAATGCCCTGGATCGAGTAATGATGGCTTGTCTCATGCTTGACACTATAGTATCTTTAGGCCTCGGCCAAACACCACACATGAGGACTAGCGACATGAAAGACAAGCCAACAGATACGCAACTACCAGAGGAATGGGCTCCATGGGTTCCTCGGGCTGGCTTTGGAACCGAGGACACGGAGGGCACTGTTCATCCCGCGCAGTCTTTGAGCTCGTTCAACCAGCTTTACCAGTTCTTCCGTACTCTGAACCAAAGTGTCGAGTCTGGAACAGCAGCACCGCAAATTGGCGCCGCAAATCTGGTTCAAGTCCTTGACAGTCGCTTTTCGTTTTGCAACTCCGTTGTCTTCGGAGCCTCGACAATACCCAAACTCCCTTCAGCATATTTGATACAGGCAACCTTCCTTGGTGCCACGCTGACATTGATGGCCGATGCGCGAGTATCGCTGATATGGAGTCTGATGGAGGTTCTAGAGAATTCCATCGCCCATTTCGGCGCCGCCGGTGTCTCGCCGCTCCTTGTCACGTACATGAGCATCGCCAATACCAAGAGCTGCGTGAAAGCTCTACGGGACGATGACAAAGCCAGATGGAATTCCCTTATGGAAGACTTGATATCTGTCTGGCAAGATCGGACGACCAACTTAGAGTCTTCCGCCTTCGATGCCGAAACAGGCGGCAAAACGCCGACCCAGGCCGAGCAATCGGCCACGCAGTTTCCGCAGCCTACTTCACGCCAAAACCCCCACTACCCGCAGTTCCCTATGAACACAGATACTTATCACCAAAACCCCAATGGCTTCCTACCAACCGCGTCGTCGGCTAGTCCTTCGACGGCCAGAACGATGCCTTTTACCCCAGGAAGTCAGCTGGACGCATTCCCCTCGGGATTTATGGGACATCTTTCTTCCGCTCAAGCACCATACCTGATGGGACAAGGGGCCCATGGCGTGGATTACGACGCCATTATGGACGAACTGGCCTCCATAGACTGCACAGATAGCATGGAGGCCGATCCGCAGTTCATGGCCAATCTCGGCTTCGCCCCAGGTTCAGACTTGACGGACATGTTGCGGGGAGAATATGGGGGGATGTGAGGAGAGTAATGTATTATGACTTTAGTAGAAAACGAAGACTTATCCCATGTTCTGGAAATACCGTCTGTAATATTCATTCGTCGTGGCTCCCCTGTTGACGGCGGGCCGGAGCAGATGAGCCCCTTACGGTGAGATTGTGTTCATCCATGCTAAAAGGTTGGTGATTTGGCAAGAACGGACTTGCTAGCCCTTTTCGTCTACTAATCTGGAGAACTGCAGCAGGCTTATCTCCCATGACTGTCATCTTGCCGGCCATCCAGCGGCCGCTGATGTGCATTCACTTCGGGATCTGATTTGCGAGCTAACTCCGCGGGAAAGCAAAACACGCAGACACACGACGAAAGGAAGTACAATCTTCAGGACAACTGAGACAATAAGACAGTAGGCAACATCTCGGCTTGGCTGTTCAACAATGAAGTACCTTCACATTGGACTTACCGAGGATGACTGGCTGTCTGATACAAATGATGTATGTGCGACGGCGGTCATACCAACCCGAACATTAGGCGCAACTTGAGTGGCTTAGATTGAAAAAGATGAGGAACATTACATTCCCTACCATGTGTCAGGTAATTGTCAGCAAGATGTTGTTGGTGTTGTTTGCCCTTGCAAGCGTCGCAAAGGAAGCCCCTTTCTATCCACCACAGTGGACTCCACGATAGCTTCAACTCATCAAAAGAGGCTTGGCTAGAACAATTCTGATCAGGTTGCCAATGCAATGATGGAGTTCGGGTTTCTCGCCGTCATTTGCCAATGGTGAGGGCGGCGCAGCCATCTTAGTTGGTGAGTCTTGACCGGATATATTCAACTCCCTCGCTCACGCAGCCAACTCAACGCATCCCCTGTCCGGTTGACACCTCGCTCCCCATGGGCAAAGGTCAGTCTGACAGCCAGAAGTCTGGGGTTGCTGCCCCTTTGCCCGCGTTACCGCCGCTCCGGACGGCTGGAATTCAGCAAGTTGGGACGTCCCCAACTTCCACGTGCAATGTGAGACAGTTGAATGGAAATTCGGCGACGCTGAGAGGATAAACGTTCAGCCTCTAGCCCCGGTCTGGGCAGGGGTTCTCCAGCATTTTGGGGGTCTCGAGGTTGGATCTAACACGGAAACAGTTATTAGTGCCGTGGATCAGTGCGGAGAACAAATCCTTTGCCGTTCTCCACGGCGTTATGGAGTCGAGTCAGTCGCCAGGTGCAGATTCTGCTCCGGTTCGGAGTCCAGGCAAAAACAGGAAACGTGACTCTGGCTAGAGGGAGAAGTGTTCACCCCAGAGTCAACCATCCCGAATCTCGTACGCGAAAGCGTCGTCAGAGCCTATTACCCCGGATGCAATAGGTCACACCCCGTGTTTCTGTGCGTGGGATGAACAAACTCCGCATAAACGTCCCCCAGAGTTTTCCCCAGACGAACCGACACGCCACCTGTCAGTCCTTACCATTGCCTTGGGATCTTTGACTGAACCATATAACAAAGGCACCCCTGGATCGTACGAACGTCTCTCTCACTCCTCAGGACTGCTCTACCCCAACTTTGCTTTGGAGTTCAGACTGTCTCAAGGCCCGAGCAACATCATCGTCTCAAGACAACCACAACCGCCATTATGCCTCTCCTCACCCTCGTCGAGGATCGGCCGACGCCCAAGGCCGTCTACAACTGGCGCGTCTACATGTGCGCCTGCATTGCATCCTTCGCCAGTTGCACGATCGGCTATGACTCCGCCTTCATCGGAACCACACTCGCGCTGGAGTCTTTCACGACGGAGTTCCAGTTCGAGAGCTACAGCACCAGCGGACTGGCTCTGCTCAAGTCCAACATCGTCTCAGTCTACCAAGCCGGTGCCTTCTTCGGCAGCTTGTTCGCCTATGTCAGCAGTTATTTCCTCGGTCGTAAGAAGAGTTTGATCGTCTTCACGCTCGTCTTCATGCTTGGCGCCGGTATGATGCTCGGCGCCAACAGAGAGCGCGGCCTTGGTCTCATTCTCGCTGGCAGAGTTCTCGCTGGCATCGGTGTGGGCGGATGCTCCAACATGACGCCCATTTACATATCCGAGCTTTCCCCGCCCGCCGTGCGTGGGCGTCTCGTCGGCATCTACGAGCTCGGCTGGCAGATCGGTGGTCTTGTCGGTTTCTGGATCAACTACGGAGTCGACTCTACCATGGCCCCCAGCCACTCTCAGTGGCTCATTCCCTTTGCTGTTCAGCTGATCCCCGCTGGTCTCCTACTTATCGGAGCCTTCTGGATCCCTGAATCGCCTCGCTGGCTGTTCACCAAGGACAGGAGAGAGGAGGCCATGAAGAACCTGTGCTGGATGAGGTACGTTCCGGCGAAGACTGAGATCTGTGGCCGCCAATGTGAGCTAACCATCGAATCTTGACAGGAACCTGGATCCCAGCGACAAGTACATCGTCGAGGAGGTCAACTACATCGACGTCGAACTCGAGCGATACAGGACCGAAGTTGGCGCTGGCTTCTGGAAGCCCTTCGCTGCCCTCAAGCAGAGCAAGGTCCAGTGGCGTTTCTTCCTCGGTGGCATGGTAAGATCTCCGATCCGAAACCTCAACTTCCACAACTAACCCGGCTCAGCTTTTCCTCTGGCAAAACGGATCCGGAATCAATGCCATCAACTACTACTCTCCCACGGTGTTCAAGAGTATTGGTATCACCGGCACCAACACCGGTTTCCTCACCACCGGCATCTTTGGCGTGGTCAAGACCGTCGTTACCTTTGTCTGGCTGCTGTGGCTGATTGACCACCTCGGCCGCCGCAACCTGCTCATGATCGGTGCCATTGGCGGATCGCTTTGCATGTGGTACATCGGAGGGTACCTCGCTCTCAACCCAGCCAAGGGCACCGGTGGCCTCTCTAGCGGAGGCATCTCTGCCATGGTCTTCTTCTACTTGTGGACCGTTTTCTATACCCCCTCATGGAACGGTACTCCGTGGGTTATCAACTCGGAGATGTTCGATCAGAACACGAGGTACGTTTGGAGTTGAAAATCGGTCAGTTTTCGAGTGCTTGGGCTAACCATACCTGTAGATCTCTTGGCCAGGCCAGTGCAGCTGCCAACAACTGGTTCTGGAACTTCATCATCTCCCGTTTCACTCCCCAGATGTTCAACGCCTGGGATTACGGAGTGTACTTCTTCTTCGCTTCCCTCATGATTTGCTCGGCCGTCTTCGTCTTCTTCCTGGTGCCTGAGACCAAGTCGGTGCCCCTGGAGACCATGGACCGTCTCTTCACCATCAAGCCCGTCTGGAGGGCGAACAAGACCATTATGGACGAGTTGGCGGAAGACCAGAGCTTTAGACAGAATGACTCCGACGATGTCGTCCTCGGAGAGAAGTCGGACGAGGGGGAGGTCAGCCAGGTAGAGAGAAAGCCGAGCGTCTAACGGTTCGGAACACGGTTTACTAATACGGATTAAGGGCGTTTGAATGGGTGACGGTGGATATTCCAAGATTCGAGTCTCGTAAGGAATTCACAATTCATCCCACATCGAGATACCGAGTGAAGTGCACCGTATTGCACCCTGTTCGCTCGAGGCGAACAGTTCGAGTAAAAAGCGTAAACGAAAACGGAACGGCGTAAACGGAACGGAGGTGATACCCGAAGTAGAGGAGGACGGTCGGAACGTGATTGCAAGGCGAAGCTGGTTGAGCCTCCATGCATGAAGTGGACTCAACCCGGCCGGGCACTGGGGGAACAGGTACGTCGAGGTAATATCTTTTTCCCTCCAGTCTATTCGTAGGCCGGAGGCTGTTGTAGCCGCAAGGTTACACGATCTGCGAGTACATATTAGTTGTAATGAGCCGGTCAATGTACCTACAGAAGGTGTCCACAGACGGGGAAGTCCTGACGTGAGACTGTTCCCCATGTCCCCAGACTTGTGTTGCATGACCCAGACGATGAGCCGCCACCGTTCTGCAGGCCTTGGAAGACATGGTATCCCAGAGGCTACATGGAACCGCCGGTGTCTTCCAGGCTCACTGAGAGTGTGATCCTCTCACGTGGACGCATCCGAAGCGAACAGACCGCAACGGCTAGCTCTCCGTGTCAAACAGAGTTCGTCCAGCCAAGAGGTAGAGGCCAAGCCAAGAGTGCCAAGTCGATGAAATCTAGCCCCATTGGTACAAGAATGCCACCCATAGACTCGTGGCATCGATATGTTTCTGAAGTTGCGGAAGAATTATTCGTGAGACTGATGACGTCGATCCCAAGATCCAAAGCGAACAAAGTTGTAACTGGCTTGCTGCGTGCAAAACCGCTTCAAGAATCAAAGGAGATAGAAATGCCAGCCTGTTTTCGTTATATACCACTGCTATCGAGTTTCGTCCCGACTTCTCGTGGACAGTTTCCACAGTTTGTGGTGCGATTGCCGTTCGATTTTCGTGGACGGGCGTGGCGCTTGAATCTTTACCCAGGAGATAGGGAATATTCACCCGCGAGACCACCCGCGAAACGAAATTGGGACCGTCCCGAAGTTTTGACGGGGAATTCTGGAGAATAATCCACAGTTGTGCAAGATTTGTTCAGATTCAAGAGTGATGCAAACACAATCCAGACTTTGGTTGTGTATTAATGATTCATAACTCCTTAAAGCTCACCTCCCGGAGTGCGCCTCGGTGAACCTCCGTAGTGATTCCGGTATTCTGATTCAGTGTTATGCAAGTCAGTCGAAGAAACGCCTTGTTGTCTGATGAGCTGTCTGCAGACGGCAAGGTAGACACGGAATTACGGCACTTCAGACTGGACATGAGCTTGAGCGGGCAAAACAGAGCATATCGAAGTGAATGTACTCCGGAGAAGTTTTTATCAATTTGAATCCAACCGATCAGCTATGCTGGAGAAGCTTTTGATTCAACCATCTCGTCATGGAAGCGGAAGAAAACGTTGCCTTTGGGATTGACGCATTCCTCTTCATGTGATACCATTGCAGTTGCCATAAGTTCGAGGCTGCTTGAAATTATGTGCTCCAAGACATAGTGTTAGTAGTACCAACCTACTCCTGCTCTTGCAGTGCCCCAGTTACGTATGTTAATCCAATGAGGCTCTTTCCTGGTACATGTGCGACGCTGTGGCCTTCGTCAGCATTGTGCCAACTTAATGTGATGCATACTGTCAATCGCAACTTACTCAATCCATGTTGCGTACTCGTATTCGATGATTGTCATTTTCATCATGTTGACGAGTTCACACTTGGGACGTTAAGCCGAGTTGCTGGATATACAGAGAAAGATACTATTTACATAGAAGACACTGATTCACCGAACTGACCTCACCCAGTCGTCATCAAGTTTCCGTTGGTAAGTGGTTCAATCTCATAATTCGTCTTGTTAAAACAGTCGCTATGAATGTATGTATGCAAGTCGTCCCATGGCTTTATTAATTTTACAATTTTGAATGTTGTGACAGCCTAGCAGCAATCACCTCCTTCACCTTCTGAACGGGCAATTGGTCAACCTCCTTGCCTGTCCAGTAACGGTCCTGCTCCAGACCTTGGTAGATCATGGCCTCAGTACCAAGAATCACTTGCCAGCCGGCCTCCTCGGCCAGAGCACCAATCTCGGTGAAGGGAGTAGCTGTTCTCGGTTAGGTTTAGATCACTTATTCGAGCAAGGAGCAACTTACGGTTATAGCACATCTCCAAAATGCTTCCCTTCTTGTCCTTGTTGAAGAACTCGACAATAATGTCACGTGCCACGATCTCCTCTGGCGTCTTGGGAGGGAAGTCGGGGATGCACGACACAATAGCGCCGGGGGCCTCGAGATCTCTCGCCTCCTCGACGGTGGAGACGTGGAACAAGTTCTCTCCATAGCCCCGCTCCGTGCACTCTGCGATAACGGCGTCGACCTCGCTCTTGTCACGGTTGACGAGGTAGATGTCGGTGGCCTTCATCCATTTGCGCAGGGCGTAGACGGCGCTGCGGGCGGCGCCGCCACCGCCGATGACGAGAGCGGGCTTGTTGTGGTAGACGGCGTCCGGGTCGGCGACGTTCTGCACAAACGACTCGCGGACGCCGATGACGTCCGTGTTGGTGCCGCAGTATATCCGCTTACCGTCACGCTCGCGGACGTAGAGGGTGTTGCAGGCGCCGACGTCGCGGCACTCGTCTGTCAGCTCATCGAGGTACGGGATGATGGCGACCTTGTTGGGCATGGTGACGGAGCTGCCGTAGAATTTGGGGTGCTTGATGAGTTCCAGGAACATGGCCATATCGGCCGAGTCCAGGCGCATCTGCTCCCATTTCAAGCCGATGCCCTCATAGATGGTGCTGTGTAGAAGTGGTGACAGGGAATGTGTGATCTTCTGGCCAAAAAGGTATCCGTGACGATCGAGCTGCTCAATCTTTGACGCGATAGGCTCGTCCAGCTTTTCCAGGACAGCGGGGCTCGCCATTTTGTAGTTGGCTGTGTGTGTATGTTGGTTGGCAATAAGGGGAAAAGGAGTCTTCAGTCTTTTTGGAAGGGGTATCTGGTATGTGCTGAAGTCTGTTTGAATGATTGAAATGGCTGGCGATGATGATAATATAGTGTAGAATATTGCAAGCAAAGGATTGGAAACGTTGACACTTTGAGTGGTTGCAAACACCAAGCGCTATGAGATTTTAGAGGAAACGATCTGAAGCCACTTTTTGTTCTTTCGCTTGTGTCTCTTTTCTCTGCCGCCAGGATATGAGGTCCAATAATAATTAATTGTTCTTGCGGGACACGGGGAAAAGTCCGGGGCTTCAGATGGGGTTCATCAGCGTGCTACAAGTTCGATCAGGGCTATTCGTATCGGAAACTCGTTGTCTCCATGAGGGTCTTCCGGCAAAGAACTCTCCAGAGAAGAGCCAGTGGGAAGTGCCGAAGGCTCTGGATCTCGGAAGCCTGGGAACAAGACGCGAAAGGTACGAAGCAGTGTGAAAAGCGAAAACCCCTGGCTGATGATAGCTCGGGGCCGCCCACCCGACCGAAGGCGCAAGATGAAGAATGTTTATCCCCTTCTTCAACTCAGGGGGAGTGTTTATCCTGCCAGCCGGCCACGCTTGTGAAGACTGTCGCCACCAGCTGCCAAGCGTATCACTTACACCACTCCATCAACTACCGGCCTTGGTGATGAGCATTGCGCACCTCTTACAACACTCGTGGGGTGCATTGGCACATGGAAAAGCGTCATTCAGAGTGGCCCGGCTATCTTCGGGCACCCCAGAATTTCTAGATCGCCAGGCCTGTAACCACTCGGTGCTGATGAGATGGGGAAGACGGCGGGTGAATGACTTTCCTGCCCCAAACCCACTCGGAGACCCGGTGCAATCCGGGGATGAGATGGTACGCCTTCGTATGAGACCATTGGACAGCCTGGCCTGCGTATCCGTGACAAAGTTGTCTGTTTCTGGGACTGCTCTGTCGACGATTCGATTTGCGAGCTGCAAATAATCTTCCTGATTCCCCTGTTGCCGAGGACAAACACATACGAGCGAATACGCGAGAACCCTCCTTCCCCTCGATTCCCACTTACTTCTTATTCCCTCCTTCCATCTGACAGCCACCTTCATCATTTCTCGAACCTATCACATATCGTTCTTCGCATTTACGTCTTGTTTCTTTGCGTTCGATACCCGTTGAGAATCTTTCCACACATTCACAAATCACCCATCATGCCTTCCCGTTTAGCCATCAGCACCATGTCGCTCGGGCGATGCTGGGCTGGCCACTCGTTCGAGCACAAGATGGACATGGCAGCAAAGTACGGTTACCAAGGCATCGAGCTCTGGCACGAGGACATGATGGACGTTGCCGAACAGCTTCCCGGCGGTGCCGCCCTCCTTGAGAACCAGCTGGCCGCCGCCAAGATCGTCAAGAGAATGTGCGATGCCCGCAATATCGAGATCCTTTGCCTCCAACCTTTCCAACATTTCGAAGGTCTCATCGACCGTGAACAACACGCTCGCAGAATTGAGGAGCTGCGCGTATGGATCCAGCTCGCCCACGTTCTGGGCACCGACTTGATCCAGATCCCCAGCAACGTTCTCCCCGCAGAGCAGGTCTCCGAGGACCTGAATCTTCATGTCGCAGACCTGCAAGAAGTAGCAGACATTGGTGCTGCATCCAACCCACCTATTCAGTTCTCATATGAGAGCTTGTCATGGGGTACCAGAGTCGACGTCTGGGAGACGTGCTGGGATGTCATTCAAAGAGTCGATCGCCCCAACTTTGGCATGTGTCTCGACACTTTCAACATCGCCGGCCGCATCTTCGCCGACCCTTGCGCGGCATCCGGAAGGACAGAAGATGCCGAGCAGGCCGTCAAGGATTCCATCCAGAGACTTCTGACTACGGTCGACGTTTCCAAGATCATCTACGTGCAAGTTGTTGACGCCGAGCGCCTCGCCGAGCCGCTCTGCCCGACGCACCCCTACTACAACGCCGAGCAGCCGTCGCGCATGTCTTGGTCTAGAAACTGCCGTTTGTTCTACGGCGAGTACTCAAGAGGAGCATATCTTCCCGTGCGAGAAATCTGCGCAGCCATCTTCCAGGGTCTCGGCTTCGAGGGCTGGGTCAGCTTCGAGCTGTTCAACAGGAGGATGTCGGAGGAGGACCACGACGTGCCGGAAGAGCTGGCCAAGAGAGGCGCTGTTGCTTGGGCTAAGCTGGTCAGGGATATGAGGCTGAGGGTGGAAGAGCCTTCGACTACTGTCACGGCATCGCTATAAGCTGGAGTTTCATGATAACCACGACACAAATTGCGACAGCGAATGTACAATATTTAACTTGCTTTTATTTTTTGGAGTCATTAATCCCATTCAAAGCTTCTGCTTGACCTTCATGTGCTTCGCCGCAAACTCGATGGCCGCCGTGTAACCGAAAACACCCAATCCGCAGATGACAGCCGCGGCCTTGTCACTGAGATAGCTGTGATGTCTGAATGCTTCTCTCGCGTGGACGTTGGAGATGTGAATCTCGACAAAGGGGATATCGACGCCCAGCAGGGCATCGCGAATGCCGACGCTTGTGTGGGTGTAGGCGCCGGGGTTGATGACGATGGCGTCGATGTTGCCTTTGGCCTCGTGGATCCGGTCGATGATGCCGCCCTCGTGGTTGGACTGGAAGTTCTCGATGTGAATCTTGAGGTCGGCGGCCTGCTTCTCGGCCATGGAGACGACATCGCTGAGGGTGGTTGATCCGTAGGTCTCGGGCTCCCGGGTACCCAGGAGGTTCAGGTTGGGACCGTTGATGAGGAGAATGCGGCTGGCCATTGTGGAGGGAGTTGAGGAATGAGAGACGAGCTGCGGTGATTCGTGTTCAATCTAATTCAACCGTATGAATGACAACTTCAGATGGCGAGGCTCTTATTCTTCATAAAGAAGAGTTTCGCTTCAGTGGATAAGTCTTGTTCCGTGTTGCGTCAAGAATGCTCTGCCGGCGAGGTGTTGCGGTTGGCGATGTGATGAGTGCCGCGGGGTAGATTTGCCCCGGATTTGAAGAGTCTCACGTAACTGACATAAGTCAAGAGGCATTCCCACAACTCCCACGGACACAATTCGATCTGATCCGGTTCGCCGAGCAGCAACTGTCCTCCTGGTTTCCTGGCCTCCTGGCCTCTTCCCCAGGTCTTGGAGGGAGGGGTGAAGGAGGGGGAGCTCCTGACTCGGAGTTCCACCCTACCAAGGTCAACAGGTACCAAGGGCCTTCTGGGACCAATTTTAGTGATTTCTATCCACTGAATCCGGTTCAACTGGACGCCCAAGGGACCTCTTCTTGTCTTCTTGTGCCTGCTCAGGAGGCGGGCCATGTGCGGGGATTCCCCGCTGATAGGGACCTGGCCCGATAGTGAGCCGGACGTCATCCCGCTGTGCTTCCGCGGTCTCCAGCACTCGGCTGGCGGCGGCCCAGCGGTCGAGTCACCGCACTGAGGTGACTGTTTATCAGTAAGCACTGCGCTGCCAACCCCGAACCCGGTCCGGTAAGCAGGCCGTGTCGTGTGTCCTTTTTTCTTTTGCAGTTTCAACTCTTCTCTTTCGACTTGTATCCTTCATTGTGACATTTCAAAGCTTGATTCCTCGTGAAACGGCCACAATGGCGGACATCAGCGACAATGAGCTCCGCGAGATCTATGACTTTGCCGTGCAGCTCGGCAAAGAGGCGGGAGCTTTGCTCATGACGGCGGCGAGGTCGAGGTTCAATGGCGGTGATTCTCAAGTGTTTACCGAGAAGGATAACTCGGTGGACTTGGTGACCAAGACAGACACGGGTTCGTAGGCCATTCTGGGTGGTCAATTGCGGCGGGAGTGAATTGCTGACGAAACCGTCTTTCTTCCAGAGGTCGAAGCCTTCATCCATACCTCGGTCGCGAAGAAGTACCCCAACCACAAGTGAGTCACTTGTTGTCGAACTGCCTTTCTGCCCCTCCATCGATTCTCACAAACGGCAGATTTATCGGCGAGGAAACATACTCGGCCGGCGCATCCCGCGATTATCTCGTCGACGACAGCCCGACATGGATCATCGACCCCCTCGACGGCACCGTCAACTTCACCCATCTCTTCCCCATGTTCTGTGTCTCCATCGGGTTCGCCGTAAAAGGCAAGCCCGTCATCGGCGTCATCAATGCGCCCTTCCTGAACCAGACCTTCTCCTCCCTCAAGGGCCACGGCGCATGGATGAACGAGACCCAGAGGCTGCCCTTGGTCCTCAGCCCGCTGCCAGCCAACGCGCCCAGCGGCTGCGTCTTTTCTTGCGAATGGGGCAAGGACCGGCGGGACACGCCGGATGGAAACATGCACCGAAAGGTCGAGAGCTTCATGAACATGGCGGCTGAGCGCGGCGGAAGAGGTGGCAAGGGCGGTATGGTGCACGGCGTGCGGAGCTTAGGAAGGTGAGCTGTTTCGTAGCTCTCTGGGAGACTCTTGCTGACGGGATAGTGCAACGCTGGATCTGGCCTACACAGCAATGGGATCATTCGATATTTGGTGGGAGGGTGGCTGCTGGGAGTGGTAAGTCGAGTCCGGGGGACACGTGCTGGATCGGGGTTGACAATATCTCAGGGACGTCGCGGCAGGAATCGCAATCCTGGAAGAAGCCGGCGGTCTGGTGACCATCGCCAACCCTCCAGAAGATACCTCTGTTGTTCCTGAAGCAAAGCTAGGCGGTAGACTCTACCTGGCCATCCGGTAAGTTGCGGCGCGGACACGGTTGGCAACACAAGCTGACGTCATCAAGCCCTGCAGGACCTTCCGAGACGGAAACAGCCCGAGAAGCTCAAGAAAGAGTGGTGCGAGAAACATGGAAGCGTGTAAGACAGTTGGAGTATTCGAGACCGGGGGCGTAAGAGCAGTAGATGATAGACCAAAGAGATATCAAGAAATACAACTATCTAGAGGTCAGTACTGGCTTGCTCTCCGGCCCACGCCCTGCGGATGATTTCGCGAATCTTTGCCTTTCCCAGCGGGCGAGGGTTCCAGTATGGCGTGTCTGAGGCCACGTCTGTGACGCGATCGATATCCTTCTCCTGCATGCCGACATCTTTCAGGCCGGTCGGTATGTCCAGTGATCGCAGCAACTGGTTCAAGCCGGCCACGACGCCTGCTGCGGTGCTTTCTGTACTCTGGGCGAGGGCAGCAGACAGCCTACGTACGGTGTCCTCGGAGAAGGCGCTCGCGTTGTAAGCAATGCTATGTGGGAGGAAAATGGAATGCGTCTCCGCGTGAGGGAGATTGAGGGTTCCGCCTGCGGCATGAGCCAGTTTGTGCTGTAGAGCAATACCCGTTGCCGTTGCGAGAAGACCGGCGAGGAACGCGCCATAAAGGGCGGACGTTCGCGCCTCGACTGACGACGGGTTTGTCACGATGACTGGCAGAGCGCCAGATAGTGCCTTGATGGACTCAAATGCGAGGTGGTCTGTAATGGGGCTGGCTTGACGGGAATACAACGCCTCGACTGCTCGCAATCAGCACCAAGTTAATGTCTTGTCGGGCGTTCTGACACTCACATGAGTGTGCCATGGCGTTGAGACCACTTGGGCCGCTGACGTTGACCGGCAGGTCCATGGTCAGGTCTACATCGTAGATGACAACCTTGGGGAGAATTTTGGGGTCCGTCGTCGAAGTCTTCTTGCCGTCCTTCGTCTCTCCGATGATCGGCGTCATCTCTGAGCCCGAGTACGTCGTTGGGATCGCGACCTGCGGCATTCCCGTGCGGAGGGCAATGGCTTTTCCCAGGCCGACGGCGCTTCCACCTCCGACTGAGACGAGCGCATCTCGGTTCTTTGCGCGCGCTACGGCGGGCGCGATGATCTCGCTGGGGTTGTGGACCTTGGCTGTGTCCAGGATGTCCGTGTCTGTGATGCCTGCGTCTGACAGCTTGCCTTGGATTTTCAAAGCGAGCGATGTTCGAGAAGGCGAGCATATGATGAGCGGTTTCGAGAGGTTCCGGGACTTCAGCTCACCGGCCAACTCGTTCAGGGTGCCAGGCCCGAAGAACACTTTGGGCGTCGAAATACCAAAGACGAAGGGCTGGATGGAGTTCATGATGCGGGAAGTGAGCTGATCGCGACTTTCTTTTCAAGAATTAGTTGAAACAAGGACAACATGCGTTACTGCTTTGGGGCCGACTGAGGTATAAGTAAGTCAGTCAAGCGTCATCGGCGGGGAGCGGGGTCCGACCAGCGCGGAGGTTTCCCATGCTCCGGCGCCGGTGCTCAAGATCGGCGATCAACAACTGCCGGAATGTGGACGTCTCTTAGATCTATGTAGTTTCAGATCCATCCTGCGAGATCTGCGTCGGCCTGGGAATCATTGATGAGACCTTATTCATTCGGTTCAGGCGTTCCGACCAGATTCCGCACTGAAGAGTTTGAACCTGATTGAAGGCGATTCGATGCAAGTTTCAAAAGCTGAGTTGAATCTATTCCAACGGGTGCCTATCTTTTTGGCGGCCCTGGAGGGGTATCATTGATTATATAACTTAGTCCAGGCCGTCAAAGCCCAGAATGCCGTGTGCGCCCATGGGGCCAAACTTGGCTGCAGCGGCAGCGCCTGTGTTCTGTCGCTTGTTTCGCCTCTTTCCGCCATCGCTGTCGCTGTCGCTATCGTCGCTATCGCTGTCGGCGCCTCTTTTTCCGGTCGCCCCGTCTTCGTCGTCATCGCTGTCTTCGTCGCTCTCCTCTTCCTCCTCTCCCTGGAGCTCTGAAAGCTCCTCCCATACCTTGACTGTCTTGCCACCGGCGGTGATCAGGCGGTTCTCCGAATCGAAAAGAACAGAGATGACACCCTCGACGTCGTCGTGTCGAAGGTTGACGACCTGATCGACGTCCCTAGTAACCAAATCGACAACCCGCAAGCTGCCGTCACCGAGACCAACAACCAGCTTCTTGCCCAATCCGAGCTCTTGAGGCACCAGAGCCAAAGCATCGAGGCTCTCGCCGCCGGACTTGCCGCCGTCGACGATGATGCGCTCCTGCTGGTCGTCCCAAGCACCCCTATCCCACACCGTGACGACGCCAGATCCGGAGCCGACGGCAACGACGCCATTGTTCCGGTTGTTCTTGGGCCCGAGGCCGGGAACGTAAGTTGCAGACAGCAGCTCATCCTCCTGGTCATCCGACCTCACAAGCACGCCTTTGCGGACGTCGGTGACGGCGAGTGTGGTGCCGCCGGTCGAGACCCATTGCTTCGGGAAACCGGATGTGCTCTCGGCGGACGGAGGAAGAGGGACGACGGCAGAGACGTAATCGGAGTGGGGGAAGTTGGTTTGAGCGGGCTTGGTGGCAGGCGCGCCATCTCTCAAGTCAAAGATGTGCATGGCGCCGGAATCGCAGCCGATGAGGAGGCTCTGGGGGTTCAGGACGTGCATCAGGGTCGGGGCGTCGATCTGCTTGTTCGAGGACGGGATGGCGATCTTGGAGATGACCTTTCCGGTCTCGGGGGAGAAGTGCTTGATCAGACCATCGGTGCCGGCCGAGTACACAGCTGTAGGAAGAACAGGGTTAGCTGGGTTGCTCGCTGTGGCCGCACTTGCAGGAAGAGGTACGCACCAGATCCGTCGTGGCTGTAAGCCAAGGCTCTGCAGCTTCCCTTGTGCCGTCTCGTGCGCCAGGCGCTCTCAATAGATCCTCGTCCGGTGGAAGAAATGCTAGTGTCGGCGTCTCCCGACGCATCGGAGGCTTTGTCTGCCGGGGCCGGCAGGCGGAATGTCTCGACATGACCGGAGGAGAGGCCGACGGTCAACAGCGGCTCGGTGGGGTGAAGAGCCTGGGCAAAGATGTCGGCCGAAAGAGGGAGGGTGCAGAGGTTCTCGAACATGTTTGCGGCCTCAATTGGTCTGCGTCAGACACGGTCAATTGGTGGCGTACTGGTACGGAGAAATAAATGGCTGGTAGTTGTAGCAGAAGCTGACCGAAGCCAGAGCGAAAATCGTGCCCGGGATGGAAATTTTCAAGGTGAACAGCTCACCGAGGTGAGTACTGCCCCACTTGAGCTCCCTTCACCGAGATTACCGAAACGGGACTCAGAGCAAAGGCCAGGGGAGACCTGGCTATTTTGAATGTTTGGAGAGCAGGAACACGGGCATTAAATGGCCGAGCACGCGCAGAGAAACGGAAGGGATGTCTGGAAAGCTTGTTTGGCGCCATGTCTTGTCTCCCGAGACCGAAAACGCTGCAAAAGTCACCATCCGGTCCCATGTTCGTCCATTATTTTGATGATTGCGACGCGACGACGATGCCAGGCACTGCCGCCATGTAAGCCTCAACCCAAACCTTGCTGCTGCAACAAATGACTTGGTGCAATTAACATCCCGACTCGGAGATGGATTGAAGTAACAGGGGCTTCCCATATAAAAGTCTCATGAAGCTTTCCCGCGGGTTCCTCCAGTTCTTCGAGGTCCTCTCATTCGGAGAGCTTCAACGACACCCAAAACGGTACGTACTTGTTTAGCTCGGTCAAGAGTGGAAACAAGGTTAATTAATTGATGCGGGGTCGTCCGTCCCCCCCACGCTCCAGCTCCATCGAATTGTAGCAGTTGCTGCAAGAAACACCTGCTCAAAGGAGGCATCCGCCACAGCGGGGTTCCTGCACCGAGTCGATCCTAGCGAGGAGGCAGTTGAGGCAGTTGAAAGCCCCGGGGCGGGAAACAGCGGCAAGAACGAACACCGCGTTTAATCCCATCTTTTTTCCTTCTTCTTATTCTTATTTTTAAATCTGTTAGCCCCCAATTTCCTCTCAGATCTTCGATTTCCGCGTTTAACCTCGCCCGCCCTCTGTGTATACTAACGCGAGGTTTCTCAACGCCCAGAGGAAAAGGAAAGACAAGCAAAGAAGAAGCCGTCGACCGTCGGCAGCATCATACAGGATGAAGCTGCTTCCCACGGCTCTAGGCGGCCTGCTAATCCTCGTGCAGTCCGCCGCCATGGCGTCCGCCGAAGACCTCGCCGGCCCTTGGCCTAGTCCTAACGGCAATCTGAAGAACGTCATGTACCTCACCGGGTCTGTTGTTCCCTTGCATAGCTTCAACCGCTTTCGTCCGCCGTTGCAACTGCTAACGCCGCGTCACAGCCAACACCCTACCGTCCCCTCCAAGGAGATCGCGTATCAGATTACCCATGTTGAGCTGGCGTTTATGAATTCCGACACTTTCAACAAGGACGTTGCAGAGTGGCCGCTTTTCACCACTGTCGAAAAGGTTCGCACCCATTTCCGACCCGGCACCAAGGTCATGGTGGCCATTGGTGGCTGGAGTGACAACAAGGGCTTCGACACTGCCGCTCGTACCCCCGAGTCGCGGAAGAAATGGGCTCAAAACGTTGCCGACATGGTCAAGGCCACCGGTGCTGATGGTAGAAGCCCTGCCTAACCTTGGCGCGATATGAAAAGCAGGAACGCTGACCAAACTAGGCGTCGACATCGATTGGGAATACCCTGGGTGAGTGCCAAAAGCCAAGTTCCTCGGGCCCCCCCTCTAACCTGCATCCAAGCGGAAACGGCGAGGACTACAAGAATATCACCAACGAAGAGAAGAAGTGGGAGATTGATGCCTACCCACTGCTACTTGAGGAAATTCGCAGACAGCTTCCCAGAGAGAAACTCATCTCGGCTGCGACCCCTGGGCTCGAGGGTGACATGATCGCATTCACCAAGGAGCACACACCCCGTATTGCGCGCGCCCTCGACTTTATGAATGTCATGGCCTACGACATGGTGGGCCGCCGAGCAAACGTCACGCAGCACCACACCGGTCTCGAGTTGTCCCGCATCGCCGTCGAGAACTACATGAATCGTGGGGTTCCTGCCCACAAGATCAATCTCGGTCTCGCCTTCTATACCAAATGGATCTCGACGACTGATTGCCCTGAGGGCAAGGAAGTCGGATGCCCGACGCCGTTGATGGAGGACCCCGTCACCGGCGCTGATCTTGGGAAGACGGGAGGCTTCAGCTGGGCGGATGGAGTCTCCGCGGGCGACAAGGAATCTTTCGCGCGGGCTGAGAAAGACGGCAAGTATGACGAGAAGGGTGGTGGTTACTACTACTTGGACAGGGCGGAGAAGAAATTCTGGACCTACGACAACCCCGATGCCATCCGTCGCAAGTTCCCCGCCATCGTGGACCGCATGCGAATCGGCGGCGTCTTCGCCTGGGGGTTGGGAGAAGACGGCCCCGAGTATAACAACCTCAAGACTGTCAACGAGGAGTTGGCAAAGCGAAGGGACAGAAGACCGGGCATCTGGGGACCCGGCCCGCATGACTCGGATGAGCTGTAGGTGAATCCCGAGCAGAGTCGAAAGCTCTGTACTCCTTCAACCCCTATATCTTCTCAAGATTGAACCGTCGACTCACTGTCGGGTTGCGCATAGTGCCAACCGTGCACCGCCGCACGTGGGCTGAGATGGAGGGATGCTATCTGGTTGTCAGGAAATGACATGGCGCCGATATTAGTTGAAGCTGAAGCTTAAATCAAGAGTTCGTCCACATGCTCTCGTGCCGCATGCTTAGCTCTGGAGATCCTCTTCGCGCCACGGGCATCGGTGATGTCTGTGCCGCTATCCCATGGTGTCGACCCGCGGGTCAAGCTGCGAGCTTCACCGCAAGAGGCTGAGGCTTTGGCAGCCAAACCGAATCATCGGTGATGATGACGCCGGCAACGGCAGTGACAACCGTGACGGCAACGGTACTCGAGGCAACAAAAGGCGACAGCGGCGAAGAGAAAACAACAGCAACTAGGAGGCCATACAGCTCAAAGGTGTCTTGTACTGATTGCCATCCTCGTTACCAGCCACAACATATGGTTTTCTTCACGCTAATCTCGCAGAAAGTGTTGAGGCGCTAAAGGCAATCCTATCAACAACTCCCTAAATTCGACGGTTTCTGTTGCTAGTGAACCAAGCTTTCGGGCGAGACAATCGATCCCCGCATGCAATTCCGTCGATTCGGGAGGAGGGGTGGTTGGCTAGGCGCGTGCTAATCTGAGATGTCTTACCCAGACGAACTGTCGATGTCGAGCCTAAGCTGGTTTGTCGTTGCGTCACATGGAATGACACGAGCCGCGGACTCGCATACAGCATCTGATTTGGCCCTCGGGTTGGATATGACCCGGGCGGAACATCAGCAAGTTCCTGGCGGGCGGGACGTTTGCGAGATCACAGGGTTCACCAGGCCCAGTTCGTGTAAGGGGGAATGCAGGGCCTCGCGCCCTATGAGCCCAGAGTTGGGTTGAGCAGCGGCAAAATGTACAGCACACCGACATCAGATGGGTATAGACGAAGGATGGGTCGCGAGCAACAAGAGGTTGGGGTTTTCTCTCAGTGGAACGAGTAACCTGGCGGTCTGGCAGCCGAGGCCCACGTCATATGTGTTCCGTCGGGGAGAATGGTCCCCTTCTCCTGCAAGCTGCAAGCCGGAGCCGAGACCGGGCTGCGACCCGCTCATTGCCGGCGTTAGGTCATTGTAAGCCGCTTCCTTGGGCACCACGCGTCTTCGTAAGGTATGCTTGTAGTGTTTGGTTGGATGGCGTCGGTAGTTGGCCAAGGATCCTTGTCACTGCATTGAAAGCCCAAAAATGCAGGGTCGACGAGGTGGTGCGGTGGAGGAGGCTTTGAGTGGTTGTCTGGTCGGTGAAGATGACAGAACGTAAACAGGGTGAAGATGGTGGTGTGTGGTTTGCGAGAGGGTTTCACCTGTTCGCCATTGACAGCGAGTTAAACCGAGGTGTCAAAGCAAATCTGAAGGCAAAGGTAGATTAGCCAGATGAGGTGTCGTGTCTGTGTGTCCCTGTCTCTGCAGGCGCAGGCATGTCTTGGGTCTTGGACTCCTAGGAGACGTGACGATGGAAATGATGCTGACTTCATCGAGAGGGAGGGAAAGAGGAGGACCTTGCGGCGCTAGCAGGATCTTGAAGTTTCTTCTCGCATCAGGCGCGCAGCAATATCGGCAACGGCGTTCCGAGACTCCTGGGCCCAAAACAACATGCAGACGTAGGAATTACAAAAAAAACAAGTCAAGCCAACAGGAAAGAGAAAAAAAAAGGCGATTTTCGCTGGGATCGCAGATGATAGAAGACGCGAGCAGGGACCACCCCCAAGAAAGTTACCGCAGTGGGTCCAAGCTTACCTAAACGAGGAAAAGAGCGGGCCGGGTAGGAGTCACCCGCCACGCTGAGTGGCCTGAAGTGGCTGAGGATTAGCATCTCTTTGGATCTAGCGTCATGTCCACGGGTGTCATTGGATGAGATGCCCGCTGAAGCATCGGCAATGAGGTCATTTCTGCCTGTAGAGCTGGAACCACGTCATTGTCGTGTCCAGCCCCAACCCCATTACGCATCACCAAACCCGAGGTGCGCCTGTGAGGTGGCAGTCTCAGTCACCGTCCGACGTTTTTTTCACTATGGGCTAGGCAATGAATGGCGCTTGCTAAGGGAGGAAAATATGCCCACCTCTACCTCAGGTATGGCAACGCTTGCTGCGTTCGTCATCGTGGGTGGTTACTTATTCACTCCTACTGCCCGCCTTACTTATTCACCCTCACCTCCCCTCCCAGCCTTCATACCTGACCTGTTTCCTCTCTCTCCACCCAAGATTCAACGGACCAACCTCCCAGTTATTACAACCTGAACACAGTTGCAATCGAAATTCAAGCTCACACAACAACCCTTGCCCAATACTTCGCAATGGCTCTCGGATTTGTGCCCATCGCTCACATTGTGGCTGCCGTCTTTTCTATTATCGAGCTCGGTCTCAGCGCCTATGGTATGTCTCATTTAACAGTCCTGCGTTTCTGCTTCATCTCTGCCGCACGTGTTTCTGACAATCATACAGTTGCCAGCAGTTACTGGTGGCGCTCGCCCGACATTGTCAACTTCATCATCTTCAACTCGGTGTGGTCCCTGCTGGTCCTCGCCTATGTCGGCCTCACACCCCTGTACATGACCCGCCTCTTCCACAAGCTTGTCTCTCTCGGCCTTCTCGTCATCACCACCATCTTCTGGTTCGCCGGTGCCATCGCGTTCGCCGTCTTCGTAGGCCACCCTAGGTGCGGTGCCAACACCTACTGCGGCTCTGCTCAGGCTGGAGTTGCGTTCGCCTTCTTCATCTGGGCTATCTTCATGTTCCTCACCGTTCTCGACACCCTCGAGGCGATGCGCTCGCGCGGCCACAACACCAGCGTCAAGGCCAACCACGCCTACCCTGGTGCTTAGATCATGCGACGTTAACATAACTACGATGCGATGGATTATGCGACTTTCGCCTGGTTCGCAACGGCCTCTTTAATGACGTGGAAATACCCCTTGAAATGGAGTACCGGGCTTTGGGATTACAGTTATCGGCGTCTGGATTTAGGGCTGAGAATAGCCTATGATAGTTAATATTTGCATTTGCCTCAACTCGAAGAACTCGATTAAAACGTTATCGCCTATTTACGCTGACATCCTACTTAATCCCGTGTTCCCTGCCGCGGTTGACCATCGATGATGCAAATCTGTGATCACCCTTGGGTTCGGCGATGATTATCTATAATGTGAATAACAACAGGAAAGAATACACCAAATACCAAGCGCGACCAACCAACAAAAAATCAGCATCGTCTTTCAAATGACTCGCGGGACCAATATGGGACTCTTGGCAAAGCCCATATTGCACAGAAAATCTGGAGACCATAAGATTACTCCATGAAGCCTGACAAGGAACAAATACACCGGGTCGGAGTTCCCGCAGGCCGTTCCGTCGCGGGGAGCCGGGACTGGCAGCCACCGGCACAGGGCTCTCGGTAAAGACCATTTCACCGAGGTGAGTAAATGCGAAGATAGAACGGGCACTCACCCCGGTCTGCAACTACAATGTTCAGACGAGCTCTTCGCCGGGAGCTTGGAGTGGTCAATTGGCGAATAAGAAGGCTTCCCGGCGGCACGCAGCTCATTCCGCAGCTGAGGTGGGGCCGTTTAACGGCACTAGTGGATACGTACCCCCGGCCGACCCCGCAGTCCCTCACCACCAAAACGGGGAAACAGCTTTCAACCTTTCTTTCCGCACCTCCTTCGTGCTCAATGCTCATGGATTCAACACCGAGGTTCTTGTTTACCTGCTCAAGCTTTCCCCTGTTCCCCTCGGTATCCCAGATGTAACCCGGGACGAACACCACGTGCTGATAACCAGCCTATCCTACGGGCCCACACGCTCACTCTCGCACACACGCACTCTTTCTCTCTCTCTCTCTCTCTCTCTCTCCAAGCAGAGAGGAGGGCGGCGATTCCGACCGAATACAAGCGTGTCGCCCGACGCTGCCTCGGACACGATCCAATGGTTATTCATTGGCTCGTCGTCCGACTGGGACATGCATTGACTATCAGCTTACCGATCCTGCTGCAGGGCTTTCGTTGCTCTTGAGTAGCGATTGATCTTGGCAAAACATCGAGCCCGCCTACAAAAGATCGCCCGTCCTGTCTGAAGTCCTGCGGAAAGGACAGCTTCCTGTCCCCTCAGCTCTAGCTCCAGCTCTCACACTCCTCGGCCTCCCTTCAGCCGGTGCCCCCCAGCTGATTGCCGCCTCCTCCGCCGCTCGTCCACAGTCAATTGAGACCCGGCCGCCGACATGCACTTCAACGCCGTCCTCACCTCCGGCCTCGTCGCCGTCGCCGCCCGCCATGCCGGCGCCGTCCCTTGCCCGAGATCTCCCCCGGTTTACAAGCCCATCACCAGCATTCAGCTCGGCCCGAGACCCTACTGGTTGATCAACGACATGGACGAGGGCCCTCTCAAGGAGAAGCTGCAATCCTGCTCCGAGCAGCCCATCAAGGCTTCCAACTGGAGCATTGGTCACCGCGGCGGCGGTACCATGCTGATTCCCGAGGAGTCGGTTGAGTCGAACCTGGCTGGCGCCCGCATGGGTGCTGGTATCCTCGAATGCGACGTCGCCTTCACCAAGGACCGCGAGCTGGTGTGCCGCCACTCCCAGTGCGACCTCCACACCACGACCAACATCGTCGCCATTCCCGAGCTCAATGCCAAGTGCACCACTCCCTTCACGCCGGCCTCCAACGGTACCGCTGCTACCGCCAAGTGTTGCACTTCGGACATCACGCTCGCCGAGTTCAAGTCGCTCTGCAGCAAGATGGACGGCTCCAACTCTTCTGCTATCACCCCCGAGGACTTCCTCCACGGCACTCCCAACTACCGCACCGACTTGTACGCCACCTGCGGCACCGTCATGTCGCACAAGGAGCACATCGCTCTGACCAATGACCTCGGCCTGAAGTTTAGCCCCGAGCTCAAGCTTCCCGAGGTCGAGATGCCCTTCGAGGGCGACTATACCCAGGAGCAGTACGCCCAGCAGATTGTCGACGAGTACAAGGCCGCGGGCGTCGCCCCCGAGCGCGTCTGGCTGCAGTCCTTCCACTACCCGGATGTCTTGTACTGGCTCAAGGCCGAGCCTGAGTTTGGCAAGCAGGCTGTCCTCCTAGACGAGAGCGGCGACACCCCCGAGACCTACCCGGACGCCGTCGCGAACCTGACCAACTACGCCGCCGCCGGCGTCCCCATCATGGCGCCCCCTCTGTACTACCTCGTCACCGTCGAGGACGGCAAGATCGTGCCCAGCAGCTATGCCATCAAGGCCAAGGAGCTGGGTCTGAAGCTTATCTCCTGGTCTCTGGAGCGTTCTGGTTTCCTGGGTGACGGCACCAACGGCGGCTACTACTACACCTCCATCGCCAACGTCACCAACAACGACGGCGATGTTTACAACCTCCTGGACGTCCTTGCACAGGATGTCGGTGTTCAGGGTGTCTTCTCCGATTGGAGTGCCACTGTTACCTACTACGCCAACTGCTTTGGGTTGTTCTAGACTAAAGTGTATAGATATATGTATTGGAACTGGCGCCACGGCTAGAGTGAAAGACATAATGACAGCGGCGATGACCATGATGATTAGTGGTGGCTCGGATATCATACTGGGCATATATAGTTTCTAATGATAAATGGAGAGGAAATCATTCCTTCTCACGCCGCCCTGATATATGCTCTCCGCCAATGTGCAAAAGATGTGGTTTAGGTCGGCAAGGTCAGGAACTCTAAGAGGCCATCCAGTCACTCCATCGCAATGAGTGAAGATGAATAAGTTGCTTTCCTAGTACTGTCGATCTTTAGAACAGTCGTCCCTATTGACACTATCATCACGTAATTATTGTTTTAAGACTTAGACTATCCTAAGCATGGAAGATTGTGATTTCAATTGAGCATGCGGAAGTGGTGCGACGCAAGGTAATTCCAACTTATGAGGGGTACTTAATAGCTCCCCAGTCATGCAGTAATACCGTGGCTCGGATCCTGCATACATCGAGCTCACGTGAAATGCTGGTACATCAACCCTCTTTCTAGCCTCTCTGTTACGTGACTGGCTTGTGTATCAAAGAGTTGTGACATGAGTGTGCGTCCAATTGATTGCTCATTGGTTCAATATGTACAGTCTTTCGGGGACGGCATTGTAGTCCCCAGCCAACCGTCCTATAGTGCAGGTCGTGGTTCGTTGTCTAGTCATCGTCCTGTCCGATGAAGCAAGTATCAAAAAGTGCGACATATCTGAGCCCTATTACGTCGTAATCTCTTAAGCAGCGGTAATGAGTACCTCATCGGATGCTGTCTGCAACGCGACTTAGATGGTAGGAAAGTATTCACTCAATGAGATACATGGACGTGTACCTGATGCATGCCATTGCGAAGTGGTCAATTGATCCAAAGCATCCCTCTCAGAATCTTGAGCGCGTAAGAACATAAAACTGGTAAACCTAGTGCCGTGCCTTGTCTGGCTTGGGAAGGCCCAGGTGAGGCATGTCATCCTCAAGTGGTCTTCCATCGTCTTGTTTGGAAACCACGAAACAAAAGATTCGATAAGCGACTTTCAATTAGACTTCCGCGGGCAACTGGATATATCAACCGCGATATTAAGATCACGGGCCATTCGAACAGCTGGGTTGGTATTGCGCCCGGGACCGCCCGGGGACGGGAGTTCCCTGTGAGGAGACTGGGAAGACGCCATGAAACAACGGCGAGAGGGACATGGAACATGGTTCACTCAGCTCGAGGAGATGGTCAAAACGTGAGACAACTCAAGTGGGAACAAGTGTCTGAAGTGTAGTTCGCGTCAAAGGCCAGAAAATATGGTGATATTTTGCGCGAATAAAGTGTATCAGCCCCTTTATATGTACCGGACTTGAATATTGACAAGAAGATAACCACACCCTAAAAGCCTTCAACAGCGTCGTCAAGACGCCTAGACGGAAGGCCAGCCACCAGACCAAGAGATGGTGTTCCAGCCAAACAGGGTCTGGGAGTCGGCATAGCCAATGTCGGTGTTCACTTTCGAACAACAAAGTCAGTATAGAACAGAGACGGTTGCGAGGGGTTGGCGGACTCACTGTAGTGGTAATAAAGCACGGCACCGCGCTTGGGGTCCGCGAGCACGCCCTGTCCACCAGGAGCGTAGACCTTGTTGTGGCTAGGGAGGAGAAGAGTGCCGCCGCCCTGGGTGCAGCTCTTGCCGCTCTTGTCGGTGTAGGGGCCGGAGACGGAGGTTGAACGGCAGACGAAGATCTTGTACTCGTTTCCGGGAGTCGGGCGGTTCTTGTCGAGGCCGCAGCAAGAGCCGGAGCTGAAGAAGGCCCAGAAGGTGCCGCTGCGCTCGTAGATGAAGGCACCCTCGACGGGCTGGGGCGCGGTGGTGTTGAGGACGATGTTGACGGGGCTGCCGGCGGCCTTGGTGGCGGCCGAGTTCATGGGGACCTGGAAGATGTCGGCCCAGAAGGAGCCGAAATTGAGGAAGTAGTTGCTGCCGGACTTTACGAGGTTCGCGTCGATGGCGTTGTACTTGCTGCCAGCTTTGGAGGCGACGCCCGTGGCGCCGTGGTCGGTCCAGGTGCCTTGCTCCATGGTGGGCGAGGTGGCATAGCCGATGGCCGAGTTCTGGACGCCGAAGGAGGAGACGGTGTAGTACAGGATGTACTGGTCGCCGACCTTGTTCACATCAGGGGCCTAGAGATGAATCTAATGAGCATGTGCTATAGGGTCAGATGTTTTTGTGGTTGTCGTATTGACGATGAGATGCTCGAACACGTTCATCCGAATGTGATAGAAGATGAAACAGGACGCACCCAGAGATCGTCGTTGCCCTTGAGGTTGATCTTGCTACCCGACGGGAGAGCAGCGCCCTGGTAGGTCCACGGCCCAACCAGATCGGGAGCCTTCCAGATACCGATCTTGCTGCCGGTTTCGAAACGGAAGTAGGTGCCGTCATCGCGACGGACGACGGAAGGGTCGTGAGACCAGCACTGGCCGGAGCAAGCACCGGGGTTGCCGTAGCCCTGAACGGTGGCACTCAGCAGCGCGGCTGCGAGCGAGAAGATGGAACCGAAACGCATGTCGACGAAGAAGAAACACTGACCGAACGAAGAGGGGTGGTGGTTGGATAGAAAGAGTGGCTGGTGAGAGGAGGGGAGGGGAAGGGTCGTGTCACAGTGAAGGGAACATCACGATACATATAACAGCAGCTGATGGGATGAGAAACAGGGGCGCGACGCCTAACGGTGTTGCTGGAAGCAGCCGAGATCTCGTCAACCAAACTCCATCACGGAGACAAGGTTACCAGGTTGTCGAAGGGAGGACAGGAACACCTTCGCACGTCAATACACCGCACGCCCCTATTGGCGGAAATTGTCCACGATGACTGGGAGAGACCCGGGCTCCGGAGCGGTGATGGGAACACGGCAATATAGATGGAGCAGCCGCTCGCCAAGACTCCATCAATGAGATGAAGGGCCGGCCTTGAGCGTTACAGTGGCCCGATCTTGCATATCTAGACAAGCCTTTCAGTGGGCTGGTTTATAGTGTTAAAATGCTTGACAGGGCAAACAAGCAATGAGGATGAACGAATGTCTGGGCCTGGGCGACAAGGGAAGTCAGGAACTGCCGTGCGTGCCGCCGTATGTGGGGGATGAGAATGACAGGGCTAACATGTTGGGACGGGCGAGCCGGATACGGAAGGGATTGCGAATTCTGGTCGTCCGAATGGTGCGCATGAATAAGAACAAGGGCAGTAGCCGCGATATGTTTGTTGCGCTTTGCCTTTGGAAGCTTGAATTGAGACTCTACGGCTGGGAATTGGAGTCATGAAAGCTGGGGTTGTTGAGTGCCGTCCTGCAGTATGCTATTCTGCATGACCAAGCGCTGCAACATGAGCCATTCCTCCCCATGATTCCCGTTACGTCGTCCCCCCCATGTTGCCCCTCCCATCGGCGACTACTATGCTAGACGGCAACTCATTGCCGGCGCTTGTGCAGTGGCAGACATCACGAGACGTGAGGTGGTATTTGCATGGCATTTTGGCAAGCGTACCTGCGTCTGGGGCAATGAAGATGAAAACAGGTGCTGTCAGCTCGACACACACAACTCAAGCGCTCAAATCAAGACGGAGAACTTTGGAACGGACGAGATGGACGCCAGGTTGTGTTGAAAATCTTCCAAGAACAGTGAGGGGTAGATTGGGCACTTGTCCGTCGCAGTGCCATCGCATCTGGAGCCCACGAGGGGCTGGCCTGAGAAAAAGGCGTTGATTCAGTGGCAAAGTCGGATTTGCTTCTCTCATATTGACGATAGCCGTATTTCATCCCAGCATGTCAAGTTTAAGCTTCATCATGGAATGGTTCGGTGTATATGTGGCACCCGTTGCCCTATATTCGGTTGGTCGTCCGGATCAACAGGATCATCGCGATCAGCGGCGTGCCGGGTGGGCGAGGGAAACAATCCAAAGCTCGCTGATTCATCGTCCACGTTATTCAGTGGAGAAGAGACAACGTGACGGGCAGCGGCAGCAGCCCACCTCACGGACCAGGGAGGGAGTATTTCCCGCGTGTAATATTGAGCGGAAGTGCGGGAGGCAGATTGCTGTTCTGACTCAGGTACGCGGTAGTATATTCTGATGTTTCTAACGCGGCTGGTTCACATCTCTCACCCCAACACATCCGTGGCGTTGAGGAGTAGACAATCCACGAAAGAGGCCTCGAGGGATTCAGATTCCGAAGCCAGGAGGTTCAGGGGTGAGCACCAATGTGGTGAATGCCTGGCGGCGATGGATCATGTCGGTGGCTTGCCGACTTTGGGTTCGTAGCTCGGAGAATCGGGAAAAGAATCGGGGATGGACTAGATGGAGTTGTGGACAAAGTGTGGGCGTCGCATGGGTTTCGGATGAGAAATCTTAAGGCCCACGGAGTTGGATTTCCCTTTCCGCCTGGCGCCAGCGGTATTTCCGCTCGATGATCCGCCGGTGTCGCGAAGCGAGCGGATGCCCTTCTCGCCGCCGTGCGCGAGGCCGGTCTCCTCCCCGTCCAGCCGGACCTTGGCACGCCGTGCCTCCAGCTTGGCCATGACAATCGGATGCCGCTTAGCGAAGAAATGCCCCGGAGTGCGCAGGCAATTGTGGTGTCCACCGGTCGTTTGGGTGGGCTAGACGGACGGACATTCGGCCACTCTTTATGGGTCTATCCCCGAGTGTTCCGGTGCTTCAGGGCTTCGGTCGGGCAGTGAGTTGGTGGTCGCTGCCGGCCCATCGCCGGGCTCGCCTGGACGACGGCGAATCTCTTTCGTCGTCTTGCATGTTTCTCAATCGAGACCTAAATTCGGCGACTGATCGTAAGTTGACTCTGCGGTGAGAGCTACATGTTCGCAACACAAACGACGAGTCTCTGGTATGAATACTGTCGTCGGTACCAACAATACACTGTCGTTCGCGGCGTTGGGCTTCACCATGTTGCGTTTTCCTTGTCAGGATACGAAAACCTGAATTCGAATAAGCTGTAGGCGAGGAAACCTGGCCTGTCGCAGACGTGTGATGCGGAGTGCATGAGCGAGCATGAAAAGGGGATGTGAGAGATGAGAGATTGGCAAGGAGGCTGGGCAGCTGACATTGTTGGTTCCTTCGCTGGTCTGCGGGCGCAACTTGAACAATGATCGACTGAGACTCGAAGCGAAGCGGAGCAATGTTGCGAAACAAAGGAAGAAAGGAAGTTTCCTGGGACATTATGACAGACGCTTGACAGCTGCTAGTCTCGTTGTTTGCTAACAAGGCCCATCTTCAGACGATCATTGGGGCCTTGGCCATGTGGTTGACGGATCGTCCGCGTGGGATGTTCTGGAGAATCCAGGAAATGAGCATGAGCAGCAAAACGTGGTCGGCGGGCGTGGGGCATCGCGTGTGTTCCTCTGCCGAGTCGAGGGCTGGACCGTGTTAGGGGGGAGGGGTGAGCGGGAGCCCGACACTCTGGATCTATTACGTTACGAAAAGTTGTCAAATCGGCCATGGCGTCCTTTGTTTAGTAGCTTATCTTGGGACGGACGACGGTCTTGCCAAGGAAAGCAACCTCATCGAACTTCATCTCTCACCGGCGGCGCGGCAGGAGACAATGCTACCTCCAAACTCTTGGTCCGTATGTGCGGAATGCAACTTGAACCCTTCCGACCGTGTTCTCTTCCCTCGTCTACTGTGTCAGAATTCGTGAAAGCATAGTGAAAGGGTGCTACTGTTGGGGAATCTTTCTGTAAGAAGTGCGGCCTCCCGTTGCGGTCAGTCTTCCTTCAAGGGCTGCCTGGCCTGGACCAATATGGGGTTGAGGCCCAAGCAAGCTGTGATCCTTATTCCTCAGTAATCCTTCGGTCGAGAATGACACCCGAGCCATCGAGAGCGGGCGCCCCAAGTCTGTTCGTCCGTCCGTCCATGCTGCTCTTCGCGGGCCATCAGTTCAACTGAAGCTACAGAAGATGTCACGCAGGCGAGTTCAGTGATGGATGACGCGGGGTGGTTTCCAGGACACCTTGACATGGCATGTGGGGATTATTGAAGCCTCTCAACGATCAGGGTATCAGGTCCAATGGACCGGTGTCGAACGCTGAGGTGAACTTTCAGCAGAATGCTGCCATTTCTTACAACTCAGAGGCCAGTGTTCTCGACGATTCCCGTTTTGGGCCGCAGCTCCGGATCTAGTCGCGGTCCTGTCCGGCCCAAGGTCGACTCCGGGTGCGTCTTGCGAGGTGTCGCCGGCGGCTTCACTCGCGGTGGCGTCCATAAGCGTGCCGCCAGCTCTGGAACGCAGCATCGAAGGATGAAGCCGAAACAAGGAAGACAGGAAGAGCGCGTCTCCAGCCGATAGCCGCGGATCCAAGCACCACCAGGACCAAGGGCCAACAGGTCGCCGGGCCCCGGCGCATATCACAGCAGCAGTAACCAAAAAGATGCATGGATCGAATGCATGCACTGCGCATGGCACGGCAGGGTTTTCAGAATGGCCTCCAAAGGCGATGGGCCGATGCAAGAAACGGCAGCTGCTGGATAGGGGCATTGAAGCGATGCAGTGGGAACGCAACCCAAAGATGACGGCTGTTTGATCGGGCATTATTTGCAAGCAGCCTTGGGCCGTTCAGGAAGTTGGATATGACGGGGAATATAAGGGGCGGACGGGATACACGGCAGGGCTGGACGGCCTGAGTGCTCTTTGGGCAGTAGGCCGCCCGCCGGTGAGGATTCTCAAGTCCAAGAGCTGGACTGCTGGATCGGACCCATGGAGACAGAAGATGACGGTCAAATTCACCTGCATTAGTGCGGCTGCAAGGGGCATCTGGTTTGCTGATAAGGACGCGTGCTCAACGGTTGATGGCGATGGACCTGCTCGGTATGAATAAGAGTCTGAGGCAAGAGGACATGGGAAGACAAAGAGACCATCCGGATAACGAGGGGAGTCGGTTTCGTGTGCTGCCGTTTGCGTCGCTGGCAGACCTCTCTGGATGATTGCCCATTGCGATGTGCAGCAATTGTTGGGTTGTTCGCCTAAACTTCTGGGTCGATGACCGGGGTTTGCAGTTGCATCGTTGGACCCTCGGCGATACAGTCCCTGAGGGATACGACCCAAAGGCTTGGGTTGTAACACGTCGCGGTAGCATTTTACTGTGCGGAGGCAACTCGCGAACAGGAGAATGTTCAATGGAGGCATCGGATAGAAGGAAAATCTTCTTTGGGGGCCGATGTAGTGAGGGGCTCTGAGGCGGGGGTTCTCATTGTTGTAATGGCAATAGTCTGTAGTGTTCGTCGGTATCCGTCAGGGACATGAGATCGATCAACCATGTCTAAGGTTTACGGTGATAATATGGAGTAATTACAGGTCGACAATCGGGGCCCAAGTGAGAAAGTCAAATCGAGAGGAGAAAGCCAAAAGACTGAAGTTCCCCTCATCAATTTGCCAATGTCATATCAATCAATCAATCAAGCGGTACTAAGCATTCAATAAAACATGGTCAGCAAGACGTATCGATCACCATCGAGTTCGAGCCGGGGCTTGGATCCTTTGTCCCCGTGTTCCGCGGTGTAGTGTAAGCTGGGCTTCGCTGCGCTTTCGTTGGAGTTGACCCTTGTTCCCTGGCCGAGGACCCCTAGTTGGCCGAAAGCTGCCGACGGTGCCTATCATCCACCAGACGCGACGACGTGATAACTACCTGGCAGTTGTTTCATGGATGACATGAAATGCAGGTGAGTACACAGCACGAAGTACAGCGCGGATTGGACTGCGGAAGAGACGCTGCTGAGAGTGACTGGACAGGAGGCCATGATTGAAGCTCTTGTCGATGGCGTCCCGTCTCATCAAGACGCGAGACAGGGTATCGGGTGAACCAATGCAATGCAAGAAGCCCGTCCCCTTCCCTCGTCGCCGGGACCCAGGAGTAGGGCAACATTCTTCGGAAACTACCAATTACACGACGTCCGTGGACGGATCAGAGTTCAACTACTGCGCAGACAGGCAGAGACGGGCTGAGGGCTCCGCAAGCCAAGACATGATTGACCGAGAAGAAAGTGGTTGTCTTCCCCAGGAAGAGCATACCTAGTGTGCAGACCGGAGCAGACCGCGGAGAGGCGGGCGGGCGGACGGCGTTGGATGCCCGGTTAAGCATGGCTTGAATGAAGACGGCGTTGGCTTGGTACATTTGTTGATGACGGGGAGCCAGAATGTGATATCTGGAGGGAAGATTATACATATCCCACCACGCCGCGCCCGTCCTCGCCTCTTGCGTTCTTTGATTCTTTGTATGCCTGTTCCTTCTTGCTTCCTGTTTCTTGTCCTTGCTTCTGTTTCTGTTTGTTTCTCCCGCGTGTTTTGGAGACACCCGAGGCCGACGTGGACGCGGACGCAAGACGTAATACGCAATACGCAGTACGCAAAACGCGCGGACTCGTCCAGCTTGTCCGAGACCCAAGGCCGTTTGGCCCCCTCACGAAGCCGGCCGAGAGATAGTCGCACACAGCGGGCGCAATTCAGGCACTCTCAAAGACACTACGGAGTTGAGGGAATCCTACGAAGAAAAAGAAAAACAGCAACTTGGGCCTGACCGGTGCCCCGAACGCAGGCTGCAAACGTCCAACAGCGCGCTGCGTCACCCTCATTCAGCATACATATCAATCGCACACCACCACTCTGACGAAAGAATTGGAATCTCACTCGAGTTCGACCAACCATTCGACTAAAAAGCACTCAAAAAGGTAGAGTCTCATTTCCTCCGATCCCACCTCTCACAAGATACACACGCAATCTCATATTTTCAATTGGTGTTTGTCATATGAGGCGTGAGCTGATGAGGCTTTCAGTTCAACAATAAGGAAAAAAGAAAAGAAAAAGAAAGCCAGTCACCGGCCGCATCCGCCGCAGCGCATCGCAGCGGGCGCAACAGACGAAGCGGGCGGTCATTCAGAGGCACAGCAGCAGCCGATTGGCCACGGAAGAAAGCCCCGCCATACCTCCACTTTGTCGACCCTTGGCAACTTTCATTGGCTCAATCATCTCTTTTTTTCTCTTCTTTTTGGTCTTATCGGAAGACTCCAATTGCCCGATTGGAATACGTACCCGCTCGCTTAATTTCCAGGCGTCGGTACGTACTGTTTCCGCCAAAGGGACCTTATCGGGCTTATCTTATCTGTCCGCCAAGGAAGACCGTCCCCGACAAGCCGCGCTGCCGCCGCCGCCGCCGCCGCCGCTTCATCGCCATTGTTTCTGTCTTGGCTGTCCGTCATATTCGGATTCTTCAACCTGTGGCGGTCCTGCTCACGGCTTGACGCAGACACCCGGGCCACAGTCGCCCGTGTCGTTGGTTCTGCGTGAGGGCTCCCTGTGCTCCCGCCATCATCATGTCCGGTCGAAGTGCCTACGTGCGCAAGAAGATCACCCAGCCAGAGAAGGACAAGGCGAGGGCAAGGACAAACACGGGCCCCGTCGGAGACCATGACGAGGTTCAGATACCCGACTTCCCCCTGCCGCAAACGGGCGGCACACTACCCGTTGGGACCGGCATTGGCACCACCAACGCCCGCTTCCTGAAGTTCTCGGAGCCGCCCCGCGATAGCAAGATCAGCACGCCCAGTATCGGCAGCGGGAGTGGGAGCAGCGCCGATGGTCGTCGGGATGGGACTGTCGGGCCATTAGACGACTTCGCGTACGCTCGGGCTCGGAGGCCCACTATCAAGACGGAGGATGTGTCCGGCATCGAGAAGTCTGGCCTACGCAGCAGGCTCGACAAGAGGAGCGACGACGTCAGGAGAGGCTTGGCCAAGACCTTCACCTTCAAGCGTAAGGACAAGGAGCCCGAGTTCCGACCAGAGTCGGTGGCTACCGTGAGGCCGAATCAGTACCACTCGGCTCCCATGTCGCCCACTGAGCCCGAATACACGTATGAGCAGTTCAATATCGACACAATGCAGCAGATGCAGATGCAAATGCAGATGCAGCAGCAACAGCAGCAGCAGCAGCAACAACAACAACAACAACAACAACAACATCATCACCAGCAGCAGATGCGTTACCAGGAGATGGACCTGCCCATGTCACCACCTCCGGCCGCGAAACTTCCTCCGGTACCCACGACGCCTCCCATCAAGCGATGGATCGGCGCTGGTAGACCAATTCAAAGGTGGAATAAGCTTCGGAAGGATCCCGAACTATGGGATCCCAATGGAGATGTCCTTGTCTTCTTCGGTCACAAGGGCCAGAATCCACGGCCTAATCCGTCCTTCAGGTTATCGTCGCATATTATCGAGGCAACCGAATCGAGGTATCTCATCACCCTGCTCCGCGAAGGCACCACGGAAGAGGATATCTACATGCCACCATCGCCACAGGGTGCGCCGCCAATGCTACGGCCACACATGGGTCGGGGTCAACCGACGCCGCCCATCTCCGAAGACCTTGGAGAAGCCGACGGCCAGATCTCGTACGAGATGTACTTCCCCACACCAGCCAACATGACCAAGCTTGAACAACTCCGGGGCCAGATCACGACGAGAAATGTTTTCGCCCTTCTTTACCACGCATCGCTCGTCGGTCTGTCGTTACATCAAGCCCTGGCGGACCTTCACATGCGGCTGGACGCGTACATGCCTCCGGACTCGGATAATGTCGGCATGATTCTCAACTTCCTGTCCGCTCGTGGCATCGATGACGTCCGCAACGACCCCGAGACGGCAGTGAGCTTGCTGGCATGGTCCGAAGGACAAGCTGTGCGGTGGGAGGAGGGTTGGCGGGAGAGCTTCTTGCACTGCGCCGGCATGTACAGCCAGCTGGAACAGTGTGCCGACTTCAAGGAGCTCACGCCCATCACCAGGGCGCTTCTGGAGCGTGCCTGCCTCGAGACGCAACTTCGTATCCAAGCCGCCGAAGAGCGCCTAGCTGAGTTCCAGTATGGCGACATGTGGCCGGCCGGTGTGACTGGTCCGGCCAAAGCTGCGGCCGACCGTCTGCAGAAGTTCCTTCTGAACCACTACTCGCAAACTCACGGATGCTGGCCGCCGGCGCCGACTTCTGGCCTGCCGGACTCGGACGGAGAAGACATGTGGCTCACGAGGAGCGTGGCGCAGTCCATCCAGAAGGACTTTGGTGCCCTCTACGACTACCTCGTCAACCGAGACATTGTCTGGGACATGTCGGAGGCGCGTTCGGGTCGCAAGTGGATGATGCAGAGCGAGAAGGACAAGGGATTTGACGCCGACATTGACATTCCCATGACGGACATGCTCGTCGAATACGACAACAAGCTGCGCTTTCCGCACATTCCTCATCCATATCCCCTGGTTCCCGAGTCCATCATACCGGCGCCGAGTCCGAAGGAGACGGGCATGTTCAAAAAGAAGAACGGGGCGGCAAGTCACAACGGGCGAGGCGGCGCCCTGGAGAGACGAGTGCAGCTGGCGTACACCGAGGCCACCAATATATACATTCTGGGATCGGACTTCACGCAGTCCGACCTCATCGACTCGTTCGTAAAGTTTGAGAAGAGCGACAGCATCACCGAGGTCGACCCGGCAGTGGCCAGGCGAGGGCGGTGGGTCCTGATCTACGGCATCCTCCAGACTCTCGCCAGCGTCTCCGTCGACGCGCCGAACGTACGGTATCGGGATGACGTCCCGTATCACCTGTCTCCTCGTCTCAAGGGGACCAGAGTACCGCCGTGGAAGGGATCAGGGATGCCGAACGAAGCGTCGCATGAGCTGTCACATTGCTGGGTGGTCCAAAACACCTGGAACAACCAAAACAGCAGCGGTGCCGAGAGCTCTGGCGGCTCGGGGAACACCAGCCCCGTCCAGGGTGTCGGGCGACCGTTCGCGTACTCGCGAGCCCCACCGTCCACGACGTCGCGGGGCTCCGGGTACCAGACTCCGGCGGCCCGGTCCGTTCACTCGGCAGGGTCGGCACCACACTTCAGCTCTGCGTACAGCGTCGTCAGCGAGAGCGATACGAACAGCAGCGTTCGCACGCCCGCCTCAAGCAGAGCCGGGGCCAACATGCGGAGGGCCCAGTCCAGGGACAACGTCAAGACTCTCGGCAGCGGGGCCGGCAGCCTGCGCAGCGCCACGACGTTCGGCGTGGACCGTGCCGAGAACACGGAGCTGCCGGTGCGCCGACGGGACTACGGTTCCCAGAACGACAGCGGCAGTGCTTATGGCGGGTACGCGCGGTCCAACACGTCGAGCCATGCGCAACTGCCCCTGTCGGGTAGCATTACGGGGTCGGGGGGATTCCTTGTGCTCGACGACGTGGTGGACTCGAGGAGCTCGCGGAGCGGGCGCAGCCGGCAGGTGCGGGAGGGGTCGGAGACGGACAGCACGACGCCGCGAATCCGGGACTTTGACTTGGACGTGATTGACGACCACGAGCCGTGAGATGAGCGGGATGAACTGTGGACGACATGATGGGATGACAGAACCATGTCTACAGGTACGGACGGGTATGGAAGAGAGGGGGTGCTTGGACGAACGTGGCATGAGATATGAGACGGACATGGGGTTCGTCCATCCATTGCCATTTACCTTGGTGTACCCTACGAGGACCATGTCACGATAGACATAAAACTGGACATAGCTATTTTATTAGAGTGATACCCGCAGGTGTTTTGCGACATTGTAAGGTGTGATATTGATGTCTTACGGATGGTTACTTAGTGACATGGTAAATTTGGGTACGTTGGATGATGTCGTTGGCTCCGAAGTGAATAGTTTCACGGTGTCGGGTGCGCGAGAGTCCAAGGGAATGGAAGGCCGGGCTCCGTTCTCTACTTCGTACGTCCACGCGGCGGGGACTGCTGTTGGGCCGTAAGAATGGGCCGAAGCCGGCGGTATGGAGCCATTGCCAGCGGTCGAGTCGAGTCCACGTCGAGTCCACGGCGGAGGCGTGGAGCGCTGGTGGGACACTGGAACGACCGGGAGTAAGCAGACACCTGTGACTGCCCGGAGCGAGGACCCTGGACTCAGCCCAGCCACCTCACTTCATCCACATGCGGGTGGCCCGCGGCGTCTCCATTTCTCGTTTTTCGGTTGCACCAGCGGTGAAAAAGCATTTCAGCCAGACCAAGAGTGACCAGATTGATGTGGAAATGGCATCGTGACCCAGCCTCGCAGTTTCTGGGTGTTTCCTTCCTACCTTAGGTACTCCATAAGGCAGGTGTGCAGTTGTTTTTTCGGAAGGGAAAGTGGAAGGGCTGTTGTCCAATTCCATTGGTCGTGTTCTCGATGGGACCCATAATTGACTGCTGTGTTGTCGCTGCTGGCCGGGAAACAGTGAAGCACCTGAGGCAGGGTAAGGGCAGTCAGGGCAGTCGCGCTCTGGCTCTGGCTCTGGAAAAGACCCTGAAACGGACGAGGCAGGAATGCCGGTCACCTCAAGCTCCTTCCGTTGTTGACGTGTGCATCGTGGTTCCGTGGTTCTAGACCCATCAACGGCGGTCGGCAAAGCACGTATCTTGTGTTTAATTGGAGAGAAAGGGAAAGAAGGTCAGGTCCCGTCGGTGCTCCTCCCCGGATTGACAGGGCCGATGGACAGATGATGAGCGCATCGAGCTCTCGACTCTTGGGAAATGAGAAGCCTCAATCTGTGTGATGACGAAGTCATACTCTGTGCAGAACCTGGAATACAGAGTCGGGTACATGCGACAGGAATAACTGTGGCTGCAGTTTGTGTCTGCAGCGATACCGATGCCGTCCACTCGGAGGAGAAAGGGAAAGAGAGAGCTGGACCGAAAAAGAAGTCGTGACTGCCGATCGCAGACGTCATCTCAGCTGCTTAGCTGTGAGCTGACGCAGGGAACGTCCCTGGCTGCAGCTTCTCTTCGGGGCAAACTGACGTTTGGCGCCGTTCACCGTCCGTGTCATTGTTTGACGGTTGTTTGTAAACTTTTCCTGGCATTAGCCTGTCAAACATTCACTCAGACTCGGACCTGACAGCCGTCAAAGGGCCAGCCCGAGGAACCGCTGCACCGAGCTGCGCCCTCTCACCTCTCACCTCATCAACATTGATCCCCGTCTCATTCATCCGTTGACCTCAACACGACTTCTCTCTCACAGAGCTCACCGCACAAACAACACCCAACTGCCATTCAAAAACATCAGACCGCTTTGCCTTCCTTGCCATTGCAGGAACCACTCAGGGTTGTACCCGTAGGCGTGAGAGGAAGAGAAGGTGAGTGAGTGAGTGAGTGAGTTGTCCCGTCTTCATCAGCCATCGATCCAGCCCTGTCCAACCCAGGAGACGGACAGAAAACTGGGAACCATCCCTGCCACATCTTTTTTTCCATCTTTTCGATGCCACCATCTTCAGGGTCGCATCTTGCAGACCAGACCTTTCAACCCATCCGTAGGGATGGAGACAGCACCAGCACCTTACCTTACGGTAACCGCAGGTAGTGACAATGCGACTCTGTATCTTTTTCGCTTCGCTTCACCATCCATGCCTGTGATCCAGCCCAACCACCTCATTTGACCCCCGATTTCATCCATCGGCATCCTCTCTCTCAGGTACCTTACCTCATTGCCTTGCTTTTCTGCTCAACCTCGATGCGACGCAACCCGTCTTCTATTTGCTGCCATTCCCTGCTCCCATTGCCATGACTTATTCCTACTGACCTGACCCTGACCTCCACGGGGACGCTCGTTCGTACCGATACACACACCTCTCCGTCTCACACACGCCAAACCTGCCGTGTTGACGCACCTCTCTCATCCGTGTACTACTACTTAACACCTCTCACCCCCATCCCAACCACCCTTTCTTCGTCCGAAGCCTCTAGAAAGAGTCTTGCTTCTTAGCTTCCCTTCCCTCGACCTTTTCTCGACCCGGACCGTCTCACTCTACTTGTGTCAGACAGCAACCGCGCAACAGCAACAGCAACAGCACCAGCGCTCATCTCCAACGGCTTTCCCCTCCACGCCCGGCTTGGAGAAGTCGTCGCTCACATCACCCGCGTAGGCGCACTCGAAGGCGCATTTCCCATCGCGTCACATTTTCACGACTCAATCGATCGCGCGCCAGACAGGCACACTCGCCCATCATGCTGTTCGCAATGGCCTTCGCAGGATTGCGGTTCCTGCAGATCGTCACCTTGGTAAGTCACTAGTCACTGACTAGCTCATCACCAAGCTCTCATTCTCGCGATGGCCCTGCTCGCGCCAAAGAGACCAGACACCAGTTCTAACCAGCTTCCTACAGATTCCGACCATGGGCATGCTCGCCTGGTTTGTCGACGGCTTCGTCAAGGCCAATGTCATCGTCCCCAACTTCATCCTCGTCCTCTTCATCGTCTCCGTCCTCGCCCTCGCCTGGGCCATCTTCACCCTCTTCAGCTACCACCGCAGCAGCACAAACGCCCTCTTCGTCGCCGTCATTGACCTGGGCTTCGTCGGCGCATTCATCGCCGCCGTCTGGTACCTGCGCTTCATCCGCCATGTCGACTGCACCGACGTCTTCCGCGACGGCCAGTGGACCGCCAACGTCGGCGGCTTCCTCTCCCTCTCCGGCCTGCGCCTCGGCATCACCACCAACAAACCCTGCGCCATGCTCAAGGCTTCCTGGGTCTTCGGCATCATCAACTGCATCCTTTTCTTCTTCACCGCCGTCCTCGCATGGATGCACGGCGACCACATGTCCTCCAGCTACGAGCGCAAGTCCTACCACCACGGCCGTCACCGCCGCCATCGCAGCCACAGCCACCACAGCCGTCGCAGCTCACACTCCCGCCGCGTTTACGTCTAAGCCGACGACGCGATGCCATGCGACGCGACGCGAGACACGACCACGCACATAGACCGAGTTATGATTCAAGAAAAAAGCGAGATGAAAGAAGATGATACCATGTTATGCCACGATTAAGATGTAGGAGCAAAGTTTTGTTTTGTGTTTTCATGTGGGAGGATCTCTGTTGCTGCTCTAGCATCAACCGGCGCAAGTACGTGGAGGAATCAATCATGACGACGAACCTAACGGCTTCGATTCAAGTTTACTACTTTCCCTCCCCCGGGTCTTCTTTTTGCTCATTGTCTTAATAATCTCCGGCGACGCATCGTTCTGGCTGGACCGATCGAGTGTCCTCTCATGTACACAGAATGAAACCCCGATCAGACAATGGGAAAAAAAAAACTGGACATGAAGAAGTATTTGGTATCGTGCGGCCCCCGAGTGACCTAAATATGAACTTTTGATAATCCGAACCCTGAAATCTACGACTTGGCGGCATCCTCACCGACCGTGTACCCACGCGCAACACCACTCCGGCCCTCCTCGACGAGGGTACTGGCCTCTTCGTCGTAGTCGGTTCCGAGACCCTGCCACGTCCTCTGCGACCGTAGATACTCGGCGCCGGGACTTAGTACGCCGTTGATCGTGGCCACCTCGCCCACTTCCCGCCTCACCAACGCCGACTGCCCTGGCTTCGCCAAGCTCTCCCCGTTGGCCTTGGCCTCGTTCGCCGACCGCACCGGCATCCGCATCGGCCGGCTGCTCACAAGCTTGCCCGTGCGCAGATCGTACTCTGGCGGCGCCGACTCGTCCTCGGACAGCTCCTCCTCTTCCCGCTTGACGGCGTTGTGGTCCAGTTTCTCGATGCCCCCCCACCACTCGATGCCCCAGACCCTCTCGCTCTCGGGCTTCAGAGCGACCTCGAGCTCGAAGGGCGTGATGACGGGCTTGAAGAATCCCGCGTCCTCCTCGACCAACCCGCTCTCCCAGCATCCGACCACGACCCAGCCGTCCACCTCGGCGAAGTTGGCCAGCTTCGCGGCGTTCAACTTGCCCACGACAATCGTGTAGCTCTTCTTGCCAGCCTCGGAGATGCGCCGGCGCAGGAGATCGATGCTAGGCAGGTAGTTGGACACGGAGAGCGTGTTCACCAAGATCCCGACCACGCCGGCCGTCGCCAGCGTCAGCACGCGCGCGAAACGGCGGCGGAGCAGCGCGTTTGTTATCCTTGTCGGATCGTCTGTGGAGAGGTTTTCGGTGGAGAGGACGTGGAGGGAGGCCATGCGCGTCTGCAGAGCCAGAAGCAAGGCCGGGGGCGGGTTCGCGACGTGGAAGAGGGAGTATTCGGCCAGGTCGGCCTCGGGGGTCTCGTCTTCGGAGGCGCCGACGATCTTGCGATTGGGGATCATGCCGGCGGGGTTGTGAACGACTTCGGTCCTCAGGAGGTTTGTGTAGCCTGCGGACTGGAGATTTGTGAAGAGAGGCGGGACGTGGTCTTGGTAGGTCACGTCTGCTACCACCACGACCTTCGTGTCCTTGTCGGGGAACTCCTTCTGGAACGCCACGACCGCTTGCTCGATGTCGAGAGTGTGTCGCGTAAAGACGTAGATGACGGGTGTCCTCGAGGTCGGAGACAGGCACGAGCGGCCGTAGTGCACCACGACCTGGGCGTCGACGTGCTCTGCCGCGATCTCGTCGACGCAGCAGGCGCTGTATGAGGTGTCGGCGAGGATGTAGACCTTGTGAGACTCCGGGGTCCCCAAGGCCTTTGCCAGGGCCTCAGCCACCCATGGTGCGTCGCGCAGCATGGCGTCTGGAAACTGAAGGGCTACTCGCGTCCAGCCTGCCTCCTTGACCTCGCGCGCCGTGCGCTCGATCTCGTAGATTGAGAAGAGGTCATCTTCGCTTCGGGACTGGGACGTCGAGGGGGGAGGCGCCGCGGGGGTCGGGTCTTCGAAGATGTGCTCGGCAGGCGTCGAAAGAACGGGCGGCGCTGCGAGGTCTGTCATGGCCGCCGGGGTTGCTACGGGAAAAAGTTTTCGGTGCGGAGGGTGGTGTGTGAGGAAGCGTCGGATGGCGGGGTTATTGATGGCGGGGTACCTCCATCGGTACCTTAGGAAATTCCAAGGTCAGTGACCGAGCTCACCGGGGTGGCTACCGAGGTGTCCTGATTGGGATTAGAGCCATTTTCTTAACAAATTCGAATCATCAGCGATCGCATTGGTGGTTCTGGCTATGTCTCCACGATGGTTGTCAAATGCGTTAAAACTCATCAATCACATGCTCACTCAACTTTATTATTTCACTTTTGCTTGCCAACGAGATTAATGTGAATAGCGATGTATTACTCGTATACTCTCTCACCCAAACCGTATTACTAGCACCCTCCTGATATCCTCTGCAAACAGAAACATAAAACACTAGGGTCTCTCAAATTCAAAACCGATCCTTCCATTATCAATCAGGTTCCGCCATGATCCATCCGACTCAGGAGAGTCCAGCTTAGTTGGCCTTCATGACACCATCGCGCTCGCCATCGGGGCCGAAGCCGGGCTGAGGGGGAGGAGCGCCGAAGCCGGGTCTGGGAGGCTGGCCGGGGACGGGGAAGGGGGCGGGGAAGGCCGGACCGGCAGGAGGAGGGGGAGGGCGTCTGTCGCCGTCGCGGCCACCCCGGCCACCACCACGGTTGCCGTCACGGTCTCCATCACGATCGCCGTCCCGGCCGCCACGGCCACCTCCGTTGCGGTCGCCGTCGATGTAGCACTCGCGATCGCGGTCTCCGTCGCGGTTGCTGTTGCCGCGATCGTCGAATCGCACGCAGCAGCGATCGCCGTTGCGAGTGCGGCCCTCGATGCCGTTGCGGCAGTCACGATCACGATCGCCGTCGCGGTCGCCGTCGCGGCCTCCTCGGCCTCCACCTCGGTTGCCATCGCGGTCGCCATCGCGGCCGCCGTTGCGATCACCATCGCGGTCGCTGTTGCTGCGGTCGCCCTCGCCAGTCTCGCCGCCCTCGCGGGGCTTGTCGCTCTCCTTCTCGCCCTCCTTCTTGTCCCCGTTCTTATCACCCTTCTTGTCGCCCTTCTTGTCACCCTTCTCCTTCTCCTTCTTATCGCTCTTCTTGTCGCCCTTCTTGTCTCCGTTCTTGTCGCCCTCCTTGTTATCGTCCTTGTCGGCCTTAACCACGGCCGGGACTGCGGGAGGAGCAGCGGCAGGGGCCTGTCGGGCCGCCAGCGCGTTGGACTGCGTCAAGCCGCTGTAAGAGACTTAGCTGATCGGTTCTCATCTGACGAAGATTGTGATTGGATACTGACCTTTGCTCGCCGAAGGGAGCACCGTTGGCACCCATCGTGGCTGCGACCATGATGATGAGAGACTTGCTGAAACGCATTTTGAATGTTGGACTTGAAGGTCAAGTAAAGATATTAAGTGATGATTAGATGATATGAAAGCAAACCTTGAAAGGCGCTGAGTGTGATTGGTAAGAACTGAAGAGGAAGAGAAGATGTTGTTTGAGTGTGATGATGGATTGAGATTGAAAGCAAAGGGGCAGAACATTCATGTTCTTATATATCTTTCCCTCACACTCTTGGCCACCACGATGTTCCTCAGGTTTTCCGGTTTGTTCCATGCTTGCAAGTTGTCCCTACTCTCTGTGAAGGTTGCATATCACATCGCTTCCGTACCTCCATCTCCAACAGTTCGTTTCTCCGAGTGCCAGAGTGAATTCAGCATGAGCAGGACGGTTCCCCACGAAGTCTATCATGCAGTCGGCACCCTCAAAGTGGTAATTGTTGAAGAGGCCGTGGCCAATGGGGCTGGCGCTCGTCTGCGCGGACTACTGACACTGACCGTCATGAGCCACCGCCGCCCACCCACTCCCGAACCCGCCAGTGCAGGTCAACCTAAGAAATCATGGCAGGAAGTGAGACTGAGAGAAATATCGTCATCTGATAGTCTGTCTCTAGAGATATGCTGTCCAAAGCATGGAGAAGAAGCCGCCCTACCCCGGCTGTTAAGCACCTCCGGACCAGGGTGCTCGCTGCTTCCCCTGAAGATTTCCCGAACGCCGCTTGCCTCCAAAAATACCCTAATTGATGCGATAATGATGAGAACTGACATGCTATTCATGCCTGGCGCAGCATATCTCCGACAAGCAGTTCCTGGAATCACCGTATGGGTGCCGAAGCCAGGCGCCGGAGAATTTACTGCGGCTCTTGTCCCTGCGCACGTCTCTATTTTGACTTGCAGATATTCACTTGTCTTACTGTACATTGACAAACCAGTTTGGGTTGCTTACTCACAGGTCAGGTTGATCGAGATCGTAATATCGCTCAGCTATCTATCTTCACTTGGAGATTTCCTGGTGATGACCGAGACGAATAAAGGTGCATTGCTTGCAGTAGCTGTAGACCCCTTAGATTGTTGACCGGGGAGACTGCACCGTCAATATGACGTGTTGTGTGGTAAACCAGACGGTTTCCTTCGCCCATCCCATGCTGTCCTAATCTCGAGTGCTGGCTTGTACTGAAAGAAACCGATTCAGAAGACGAAGTTTCCTGTAGACTGCATCGCGACCCGGAATATGATCCAAGCCAATGTGACACGCAAGCAGTTCAAGTAGAAAGTGAGACGTTTTGAACTGCAAATGTCGAACCGCTCAGTGAAGATAGTTTCATGCATCCTATGTCGACCATTGGAGGTCGTGTGCAGTCTTGACGCCACAGGCTTAAGATTATGTCTAGAAGGAACTGCCAAGCATCCGAACCGGTGGCTAGGCAAGAAATGGGCTCGAAGAGGGTGTAGGTCTTTGGCTTTAGTCAAACTTCTTCAGGTCGACTGCCTACATGTATCATCCATATCAGTCCTGAGACGATTATCATGGTCAATCTGGCACCTTGAATAGAGTTTATCATCAAGAACCCCGAAAACTCCTCCGGCCATCACAGAGGTTTGCGTGGAAGATATGCGAAAGCGGCTATAGGCGGTTCGACTGAAAGTAAGAGTTGATCAAGTGGCGGTATAAGCAACCAACACTTATTGTCCCGAAGGAGCCGGACACGAAACAGCATGTATATCGCAGTTACGCAGGACTTGGATTATCCACATCAACGTTTTCATCCTTCCCTGCGCGTTCTGCAATGAATACGACAGGGATGCACTGCACGCCTTTTTATTTACTCGGCAGGTATGGAGTTTGTTGCTTCTGGTACCGGCAAAATAAGCTTTCCCACCGTTCGAACTTGCCCACGGATGTGATCCCTGCGTATGCTTGATGCAAGCTTACCTCCAAGATCAGATGGAGAAAACAATCTTCGGATCAAACGAAACGAGACCCATCGAGGGTTATCCCGGCCTGCTTCAGCTGCTGGTGTTGGGCGAATCACTTGTTTACCAGTGACATAGCCACGCCGCAACTATTGATCCAGAGACATTGGACTTGGAACTCGTATACCTTGATTTCAGTCGGGCATTTCTGCTAGAATCTGCTGGTCTTGTTTCGTCTCGACGTTAGATTTTCGCTCGTGTCAGATCTTATTGGACATACGATTGGCGCACGTTGAAAAGCCGGGAGTCCAGATGATATTGAGCAAAGCGCATATTCGCTTTGACAATTTGCCTCACTCTACCATCCTTCACCTCAATGCAAGGAACGTTTAATTCCAACTACCGGATGTCCAGCTGGCTTTCGCTCTGTTTCGACTGTTGACTGAGCCGCGGCAACGGCCGTTGTTGGCCGAATACTAGATCAGACTGCTCCCAAGAAGCCGCAGCATGATGCTGTAAAACGACGGCGGAAACGTTGACCAGAGGAAGTTTATCTAGGCCTATGTATCATGAGCTAAATATTGCTCCAGTTCTTATGCACATTGAGTCCACTTAGAAGCATTCAAAAAGAGCAAAACAAAACAGTCAGCTTCAATGCAACAACCCGACTGGCATAATGCCGTTAGTAGTGGATATTCGACGTTCTACACTTGACTGAAACATTCGCTTGCTATTCAGGCTCAAAACTACGGGAACAATGTCAATGACGGCGGAATTCTACTGGATCAAGCTGAGCGCACACTGCCGGCCGACCCGGACAAGCTGGGAGCAGTACATGTACCTTCCAACGAACGATACCATAGAGAGAAATAATGCACGAGTAAAGAATGGTGGAGCATTCATCTATGTCACGACTGTTTCTGGTACTTCTCTGGTATATTCTCTTCCGTCCAGCAGTATGCAATGACCTTGGCGGTCCGGGTGTAACAAAAGCCTAGCACATCAAACCACAGTAACTGACCAGTCTTGACTGCACCTGCATGCTCCTCGAATCCGGTATCAGAAAAACAAACTCTGTTGATTTGGAGATTCGGACTCCTGATCGAGTTGCAGCCACGCTCGGCCAAAGGGCACCCAGTCATCAGGCTGGTAGTTGTCCATCTCATCCGAGTTGCTAGGGGTAACCTCTGCCGCTGGCGAAAGGTCCATGTCGCCAACCTCGACACCTTTTTTCTCATGAATTTTGCGGATGACTGTTCGGCCAGCCTCAAGCATCTTCTCCAGCATCGGAATTCCTGAATCTAGCGCCTCTAGTGCTGCCACAAGATGGACTACTCCCATGTATATTCGAAAATGGTTCACCGAGTCTCCCGCATGCTCCTCCAGTATCTCGGCTGACCTTCTCAGTGCCGTCCAAGCTATTTCTCTGGGACAAGTGTGGGGTAACAGATGCGCATCTGTATCAAAGTCGTTTCTGCGGATCGCTCGAGTGACGTAGATTGCAGCAATGCCAAAGTCTTCTTTGAAAAAGTTGAGGAACCATTCCACTGGGTTGCCAAGGGTCGCAGCTTCACTCAGACTGCCGTGGCAGAGAACCAAGGCGAGTGAGCATTCCATAACAGCGAAGCGCGATGTCTTGTATCCAGTCGATAGCTTAGGGTCCCTCGCAAATGGCTCGTGTAAGATCAGCAGCATTCGACGAACGAATATTTGAAGCATTGCCCTCTGCAGCATGATGCCTTGAAGAGAGAACGCATCAACTCCGTCACCCATTTCAACCTTGTTGAGCCTGTTCAGAATATTGCGCAGCTTTTTATCCGTCTTTTCGACCTCGTCGTAAATAACCTCAGGCTTCACAGAGTTGGCTGTGCTGATAATGGAAGATGCAAGTGGTAAAGCCTCGGATAGCAGATTTTGGAATCCAGCAAGTTCGTCGGCATCACACCCTTTTGCTGAATTCTCCGGAAGGTCTGACATAGAAAACACATCATGATCGTCGGGTCGAATGAGGGGCGGTAAACTCGTGCTCACGGAGGTCGCAAGATCAAGATAGGTAATGGTCGTCCAGATTCTCTGCCTGGTCAATCCCTCAGACTGGGACATTCCAACAAACAGGCTCGGTTGCCTGTGCATTGACATGTTCTCGGCTAGTCTCACGACCAGGCCCATGAGTAATGAGCAGCTTCTAGCGTCGTTGAAGGTAATGAGGTCCATGATCTTCGCGATTGCAGCCATGCAGAGTGTCCTGAGAACCGCGAGGTCGTGGACCATCATAAACTGTGAGCCTTTGAAAGCTGCATCCGCAAGACCGAAGAAGGTGTGGGACAGCTCGACCAAGTCAAGCTGACGCAGAGCCGCCACACCATCAGGAGCGGAATGACAGCTCAATGCGAGCATCATGTATATCTGAGCCAAGAAAGTCCGCTCGACAAATTGAGGAGACTCCCAGAAATCCTTCATGTTCTGATCGAACGATGGTTGATGCCAAAGCGGAAAGAGCTTTTCGTAGGTGCGCATGTAGTTATGGAGCAGCGCTTCGACAATTTCTCGTGCAGGAAGCTGTGAGAGCAAGTACTCTCGCGACTGCAGATCACTCGACGGATCTCCAAAAGGAAAGTTGGTGCTCTGTCTTGGGGAGAAGAGGCTTTTGAGCCCCTTCACTCTCTTTAACATGTAACTGTATTCGGTATCAAGTCCGAAAAAATAGTCGCGGGCTTCCTCGAACTAGAAGGAATTAGTACCAAGAAACTGTAACATTTCATGCTGGAACTGCATGCTTACATCCCATAGTAGTCTCGCCCACGAAGTTGATGTTCCTGTGCGCGCTTTTCCTTCTGCAAACGAAGCAACCACGGGGTAATCTGACCGCGCTGGCTCTCTATTGGGCTTGGCGGCATCTCCGGCTTGCTGGTAGGTACACTTGTCAGCCCTACCGGCCGACGTACATCGGTCACACGGGCGACCCCTGTTGCACTTGATCTTCCGCCCATGGCATGGTAGGCACGACACTACCACTCTCTGTTTCCGGCGGTGGGAGAGTGACTGCCAAGTACTGATTTGGGACTGCATGTTGAGAAGGAAATACGGTGAAGTATCTAACGGCGCGGCGTTCGGTGCTGGACGGCGATAATTGTTTGGTGGACATTTCGCACATATATGGACATCTGGCCGCGCGCACGTTCATTCGGAATTCTAAATGGATCTGCGAGAACCCGTCGAGAACATCCTTGCTTAGACTTGGTAGACCAATCATATAAACGAATCAAGTTGCGACGCGGCTGCATCAGTTCTAGGTCAGTCGGAAAAGGGGTCCGGCGATAAACGGTGATGATATAACTCTATTTGGACAAGCCTGTCCGAGAACGCCGAGGCCGAGCGTTGTGGACCACATCAACGCCGTTCTGCGCCGTTTGTGTGATCATCGCCTTCTTGTGGGCTCATAGAAATCCTAAGAGTATGTTGACAGGTTCGACCATAGCAAGGCAGACTCTATATAAAGTCGATCATAATGTCTTCAACAATGGCGTTCCGAACGCAAGCTGATTCACTGAAAATCTCAAACCGGCTCTTACACAAGTTGTTTTTCAGATTTCTGATCAAAGAAAATTTTACCCCTTTCTTTCTTCTCCATAAGTTCAAGTCTACGTCTCAGTCACCATGCCTCTCAAAGTTGTCATCATTGGATCTGGAATTGCCGGCACAGCTTCAGCTGCGGTTCTTCGACGTGCTGCGGACGTTTCCATTATAGAACGGGGCGATGCATCTCAGGTTGCGGGAGGACAGGGAATCGGCCTCGGCCCGAACGTGATCAAGATTCTCGATTCTCTCGGGTGGGATTCCAAGCGAGTCCAATCGGTTGTTTGTAAAGGGCTGCGGGCATACGATGCGAAAACCGGAGATCTCGTCAAGACTATTCCTGTCGACAACCCTGACCGCTGGGGTGCGAGCTGGATGGTCCAGCTGAGGGCCGATATTAGGAAGGAGTTGATTCGCCTGGCAACTGAAGAAGGTCCCGGAAACACGCCTACGATTCGCTACGAGACGAAAGTGACAGATGTCGACACTGAGAGTGGTACCGTCACCCTAGAGACTGGAGAGCAGATTGCTTCGGATGTCGTTGTGGGTATGTCGTCAGTCTTCTTCATCTCAACTGACAAGGGGCAACACTGACAACGTTGACTCAGTTGCTGCTGGAATTCACACTGAATTGAAGGCAAAGGTTATTGGTAGTGGAGATTTCGGAGTTGTTGCGACAGGTCAGAGTATCTTCAGGTTCCTTGTCTCGGCAGAGAACGCTATGAAGGCTGTCGGCCGTCTCCATGAATGGTGGGATCCGGAGGCTGGGGGCTTCCTTTCCATCATGAGAACTGATGATGGGACCAACCGAGCTCTCATCACTTACCCTTGCCAGAACTTCAAGTACGTGAACTTCAGTTGTGCATTCCCAAATCATTATTTGAAGCACGGAGCACGCGAATCTTGGTTCGACACTGGTGACCTGAGCGAGGTCCTTGAAATCTTCAAAGACTTCCCGCCGCTTTGCAAGCAGTTCATGCAGTAAGTGCATCTCACGAAATCTCAGCGTGAATTGTAACTAATTTCATCCTAGATATGCAGAGGAGATTCGAGTCTGGGAGTTGCGCGACCACGACCCGCTGCCGACTTACGTTCGTGGGCGTGCTGTGCTCGTCGGAGATGCCTCCCATGCTATGGCTCCATTCCAAGGGCAGGGTGCTGCCCAGGCCATCGAAGATGCCGAAGGCCTTGGGCTTCTTCTTGATCCGGGAGTGACTCGAGATGATGTGCCAAGCATTTTGAAACAGTGGGATTCGGCTCGACGACCGAGAGCATCACACGTTCAACTCAACACGCGCTTGGCCAGCCGGGAGCTGAACGAGGTGAACGCGTGGAAGAACATGGAGTTCAACTGGACTTACTCGGGTATCCGCGACGAGATCAAGAGAGGAACCGTCTCTAACAATTGATCAATCGCTCCGCAAGGGTAGAGTTCCCGAGACAGGAGGCAGCGGCGTGTAGACTGATGTAGATTTGACATTTATTCTGCTCAAGTTATCCATGATGAAATTCCTCGCAACTCATCAGTGCCGATCTCTTATTTCTTTGTTTCTGACTCATATTTGCCGGCTTCCGTACTGCCCCTTCCAGGCGATCCATCTCCAGACAATATCCGTGAAGAGCCACTATGTCCATGTAGGCAGAGTACCATAGAAACATCTGCTTTCAATTTTACGGCTTGACCAGCCAGTCGAATTGCAACTTCTCCCCAACAACCCGGCTCGTAGTAGGACGATGCCCGCCATCCGTAAGAGAACTCCGTTGTCATTTTGCAACCAGGACACTGGTTTTGCGCCGACCCGTACGCCTAGTCGAACCGAGGAGGATGACCGTTGGTCTCCGGGCTATCCAATCTTTTCGTTATATTACGCGCCAAGTGGATGAGCTGCCTGAGTTGGAAGTCGGAATCGTTGGTGCCATTGTTGAGCTGTGCTCCAACCACTCCGATAGTCTTGCACATGCTAATGAGCGTTTCTCTTGCCAGCCTCGACGCGGTCTCGGGGGCTGTGTGGCGATAGACACGCCGTTCGTCATCAAAGGACTCTGGCTCTCGAAGGACCGTAAGGATCGAAGGGATGCCTGTGATAGTTGGACTTTGAGGGTCTGTTCCACGGCCGGGGGTGGTCGGACTCTCAGACATCTTGATGTTGATGGGTGGGAGGAGATGTTCTGTGGATGAAGCCAGTTTGGCGGTTGGTGGGACAAGCTAGCAAGAGATTAAATTGCAAGATGGTTGTCCAAAGAAGAGAGAAGAGTAGACCTTGAACCTGATTTGATGTGTTAGGTAGCTCTCAGTGACGTTATCTGCTTGTGGTTCGTGGTAGAGCTGTTTGCTTTGATGTGATGTAAGGATCGCAGCCAAGTCTGGGGAAGGAAGGTGACAGCTTGCTTTAATGTTCTCAACCTCGGGCGGGAGGTATGAAGCCATGAAGAGGAGGTGGCGGGGTACCTGATCACGAGATCATGCACCTTTCTAGGTTTCGCGTCTGTCTCCTCATCAAACATCATCTGATGTCGAACAAGCTGTTTCCGCCTGTAGCCGCCATAGCGAACGGCCGTTACCCTCCGTTTAAGGTTTTGTGCGTTCAACAAGTCACTATATGCCCGTGATCAGAAACTGAAAGACGCAGAATTGAACTATGCGGCATTGCTCATGTGTCAGACTGAAAGCTCGGCCGACGCAGTGTTGCTTTGCAGATTCAGCATCAAGCATTCGGTGGATTAGTGGTATCTTGTGGACAACATATTCGACACAGCCTGTGTGGCTGTTGTTCTTGGCACCGATGTAGCCGGGGCGTGGCAAGCCGAGCCTCCACGATTACGATTGTGTTGCTCGGGGTTCTACTCATTGTCTTGTGCGGACGGACTGCGGGGAAGGCAACGCACATGGAACCATCCCGGCAAACGGGCGCCCAGGGCTGCCGGCATCAGGTGGGGTCAGACCACAGCGCTCGGCCTTCGTTTCTTAATTGGCAAATCCTCAAGCTCTCAAGTTCATGTGTGTCATGACGGCCGCAGTAGGTAAGCATCTCATGTGTCTCAGGCGTGTTCTGGAAGATCGTGTTCCTCCCAGAATGTCTGAGGAGGGTGAGGATGATCCGACTGCTTGCCGTTGAGGTGCGGATTCAGGACCGCAGCTTGCTGTCTCTGGCAGCGTTGGAGTTTGTATGTACCGTGGGATGAGAGCAAAGAATACAGGCCTAAGTGGGTTCTCAGGCTGAGCAAATCAGAATATTGACACATTTGATACAATAGACACATGAGTCTGGCCTTCACGGAGCACAGCTCCAACAACACTAGGCCGATCCAGATCCTTCTCCCCTGACACCACAGCATGAAGATGTCATAGTAGGTCTGCACGAGGATGATACATTGTACCACCCTCGAATAGGAATCGCGCCTGCTAGTGGTTTACATGGGTTGCGTGAGACAAATGCCAATGGTGCCAAGTTTCCACGCATGCCAAGATTTTCAACGTCGCGTTCAATCTCGTCCACGACAAGCCCCCTTTCGCTCTCGGTTGACGTTGGTCATTCCAGCCGTTTTCATCTCATTTTTATCCAACGATAACCTTGCTGATAACCTCGCAAATCGTCGCGACACTTTGTTTGCCACAGGTCAGCCACTATATTCTCCCGCCCAGCATGACGGACATACACGGGCCCCGTTCATCGGCCCCGGCCGGCAACGGCGACACGGAGCACAGCCACGAAACGACCCCGCTCCTCCCAACCACCGCGTTCCGCACCGTCCACCAAAATATCTCGAGCCGGATTGCTCATGAGGGCGAGAGCGGAAGAAGCGGCTTTCACCTACGCCAATTCTTGAGGGTGCTGTGGCGGAGTTCTTGTACCGCGTCTATGCTGGTCAATGTCCTCTGGCCCATCGTGCCCGTAGCAATCGCCCTGAATTGCCTCCCCGGACTTCACCTGTGGAAATTCGCAACAGCCTATGTGGCCGTGGTGCCGACCGCAAACCTCTTAGGTTTCGCAGGGCAGGAGTTTGCTCGGAAGATGCCCAAAGTGGCTGGCATCTTGATCGAAACCACGTTCGGGTCCATCGTCGAAATCATCCTGTTCGTGGTTCTCATCACCAAACACAACGCCGATGGGGGCAATGGTGATGAAGGAAATTTGATCCCCATCATCCAGGCTGCAATCCTCGGAAGTATTCTGACAAACTTGTTGCTTTGCCTCGGGCTCTGCTTCTTCTTCGGCGGAATACGTCACGCCAGCCAAAAGTTCCACGCCATTGTCTCCGAGGTTGGCACCGGGCTTCTGCTAGTTGCCGCATTTGGGCTGCTCATCCCAAGCGCGTTCTACTCCGCCCTCAAGTCTGAGGTCTTGCTCGATATTCCTGGTCTCAAGGTGGCATTCCACGAAAAGTTTACCGAAGGTACTTTGCACGCTGATGTCTTGCGGATCAGCCAGGCCACATCAATTGCCTTGATTGTGGCCTTCTTCCTCTACGTCTGGTACCAAGCGAGCAGCCAGCATAGTATATTTGACGAGGTTATTGAGATGGATGAGCATCGTGATGCTGATCGCGAGGAGGATATGGAGAAACCAAAGTTCACGCTGACAGAGACAGCCCTTGCTCTCACGCTTTCATTGGCATTGGTAACACTGCTGCTCATCTTTCTCGTTCAGGGAATTGAGGATGTCGTTGAGAGTGGCATTCCCGACCAGTTTCTGGGCTTGATCCTACTTCCCTTGGTAGAGAAAGCTGCGGAGCATTTGACCGCCGTCGATGAGGCCTGGGGTAAGTTTCTCGGCTGATGTCAAGTACTTCTAGTCACGAGATTCTAACCTGCTTTCAGACGGAGTCATCAACGTAGCTCTCTATCATTGTCTCGCCCCTTCAATCCAAACCGCCCTCTTCAACGGTCCACTAGTTGTTCTCGTCGGTTGGGCTTTGGGCAAGCCAATGGACCTCAACTTTGAAATTTTCATGATCGGCTTGCTTGTGCTCTCCATTCTTGTGGTGGGTAATTTCCTACGAGATGGTGAATCAAACTGGCTTGAGGGAGCTTTGCTTGTCGTAAGTCATGCGTGGCAGTCCAATAACTCTTGTATCAAGTCTTTCGTTGCAATTGCTAAGAACTCTAGGTTATATATGTGATCATTGCGATTGCATGTTGGTACTATCCCAACCCAGATATTGCAACTTCCAACGGTATCCAAGGGTCGGATCTTGTTAACGTCACCATGAGCGTTGAAATGCTCCGACAAATCCAAGAGCTCTTGACACAGAGCCTGCGTGATTGAAGATCGGCATTCTCGGAAACAGTGAAGATTGAATTTAGATGGCCTTCTAAGTTACCCAATAGCACTCCTTTGTGTCGGATCTCAGCGATGATATCGCTGTCGCGAGCACACATGATAGAGTCCCTATGTACATCCTCGTCAATGGCGTGAGAAAATGCCATTGCAACCTGATTTCAGGACCGCAATTGAGTTTATGTTGCTTCCCATGCACATCTTCAACAACTTCTTCTTTTACGTTGCGTCCATTTGCCTGACCCAGCCGCCGTTCCTGAACCTGGAGACATCTGCTACTCTTCGTCAGCAAAGTATGCACGTAAAGGCTTAAATCAGTCTTACGCCATGTTATTCCTTTAGCAACGGCAGTAAGGAACCTTGGTGCCAGGAGGGAACATGCAGGCATTTGGGCAACTGCCACACTCGGAGGCGAGCTGCCATTTGGCACCGTCACAGACGGCAATCCCAGAGCCGCCCGCAACACAGTCGTAGGCGTTTCCATCACAGCTGGAACCGACGTTGGCGTCGGCAAAGACAGAAGCTGCCATGACGGCGAAAAGGGATGCGATTTGAATGAATTGCATGGTGGGAGAATTGTGAGAGTTGTGAAGATTAGAACAAAGTGTAGATTGGGGATTTGAATTGAATCGAGGAATTTTACATCGATGATGGATGAAAGGCTCACTGTATTTATGTCCGTTTACCTGCCGGGCTGTTGAATATCCGGCAGGGAGACTGTCCAGGCTGACCTGAACTATAAGTTACGATCTGCCATACAGGTCAATGTGGAGGTATTAGAGGCTGTGATAAACCAAAGGATAAGCGACTCAGGCAGGCGGCTTGGCCATCAGGGGCACCGATTTCCGACCCGAGGCTCCTCTATGCAGATATTGAAAAATTAATTTCCCACGGTTTCCATGTTTCTTAATGTGATTTTGATCACACGACTTGCAGTAGCTTTCAACTTGCATGTAACCGAACCTCTGCGGCCCTCTCGTCAAGCAATAATGGCTGCAAGTAGCTTTCGTGGTTATAAGAATAAGACCAGAACCACCTTTCAAAAGAGGGCGGTGAGTCAGGGGAAGCGGAATACGACTTGATCGACCAGACCCTCTTGGAGTGCCCAAGAAAGGTTGTCTCAATGTTGATCACCCGGGTATGTTCTCCAGCAACTCGAGCCCACGAGCCAGTGCTCGCAGTGCCACCACTACGAAAAACAAATGGAGAAGGGAAGAGCCATGACCTCAACTTCCGCTGCCGCGCAATCTCGGCTGGACTCGCCTTCCGCACATCCAGCCGCCAGTTGCCATCCAACGGGACTGAAGCAGTGAAGTCCAAAAAGAAAACTTAGCAAATTCAGCGGTGAAGAGACTCTGAACAAGAGAAACAATCAAACGCTTGTAACGCAACGTCTCATGAAGAAGGGTCCGGAAATCCATTTCCAGAGTCGATAGCCACACTGCCCAAGTACATGTCATGAAGAAACGCCCAACTCCACTCGTCGCCGCCATCCCAGAGCCCAGGGTCAGCGCCCGTGACATGAGAAGGAGCAGATGATAATGGGGGAGACTGCATATGCCCGCCTGTCTCAACAAATCTCTCGTTACGCGGAGGCAATTCGTTCCGGGTTCCTGCGGAGCCGATAGGGTCGTTGGGCCCAAAAGATGTCCACGCTTCCCGAGGTGGCGTTCGAATTCGCGTGTTCAGATCCTCGCATCTGCTGTCTCGATGACTACTTTGCATCCTCGAGTCCGTGTTCTCATTTCCACTCCCAACTGGCGGGATGTGCTCCGGGTTGTCGTCTTCTTTGATGATGGAGCTGTTGCTCACCATTCTGTCCGATTTGAGGACCCACTCCTCAAGACCCCCAGTGTCGCCGCCCATACGTACACCCAGCTTTTCCCCGGTTAGCTGAGATATCATGCGATTTCTCAAGTTACGGTGGTAGTCCTGAACCATGGAATGAAAGTACTGGTCCACCTCGTTGTATCTCGAGACAAAAGCCGATGCTACACCCGAGTATTTGGCAAGCTCTGACAGGGCGTCAAACATTAGTCTCGTTGGACCCGAGACTGCATCTATGGATCGCGCTTCAGTGGAATGTTCCTGCTCGCCGTGCCGACTTGCCAAATAGCCTTCGGTATCCATTTGTGGAAAATACCACGCATATATTCCGGTGAACGAAGCAGTATAGATGACGAAAGCGACAAGCGGGGAGTGTGGGAGTTTGTCTTGAGAGAGCTCGATTATATCAGACACCGTTTTGCTTGATTTGAAAAGCTCGCGGGCGCTTTCTATCCAAAATCCATCGGGCACGTCTTCTGATGGAAACGTGGGCTCATCTAACGGACCATCCGGTCTCGAGCACTTGATGGGAATGAAGGGGAGGTATTGTCGATGTAGCATTATCTTGCAAAGAGCCATCAGCAGATGCAGTAGGATGTAAGTGTTGGATGTCCCTTCGTGGCGAAAGTAGTTCGAGGGGCTGAAGTTGAGAAATACGCCGGACACCTCAAGGTCACTGCTGAAGGAGTCGATATCTTGGCGAAGCCGGAAGAACATCGATTCGCGATCCCAAGGAGGTCGTCGTTTGTCCAGAAATCTTCCCCCTGCGTTGGTGTAATGTGATATTCGGCCCCAGAGATTAACTAGATGCACAAAATGGCCAAGTATGCTGATTTTTCGATGCGGTGCCGATAGGGTATCATCTGTAAAGAAAGCAGTGGTGACCTGACGGCTGAGATCGAAGTTCTCCTTGGAGCAGGGGAGATGAATCTGAAGATCTTCCGAGCGGATGAGCGAGGGGCGTTCTTTTCCGCAGGAGATTAGTCGATCGAAAATGAAACAGCTGTACATCGTTCGTCGCCTGATCTCGTGATTGATGATGAACTCTTCCGAAGCCGCGCCGATTCGATGAGCGGAACTGCCAGAACTGCTGTTCTTGGTTTCGTGTCCAAGTTTGAGCGCCTGAGCCATGCGACCTGCGGCACCAACCAACATCCAGGCTCGAAGACCTTCATGGTTTAGCGAAATCCATTCGTAGAGGCCGAGGATCAACAAGGCCTGCACTCGCTCAACTGATCCGATAGAGGTTGCTGACACAAACGAGCCCAATGATTTGTCCAAAGCTCTGGCGAAAACTTCGGGTACGTCTCCAGAGCAGATGTTTGAGTCAATGGACAAGTCTTCGGGGGTAGACTTGACGTCGTTCAGAAGCTCAGGGTGGTACCTCGCCGTCAGAGCTAGAAGGCCGAGAAGGACAAGTTGTGCATCAAATGCCACCGGCTTTTGACGGGCAGTCAGGTCGTATATCCTGTTCTTGAGAGTTGGTGTATGTAAGAAGGGCAGCTCTGTGGCGAAGTGACGTTGATATGTGGCCAGTATTTTGTCCCATAATGACCTGCTGATGCGTTGAAGGACGAAGATATCTCCGGAGCTGCTAGTGTCGCCAGTCTGCGTGTGAGTCGCTCGTCTCCTTGGCCTCTTGTGCCTAGCTGGAGATGATGCTAACGTGTCGTATGAGTCGTGAACAGAAGATGGACGATCGGACTCCTTTATTGAAACAGCAGTAGGCAGCGGCCAAACGCATTTGTTGCCGGTCTTGATACAGTTCTCACAGGGTGCATCCAGTCGGCCGGTGTTGTCGCACTTTGTCTTGGATCTCCTGCACCTAGCGCACGCAATGCTGGATCGTATCCGCGGTGCGCGCACCATCTTAGTGCTTGGCGCAGCGAATCGATTGAGCGCGGGGAACAGTGCAAGAAGGATAGAATAATACTGAGCTCACGTACAATGAAGAACACGTACAATGAAGCACAGGAGAAGAAGAACAAGTTGAAGTGACGGCCCGAGGGTGGCAGCGAAGAGGGGTAAGAAATCTGGCGCTGGCCCCCACAGACTCATTACTAAGATAAGCACGTCTTATCAAAAGGTAGTAGCCATGAGATCGAACGAGCCTTATCGCGACAATGTAACCTTGGATTAAAGAGACGACGATACAAAAACCTCGGAGAAAAGAGGCCGCTGGGAGATTATCCAGTGGTTGCAGACTTTCTGAGGATGCTCGGACTCCAAGATGGGCTTCATTGTGAATATATTGACTAGCGGCTCGGAAATAGAGTGGGAGAGCTCCTTCGTCAACAATGGGAACAAGAAACATGACATTCATTCACTGAGCCCCATCGACGAACCTGGTCAAGGGTGCCTCGTGGCCGAGAGGAAAGTTAGGGATGCAATGACTCGGCAGGCAATCTGGCACTAAAAAATCATCTCTTCAGAAGTCCGATGTCGCCCCTTTTTGTGTGTTTTTGGTCGTCGGCTGGCAATCGACCTCATTAATCAGTAGCTGCGACAAACGATGTTGCAGGCGGAAAGACGGCCTGACGTGATTGAGAAATTCGAACGCGAAAGAACCAAGGCACAGCGGTAGGTACAAGCTGGTGTCAGTCATCTCCACTCTTTTCTCCAAATCTCTCGGCCGTAAAATTCGCTATTGGTCAGAAAAAGATAGCGAGTGGAGAAATCCCCTCACTCTATGTACTCACAGCTGCAGTGTAGTTCGCTTGCTGGAATGTCACTGATGAGCCTGCAAACTTTTCCCCCTTTATTTCATTGTTATTTTTCAAGTCAGTGAGAAGAAGACACAGCAAGAGAGGGAGAGATTCAATGGATTTGTTTGATTTGAAGGAGAAACGCTGCGTGATATTGTTCGGCCCTGATATTGCCTTCGCAATGATATCCGTCTGGCCCCCGTGCCCATCAGTGAAGCCATTTAGCATGCATGCCCCTATCGGCCCCTCGTTGGATTCAAAACCGGTCATTCGGTGCATTTCAGGCCCGCAAGCAGCAGTTTCAATCAGAAGAACGTGATAAGACTCGGCCAATGCGCCTGAAAAGGCCCCCCTGTGTCGAAATCTCAGTATCCCGTGGCGACAACAACAATATGCGACCACCGTCACCATCGTCGTCGAGGCCATCGAATGGGCGACGTGCCCGCATTCCGGCCCATTGACGCCCGTATCTTTGCTCGTATGGATTAGGACTGCTAAAGTCTTCGTCGTCGTCTCCAGAATTCTCGCGACTGCCGCCAGGGTACTTGATCGAAGCCATCATCTTCTAGACAACGAACACCGGCGTGGAGATCCAGGTGGCGAGCTGAGTCGCGGCGATTGCCATCGAAGTTCCGCACCCCGGCTTCGGCAAACCCTTTGGAGTGTGAGCGTCATCGTTGTTCGGAGGGATGTGGATGATCCTGCGAAAAGCAGTTAGTGAGTGGGAGTTCAGATAAGGAGCGTTCTTGCGATGGGAAAAATTGCAAATCTCGACTCACTTGAGATGAGGCGGCACCGTTATTCCAGTCATGGGTGGACCGACCATGAACTCATCATCATCACTGTAGTCGCCATCAAGCGACCGGTACCGAGGACGCTGGCTGCTGCTGTGAGAGCTCATCGCGGCGTGAGCGTGGGCAGTTCAAGTGGTGGGGGTTGACGAGATTATTGGAGTTGGGAGTTTGGAGAATAGTGATAAGATGAGAATTCAGGCAGGAGCCACTGTTTCGATTACCAAGAGAGCCTGCCTCTTTTGGTGCGCTATTTAAGGAAAGAGCTTCTTGTGATGTTGGATGTCTCATTACAAAGAAAGCTTGAGGATGTTCGTTGTCTGCCTTGAGGCGGAAGTGATGTTACCACACCAACAATAAAAGCCCAATTACTCATGCCTTAACCTGATGTGCAAGGTGATTCGACAGATTGTGTCATTTGAAGACTTTGATTGCATGCTGTTTTGCTTTAAGAATGAAGTCCAAGGTGTAATTTATTGTCTATTGATATGGCTGGGGAAAAGACCTAGGAACCAACGAATACAGCGACGGTGCTTGTAACGGCAAACTTTCAATGGGCCAGATTGGTGTACTTTCGAGCTGATGAATGTCGCAAGCAAAAAAATCAAGCTATAAGAATCATATATCCAAAGCGTGGTATTGATTCAATATCATGTTGTCTTCCTCTATTAGATGGCTGTCTCAAAGTGATTCATCTGGCCACTTGTAGTCAGGCCAAGGATATTTCGGGTTCCACTTGTGTTGTAGAACGACACTTCCCTGCGGAAATGTTTTCTTCGTTCCATCAGGGAGTTCGATCGGTCGGGCGGCTGAAGGAATTGTCCACTCAGCGACAACTCCGTGCTCCTCTGCCACCTGCTTGTAGAGTTTTGCAACCTTATCAGGACGCGGACGAAAGTTGTCCAGTAGGTCCGGGTCCGTTGATTCCTCAAAGTCGCCGGGCTCAGCTGTAAGCCACAGAGACTGGTGCTTCTGTTGTTCCTTCATATTCAAACCGCCGCAGTTACTGGGAGTCTCTTGTTTGTAATCCATCGCAAGGGGCATTTCGACCCCGCAATTGCCCAAGTCCTCCATTATGTCGATGTTGGCAATGTCGTAGTTTATCCAGGTGAGCGGTAGGCAATCGGTCTTGATGAGGATTTTGAGAAGAACGTCGGTGCTCTCAACTTCTCCATCTTCAACCTGATCTTCAGTGGCGAAAGTATCGATGAACCAGATTGCTTCATCATCTACTGCGCAATCGTCAATGACAACGAAGCCCTCTTTCCGACCTGCGACATCTTCGGCGTGGCGGATATCGGCGTGCGACTTATTGTGATACAAGGGCTCGTCTTTGATGACCATTTCAAGAATTGGACAGAATCTTGAGCATGCGCCAAGCTCAAAAGCTTTCTTGACCGTCGCTAAGTCCTCTGGGGAGAGGCTCGTGGTCAAATACGCCGTAATCTTCGGGACGTTTGTGTTCGGGGGTATGTAAACCATGGCGACGAAAGTGTTCTGTGTTGAGCTTACTATTGCTATATCAGGGATGGGGATGTTGAAGGATTTTATATCTCTCCTCATGCGACCGGAATGAGCGAAGGATCGAAAGGATTCAGGGGCAATGGGCTAGTAGTGAACACGAGCTTAGTCTTCCCGGTTGCACGAATGTGACGTCACAAAGGCGGGAGAATTTCTTCTTGAATTTTGAAAATGGCGGGTGTTTCATCCAAGAGATTAAAGTTCGGTAAAGTCAAAGCCCAGTTAAGGTGGAAGAACGTCGAGGTATGTCTCGATACAGCATCTGAATGTCAAATGCGTACTCGTTGGGTATGGCGAGATGTCGAATAGAGCGAAAGGAAAATGAAGTTTGACTGCATTGTATTGCGCGGCGTCGTATTGCAACTGCTAACACGACATTTGAGCGGTTGATCTATCCACTACTGCGTTGGCCTCGATTCTCCAACGCCTCAGGGGAAGACAGAAGAGATGACAATCACAACGCCTGCTTGTGGACTCATTGTAACTACTTGAATCATGTGAAATCGGAAAATTGGCATAGAGAAAGAAATCTCGTGCGTCGTGGGCGTGTTTATCGACGATTCTGGACACCAAACGTCTCTTTCAAGTTATTATTCTGTTGACATTCAACTTTTTCAATTATACAGAAGTAACTCATACGTAGCTCAACTCTACTCAAAGGCTTCAAAGTCCGAGTTGATGGATTCGCAAATCAAGCTCACCATGCGCTCCTCCTCTGCTTCTTTGACGCCAAGCGCCCCCGTTGGCCAAGTCACCGTGTACACCAAAGCACCATGCTTGACAGAGGATATGTTGAAGCATATTGGCGCGCTCGAAACGTGTCCAGGTTGAGAGAACACGAAGTGGCTGATACGTGCTTTGCCGGTATTTCCAATCTCCTCGTCTTCAAAGGCACCAATATTGCTCACTTCATGCGAGCAGTCTCGGCGTTGGCCCAGCTTGGACATCAGCCAGCTCCTGATGCTGGGAACGTATCTGAGTAGTCCGATTGGCTGATCCTTCAAAGACACCGCAGTTTCGGCAAACTGCTTCGTGCTTGAGCTTGCGGCAAACCATTCTTCATCGGAAAGTGGGCCAGAAGAACAGCGTTTTGGGTGGACAAGATATCTAGCTGAAACAAACTCGCCCATCTCGTAAGTAGGTGCTCCAACGGACTTGCGCATGTTGACTGCCGTTTGAGAAACGAAATTGGTGATATGAGACCCTCCGAAGGCTTTGCTCATCCCTCGCGCAATGAGCTGGTGGAGCAAGCCAGTCAACTTCGCGTCGTGCTTCTTCGCTTCTTGGAGTGCTGCGTTGACCAGAGGAGCTTTGATGGTTTGCAGCAAAACTTTAGTGCGAGTCTTCTCTACGTCGAAAAATGCAAAAAATCCAGTCCAGGTGCCATCGTCCAGGTTGACAGCCTGTGCTTTGACTCCTAGCCAATTCGCCATGAACGTAGGAAGCAGAACTGCAATCAAAGGGCCAAGAAGAAATGACCACGAAATCGGAAGGCGTTCCGGAGTATCGAATGGCATTCCAAGGGGTTGCCGAGGTGGCGTGATGACTGAGGGGGCTGCGGATGTCGTTCCAAGGTTGGTTCTAATCGCTTTGAGCAGTGATCGATGGAATGAAGTTCCTGTAGGACCATCTCCGAGCGCATGTGACCAAGCAAAAGCGATGAACTTTTCCGTTCTGGAAAGGTGCAAGACAATAACTCTCCAAGGGGGTCCCGAGTGATCGAAAGGTCGATCCAGGTTGGCCCTCTGAAGTTCCTCAATCGCCCTCCATCTCTCAGAGTCACTGGCATGACGCGCTTCGAGAACTTCGACATGCTTTTCGAGGTTGATCTTGGCTGCCCGCTCGTAGAATGATTTTTCGCTGTGTCTGTCGCCAACTTTCACGCTCAAGAAGGGGTGCTGTTCGATACAGTGCGTCAAAGGTCCAAATAAGGATTGTGGCGAGTCAATGGTAAGCCCATTCTCAAGTTGATAGATGGCGCCGATGATGACGGCGTGATAGAAGCCGAGATCCTCTCGACTGATTGTTCGCTGCTCATTGGGGCCTTCGTGGTTGTTAGCCTACACAAAACGCGCCCATAACGCCCTTGGAGCATACAGATGAGGGCATACTTACTCGCGTACCTCAAAAACTCATCGGTGTCATTCATCATGAAACGTCTACAGTGTCCAGGTATGAGGAATGGCAGCAAGCAGAACTTTGATCCGATGGACTGGATCTTTTAACATACTTACAGACAGGACTCTCGGACGAATTCGCCTCGAGGGCGGCCCGACGGGAGGCTGGGGAAGCCGTTTTCCAGAAGAAAAAGAACAAGAATGCTCCACTATTGACCGCTAGGCCCACATTTATGTCTTGAAGGATCACGAGTTTCAGCTGTACAGGCATTCCGAGTTCGAAGCCCAGCAAACGAACATGTGTCCCAACAACAAGAAGATCATCTCTTACTAAGCAGGTTTGTTTTCTTATAGTTGTTAGAGAATCAGAATGTAGCTATAGCACAAATTCAATCACAGTGGGGAAAAACGCAGTTTGATAAGTTTCATATGCAATATAGTAATAGAGTTAAATCAGAAAAAAAGTAGCACTTTACTCTCTTATTTAGGTATAATTACCTCTCCTAGCTACTTACCTTATAGTTACTACTTTTAAGTAGTAAAGTAATACCTAATATAATTTTAAGGTAAGTAGGGATAGAGTAATAAAATAGTATTTATATAAGCGCTAATAGCTAACTTAAGCCTATTTATTAAACCTAAAAACTAGTTATAATAAATAGAGAATTAGGAAATAAGGAGAGATAATATAAGTAGTAAAAATAAAATCCCTAATACCCCTTAGAATTCTCTTTTTATATTCTTCCCCTATATTTATCTTTTATATAGTAAATATAGATAATATTACTTAGTATAATTATAATTATAATTATTAATTTATCTTAATAACTTATTACTCTTATAGTAAATATAGAGAGTATATCTAATAATAAGTTATATACTAAATAAAAGACTACTATACTATATATAGGTTAGATTATATTATACTTTATTTTTCTTATTTAAATTTTTACTATTTAAATACTTAATATTATAGCTATATCTATATATTATATTTTAATATCTATATTACTAAGGCTTATAGTAATATATATCTATCCTTTAGTATTTATAGATAAGTTATTAAATTATAGAAAATAAAAGAATTATTTTCTTATTTTTATTAGATTAATATAATAATTAGTACTTAATATTATAGAAAGATATTAAGAGTTTTATCCTTTCTTTAGATATAGTTTTTAGGAGTTAACCCTTTTTTATTCCTATAATTTAGCTTAAACTTTTTAGTATTAAACTAATAGAAAGTTAACTAGAAGATATCTCTAAAGATAATATTATAGTAAATAGTAGAATAGACCTAAAGGATATAGTATTAATCTTTTTTAGTATTAAACTCTTTAAAGTATATTATTACCTTTTTATAATATTTAGTAATATTAATAATATAGTATAATACCTTAAGGTAAGTAGTATATTTAACTTAAATAGAGATTATTATATTAACCTTTAGATAGGTAAATTATAAGAATACTTATATATAATATTAAATAGTCTTTAGAAATTTATTAAGTCTTTAAGTACTTCTAAAAACTTTAGTATAATATAAATATTATCTTCTTAAAATAAAATAGTTATAATAGCTATTAACTAATAGTAAATAGGAACTTAATCTATAAGGCTAATAAAATTAGGATTAATAATAATATTAAACTTTAAGGCTAAGCTTATAGCTTTAGTTCCTACTACTAGCTATTAAAATCTAAAGCCTAAATCCTAAGATCTAAGTTCTTAAGCTAAATATATCTTAGGATTTAAGTGCTTATAGTATCTAATTATTAATATAAGTATTAAGTCTTAAAATATTTAATAAGATATACTTAAGTCTAGAGACCTATTTACTAAAATAAGTTAGAATCTTAAGATCTATTAAGTAAGGTAAGCCTAAATCCTAAGATCCCTTATATAAGGTATACTTAAATCCTAAGACCTATAAGGCTAAGTATACTATAAATCCTAAGACCTATTTACTAATAGCCCTAAAATCCTAGGACTATATAGGGCTAGTAAATCTAAATCCTAAGATATATTTATATCTTAGGATTAGCGCCTAAACTCTAGTGCTTATTTCTTATAGATATACTAGTCCTAGGATTCTATAGTACTAAAGTCTAGGCTCCCCCTAGGATATATAGCTCCTAAACCCCTACGTTATAAGCGCTACTAAGCTAATATACTAGCGCCTTTATATAGTAGTATCTATAAACCTAAGCTTTATATTATAGCTAGCTAACTAATAATAAGTTTATATTTAAAGTAAGTTAGAGGTTAATAATAGTAAATAGTTTATAGTTATTTTATAGGCCTAATTAAGTAATTATAGGTCTTTAAAGATCTTAATAATTAATTAAGTTTTCAATAAGAGTTTTAAAGTAATTATTATTTAGATATAGTTTAAAGTATTAATAAGAGTAATTATAAAGTAAATTACTAAAGAACTATAGAAGTTTATACTTAAATAAGCTTAAGTTTATTCTATATATAAGTCTTAAATAGTCCTTCTATTAAATGCTATATTTCTCTTATATAGCTTCTATATTCTTAATATATAGCTTTTATCTTTCTTTAATATAAATATTATATCCTAAATATATAGATTTAATCTCTTATCTTATTATTATATAACTTATATTATAATTCTTCTATTTCTTAGGAAACCCTATATATTTCTATAATCCTATATATAAAGATATTATTATAACTACTTAGTATCTTAGTAGGCTATTCTTTATTAGTTATATCTAATAGGTTATAATACTTTAATGTAACGTTATTTAGTATTAGAGAAAGTAGATCTAAAAGGTAGTATAGCTATTAATTAAAGTTTAATCTAGTTGGTAAAAGGTAAGTAGGGAAGGCTTTAATAAGATAAAGTTTAAAATGTTACTTAATTATAATCTATAGTGTCTACTCTACTCTATATATAATTAAAACTAAACTAAAACGTAAAATTATCTACTAGGTTTTTAATACTTTAAATAAATAATTTTAAATAGACTAAAAAATCTTATTCTTAAGACCTAGGCTAATAGTAAGGGCTTATTTTAAACTTACTTATCTTCTCTTTTAATTTCTCTTATAGTCTTAATTTAGTATTACTCTTTAGAATAGCCCTAGTTTATTACCTCTATATACTAGCTCTTAGAGCTTACTAATTCTATAGATATTAATTAGTATTAATTTTAGAAATAATATTAATAGTAGATATATATCTTAGCGCTAAGATATAAGATAAATTCTAGATTAACCTTTAAAGAAGACCTCACTTAATCTTCTAAGGAACTAGAAATTTTTAATATATATTACATCTACTTCTATTTAGACACATTAATATATGCTTTAAGAAATTCTATTAGAAGATAACGGAAGGAAAAGGTATAATCGTTAGGTGTTACGAAAAAAGAGAATAAAAAAGAGATAATAGAAGGTAGGTAGGCGTAAGATCTAAGCTTATCTTATCTTATCATATCTTATCAGACAAAGCACCTCTCTAAGGCACCTCCTTCATTTGTTTGCACCTTTCCACCTTCCTCACGCGTGAACTCACATCCATTCACACAAATCATTTGCACCCTCTCCCACAAACAACAAAAACAACCACCATCTTGGCTGTTTTCCCGTGCGACGCGTACTCCAAGGTATGAGAACCCTCCTGTTCTCTTGATATTGGCGTGCACCAAGCGCTAACCTCTACACTCACTGCTAGATGAACATGCCAACCGACACTGCAGTGTCCGACGCGATGGACATGGCTCGCGATGCTGCTTCTTGCGTCCTTACTGGTAGTCACGGGAGCCCGCTCTGCAGCTGCTGGGGCTCTTCCATGCACTTCTCCTTAGTCGCCTACCGTCAACTCCTCCCTCTCCTTGCCCAAGACTCGACCATTGCCCTTGCAAAACTTCGAACCGAACTCGAGGTTCTTCCCCAAAACAATCTCGCGACCCTCCGATTCAAGATGAGCCAAGGCCCAATCCACAGCTACGTTCAAGATCACATCGGTAACATCGTGTACAACGAGGCACATCCGATTTTCAACGCCGCCCTGCCTGATTACAAGCTCTCCTCCCTCGGCCAGCGCGCTGTCAAAACCCTCTACCCCGACGGCTCCTGGTCTGCCGCGACGCCTGAGGAGCCGCGACCTGTCGTCCCGCACACCATCTTTGAGATCTCTCACGCGAACCCGAAAACTAAGCAGGCGCTTGAAGAGAGACTGCAGAGCTTCATCATGATGCCTGGCGGCGAGGTCCGATTGGCCATTGGACTCAAGATACCATACCACAACATCCGGACTGACGACGAGGCGGACCGATCCCACGAAATGGCGGCTGCGGTTCTGAAAGATATTAACGACTGCGTTATTGCCGCCTAGGTGGCGGTTGAGGACTGCGACGGAAATGTCATCCGCGCTAGGAGGATCATGAATTGGACTCGGATCACCAAGGCGAACGCCTGCCTGAAGCTTTTCCCATCCGACTTCGTCAGCGACGCAACAAAGCTGCCGACGCCGTACATCCGTCCCCCCAAGTACAACAGGTACGGGACTCTCTCCCTCATTACCTGCGTTCGTTGCAAGGCCTCGCCTGTTGCTAACCGCCAAGATATAGGTCCAGGCCTGCCCCGATTCAGCTGCCGCTGCACAAGATCGAGTGTTGCATCCGAGAAGCCGCGGACCTTCTCTAAAGCCAAGCCGTGGTCGCTGTTTCTCCTCATCGCCGGACCGAATTCCAAGAACGGAGCGCCATTTGCGCGAATCTCTACAAGGGGTCCATGAGTCCAAGCTTGGGGATAAGGAGACACCATCGGGGTCAAGGAAGGACAGTGGAACTGGAGCTTGGGAGCCACTGGTAATGGGGGAAGCTACAACCGGCATCGGAGTTACTCTGATCCGGTGACCTACCCCTGCACTCTTACGGGCCAGATCTGGTAGATCCGTTAGTTAGAGAATACATCCCCTGAACAAACTCGTTTCCTGACCCCATCTGCGCGGTACACATCTCTGCCATATGCTCAGCCGCCCATCAGGGTTACTTGTCGAGTACAACATCTGCCACAGACGCCTCAGCTACCTATCCGTCCACGCTCTAGCCTTGCCTCGATTGAGGAGAAACCTGCCAATCGCCTAGCAACATACCGGAATGCACCTAAGAAGGAACTCAAACCGGCAATAGTCAAGTTAGTATTCCGAAAAGTGTTGCGAAAGAGCGGCTCCCTATCTAGGAGGTGGGGGATGATTCCTAACGAAAGCTGGAAATTGGGGCTTGGAGGCGTTGTCATAAGGAGATAGTACCCTATTGCTGGGACTGACTGTGATGGTTTGACAGCTTGGGCGCAGGTCGTCACGAGACATGTTTCCAAGCTGGCTGTGTCTTGGCATGTCGAACAGAATATAAGCCGCAGCGAACTCTCTACCACGTTCTTTCTACACGTTGTGTAACGTCCGTCACCCACTTCTAGGCACCCTAAAAATACCTTACCGCTATAACTACCTGCTAACTTTAAACCTATATAACTTTACTAACTTCTACTTAATTAATTTTATTCTTAGTATATAGCTTTATTAGACTTGGATATACTTATATTCTAGAGATAATATTCTCTAAGTACTTTATACTAATATAAATAGTATAATATAGTTAATAAGTAAGGCAATTAGATAAGTAAGGCAATCACCTAATTAGGCAAACTAGACTTCCACCTTTATATATATATTACGCTATACTTAGTAATATCTCTTATAAATAAAGAAGCTTAATTAAACTTAGCTATTTAAGTAATTAAATAAGCTAATAATCTTAATATAAGAGCTATATCTTAGATCTATTTAGTACCCTATTTAATATTATATAACTAAATTAAGGGAAAGATATTATAATATAATATAATACTAAACTTATAAAATTTAATTATACTTAAAGAGGAGAAGCTAGTTAAGTATATTCTTAACTTAGATCTTAATTATTTTCTCTCTATATTAATAATATAAAAGATATAGCTAATTAACTACTTATTAACTATAATATACTCCCTATTAAAAAGTATTAAGCTTTAAACTTTATTAAGTAATAACTATAGCTTTAAATATACTTTTTTTATAAGTATAACTATAAGAGGGCTTAATATAAAGACCTAAATATAATAAATATATAGTTTTAGCTTATAGTAAATATAATTATAAAATATAGTATTATAGACTTAAATATCTATAACTTTAATAAGATTAGGTTTATAATAAGCTAAATTATATTTAAAATAGTTATAATAAGTACTAAGAGGTATTTAAATATAAAAATAATATAGCTTAGTAATTATAAATAGGTTATAGTTATTTAGGCTATAGTATTTTACTATATATTATTATTTTAGAGTAATATTACCTCTCTACTTAATATATAGAAATAGGTCTCCTATATAACTAAGTTATTATAATATTTAAAAATAAATAGATAATAAATAAAAGAGGCTTAAATTAGCTTTAATACTTTAATTAGTATATAAAACTTTATATAAGTAGTAGATATTACCTCTTTATTATTAATAGGTATAAAAGTTACTATATTATTAACTTTAAGATATATTATAAGGAAAATAATATTATTATACTTTATATACTAACTTATTCCTCTTATTTACTTTAGCCCTTAGATATTAAGTATTTTAAACTACTAAAAAAGGTATATAGCTAATAAATTAAAGATAAAATATATTAAAGTAATACCTATATTATAAAAGAAGACTTCTCTCTATATATTATAAGGCTTTTATATAAGCCCTTATAGTTAAAAATATTTAGGGAGGTTTTAGAGGGGCTAAGCTTATCCCTCTTAATATAGAAAGTATACTATTAAAGCTTAATATTAAGTTATATACTTTAATACCTCTAAGGTCCCTCTTAATAATACCCCCTATATAGACTTCTTAAATATTAAATAACTTAATAGAAATATCTTTTTAATTTAAACTTATTAAGAGGAGAATCTCTTATTATTAAAATAGCTTATTAATTTTAATTATTAAAGCTATAAAGTATCTATTAAAGGGGGTATATAAATTTATATATTAAATTACTTTATTAAGGTCTAAAGTTTAGATCCTTTAAGAGGAGAATAACCTATTTAGTAGATATTAAAGGGCTAAAAAAATATATTTTAGATAAAGAGGAAGTTTTATTATAGCTAAAGTAGAGAACCTTTAATTATAAAGAAAAGCTATAGCTTAAATTAAAGAGGAAATATATTAGAGTAGTAGTTACTAACTAAAGATAGAGATAGGCTAATAGTAATATAGTATATATAAGAATACTAGTTATAATATATAAATATATTAATTTACTAAAGAAATATCTAAAGAAGAAGATCTTAACTAGTTTATATTAAATTAATTTACTTAATATTACTTATTAGTTATAAATCTACTATAGTTACTATTAGTTAATCTACTTATTTATTTAATCTACTTACTTCTTAATTATATTATAGTTAATAAATTAAGAATAAAATATATTAAGGTAATACCTATATTATAAAAAAAGACTTCTTCTCTATATTTTATAATACCTTTATATAAGCTTTTATAGTTAAAAATATTTAGAGAGGTTTTAGAGGGGCTAAGCTTATCTCTCTAAATATAAAAAGTATACTTTTAAAGCTTAATATAAAGCTATATATATTAATACCTTTAGGATTCCTCTTAATAATACCCCTTATATAGACCTCTTAAATATTAAATAACCTAATAAAGGTAACTATTTAATTTAAACTTATTAAGAATTAAATCTTTTATTATTAAAATAACTTATTAACTTTAATTATTAAAGCTATTAAGTATTTATTAAAGGGGATATATAGATTTATATATTAAATTACTTTATTAAGGTCTTAAAATAAAATCCTTTAGGAAGAGAATAACTTATTTAGCTAATACTAAAGGGCTAAAAAAGCCTAACTTAAATAAGAAGGGAGTCTAACTATAAGTAAAGCTAAAGACCTTTAATTATAAAGGGAGGCTATAGCTTAAATTAAAGAGGAAATATACTAGAGTAATAGTTACTAGCTAAAGATAAATAAGCTAATAGTAGTATAATATCTATAGGAATATTAATATAAATAATAAGTAAGTAGATTAAATAAGTAAGTAGATTGCCTTAATAGAATCTTAGTCCTCTATATACTAAACTTTACTAAGAAATTATTAAAGTATACTAGTAATTTTCTATTAAAATTTTATATATAGCGCACTAAGATTTTATTAAGGCGATCTACTTACTTATTTAATCTACTTACTTATTATCTATATTAGTTATAATATATAAATATATTAATTTATTAAAGAAATATCTAAAGAAGAGAACCTTAATTAGTTTAAGTTGAATTAATTTCCTAGGTGTTATATATTAGTTAGGTATATATTATAGTTATAGTTAGGTAATTACCTTACTTATCTAATTGCCTTACTTATTAATTATATTATATATTTAAATAACTATATATATACTATATTTAACTCTATAGAATTAAAATAAAGGTATATATATATAAGATAAAGCGTCTTTAAATTTAAAAAGACTCTTTATAGCTTAAAAAAGCTATTTAGCTAAATAGGTTTAAATTTAGTCTACTTTAAGCTTCCTATTAATATATTAATAACTTAAGAAATTTACTAAGTATACTTATTAGAACTAAAGAGATATTTTACTTTTTAAAAAGAATTAAATTAAGTCTTTTATTAAGAGGAACCTATTTATAAAGGTTTAAAGAAGTAAAGTAATTAATTTCTAATATATTAATAGAGCTTTATATTATAGCTAGCTAACTAATAGTAGGTATATAAGTCTTTAAAGAAGCTTAATAATTAGTTAAATCTTTAATATATTAGTTAAAAAAAGATATACCAGAGAAAGAGACTTTTAAGTAGTATTAATTATCTTAATATTTCTATTATTATTATTATTTTTTATTATATTTATTAAGTAGCTATTATAAAGTAGTATACTTAGTTATTTAGTGCGTTTACTTATTAACTAGGTTATAAATAAGCTATAATTATTTAAACTAATAAGTTTAAAGCTATAGTATTCTAGTATATATTATTATTATAAGTTAATATTATCTTTATATTTAATATATTAAAACTAATCTTATATAACTATATCTTTAATACTTTAATAAATATATAAAACTATATATAAATAATAGTTATTACCTTTCTATTATTAATAAGTATAAAAGTTACTATATTATTAGCTTTAAGATATTTTATGAGAAAAATAATATTATTATATTCTATTAATATATTTTTTATCTACTTTAGCCTTTAAGTATTTAGTACTTTAAGGCTTTAGATATAATTAATAGTTAATATATTAAATATAAA